GGAACAGGAACAGGAACAGGAACAGGAACAGGAACAGGAACAGGAACAGGAACAGGAACAGGAACAGGAACAGGAACAGGAACAGGAACAGGAACGATTTATACATATGTACATGGCTCATCGTTCATTGCACCGCTGCACCTTCATGGGTAGTAGTGTTTTATGGCATTGCTCACACACTGGCGGGGTCAGGATTGATATCTCAGCAGTAGATACTGTCGGTAGTACTACAAAGGTATTTTATAGCTGGTCGGCACGCGGCTCTCACGGGCCTCTTTCGTCTATATAAAAGTGTCTATAACACCCAACTTCCAAGTACTCGTGTCGCCGCCAGTGGTGGGCATTGACTAGGACTCAAATCACTATCTCAGTCAAGATATCTCCTCTCGCCATGGCGCGCCATGATATCTTGAGATAGCTAGCAAGCTAACGAAAGGAACACCCGATTTCTTTCCGCCCATCAGTGTAATGTACAATAGTAGTGTATAAATTAGATAGACGGTGTTGCAGAAACTGACTGGACTCGGACATGCAGACATCACAGGGGGTAATGTAGATACTGTAGCTAGCTAAACCCACCCAGCACAGCTGTAGCGCTGCGCACTCGCTGAAGTTTGAACAGAGGCCAGCCAGGCCCCAGGGGCAGGAACAACCCATCTGAGATGCCCCGAGTTCAAAGTTGACACCAATGCAGGTTCTCCAGCTCCAGAGTCCATCGGGGGGGTGGCGCCCCGATCGGGCTTGAGTGCAAGATGCAAAATCAAAATGGATATGATGATGGTCCTGGCTATTCCATATGATTCTCCGGATTGGAATCAAAATAAGCCTCGAAATCGAAATCAAAGTCGAAATTGAAATCGAAACCGTGATTGAATCCAAAGTCGTCCAGATCAAACCCAAAATCGGAGCAAAATCCGCCATCTGTAACCTCCAGATGGGTGGTGTTGGTGTCGAATATTCCGGTAGCACTGCCAGCACCACCGCTAAGCGGACCTGTAGCTGTACCGGCACTGGCACTGGCACTGGCACTGGCACTGGCACTGGTACTGGCATTGCCGACAGCACCACCGGCACCACTTCCTGCCAGGGCAGAACATTCGGCGAGAGCAATGTCCATGTACAGGGCGTGGCCGTTTGCGATGTGACCGTGTGCATGCCCATATCCATGTCCATGTCCGGGATTCGTCTGGTTGTGGCCGCGGCGAGTGGGATGTTGTTGGCTGCTTGGGTGGTCGAGGGAGTTGTGGTTGTGGTGATGATTTTGGGTTTGGGGTTGAGTTTGATGCTGCCGATGACGACTGTCCAAGTCAAAGAACGACCCTACTGTTGCTGCTGCCTTCGAATCCAGCACTTTCTCGTCTGGCCCAGTCCCTGTCCCTGTCCAGCTGGACATCTGGATGAAACTTGCATTGGGAGCAAGTAATGATGATGATGATGACAAGGCAGAAGAACCATCATTTATATTGCCAAAGGAAACTGGATTTTGGACATCTGCAACACCTTGAGACAGCAGAGACTGAGACAACCGTCGAGAGTCTAGACTTGCAGCTCTCACCTCACTTTTTGTGGCATCATCAACCGGATTGGGACTTGTACTGACACCATTGGTGATGCCCATAACATTGTCGTGGTCGTGAATCCGGGAAGCGGGTTGTGCCAAAATGGTGCCAGAAAAGACTGACTGCACAGCGGGACCGGTGGTCGATTGACTAACAGTAGTAGTCACTGCCAGCATGTTTTCGGCAGCAGCAGCAGTGGCAGTGCCGTGCAGATTCTTCCCTCGATCGGCAGACAGACCGGTCCCGCGAGCCGGCTTCGTCCCACCCCGACTCCTAGCCATCATTTGCGCTACCAACTCACAAGCTGAGTCGGCGATTGGCCATCTGTCGCGTAGACCGAGGAGAGTTCTGACACAGTTCTGGAACTGTCTTTGCCGCTGCTCGTGTTGCTGCTGATTCCTTAGAAGCTGTTCATCTGGTGAAGTCTGCGATGGCTCTGCCTTGGTAGTTTTGATTTCCTCGACCAGAAAAGCCGCGATGGCGAGGAGCATGAAGCTAACGGATATGGGCGGAAGGTATTTGACCAGGTCTCGGTCCTGAAGATACATAACGATCTCGGACATTTTGGCGGCAGCTTCTTTGACCTTTGAGGTTGAAGTCGAGGCTAAAGTTGATGCAGAAGTCGATGTCGCAGCGCCAGCCCCAGCAGCCGGAATTGAGTCTGTTGCCGAGGCCATGCCATGCTTGCTTTTGGACATGGACAGAGTCTGTGGTCTGTTGAGCGCTTCAGTGGCTAGCAAAAACAGCATCTTCAGAACACTCCTGTGAAGAAATAGAACGTCATCTGTCGTCGCATCAGCAGTACCGCTATCGATGGGAGAGGCCGTGTCTGTGTTGAGGCCGGCGCGAGTTTCGGGACTTGTGCGAAGCCAGCAGCTCGGTGGGAGAGTCCCTTCCCATTTCTCCAAATCGTCCTGCAGACGAGCAAGGTCATGGGGTCTTATGGCGTCGGCTCTCCTGGGCGTATAGAGCATGGTGACCTCCCAGGTCGACCGACCTAAAGCTCGCAAGGAGTAACAACTGTTGATGATGTCTCCAACTATCAACAGCAGTTTTGTTTTGGCCACATACATCTCAGCCAGCATCTTTCTGACCGAAGAGTCTATCATAGACCGGCATTCCCTAAGGGCTGGCATGGTAGTGGTGATGGGGCCGAGGTCAAAATCCAGATCGGCGCTCAACATGGCGAGGCTGATTTCATCGTCTCTGATGCGCATCCGTCTTCGCATGGTGATTGCCATGATTCTGTCTCGCATCACGCAAGACCACCAGATCCGTCTCCATAGCCGACGGGTGCGAGGGTCATCTCTGACATACGTGTCGGTCTGGTCCATCCCAATACTCGTGGCCAACGAGATACAGATACCCAACCAATGCCACGGGTCCTTAGGATCGTTTTCCGACACATACCAGTAATTCATCAGGAGGAGGGACTGGACCAACGCAATCCGGTCGACATCCCAATTGAAATCGTAGAGTAACTTTGTGAAAGCAGAATGTCAACGCGTGGGATACTCAAACAGCAGAAAGTCCTTGAGGATGTGGGACTAGCCATACCTTAACTTTTTGATACATATCACTCCTGGCGGCTCTTCGACTCTCGTAGCCAGCTTGTTGAAGCAAGTCCAGGTCGACGTATGCGGTACCTGCAAACATGACAGCCTGAAAGACCATCAGACTAATCTTGGAGCAGCCCTCATGACCATCAAGGGCCCCGAGAAAGTCCTGTAAGTCTATGGTCGGCATGTAAGGGTAGACAAAGAGCACATAGCTTCGGAGAAGCTGGTCTCTCAGCTCAGCAGGCGGGATGCTTAGGGCCCCACGACGATGAAGTATCTCAATGTCCTCGGGCTGAACTCCAGCCCGTGGTGCCCGGATATAGGATGGTAGATTGACGGGCGGTGGACATTGAAGCACGTCCGACCTAGCATAATCACCAATCTTTGCATGAACACCATCTGTTGGTGTGGCACTGCCAGGAGAGCCCTGGAAAGAACTTGCCGCTGTGGAAGATGCTTTCGAGTCTAACGGACCACCCTCCGGCCGACCTCCCTGACTGATATCTGACACTGCATTCACCGTCTTTGAAACCTCATGGGCAAGAACTTCTGGGGCGACATTAGACGAAGCGAACGACGATCGCGTCTCCAACTTGGGGGGTGCTCGAGTGAGTGGTGGCAGCGAGCTCAAGCCGTTCAATCGACGCTTCTGCAGCCGGTATTTCCTGCTCCGTTTGGACTCGACCACCACACATTCCACCTCATCGAGCCTGCAATTGGAACACGGGGCGCTTGACGTGATCAGGTCGCATTTCACTTTGCGGGTTCGACAGTTGTGGCACGCCTGCGACGCTCTTTTCTTGACGACACGATCGGTCTTGGAGCTTGCCATGTTTGGACATGCCTGCAACCCCATGAAGATGTTGGCGGGTAGAGGCGAGAGGCCGTGGACGTGTTCATCTTCAGGCCTGCAGCAGTGACGAAGAACAAGAAAGACGAAAAGAAGAAAAAATAAAAAACAAATGGTGGACTAAGGATCGACCGGAACAGGGACGCAAGACACAGCCAGTGCAGGAGTGTACAGAGTGCAGTTACAGCGCCCGGGAGTCAAGATAGCCGAGGAAGTTGGAACGCAGGCGCTCTGCTCTCCGGACACTGCAAACTTCAACCCCGGATCATCCCGCAACCGACCCTCATTATTCTTGACTGGCGGTCCGCGTCTTAGTCATCCTCCTAGGGGCGTCGGAACACTGCTGTACACTGGCAACTTGAAGGCCAGTAATGACGGGGAATTGGTACAATGTGATCTGGGCTAAGGTCCGGAGAGCTTGGAGGGATATAATACTGATCCAAATCGCCCGGGTTGCGGACCTACGGCTACGCATCACGGGCAAGAAAATCCACGATTCTGTTCAGTCTGAAAATGCTGCTTTCGATAGATTTTCAATTTTGCACAGATAGAGGTGGTAGTAGGGTGCCGGGGCTACAAAGGCTTTTGGTGGTATATGGTGGTTTCCGCTTTACACGTCTCTCACCTTGTCCACTTTCGGGACCAACCACCAACTGACACCGGTGCCAACAAACAAGGCCACGAGGATAGGTTGCAGAACCTTGACGCCGGCGTGGGCGGCGACCAGGCCCGTGAGTGTGGGGAAGAGACTGCCGCCAGCTTGGGCTAGGACGAAGATGAAGCCTGGTAGTAGTAAGTAACTTGTAAGTTCGTGGCAACTCGGTCATAGGAGTTAGAAAACTTACCTAGAGCGGTCGTTTGCACGGATTTGGGACATAGTTTGGATGCTACGGAGATGCCCTGTAGACTTGGTGTCAGTGCAGGCCAGGCCCAGCGAGCGTATTATATTCGCTTTGCATCGGTGGAACGAGATTATATACAGTACTTACACTCACAAAAAAGGGGCCGGAAAAAAACCCGAGTGCAGAGTACAGGACGACGCCGGCCACGATGTTCGGAATGGTCCAGAACATGACCTGTAAGGCGATACAGGCGACGATATATCCAAAGACCATGCGTCGGTCGCCGAATCGGTGGGTCGGCTCCGCGAGTAATAGGCGGCCCAGGAAGCCGCCGCCGTAAAAGCCCGTGGGCGCGTAGCCCATGCTGGATAGGCCGCCTTTTCGGACGCGGACGAGGTATTCGACGACCCAGCCTGAGTCAAGAGTCAGCATGGCTGCAGAGTATTATGATGAAGCATTGGGCAGCGAGATTATTGGGGTGGCAACTGAGAGGGAAATGGAGCAAAAGAGGGTTTTAAGTGTGTGGAAATGAAGATTCGTCGAGGTCGAATACATAAGAGGGCTGTATACGTACCTCCGGCCGTGATGACAGCGCCGAGGAAGAAAAAGAAAAACAAGCTCACCAGCCAGACTGCTCGTAGTTTCAAAGTCTGGCGGATCTCATTGAGAGCCTGGACATTCCGGGATCCGGGGGCGGAATCCTGCTGGCTTTCGAGGGAAGCAACAATTTCATCACCTTGAGGAGCATTGCCATCTCTCGCAGTTTCAAAGGCGGTCTTTCTCTTTCGTTTGCTGTCGGCAAACATCTCCGACCCAAAGGCGCCTGCCACGAAGGCCAGATTCACCACCCCCAGCCCGGCCTCGGCGGCATAAGTATAGTGCCAACGCGTATGGCTGGCGAGCGGAGTGGCTATAAAAGGACCAGTGAGACAGCCAAGCATGTACATGGCATGAATGAAGCCCAACCATCGGTGCGCCCCGGGCACAGTCGCAACGTACGTGTTGGAGTAACTGTCCTGGTACGCCTGGCCCAGCGCCGTTAGGAAAAAAGTCACAACGAACAAACCGAACGGGGGGTTCCAGAATCGCAGGAGTTGGGAAAGTAATTGCAATCCAGCCCCCAGAAGAAGCGTTGCGCCCAGAGATAGACGGAGAGTCGTCGTCAAGTGCGTGTTTGTCAATGCGGACAGGAACCAGCCGGCGAAGGTGGCTACGTATCTAATGACCGAAACGCATCCTTGTCAGAAGGTACAGTACAGATGTGTTAAGGGAGATGTCATGAAAGAATAGAAAAGGGGGAATATGTGAGAGAAAAGTGTAGTGAGCGACACACATGACAGTCACCAATCCTGTACTTATGTTGTACTCGTGCAACATGTACGGTAGCAGCGGGCCAGTTGTGCCATCGTTGGTGCCGGCGAGGAAGAATGAGAAGCCGGCGCAGACCAGTTTCAGGATGGACCGCCGGTCGAGCTTCTGGCTCTGAGTCTCAGGTCCTTCGTGCGGCTCATGATCCGATTCATGGCCGTGGCCGTGGCCGTGGTCGTTGCTCTGGCTGCGTGTGTCTGAACGTCGGGATTGCAATTCCATGGCTCTTAGGCTATGGCCTTGAGGCACTTTTCAGAAAGGAAACCAGGGGTTTTCATCGGTCGAGATAAGAAGACCAAAGCAACTCCTTTTCTGGGTCGCTGGTCGGGGGAGGTTCAAGTTATTGTCTCGGTTGATCTTCGGAATATCAGTCATCGCTTGACAATGAGATACGAGGATAGAAGCGATCGACGATGGGCTCCCTGAGCTAGTAGTGTGAAAAGTACATTCTTGTTGGTTGACTTCCAAACAACAGACAACAGCGCAGAGACACGAACAAAGTGGGATGCCACAGATACCTTGCTTCCCCGGTTGGGGTAGGATCCGGAGGAAAGGGCAGATAAACGTGGGGCTAAGAATGTGATCTCGAAGATATGGAATTTCGTTCATTAAGAATTAATTTATTGATATCATCTGTATCATGTGTATCGTTCATATCGTGTATAACATAAATGTCCCCGTCATCCCACGGTAGCGAACCCCCAACGCCTTTATATGCCGCAAACTTGATCGTGACAACATTGCGTCAAAAGAACAGAACTCATCACGCGCAGATTGCTCTCGCTGAGACGCTGGACGGAGTTGGGCCGTCGTATAATCTCTTTTGAGCCGAGAGCTCGAGCAGCCACCGTTCCAAGGCGGTCTCATCCAGTCCTGCCAGCCACAAGGCGGTTTCTGACCTGGCCCGCTCCGAAATCTCTTCATAGTACTCCTTGTCCGTCATCAACTTGTTGAGGGCCTCGACCCAAGGTTCAATGTCCTGTTCCGGAACGACATATCCTTCCTCGTTCCTCTCGCCGCTCAGCATGTTGACGTGAATGATGGGGGGGATGCCGAGCTTCGCCTCTGGGATGGCGCCTGCATCCGAGGCAATCACTGGAATCCCTCTGGATTGTGCTTCAACAATCACGATTCCCCAGGCCTCGAACCAAAGAGAGGGTACGAGCAAGACTTTGATCTGAGCCCAGGCTTCTTCCATGTCTCGAATACTTGGACGGAGGCTGTTTCAGACCACGAGTCAGTAACTTTGCTCAGACATATCGGGGAAAATGGTAATAATACTTACTCAACGTTTGACAGTGCCCGAAGTTGCTTCTCTAGCTTGTTGTCCATCCCCCAACTTGACCACGCCGCAAACTTAAATTGTGGACACCGTTTGGCTAATGCGTGGAATATTGAACTACCCTTGACCGGGCATGGGTTCACGATACCCACGAGGTCTTTGTCCCAGTTCCGCCGTCGGAGCGGTAGACCACGAGTCTTGCTATCGAGATAGGTCCACGGATGGTGAACATGGAAGGTGGTGTTGAGCTGACCGTATTCACGCGCATAGTTCTTGAGGGCTTGCGACACGGACCAGATGCCATCAAGGCCCATCAGCAACTTGTGTTCGCTCTTCGAGTAGGCTGATCCCGAGATTCCACCCGCATAGGGTCCGAATGGCAGTTGCTCAGCAGTGTGTACGATGCATATCCGGCAGACGTGGCGAAGTGAAGGCATGATCGAAGTTGCTTTCATGGCCAAACCATCGTTGAAGATGACATGTGTTGGGCGGAATTGCCCCAGGTACCCATTCAAGAGCAGAATGAAGACTTGCAGCCGGGTGCTGACTAGGCCGTCCTACAAACAAATATTAGTCTACGGTCCGGTGCAAAGGGCAAGAATCCTATGGTGTATACTCACTTCTATGAATCGAGCTGCATCTTTTGCCAGCTCTTGGTCAGGAAGGATCTTGTGGAAATCGGCCAGGTTGATTGCAAGGTTCCTCAGGCCGTCCGCATCGATGAACGAGTACGTTCTCAGGTCGACGTTGGTGTCGTCATCCACTGGCACGGTTACTTTGTCAAATTCAAGCTCAGGGTCCATTCCATTCGCTACCATCTCATCACAGTAGTTCTCGACCTCTCCATCCCAAACATAGCATAATTGGGCGGCTGCATGTCCCCGCGAAGCGAGATATTTCAGCAGCATCAGATTCGATCTATAGCCGCCAGAAGAGCTGAAGAGGCCCTTGGCCGTCTGGAAGAGGAACACACGCATGTTGAGGATTGCTCTAGTTGTAGTTGAACGAATGTGTGGTGCGTTTGGGCGCGAAAGGAAACAACGATTGTGGATGAGGAGTCTTGGGAAGTGCTGGGAGTGGAAATGAGTGGGATGGCCTGGCCATATTATCCTCGCGATGCTGGAAGAACTTCTCATGTTTCCCGATCTCCGGCGATGACCATGCTGGCCTGGTTGTCTGTAGAGATGCGTTGATGGAATCTTCGGCCTACTTCTGGACCATGGCGGATGGGCCACGAGTGTGTCTCGCACATGGTGCTAAAGAGCACGCAACTTCCTTTGCATCGCCGATTCGCCCTTGCAGCCAGCCAGCCCAGAGTAGTATTGTTATTGCCTGATCGGGATGGCTGAGCTATTATGGCGCTGCCGAAGGTGTTATCGGTGGCCCGCGCCGACACGTCAAGCAAATATCGTGGTTGCACCAAGTGAGAGTCTCGGCGTTTAGCGCGCTAGAAAGCGAGTTGTTGGGGAGTTTCCGAACGCAATCCGATGAGCGGTGTCCAACAAAGGAATGCAAAAGAATCTCGATGCCCAAGCGAGAGATAGGGCGTCGCATCGAACCAATGATAAGCCAGCATCTGTTTTGACAGAGCGCAACCGAAAAGCCTCAGATGCTCTTCTTGCATTCCTATTGGTCCGCTGTCAACAACACCCACCGTCTTAACAAAAATTCCGCAGGTTTACCACATTAGCACCTTTTCGTGGCAGAAGATTCTCGTAACGTGCTGTAGAGACCTTTTTCTGTCAGCCACATGTCACATAGCCGCTTCCTCACACCGCCAGGCCACCCAGTCCAGCACGAGTCTTCCTCCACTGTACCCGTGGCTCCGATAAGGCTTGAGGCGTATGGCAAACCACCTCGATACATGCGCCTGCGGCTCATAATTATTCTTCTTGGACGATACATCCACGGTAGCATTCCCATGCAGAATGGTGGTTGATGTCCAAGGATAATAAGAGAGGCTGTGCATGAAACGGCCAGTAGTAGTAGCTTGACGCCGTGTTTCGGATGGTGGGTCTGGTCTGCCCCAGCCCGATCGAGTCCTTTAGCAACGTCTGGCTTTTTGGCGGTGACCGTTTGGGATGGTTGCAACCATGCACACTGACGTGTGTGAAACATTTTGCATGTGCACGTACCGAGAAGGAACTACACTTCCACCTTACAACGTTGTAGATGTCTCGGTGTTGGAAATCCTCCAGAAACCATCATGCGCCGAGAACTCCAGTAGTGGGTTGCCAGATGCTGTGCTGCTGTCCTCTCTGTGTTGTTTCAAACCCATCGGGTAGTGACATGTCCACACGGTTGCTCAACCCGCGCACGATGCCTCTCAAACAGCCCGGACATCGACGGAACACTTGACAGGTACAAGATTGACATACCTCAGGCTGTTCATATTGGGGTGCTCCTATCTTCTCTCATTCATCAAGCAGTCTTCAGACCGGACGCATGGAGATGTGTGCAAAAGATGCCTCGATACAACACACCTGTCGCAAGCAATTGCGATAGAATGCGCACCAATTGGTGGGATCGAAGTGAAAACACCTACAATGTTGTATAGTACCGTCGCTTACCGCTGACCGATCCACATTCTTGCTGGATTTCCAGACGCGGATGTTCCCTGGAGACGGTCAGGGTCGACGCCGGAGGATCTCTCAGCAATGATAAGTCAGTTGCAACCAATAGAAGCGTTGCAGCATGCCTGGTGAGGGTATGGCGCTGTTGTGGGCGCAGACCTCCTGTTGGAACAGTGGAGTGGCCTGCATTCCGAAGATCTCGATTCCAGAACAACACATCTCGCCATGTATCACGACAAATCGACGGCATCACAAGACATCAGGTCTCTCCATGCCATATCAGTTGTTAGATGTTGTGCTCAATGGTACATACAACGTTGTAGTACCTGACTGCGAATCAGTCAACCGACAGGGTCAAGATCCCTTGGGTATATCAGGGTACTTTTCTTTTCCTGGGAATAGATCGAACCATGACCATCCTGACTTGAGAGATGTGCTATACAATGTATAGGAGGGGTCGAAGAATACATAGTAGCACACATGTCACCTCTGATAACACACTTGCGCACACTTTGGTTTGGCCAGTCATCCACCTCTGCAGTGACCGTGCTGACAACAGCGTGACTCTCGGCTCTTGCTCGGACATCGCGAGCTCTGATCACTAGGGGTCACTATTACAGGGACTCGATCGCTTGATCTTGAATCAATTAATAACGATGAATGTTACAGAGACCCTTCAAAAAGTGTTCGTCCTGATGTGATCACTTCAAGTTGCTGCTCTAAGACTCGCACCGCATGACGTCGCCGGCTGTAAGCCACGTGATCCCGCCCAAAGGTCTGGTCACGTGGTATGCTCAACTCCTGACTAGTCTGTTTCTGGAATGCACGACATACCCATGTTTCCTTCTGCTGCAGTTTGCGCTTCAGCATCTTCTTGGAAACACCCTTTTATCTACCAGTCCAGCTCTCTTCAAGGAGGATCTGTCATAGATCTCGTCACTTCTGTCTCATGCTGCTACCATTTTTGGCAGTCAGACTGATGCTGTCTCCGCTTAGGATCTTGAGCAGACGCAGGTCCTGTAACCCGCCACACCCCCCACTCGTCTGCTTCATTGTGCGAAGCAGAACTTGAGTACCTCTACGGCCAGGGACAGAATATTCCAATTAGCATGAAAAACCAGCTATGGATTCTCGAGCAGCGAAGCTCCAGAGGCACGGCAGTCGTACATGCACACGCCCAGTCCAGCTCTCCGGCTTCCGTGCTCCCGCCTGTGCATATGCAGCAATGCGTAAATGTTGCTAACTTTGCTAGTCCAGCAAATACATGTTGATCACGCAGATACATCACTATTGATTTTGCCACAGGCACTCTTGCAAGAAAAGGTAAGCGATCGCTCGAGTTGGGGACATTGACAAACCTGGGCTGAACCCCTGCCAAAACACGTGAAACAAAATATCTGACATTGGCTGCCTCAATGTCGAAACACCCGCCCGGGACCTGCACCATCCGCTCAGAATACTTTCACTTTTACTATATTTTTCATCCTTCCAAGACTTTATATTCACTTTGTCAAGGCCGAATTTTCTCTCTCTCCTCCACTCAGTACTCACCTGTGTCATTCCTTTGCCCCTTTTGCTTCTGCATTTTCAGCCTTCGTTCTCAATCACTACCGCTGGTCGGGCATTGTTTGTTAGTCTTGCAAGTCTTTTCTCTGTCAGTCATATATCTAGCCATATATTGCCATTTGCCCTCGGCAAGAAGCCAAGACACCTCATCAGCTCCTCATCCAAAGCTAAACGCAACAATCCAACAACAACATGATTCTCAAGACTAGCGCCCTTGCTCTGCTCGTGGCGGGCTCAGCTTCCGCCGCCGCTCTTAAGCCCGCGGGACATGGCCACGTCACTGTGAAACAGTACAGCAGCCAAACACGAACAGAAACAGTGATTCTTCAGGACGAGGCCGACTTTGGACTGTGTCTCCCAACGATGAAATTTGTGACGGTGAAGTATGAAGGTGGCATGGGAGGCCGAGCCGTAACGGATTCTGTTTTCCTGCCTGCCGATTCCCTTTGCGCCGAGGGTCAAGCAGGGGCGTCGAACCCGAGTAAGTAAAGCAAACACCCAGTTCCTGCCCAATCAAATCCAATGTCACTCTGTCACAATCAATTGAACGCAGAGACCTTCTGCTCTCGAACACATCCCTTCCCCAGAGAGTTCTATATCTCCTTCTGTCTAGATTCCTTGTCTAACCTTGGTTCACTTATGTCAAGACATCATCACAAACCGCATCTGCGACAACCTCAGCAGCATGTGCGGCGCCAATGCCGCAGCCCAGACTCTCTGCCGATCGGCACAAGCCAAGATCCGCGCCCTGGGCACCAGCGAAAAATCCACCGCGGACACTTGGAACACGTTGCTCGGCTTCGGCGGCGCTGCTGAACCTGAGGCCGTATCCGAATTTGCATCTACCGGAACAACAACGGAACTGCACGACCTCAAACGACGAGACGTGCCGTTCGTCCCTTGTTCCGCCAGCCAGTGGATCGACGACTGTACCGGCTGGACTGGTTCCGAACAGACCGAGCCCTCGACCGACACCCAGACCGATACCGACGCTGACACCGTGGCCAAGCGTCAACTTGGTGCTGCTGCTGCTGGGTTCCCCACCGACATCCCCACTGAAGACAGTGGTGTAACTGAGGCCACTGCTGGTGCTATAAATCATAAACAAAGAGCAGACGCCGTCTCCCTCATCAGCAAACGGTCGTTTGACGACGGCGGCGACGAGGAGGAGGATGACGGTGGCGACGACGGTGAAGGTGAGAATGAGGACGAGGGTGAGGACGAGGGCGAAACTGATTCCGCAGTGGTCAAGAGGGACATTGTCTCTGACGAGGCACTGGAGAAGAGACAGGTCGACTTCATCGAATGTTCTGCCACCCAGTGGATCGACGACTGTACTGGGTGGTCTTGAGTAAATTAGTTCAAAGCAACGCTGGCGAATGCCTCTATGCGTGCATGCGTGCGATGCGATGCAGTTGGACAGAATAGATGGGCAGTCTCTGGCAGTCTGGCAGATTCAAACAATGTATTGTGATTTATATATGTGAGAGCAGATATTTTTAGGAATTGTTGTTTCCTTTTTATTCTGGCATTATAACGACAGATAACTACTGTACCTAGGTATATACCTGCCTAACTAAGTACTTACATATTTGTGTATACAGCGCATATGTGTATCTGCATACACTTGTCGACAGAACTACAATACTGTAATCCATCGAATCCGACCGGCAATTGAAAAGATTAGTATCAATGCGTACACACCAAAAAAAGCGAACCCAGGCCCAAGTTTGGATGCCAGGGCATGTGTATATGTGTAAGTATATGCGGACGCGTATATGCACAAGGTATGTCCCTACTCTTGCTTTTGCGCCTGCTCTGCATTCCGCACTCGGACTAAATGTACAGACAGTATAATGGATATATAACAAACACTTGCACCCAAATCCAAGAGATATACACGCAAAATGCAAGGCTCCGTGCAGGATATATACCATCACCTGTCCAACTTGCAAAATGAAATTGTAGAGATGCCATTCCCGTCTCCTCACAAAAAAAGGATCAACGACCAACGACCAATCCAATCCGATGCGACCCGCCTCATATCATTCGTATCATCAATCTTGGCCTTGGTTGACAGCACAAGAATTTGTTCATATTTTTATGCCCATGCGGCAGTCTTCTTGCACTTCAGTTAATGGACGCTGGGGCGCAATGTTTCTTTTTGCACTCGAACCTCCATGTGCAAGTGAGTGAGAGAGTGTCGTCCGCGCTGGCTCGAGGGTCCAGTACGATCGTGGCCCTGTTTTCCCCCCGGACCCATAAGCGGACGGAAGCTGTCTTCGGTGGCCGTGTAATCTGGCTCAGACTCAGTCAGAAGCAAGGTCGAGATATGTCCAGATCCAGCTGCCGGGCTTTGGGTTGCAGGGGCCAGCTCTTTCCCTTCCGACGCTCCTGGAGATTTTGCGCGAGTTAACTTGCTCGTCACACCGAGCCTTCTATGCAGGTGTGGCCACGTCTTCTCTTCCTTCTCTTGCTTGACACGGCTATAATCTCGTTTTTGTGGTACGCCCTGGCCGCTTTGTCATGGAATGATTGGAACGCCGCCGCGCCCAAGGATCGTGAAAGAAAGACACCCAGGACATTTTGCAGCAATCAGCAAGATGCTCCGTGGCAGGTGTACGGCCAACGAGACAATCGACAAACAGACACCCATCTGACGTTTTGAGATTTTGAGACCAACCGGACTTCATAGCACGATCCATACAGCACCTCCAATGACGAAGAAGACGACCAGAATCGTCAAGATGCCGGCACCTGCCTTGTCCTTTGTAGTGATCTTCTTGTAGTTGGCAGTCGGATCCGTCGAGGCATCCGAGCCAGCATCCGGATCACTCTCGGACTTGGCGCCCGTTCTGAGCGAGAGAGGCGACATACTGGCGTCGATGAGATTTGCGCCGATGACGGAGAGCGCCGACATTTCCTGACCCACGCCATTCGTGCCATCCCAGGTAGTCGTGTACCACTGCATACCACATTTGCGGCCTGAATCTCCACCACTGCATTGGCCGGCGGCGCCAGAGGCACTAGCGGCCAATTTGGGCTTGATGCTGTCGGCGGTGCTGGGCACGATGAGACTGGTGACGGCCATCCACCTTGCCAAATACGCCTTGAAACTCTTTTGATCTTGGTTACAATTCTTGGCCTCTTCACACTGCAGCTCATACATGATGTTGCCTCCATATTTGGAAGGGAAAAACAACTTGTACGAGCTGTCGAGGATCGAGTTGACCCGATCCAGCCATAGCTCGCTCCCATTGGTGTAGTTGTACATGTACGCGGCACCCGAGAGCATGATTCCATAGTTGTAGGTCCATACGAAATTCGCGACGGTGGTGCAGTTGTTGTTGGAGTCGGTGTTATCCCAGATGTACATGATGCCACTGTCAGTGTCGTTCTGCAGCAACGGACTGCCTTCCATCCAATCCCATACTTGTGTCGCCCAGTCTGCGTAGGTCTGGTTTCCGGTGATGTAGGCCAGCCGTGCGGCCAGCTGGAAGTTGCCGCCGTTGGAAACGGTGTTCTTCAAGTTGTAACCGGCGTTGAAAGAGTATACCTGCCACCTGAATCCACCTCCGCACGTGGCAGTATCCCACAGCTCTTTCTGAAAGTTGAACACTCCCTGCGCCAAGGACAGCCAAGACGGGTCGTCTTTGTTGGACGATTCGGGGAAATTGGCCTCGACCGCGTCCAGTGCCGAAAACGACCAGAAAGCCTGGTCATCCACACCCATACTTCGCGACTGGTTGGGAGGGTTGAAGTTGTCGTCTGGACCTCGCTGGAATTGCAGCGCCTGAGTAACGACAGGATTGTAGGTTGTGTCGTTGGTATATTGCCAGTAGTTGATCAAGGCTCCCCACATGGCACCGGCTTCCCACCAACAGTAGACTTCGGGATTGTTGGGGTTGCAGCTCAAGGAGCCCGGAAGCAGACCTGGAATCCCGCCGGTTTGGTTCCCAGTGTAGGTTGTCATCATGTCGTAGGCGATGGTGGAGGCGGCCGACTTGATCGAGGAAACGGAGCTCACATCGACGGTAATTGCGGCCACCAGGGGTGCGAATAGAAGGAACGGTAGTCTCATTTTCGACAAGCGGACGTATGTGATTCAACGATGGAAAGAAGTCCAATAGTGAGAATTTTGCTTCTTCAACAATGGAGAGGAGTATATGTATATCGAGAGGGCGCAGTCATCAGGGCCAGTAGTGAGAAAATGAGCACCGCAAGTGAGGTCTGAGATCTGTCAGGGGCTCTGCAGATGGCCCTGCGCAATTCGATACGCGAATGAGGCTGGCGCGAGGTGACGAGACCAGGTGGCCGGATAGCCGGTATATGCAATAATATAAGGCAACAAATATGGTATAGAAAAATATAACGAAGGAAAGAATCACAACCGTCTTGTCTACCAGAGTTTCAGGAGGCGGCACATCGGCCGCTTAACAGATGTCGAGCAAAGCTGGAGGTCCAAGTTGCGGAGGTGTCGAAGAAACTTGGAATTGAAGTATAGGGTCATGCTAGTAGTGATAGTTTCTTAGTACTAGTACCTCATGTAATTGTTATTTTAGTTGCACAGCCCCCGGAACCACTGGCATGGCATGGGTCCTGTAGCCGATGCGGCACTGAGCTCACAGTCGAACTGGAACAGGAAATGCGGTGGAGGGGAGGATGTGCGCAAAAAGTGTTTGAAGCTGTGAAAGTGCTTGCCAGACGGCGAATGAGAGGCTGGAGGCGAGCGAGCAGAAGGAAGCAAAACGCGTGGATGCTCCACCCCGACGGGCATCTGACGGGCACGAGTGGAAAACTGATGGGCGGTCGATGGGTTTTTGCTGAGCTTGGAGGGCCGAAGGGGGTCTGGGAGAGACCTGGGATAGGCCTGGCATGGGTGTTGACGGCCGTGATGGGCCTGGAGGGTCGAGTCTGCCTCTTCCTTCCAGCTCCACTTGTCTTAGATTTGGCCGCCCGCCTGCGTTTTGTAACATCTGGCGCTCAATCTCCCGGTCTCAGCTGTCACCGGCGGTGCACGAGAGGTAATCGTATAGCAAGAGCAGTTGACTGACAGCCTCAAACAGGTGCGGTGACATTCAGTCTTGTCTTTGGCGACGGTATACAACAGTGTACAAGCACTCCAAGTTGTCGGTAACTTGAAGAGCCTCATACTGTCCTACTTGGGCATTATTGGCACCCAGCCCCGCGGAGTCCGTGGCATCTTGGCCGCGCCGAGCTTGAGCTGGACCTCCGTACTACACAGGAAGCTGTATTTTACAGTAGTAGTTGGTGCTCAGGCACAATAACCTCGAGCAGTGTTCTACCGACAACGTGAATGGGATTGTGCACCCTCCTAACTTGAAGTCGTTTTGTTTAGGTACTGTAGGTACCTGCAGCACAAGATGGCCACTGCAGTCAGCCAGAAGCACCCTCCCTGCTCAGGGGTACAACGGCCGATCAATCCGGCGCCGTCAAGTTCCCGGGTCTGGTCTCTGACCCGGCAGAAACGGTTGCTGAAACTGTGCGAGTGTTGCGTTGCAACTGCAGCAAAGTAACCGTCTACTATAGTGGTACTGTTAATCGGCAGCCAGTAATGCAGCATCCCCTGGCAGTAGCAGTAAATAATGGTGACAATCGGCCAATCCATCCCCGCCATGTTCATCATCGCAAACATGAACTCCCCTCTGCAAGGCCCGTTCCCAAAGATGGTCAACCGAAACCGGCTACCTTGGTTCCCCTGCTCGTATTAGGCTGCTCCCGCCCGAGACTTAAACGACGGTCCTTCCTCCAAGGCAGACACGACAATCCCATCAAGAAGGCTGAGCCTGGTTTCGATGTCATCAGTGGTCCTCAAATTGATGAGACCTACTGGTAGATGAGCAATACGGGCAGACACTGGACATGGCGGACGGTTCAGACAGGAGACATGCAGCTCCCATTTTGCAACAAAAAATCACCCGATTTGTCGGGCTGATATGAAGCACTTGTAAATCAACACTTTCATACCAACTTGAACGGTGGGTATGTTCTCGTCATGTTGGCCTACTTACTAAACAACCAGCCTGGATATGGAGCTCACACACTGCACGCAAGACCTTCCTCCGTGCGCCAATCATGCCGTTTGTCGCAGTAAAACAACCATTTTCCGAATAAATATCTTCCCTAGTATTTGGTAGCATCAAACTATCCAGCTGCCGTGTCGCAACTGACAGTAGTGCAAGGCGTTCATGGTCTCATTTTGAGCAGGTAATAATATCGCCTGCTGCGGATTGTCAAGGCCGCGTCGTGTTCAGTGGATGTTTGCCGGGTTGAGGGCACCCAGCATTGCCTTTTTGTCGGTAGAGCCGGGGAGCCAACTTGATCCTTGATCACTCTCAGGGGCAATACTTCCCTCAATCCTTCGTCTAGCTTCCTGTCGTTCCTCTTGTGTAATGGAGCTTTCATCTTTCTTCATGTCTGGTTTATGTGGCTCGACGTGCGGCGAGTGGCCCACGGACATGCCGACCCGGACCTGCTCATGTGTGAGTGTCGCATCCCTTCCTTCAACACCCCGTATTCGGAGTCGTCACTTACCAAAGTCTCCAGAGCTCCCTTACTGTTTTCAACCAAATCTTCGTCATAGACCATCTTGCCGGGTTCAAAGAAAAGAAGGATGGTGCTGCCACCGAACTTGAAATACCCCAACTCCTCCGCCCGCTTGACCCGCTCTCCTGGCTTTCGTGTAATCACTGTAGAACCGACCATCATGGCTCCAATGCAGACAACCATTACTCGACCATGAGCCACCGAGTCGATCGGAACAAGCACGCGGACATTCTCACCATAGACGTCTAGGGCCGATCTGATCGCCATGGGATTCACGGTGTAATATTCGCCCTCGATGGGCTTTGGTGTGCCCAGGGTGCCATCAACCGGGATGTGGAAACGGTGATAATCTTGTGGCGCAAGACGGAAGATGCCCATACTACCCCCTTTGTACCGTTTTGTCTCCAGAGGATACGCGTCGCCAAACAGCTTTTCGAGACTGTAATCCCTGCCCTTGACCCAGATCCGCGTGGCATCTTCAATAGTGTTGAAGACCACCGTCCGACAATCTGCCGGAGACACAATGATTTCTGGTCGGTCAGGGGCGCTGCAAGGTCGAGCACCCGGCTTCAGAGCTCGATAGAAGAATTCGTTGAAGTTCTTGAACTGGTCAACGGGCAATAGGACTTCCGACATGTCCAGTCGATGAAAGGCGATGAAAGGTTCGATCTGAGCCACCGAGGCAGGATCGTCATATTTCTTGCCCTGCTTAATGGACAGTGACCGCAGCAACTTCTTGATGCGTTTCTTTTCCATTTCCCGCGCGCCCAGTGCCTTGTAAAGCAACCGAATGCCAATCCGAACGTAGACAGACATGCGTTCTTCATTGATCTGACCCGTAAGGCGATCCTGGACAAGAATGTTCGCGCTGTTAGCGCCTAGCTTGTATCCACCATAACTGATCTTGGTGATGACTTTAGAGTACCATTTGCGCTGCGCCTGGCTGGAAGTAACAAAGCCACCCATGACCAGGTTGTTCACCTGCCGCCAATCTGAGCTGGCGCAGGTCGCAAGGTGGGTGATTATTTCTGCCTCTGTCCGCCTGTTCAGATCGGGCTGGTGGCAGATTGGGCATTCTCGGATTTCAATCACATGTTCTTCCTCGTCCCCTTCATCGAGTAGGTCGTTCGGAAGAAGCTTTCCCTCCTCCCCTGCGGAACCAGTTTGACGCTGTTCAATGGTAGAGACGCCCGACAACCCCGAGTCGCTTTCAGTCTTGGTCAAGGAAACAGGTTCTTGGGTGTTCTGACCGCTGGACCCGAAGCTGTCTTTAATTTTATCTGTAAATGACTTTTTGGAACTGACTCTCTGCAATTGCTCTTCAAGGCAGATGACGGCTTGGTCAAAAGTTAGATCTTCCTCTCCAGCGTCCCCATTCTCCGACGCAAATCTCTCAAAGAACCTATCAATGGTCGACTCTTTCAAGGTCGAGCCTAGCGTGTCAAGCATGGCCATGAATTCGATCTTGCTGATCCGTTTGCTGTCATCAGTGTCATATTGTTTCAACATGGCTCTCCAAAACTGCTGTCTGAGCGCCTTGTAGGGCAAGTACCGTGCACGGATGTGCAGTTCTGGATTGTGCTTGGCTTCCCACCTTTCTTTGTTCTTCAGTTCCAAGGGGATAACGTACGAAGCCATGGTAGGGTCATCCGCAGATTGAACCACGGCACTATCCACGGGCGGCCCTGGAACTTTCAAGGTGTTTCCGCTAGTATCTGTCGGAGCACTTGTCGGCGCTGGTGGACGGGCTGTTTCATTGACGCTCGTGCTCGACACTGATGATTGAGAATCATCCCTCTTGAAACTCGGTCGTGACAACTTTGATAAACTGCTGGCGGAAGAGGTGCGCGATAAGGGAATGCGAAATCTCGATTTGCCCTCTTTTTGTGCCATGGCTGGCGAATATTCCGGAGGGTCGGGGAGATCATAGAGACCAGTGTCTGGGTCTTCTTCCGGGCCAGATTGAATGATCTTCTGGATCGGGAAGGTGGTGGACGCAACAAAGTCGTTGCCAGACAGCTTGTCACGGTCAATGACAGTAAACGTCAAGGAGTAGCCAGTTTCCTGTCGCAGGATCTGGAAGACCATCTTCTCATTGAAGATTGGATTGAGATTATGGCGGATAACCTTTGTCCTGAAAACCTTCCGACCCAAGGCGATAACCACGAACGGGTCCATGTCGAAAGATGTCCTCGTCATATTGCGTTCAGGAGGCAGGTCGGTGATCTTGACAACCTCGAGGAAAATAACACCGTTAGTGTCGTTGTCGGCGCCAAGGAAGTTGTATGCTCTTGCTGCGATGGATTTGCGGCGGAGGCGGGCCAGTCTTCTCTTCTTCGCTTTCTTGTCCACTACTGTACTGGGCTTTTGCGTGGTATCGCTCTCAGTGACCGACTCGAGATCCTCGTCCAGATCATCTACCTCCTCGTCACCGATTTCGTTGTCTATGTTCGTGGGCGCACGTGAGAGATCGTCGTCCTCGTCTTCGGCCCCTATGTACGCCTGAAACTTTCTCCTGATCTCCTCAGGGCTGGCCGAAGGGTTTGCCGAATCAACAATGGAGAACTGCATCAGCACCTCTCCCGAAACAGTGCTCCCTTTTTTGGTGGACCTGCGTGATTTAAGTCTGTACCATTTTGGCTCTTGCTGTATCTGGCCATTAGCAAAGATGTCTTCAATAGGAATATCAAATTCGCCCATGTAGTCTTTGCCAAATCTATCTTTGTCCCAGCAGATGCACTCAAGCAGAGGTACGCCAGTTAGGGGCATATCGAAGCATATCTTCCATTCCGGATTGAGGGTCTTGGGTATTGAAGGGGTGCTCTGCTTGGAGTTTCCAAGGGTCACAACGAGGTACTGAAAGGTTAGCAGGATCCAGCATTTCCGAGCGGCAGAAGACTCACAGGGTCAGACGTCCCGGATTTGTCTTTTGCCGCGAGGTTCCGTGCCTACGAGGACTGTTAGCGAGCCCGTGCAATGTTCAATGTTCGTAGATGTAGTACCTTGATCACATAGACCTTTAGAATCAGCGGCTTTTGGTCAACTTGTGTGTTTAAGCTGGTGCTGCTCGCGTTATTTGGCGGACTAGACCTCTGACTACCTTCGCCATTGGAAGCTCCTCCTTGCTCATGTTTTTTGTGGCCAAGGTGGCTGATAGTCCGGACTAGGGGTATGTGCACCATGATGATGTGTTGCTTGGGAGAGGTTCAGAGTAGTCGGTACGGCCGGAATTGGTGTACAAGTAGTCGATTTGGGAAGACGTATGGTCTGCACCTTCCTGGGCTCTCGATGCAACAGAGCCGAAGAACGTGAGTTGCAGAGATAGATCAGAGTTGAGAGGGGCCAGTCGGCCAGGGTCAGCCGCAGGCAGTCAACGAGCGGAGGAACCACGCCTGAACTTGAATGTTGCCGCAAGTCAGGGGTTTCACGGTGTTTTGATGGTATGTACGAGGCAAGAAATCATCAAATGTATAGGACCAAAGAGGCACCCGCCAAAAGGACTCTCTACTTGCAGTTGTTGCTTGTCAGGTGCGATACGACATCAATACTAATGCATGCCGGCGTTGTTTTGTACACACCGCGAAGCGCTTCATAATTTATGATGCCATAGCGGTGATAGCGCTGGCACTGCCAACTCGACCCGCAACTGCAAGCCCCTCGCCGCCGAAAGCTTCGTTTTGCCGTCACCGTCTCCGAAATACAATGGTCGAAGTGCATGCGTAACACTGCCACTCCCGATCGAGAGAATTAGCACGTTTCATTTATTGCCAGTTCAACCTTCACGTTGATAAAGGACTTTGTCCGATTGCAGTCTCGGGCGCCTGGCCTGGCCACGAGGGTTAGAAGCGCCAGGCTTATGCTTTACTGCAGTTGATTGCTTTCCAGTACCACCACAGCACCGTGGCTCCTGGTACTACCAGGGAGGATCGGCCCTAGAACCAAGCGAACCTACTGGTACTTTGACCACCGATATGCCTACAGGTACATTGTATACCCAATCCACTCAGTGCAGAGAATCAGGCAACTCCCTTCCACTGTAGGTACTGTACATGTATGTGTACTTGTCCTTTGCTACTCGCCAGAAGAACGGGCTTAGACATTCCATCATCAATGTTAACCGTTCGAGCTTTATGATCCGGTAGCCGATGTGAAGACAGATCCGAGCCTCTCACTGACTGGAGAGGCTCCCATCATTAAAGGATTGATGTCACTTCCCGGGTGCAGCTGAGGTGCTAGTCTCTACATTCACGCCCTCGCCGGCAAAATCATGATCGCTCTCAGTCTGATATCTGCAACCTGCATCTGAAGGACAGTTCGCCGTCAATAATCGCAGTACTCCAGTGCACATACAACTGCAGGCAGTACTAGTTGTATTCCCTGAACAGTGCATGCAAGTTCATGAGATACCTAGTACTTAGGTAGGTAGAGTCCCCAGACGGCCATCAAAAGCGGCGGGACCCGAATGCTTGGCAGGTCCCGACCAGCGCCGGCAAATGTAAACACTCCAGGACTGGCACTGGCTGCATTGGGGAGACAGCCCGCGATCCATGCCAAAGCAGGTCTGCGAAAGTACAACAACCTACCAACAAACCTCTGCCCCAACCCACGCAGACACGGGTTGCGCGCGGTTTCGAATCACTCGTTAGCGGAAGCATTCTTAAAATGAAAGTCGACCACAATTGATACCGACGCAAGCGCATGCGCCCAACATCGCAAGTGCACGCGAAGCACCCGCGTCCTCGCTCCTCACCTATCCCCGAACAAGTATGCTCGTCGCTCGCCAGCCGCTACATCCACTCCCGATGTCATCCACCCAAAGGCCCGATCGAAGGTTAAGCGCACGGCTACAGGAAAAGGGTGAGCCGCCAGAACTCGTAACCCGGCCGCCGGTCAATGGAAATGCTGGCGTCCATGGGAGTGCGCCAGAGACGCGACGCGCCCAAGTCTCCGGAAGCGCGGACGACAGGAAAAGGAAGATGGGTGAGTTCAGACAATATTCAGAACCATGCGCGCAGCTCTTCTGATATTGTTGTTTTCAGGCTACGATGAGGAAGATGATGGCTTCCAGTTCAAGCGCGTCAAAAAGAAGAAATCCGAAAGCGTCAAAGTCAATCCTACGAAATCTAACGAAGAGGCACGAACTACCGTGCCGCCAGCTCGAGATCTGCCAGAAAGCGCAAGGCCGCCGGTAGAAGAAGAGGACCTCAAATCAAAAGCCAAGAGGAGACGGACCACCCGGCTATCATTTTCAACTCCTAAGTCAAGAGAAGATGCTCCTGTGCGTCGCTCGAAGAGGCTATCGCGCGATCATGAACAAAGAGATGGAAGTCCGAGCAAAAATATAGCAGACGGCCACCGGCATAAATGGAGGCAGCCTCCAGAAGAACGCCCCGCCAAGCAAACAGAGGCCGACAATGCGGTCAGGCCTACAGAGCCGAAGCAACATCTTATTGAAACAGGGGCTGATCAAGTTGGAAAGGGCCATGGAGGAGAAAATGTCCCCACACACCAGGAGGATTACTCTGCCACCAAAATAGCCCTTCCATTCGCCGACACACCAGTCATAAAGAGGAATAAAGCCATGCGCGAAGGAAAGGCCGGCAAGGGCGAAAGGAGAAGCAGTTTAAGTCTCCGAGGGCGGAGAGCCAGCTCGCTAATTGAGACGGGGAACTCCAATGGTAAGGGAGGTGAATCGGACAACAGAACCTGGGCTAACCATGGTCCAGCTCTTCCGCACAAAGAAGTTGAGGTGCATGATTTCTATAAACATATCGAGAGCGAAGGCCTTCCCGAACCGCGACGGATGAGGCAGCTGCTCACTTGGTGCGCCACACGAGCCCTTGACGAGAAAGTCATGGGGACGGGATTTGAGGATGCAAGCGCTCGGGCAGCCGGTACGTTGGCCCCAATACTTTCCCGTCACCGGCAGGCTAATCTTGACATAGCCCGCGTCGTGGAAGAAGAGCTACTGAAGGATCTCTCAAACAAGTCGGAGTTGTCTGACTGGTTCAATCGCGAGGATATTCCTGTCCAGCAAAAGCCCCTTCCCGAAAGACCCAATCCCAAAAATCTTCAAAATATCGAAAAGATCGCCGAGTTAGAAGAACAGATCAAACGGTCAGTTTTGCTATGTAACCCAAGTTCTTTACGAGCGGTGCTAATCACTCCCGTAGACTTCGAGCAGAAAAGGATGCATTGGAATCATTATTGGAACCACCTAAAGTTCCTCGTTTGAGCGAGCTTGATGCGCCTACGGGACCTGAAGACCAATCACTGGATAAATCGCTACTCTCTGATGCCGATATTGCAGCACTCGAAGCATCTGCTGCTGCCCGCGAGACCTCGTTTGGACAAATATCCGAACGGCTAAATCGACTTTATGAATCGTTGAGTCCGACGGTCGATACTTTTGCGGACGGCATCCATGCGATCGGTCAGTATCGCCAGGCCGCGGATAATGTAGCGGGCAGGGTGTTATCGCTATGCGCCCAAAGACTTGCTCAGCGTGAGCACGAAGGGAGAAAGAGGGTGTTATCCGGAACAGAGGGCACTCCCCCAAAAGACCTTGGCGGCGTGTTACGCAGTCTGAGTCGAGCGGACAGATGATGACGACGCTTTCATGCCTGCTCTTTGGATATTCGCATATGAATGAATGCTTAATGAACGTGCAAAAAGACACTACCAGTCTCGTGAACCTCGAGACAGGCCGTACATTTCGTCTCAAGAGCTACACTAGTATCTAGGAGTACTAGTCGGTGCAGCGGCTGGCGACAGGCACTCGTGATAAGTACCTGGGTAGGTAGTAAGCTGCCCTGGTAATACTACAGAGTCGCAGATGGGACCGAATTTGAAGTTAGGACTGATACCTGCCGAGCCACTGGCATTTCACAGCCTCGCTTCTTCAGCCACACGCGTCATCGACATGAAACATTGTATGACCTCAGATCCTAGGTAGATCCCTCCACTGCCAGTGTTCCCCGCTGTGCAACGCCAACTTGAACCTGACCAGATCGTCGAAAGCCTCAGTGGCAGGCCTGCTAGATGGCGGGTAAAGCTTGGTAAAGCCTTCAGTGATTGATCACCGATTCAAGTTTGACGCACCTGCAACCATCCGCGAACCACTTGGCGAAGGAACTCGCCATCCAGTCGTTTGTATGGAAGCTTGCCACACTCCAACAAATGTACGTTGTAAAGCGTCATGTCTCACGTACAACTTACGGGTAGGCCATATGATCAACGCAGATGCCCTGCTTTTCATTCTGAAACATTAATATTTTACCATCGCTGCTTCCTTTTCCAAAGAATAGTTCCAACATCCTCCTACTAACTGGCAAGAAGCCCTTCTGACCTGCCAACACCACCACTGCTAGTAATCACTTCTTACTTCAAGTTCACTGGCACTTTTGATCCTCATCACCACTGTGCTGCATCTAGTACTGCTGTAGTAGTACACGCTTTCGTACTACATACCTCAAGATCTGACCGACTACCTACCAGCTTCGCCAAAAACAAAAGACGACACTCCAACAACAGTCTCGGAAGGCATACATTCCCCGTCACTTCTACCACACCACACTACTCCTACAACAGCTCTGGAATCGCCGTCTTTGAGATTCATCACTCCTACGGTGCGAAGCAGACCACAACAATCGATTACAGCATCTGCACCCGAACTCAACATCTAGCAATGCCTCTGCTCTACACGAAGAACTGGGGTGGTAAACATGTCGGCGGTGGCGTCAATGTCAGCCGTCACGGGGTGAGGAGGAACCCTTTTAGAATCTCGCTTGGGCGGTTCAGCTGCTTCAGATAAACGTCACAACTGCGAATGGACTACCCAGCGCGTTATCTTGTCTGGGATTATGGCCGAGGGAGAAAGGAGAGGGGAGGAGAGATGAGTCGCGGGGGCGAAGAAAACCTACTACAACGGCATAGTGTTATGGTGATTCGGGTAAGCAAGGCTACAGTATGCTTTGAGAATGGTCCAGGAATGAGCCTGGCTAGAAATGACGACGATATGATTATAGGAGGGCTTGCTGAAGAGGGAGCATGGCTCACTACAATCCATTCTGTGCTTGCAGTGTATAATACCTCGAGCTTCTCCTTAACCAAGTAGTTCGTGTTCCCAAGGATAACCATCTCTGTTGCCCAGCTCTGCAGCGAGAACGCGGACGACTCCCTAGGTGCCATTACCGCTGAGAGGTAAAATGGTCGTACTGCTTTTGCATGTCTTGATTCGTACTTGATTCAGCTGGTCCATCATGAAATCCGTCAATTCGACTGATCATTCTCAATCCACAGCAAGTTTCTTCGCGGGCTCTTCGCTCCCTGCCGAGGTCGTTGATGGGGTTACTTTGGTGTTCTGTCCGCTCATCGCGAGGTCGTCTTCTTCGTCCCAGGCATCGTCGGGAACATTCTCGTCCCAGTTATCTAGTTCTTCCTCCATTGTTCTATTCACGACTCCGGTTTCTTGATGGTCGTCTGTGGAGGATCCAGGTCCGTGGTGAACACCCTCACCTAGCTCCAGATCTTCGCCCTCGACGCCGTCGCCCGCAAGAGCTGAGAACTTGGCTCTTCTACGTCTTTCGGCTGCGCGTCGATGATATGCGCTTGCTAGACCCAACGCCGCAAGACTGCCTACCACATTGGCAAGGACATCCCAGGGGTCGAATTCGCGATCATTGGGCAGCAGGTGTTGAGCGACCTCGCTTCCCACGCCCAGACACAGGGTGCATACTACCAGCGTAAGGTGAATGACCCGTCTGCGACTGGTGTCGAGGATGAAGTAGAACGTTGCGGTTAAGGCGAAGAAGAATATAATATGAAGCGCCTTGTCCGACTGCCGTGGGATATATGGTTGCGCGGCCGCAGGCGTGGAGGGGAGTGAGGAGTACGGCAGCAGACCGATGGACGAAGAGAAGACGAGGAGGACGACGAAGGCAACTAGCAACACAGTGTTAGCGTTTCAACTCATCCAGGCCGGCGAGCCACAGGGAGGAGACATACTTGCAAAAGGAAAGCGGATTCGCATGGTCGTTATGTTATCGAGGGTGCTGGATAGTACTGTAATCTGGTGCTGTGCTTTCGGCGGGTTGGGTGCAGGCTGCCGGCTCGCTGCCAGCTTCAGAGGAACACTGGCATCACCCGAAGCAGCGAGCGGAGAGATCGTTCTTGTTGAAGGTTCGCCCTAGACGCGAGTACCTACTAGTTGAGAAGGAAATAAATGGGCGACCGTCCGTTTATTAGACGTTGGCGGTTTCGTTGGTTCGGGTTATTAGCTTTGAGTACATGGACGGTACATGTAGCAGTTAGGTACATAAGAGCAGGCCACTACTACTACTGCTGCTGCTGGCACTGCAGTGTCAGCGACTGAGGCTCGGCAGGCGCGCGCTGCAGTAGACGCACTACGCCCAATCGGCCAAACGTTTCTTTCAACCTCAAGCCTCCCATTCTGCGAGCATCACACGTCAGAATCGCCGGATTAATTCATCACACAACGCCGCCCATCCATCGTTTTTGGTCTCGATTTCATCAGATTTGGATTCAGCGGCCTCGAATTATCATCTGTACACGTTTTTGAACGTGTCCGACCCCGTGTCTCGCCGTCGCAGGGCGCCGTCCAAACTGGAGTGTCCGCACCCCTCGCTCGCCAGTCGGGGGTTGGCACGGTCATGTCCTTAACATGGCCGCCCCCAAACAGCCAGAAACCACCGGACGATGAACCTCTTCTGCATTCCCTCCATCGAGACAACCTAAATGGATTGCTGCGAGCGCCTTCTCGGCCACATACCCCCACTCTATCAAGACTGCGCAGTCTCGGTGGTGGCTCGCAGTCCGTTCAACCTGCAGATCCAGAACCGAGTGTTGAGGAAGACCCGCAGGTCGTCCGCTTTCGCGCATTGTTCCAGGAGACGGAAAGCAAACTTGCGAACCTCTTCAATGATGTTGGAGAGGTCGTGGTCCCGGAGAGGAGCGCAGACCTCGACGCGCCCGCCTTGGTTGACGCGCCCCACGTTGTTGAGCCAGCCCCAGTCGCTGCCCCCATATCGAAAAAGCGCAAGTTAGACGACGTTGACTACGACGACTATGACGACGACGACGACGACGAAGAGGAGGAACAGGAGACCGATGCTGCTCGTGCATCTCCACTCAAAGACAAGCCAAACAAAGTCCATCTCGTCGCCGACGGCACCTCGTCGCCTGTCGCTAGACCGGCGCCCCCATCGAGAAGCGCTTCGGATTCTGTGAAGGCCCCCCCGAAGACTGCTGCGGCTAAGCACACCGCGGATGCTGAAGATGCTCGGAAAAAGCTGGAGGAAGCGAAGCGGGAAGAAATCGAAATGGTAAAGACACTGTCACGGACAATGTTCTTCACCCTAGAAGACGACCGGGATGCAATGCTGGATCAACAACGCCTTGATGAAGCCGAACGCAGAGCAGAAGCCGAGGCTGAAGGACAGGCCAAAGGCCAGAATGCATCGGCGCAGCAAGGCAGTCTCAGCAAAGCCAACCTCGGTGCTTCGAGTCTGACGTTAAAGAACCTGATCGCCCTCTTGGACGAACATCGTTCTATGGTCCACGCAACCGAATCGGAGCTGCGTGCTTTGATGAGTGAGGTCCGCAAAAACCGGAGTAAATGGGCAAGTGAGGACAAGATTGGTCAAGAAGAACTGTACGAGTCGGCCGAGAAGGTCCTGACTGAACTGAAAGCTCATACGGAGCATTCTTTCCCTTTCCTTAATCCTGTCAAGAAGAAGGATGCACCTGACTACTACCTCGTCATCAAGCATCCAATGGATCTGGGCACCATGACCAAGAAATTGAAGCAGTTGGCGTACAGGTCCAAGAAGGAATTCGTCGATGATCTGTATCAGATTTGGAAGAACTGCCTCAAGTTCAACAGCAATCCCGACCACGTCTTTCGCAAACATGCGCTGTTTATGCAGAAGGAGACCGATAAACTAGTACCCCTGATTCCGGACATTGTGATCCGTGATCGGGCAGAGGTTGAGGCTGAAGAGCGAAGGCAGCAGATCGCCAATGGAGAACTCGATGACGGCGCCGAGGAAAGTGACGACGAACCAATCATGTCATCCCGCGGTCGCAAGGCACCCAAAAAGAGCGCCAAAAAGGGCGGTTCCACCTCGCGGAAAGCACCACCTGAGACAACGCCTATCCCCGAGACCAAACCGGTCCTGCAGTCGATTAGTTCGGTACAGCAGCAGGGCATTCGAGCAGAATCCGAGGCCGAAGGGAGTCAAGGTCAGTCGACACCTCCTCCGGGGATATTGACGCCTATTGGGGCCCACGGTCCTGGCAGCGTCGCTGGAACCGGCAGTGAAGCCATGGATATGGACGTGCCGGGCCTGCCCTCACAAGCGCCGTTGCCTGAGTATGAGGATGAAGAGTACAAGCTTTGGAAGCAGAAAACGAAGAAGGACCGGGCCATGGTGGCTGCGGCCCGGCACAAGCTCTTCAGGGGTGACAAGCTGAACGCGGAAGAGACTGCCTTGCTACGTACTAAGGCTGGCATGCGTCGTTGGCAACGCATGCAGCAGGAGGCTTCCGGTAAAGACGTCTCCGATTTCCACGGTGATGGGGCCGAACGCGAACAGCAAGGCCAGACCCTTGCTGAGGGCATGGAAGCTGAGGAAGAGAACCTACTTCCGGATTACTATGACCCTCTCTCTGCCATACCCGACCTGGAGCCGCGCCTCAGGTGGGAGCAGGATGCGGAAGGTCATGTCATTGAGCATTGTGAAGAGTATCTGCGGCTTTTTCCCCCAAAGCAGTTTGTTGCCCCTGAGAGCAAGCTTGCTCGAAAAATCCAGTCAAACATGCGGCAGATGCAGGAAACAAGGAAAGTCGTTTCAAAAATCGGCGTGGTCAAGCAGATGCAGCTCCAATCGCAGACCTATCAGAACCAATTTCAGAAGTATCAACCGGAGCCCTTTGTGGAAGCCGACCTACCCAATCATGTCATGTCGGATGCTGGCCCCTTGATGGCGCCTTGGGTATGCAGAGCAGCATTTCAGCGCTCGATCGGCCAGATCTTCTTCCATGCGGGATTTGAAGAATTCCAACCTTCTGCTTTGGACACTATGACCGATTTGGCGGCGGATTTTTTCCAGCGTCTTTGCAGCACTTTGGTTAATTACAAAGAAGATTACAAGGTCCCCGTCACCACTTCAGTCCCCGCCCCCGCTGGAGTCAGGTCCAAGGCGAACACGGTATACCAGACGCCCTCCACTGATGAGGAAGCCATATTGCATACCCTACATTCTAGTGGAATCTCCTTGAGCGATCTGGATACCTACGCTCGTGAGGACGTGGATCGTATGGGCGCACGCCTGGCCATTATGCATGAGCGTATGAAAGGACATCTGGCAGATCTCCTTCGGCCTGCCTTGTCAGAAGACACCGCTCACGGTCAAGGCACATTTGCTGATGGAGGCGAGCAATACGTGGGCGGCGATTTCGCCGAGGATCTAGACGAAGATTTCTTCGGATTCCGAGAACTCGGTCTCGACAAAGAATTCGGCATGGCCAGCCTTACAGTACCCTTCCACATTCTGCAGAATCGACTTGGTATGGTGAATCCGCAGGCCAATGCGGAAGATGCCGCGGAGAAAATGTTCAAGGAACCGCCTCGATGGCCGCGCATCTCTGCCGACAACGTCGACGAACAGATTGGTCTCATCAGAGATTTCTTTAAGAATCTTTTGCGTGAGAACAATAACCGGCCACTTACCGAGGATCTGGATCTTCCACCAAAACAACGGCCAGCGGCAAGATCGGTGACGGAACCGTGAAGAGCAACACGAGTCCTCTGAAGAAAGGCCCCGTCAAAAACGTGAATGCTCCCGCTGGCGCATCCAGCAAAGCCGGCGGCGCTGCCACAACTGGGGACAAGGGAAAGAGGAAATCGGTTGTGGTCAACGGTGCCGGGGCTGGCGGAGAAGATAATAATACGCCGGTCGTCAACGGTGTCAACCCGTCAAGTCCTGGACCAGGAGGAGACGGCAGTCCTGAGAAGAAGCAGGTTACCTTCAAGGGCAAATTGACATCGGCTGCCTCCACGTCCACGTCTGACGCGGCCAAGGGTTCAGACAAGCCGCCACCACCGTCCGGGGCAACGTCGACTACACAGCAGAACGGTCATTCGAACGGGAATGCCAATATCAATGCCAACAGCAACTCGTCGGAAGCGAACGGCGTTGCAAAGGTTAATGGCGTCGTCGATGGAGAGACGAGCATGATGAGTCCTGAGAGCTTGTAGACGATTACTGTAATTGCATTGCACTGGCAAGAGTAAAACGAACGTACTGTTTGTCTTTTGCAAAGGCTAGCCCGCCCCCTTCTCTGCACGCGTGTTTTGGCATATGCGGCATATCGTGCGGGCTTGACTTGGGAAAACCCCTTATTACGGGGTTCTCATTTACGGTAGTAATGAATGTACAGACATGATGATATTATTACCACTCCACTAGCATCCTATGATCTTCCCGTCGGTGAGGCTGAGGATAAAATCGAGAACCCTCAAGGGGAAGAAACTAATAAAAGTCCGTACCATTCATTCGTATGTACAGTACTTGTACTACCACAGCACGAACCAACAAGCACCGAGCACTCGCTCATCCTCTTCTGCGCGAGAAAAGAAACTCGGCTCCCATCTGCCAGTGCACCCAGACCCATGCATGGCTCGACGTAGATCTAGATTGTACCCAACCCCAAGTCTATCCACCTCCATACCTTGCCTACCTACCTCTGGCAAATTAGGTAGCTGTCAGGTAGGTAGGTAGATCGTTTTAAAACCCCTTGGGCTTGAGTGAGGAGGCCAGAGTAGAGTAAAGTAAGGCATATCGCATGGACCACCTGGACAAAGAAGGTCCCCCAAGGGGGCGTGATGGTGGCAGATATATCATGTCATGCCATGCCGCCCACGCGGAGCAGATGACACTCGGCATCCATCATATCACTTGTCACTTTTCCCAGGCACGCTCAGATCCGGCCGACCCGCAGAGCGAACCAGCCCTAGAAACCAAATTCAATCCGATCGGGACTAATTGAGTAGACTGGACTGGACAAGTTCACAAGCAAGCTGGCACGGGTTCCGTAAGCCAAGCGAAAGGGAAACTGTATCAAGAGAAATAACTCCGCACGGTTGCCTGGCCGTCTGGCGAGAGGGACTGTAAGATCTGGTCGGCGTTAATGCCGGTCTGGGCGACCATCTGCTTGGCGCTTTCGACGACCTTTTTGGCCGTCTGTCCCTGGATCGTCTCGGCCTCAAGAGCCAATGCGATATGGTGGAAGACCTGCTGTGCTTTTGCAAACACGGCCGGGTTTTGTCTATGAGTAGAATGTTGTTAGAATTCATATTCTCTCCTGGTTTTGAAAAATGGAAGCAGAATGGGAAATGGAAGTTGACTTACTGATCAATCAGCTGTGCCACAAAAGAGTAGGCGTAAGGCGCAGCCTCCTCGTCGTTGACAACAGGGAGAGTGTCGAGCCATTGCTCCACGACTTGCTGCGGATTCGGGACTTTGGAGGAATTGTAATGCAGGATTTTGGCGATGGCCGCACAGGCGTTTTCCGTGGCAAAGACCTCGTCTTCGCCTCTGGCATTGGGCACCCGGGTGATTTGGAAAAGCGTTTCGAGACTGGCGGCCACGAAATCGGACCATTGCTCGCCACCCTTTTGAGCGGCAATGCCGACACCATATGCGGCGGCTTGTCGGTTCGCCGCATTCTCGTCTCTCATGCCATTGATCAGCGGCTGGATGATATGGTCGCTGTACTGCCATGACTGAGGGCCACAGAACTCCAGCACATCGTCCATGATGCAGATGGCCCACTGTCGCTGCGTCGGGTCACTGTTAGTGATGAACGCGTCGTAGTACGGCATCAGCGTCTGCCACGGGCCCAAGAAGTTGGGGCCCATGTTTTTGAAGATGGTATGGAACGCCTTGTTCATGTCTGACAAGAGCGTCTGGTCGTCCTCGATCGCATACTGGACAGTCAACGAGTCGTCATCCTCGTCAGCTCCTTGCTGCGAATATTCGGCCTTTTCCTCGGCACGTTCCTGCACGCGTTTTTGGTACTCCTCCAACGTCGATTTGACAGACTGGATGAACAGATTCATGTGATCTTGTGTCAAACAGTTCTTGCCCACCACTTCGACGCTTTCATAGAAGCACTGGTACATCTCCGCCAAGGTGTCCACGGCTGGCTCTGCACTGAGGATCTCAATCTCCTTCTCGCAACACTTGGCCCACAGCTCCCGAAGTTGAGGCGACTGGTCACCGTAGGCTTTCTTGTATGAGTTTAGTAACTGAGGGATCAATTTTGCCGATGCCACCCTAACAGGATCATGGAAGAAAAACGCGAGCCCAGGAAGTGCAATACGCTCTGCAATATCGGCCACGTAGGGCGCGAAATCGGCCTCCAGGATCTGTGCATAGATGGTGATCAATTCGATCGCCGTGTTTTTGTCTTCCAGGGTGGATGTCTTGATGCCGATGACTTTGCCCTTCAGAGGAACCAACTCCCAGCCATCCTCCTGGTCAAGTATGTCGTCCTCGCTGTCGATCAACTGGATGTCGGCTTTGGCAGAAGCAAGCTCAAGCAAAGGCGGCATGACTCCTGGAAGGTATGGGACGAAATCGCTGCCCAGAACTCGACACATCCTGCCCCAGCAGTGTAGGAGATACTGAGCCTGTGGATCATCATCGTCGGTGATGTTTTGCTGGATATTACCCAAGGTCTGGACAAGCGTGATGCCGTCTTGACCCATCTTTTCCTTCCCAACGGCCAGAGCGATGAGGGTGGCACACTCCATGGCCTTGGCCCGGAGTAGTCTGTATTCTTTGGACTGCTCAGACTGCAGGACGCCAAACAACAGGGGCATCAGGGTGTCATAGTAGCGAACGAAAGCACTTTCTGCAGAATCGGCAATGGTAGCAATCGTGGACAGAGCTTGTTCTTGGACGTAACGTTTAGGTGATTGCAGCAGTTGTAGCAGATGTCCAAGAAGCTGGTCGAGGTACGGTTCCAAGATCGCTTTCTCCGCCTCCTCGCAGAAGTTGACCAGTGCCGCTGCAGCGTGCGCTTGAACCCGTGGTTCCGGCGCCTCAAGCACGGGTATGATGTTGGTCAGCACAACCTGGTGATATTTCTCTTGCATCGGTCCAGCGAAATCGGTACTCATTTGTCCCAGAGCGTTACAGCCGGCGAACCTGACCCGTGGATGCGGATCGCGCAACGACGGGACGACCAATTCCAGAACTTTGTCGAGTTCGCCGATCATCAGGTCTCGGCACCCTTCAGAAATTGCCGAGATGGCCATTAGAGCAGCATGTCTATCTCTCCACGAGGCAGAGTGCATCATCCGCGGCAACCAAGTGAAGGTCGCAGGCAGCATGACCTGTCCACCCAACTTGTTCGCCAACCGATCCATGCACTGCTCACCTGCAACATGGTTCATGTCACTTTCTTCCATGTCGAGGTCTTCATTTGCATTCCATTCCGAGGCGTCGTCATCGTCTATCCCGATATCCGTCATCAAGCTCAGACACTGGGTGACCATATCGTTGACATAGGACGGATCCTTTTTGCACATGGCCGGGGCCCACTCGGCAAACGTCGCCATTAGCTCAAGAGCATTTTGTCGAGTCTGATCACCCAGCTCTTTGTCCTGAATGACGGAAATGCTGAATTTCACCAGAGTCGAAAAGAGACCTTTGAACATCTTTGGTGCGGCTTCAGCCAGCTCGATAAGCGACACAAAGGCTTTGGATAGATTATCCGTGTCTCCAGCTTCTTTCAGAGGTGGTAGGATATTGAGGATCTCCGGGATTAAGGAATAGTATTTCGGCTGCGTCTTCTTGGTGACGGAATGGAAAAAGGAGGCAAACGCTTCGATGGCAGCCAGTCGGACCTGCAGAAGATGATTAACAAAAAGAACACAATGGTATATAGACCGGTCCTTACTTCAACACTGCTATCCTTGAAGCCTTTGCCGAAAACTTCCTGCACCGCACTTTCATGCTGTTTCTCGATGATGCCCGGGGTGGTAGAGAAGATCCGAAAGGCGACTTCTCGCAGACCAGCGTCTTCGGACTGGCTTGCCTGGAACAATGCTGCGAGCAATTCCATCCACATTTCACCTACATCCGGGGTTGTTAGTCGACCTGTTCATTGTTCAACAGTGGGTTGCATTCGTACCAGCATCGACATATTGTCTGGCGATTTCCGCAATTGCATCCCCGATCTTGTTCTTCACAGGATTTGCCTGTTCTCTTGCGAGACATTCCAACAATTTCGACTGAATGGCCTGTTTCGCCTCCGTACCCAGGCTGAGGAAGAGTTCCTTATTCTCACCAGTGACTGGGTTTTTGCGCGTTTTCGAGGCCTGTTTGCGAAATAACACTGCGGCGAAAGACCGTGTCTGCCAAACATTTAGAGATGCTCCGGAGTTTTGACTCTTTCAGGGGACATACCGACGGGTCTTGAGACGCTTGTATCTGCTCCACCAACCCCATCAACAGCATATCGGGACGATTGAGAGTCCAGTCATTGTTCAACTGCTCCTCCGCTTGTGCACGGAGATTATTGTCCGGAGACGACAGGGCTTGTAGGAGTTGGCCCAGGGCTCCCTGCACCTCGGCAGGGAGAACAGACATGTTGCCGGATTGCTGTTATAACATGCAACTGGGAAAGTGTTGTTCGAGCGCGGCTCTGTTGGATTGGAATGTGCGCCGCGCAGAGTCGGCTTTCAGTCGGATTGCCGGGAACTTCACGTCGGTAGGTTCGACAAGTGCTGTTGAAAGGACGAGGCGAAGGTAAGACAAGAGAGAGGACTGTTCAGGCGCACCGAAGTGATACTAGTAAGTCGTGTTAGTCAGTACTTTCTTTGACCAAAAACAGTGTCTGGAGTCAAGTTGCGGAGGAGGCAGAAGGGAAATTGTACATAGATCGACTAACCACGAACGTGAATCTCTCGTGCCGGGGGGCTGTGAGGGAGTCTGCGGCGACAGCCTGGACGGACAGCACCAAATAAGGATATTATAAGGGTTTTGAGTCTGTCGCTGTCGTTGGGCGTCGTCCGTTGGAAGTATCAACACAGAATGCAACGGTCCAGCAAAATATTTTGGGCGAAACAACGAACGAGCGAACTTCTTTTGAGTCCCGCTTCCACTTCCACTTCCACTTGCAGTGCAGGGCGGCGTCTGTGCCCGCCACGTGACCTCCGCGCCCCTTCAACTTATTCGTCCACGTATCCTCTCATCTCTACCATCAAACTCCTTCACCTTGGTCTACCGGGTAGGTAACATCTTTCCTTGAATCTCATCCTGTCAATGTTGCCCCTTGCTTCACGCCTGCAACTCAAGCCCGCCCCCATTTCACTTCTCTGCCCGTCCCTGTCTTGGGATTCTATGCGCATCAGACCAGGTCCATGCCGTAAACAGCTCGGCCCAGACGTCTCGTGTCAGGGCGTGCAGTGTGTTTGCAAATCCGAATGAGTCTTGCAGCATGGGCAGACAAGACCGGGATCCGATTTACTACAACGTACAGTAATGTATCTGCCTAGCTAACAATTGGCTCAGCTTCCGCACTGGACTGGCCCAACGCCCCGCGTTATGCCTCGAGACCTTTTGGTGGATTCGATTTGTCTACATTACATGAGTCTCGATTACCCGACAAGAGAGAGATCTTAAAGAAATGGTATTATTATATTACGCTTTCAGCTAATAAGTTCAATTAGCGCTCTGGCAAGGCAATTGAGCAAAAATTTGCCCTCGCACGATGCCATCAACCCAACTTGAAAGGGCATAAGGACTCCTGGAACCATCAGCAGGAGCTGCCAAACCTCGTCAACAAGAGGGAGGCACTGTAGCTGGTACGGGGACATCACACTCCGAAAGTGGCCTGGATTTCCGGCGTAATTCGAGACGCGTCTTCAATGAGCTCTTACGTGGTGGAAACGTCGGCCTTTTCGATGTCGCTGCATCAGCAGGCCCAGGTCCTTGTTCGGGTCGTAGGAGTGGCGTGAGCAGGTTGTGGTGGTGGTCAGCTTGCTCGCTTTCCCGTGCCGATGTTGGCTCTATGCCTGCGTCTCCCTCCGCAAACCTTTTGTCTGCAGGACGACGGGCTATGGTTCGGAGCAGCACGCGGGGTTCTGTCTTTGCAGGCTTGGTCATCTCTGTCCGAAGTGGCCATGAGTCCCGTAACGCCGCTTGCTCCAACTGCCAGTGATTCAATCTCTTGTCGATTGGCTTGCAAGTGCAAGGTCGATAAGAGTCATCATCGTCGCACTCAGATGTCTGATCCTCGCTTCTCCCCTCTAAATCGTCAAGCTTCAGTTCGAAATCCAGGGCTTCCTCGAGGCTGGTCTGCTCCGTAGACACCACGGACGGCTTGGGAAGGCCTGGAATTACAACTACTGGCGAGGCTCTTCCTTCTTCAATGACTTCCACTTGTGCCTCGTGCTCCTCATCACTAATGATGGACTCGTTTTCCGAAGCAGGGTCCGATAGCTGTGAGTACTCCTTCTCGGAACATCCGAGTTGTTTGCCTGACCAAGACTCCGTTGGGCTAGGTGCAAGGCTTCTCAAGCGATTTGGATAATCAAATCCGTTACTCCGCTCTTTATCTTTCCGGTCATGAAGTTTGAGGAACGCCCAGCTTTTCAAGCTGGATTTGCGAGGCGGCCTTGGCGAGTTGTCAATCGTCTGCTGCGACTTTATTGCCTGGATGGTCTCATGGGGAGCGTCGGCTAGAAGGACCGGCTTAGCTTCGATTGACTCTGCAATCAACGGAGACGCTTTCCTGGCTCGAAACCCTCGAAATAAGCTCCTTGGTTTGGACTTTGTGGATGTTGAGGACGGGGCCAGACTGACAGTTGAACGGTTGTCGAACAGGTTTCGCTCATCCTTGGGCTTGGGAGTGGGAATAAGAGAGTTCGAGAAAGACCTTAGAGTCTTGAATCTTGAGACGCCACTTCCATGTGGCTTGCCTTTGGACGACGAGTCCACGGATTCTGGCCCTGACGGACACCTCACGGCGCCCTTGACGTTTGCACGCTGCAGAGACCTTCCCCGTCCTGCCGAAGAAGAAGATCGACGGGGTAATTCGAGGCTGGAGTCCGATTCATTGTCAGCGTCGTCGAAGTCCGTAACGACGGGCCGGTCGAAGGTAAGGCCGTATCTCTTGTTCTTATATGCAGTCGAGGTAAGGCCAAATCTGTCTGAGTAATCCGGACTCATGGGAGACGTCGGGATTGAAGAGGACTGTGAGCTGTCTTCGCCATGGGACTTTAGCGACAGTGGAGAGGAAGGTTCCTCCGCTGAAACACTATAGCTATCGACTTCGATTTGGACCTCGATGTGACTTTCCAATATTCTTCGGTCATCATCTCGTGACCCGTCCTCTAGGCAGGCAATATGCGGAGTGGTTGTGCTGGAGGTCGCGTCTGAGTTCTCATTGTGGATTTCGACCTTGACTTCACTGTCCCAGATGAGCCCTTCCCCGTGTCCTGGAACAACCAGTGCGGTGGCAGGGACGGTTGGATTTGTTGGTTGTGAGGGTGTTGGATGGAGCTCTGCCATAAGACAATCCTCACAGATCTGGTTTAAAAACGACCGCTCAACTGTCTGATGCGAGGGACAGGACTGAGGCTCAGGAGGCCTTGCGCTTAAGGCCCGGGGTTCCTCATTGGAATGATCGCGGCTCTCTCCAAACCATAAGCCTGGCTTATTAGGTTGACTGTTCTGAGCCCCAAGCACATGGCGCGCTCGATAGGCACCACAGAGGATGGGATGATCGTAGTGACAACCGCATTCACGGTAGAACCATTTTTCTGTCACGCACATCTTCGATGCGGGAATGAACCCTGAAGACAGCAAGAGATAGAAGACACAATAGGGAACTCAAGATCAAATATGGAACTCGCTCTCCGCAAAGGGCTGTGACATTCTTTGGGCGGCTGTCGGGAGATTGCGCTGTCAAACGCCTTGACCACGGGGAGGTGGAAGCACACGTCAAAGCCAGCGTGGATGTGTTCTGCCAGACCTTGTGCAATCTGCAGCGAAGCAATAACCAAGCACGAAGACCGCCATCGACACATTATTTTCGCGAGCCGTGTGACTTTTATTGTTGTGGTTCGTGTCAATCATGTCGGCGGCATTGTTGTCGTATCTGGTGCGGCTAAGTGCCTGCAGATTGGTTTCTCGACCGCGACGCGTATCACCTTGTACTCTTCATCTGTGAGATGTACCAAACGTAGCTGTGTTTGTGGTCAGCTTGTTGTCCATCGTGCGGATTATTTCTTCATTTATGAAGGTCAAGCTGCTGCTGGCGTCAGAGATCTTGCGCCCTGTAGGGCATATTTGTCGCCGGCTACGTCTCCGAAGTCGATTCAGCATTGATGCTCAACCATCTCTGCTGAGTCTCGTCGCTTGAAAGCTCGAACCTACTTGTGACACCCAGCGACGTGTCCGGCTGGTCTACCGATGTTCTTGTACCTCCGATAGACTGCAGTAAGTAGCGTCAACATTTCCGAATGGCCAGATACATTCCGATGCACATTCGTGCACCACTCGAGAAGGCCCAGAAACATTGGTTTCGAAGGTCTAATTCAGGAATGAGTGGTCCGGAAGACGTCAACCACCTGTCCGGACTGAGCACAGTGGCGATGGGAAAGCATTCTCGTCCAACTGAAGGTAGATGGCGACATGCTCCCAACAGTTCCGGCAGGAATCTTTTAGAAACAATCGACTGGTGATGAGCAAGCTCAAATGTGGGCAATGGGGGTACAATCGCTAGGACCTTTGAAGTACCGCATTCGGGTACGGCAGCTGTGTAAATCCTCGAGCAGAGGAAGCTCTTCGTGATCTACAGAAAGGAGGGAACACCTCGTCCCTGACCTTGTCTTGAATTCCACTGTGTTGAGGCATTGGCAGCGCCAGTTCAGATACATCAAGGAACCAGCTGTGATGTCAACACCGGTTAGAAGGTGGTCAGCACGTTCGGAGGCAATGTTCATGTTTACCAGTTTGGCGGGATCTCTGCACTCTGGCTGGGTGGCCAAATTACGGTGGTGTCTGCTGCCGCTACCCGAAAAGCTGCTATTGCATGTTTGAAGCCGTGGAAGGTTGATAAAGTGTGCTGGCGGATGCCAGAGTAAGTGCAGGCTTTCCTCATGGGCATCACTCGGAGAGGTTCAGGACGCTTTCCCAACTCACCGGTGCGCGTCGTGATGCAGTCGGCGCCTGTGAGAATGCGCCGTGAACCATGGTAGGCGCCTCCGAGCAGGATTGAGGATCTCTTCGATCATTGCTTGGGATCGTCTCAAACCAGATAAGGCCTTTGTTCCTCCACGCTCTGGTCCATATGCGAATCCAGACATGGTGTCGAGGGAAAGGTAATGCAGGCTACCGAAGATCTCGCTTACACGATCTGGCTCCCGCTCCAAGAATGAGAGGGCGGCGGCGACCTTGTTCTGCGCATAAGAAGAGAAAGCGTGGGTAAAGCACTGTCTGTTTGCACAGATTTGGCTGACCGATCTCTTCCGATCCCGTTGCAGCTTCCGTCCCGCAAAGGTGAAGAGGTTTGGGTGCCCATAAACGTCAAATATGCGGTATAACTCAGTACCCTCAGATGCGCTGCCGGCACCATGGATCGGCGTTAACGCGAACAAGCTGTTGGACGGATCACATGGGCTGATACGAACCACGGGACCATGCTGTCTGTGCAAGTCAAGGATTGAATGGACTGACCTTGCTCGCCACGCCTCCGGAGCCGGTCAAAAGCCGGTTGCAAAGTAAAGCCATGGGCCAGGAACCCTCTTAGGTTGGCCGCATTGAAGTCCTCGAAATACACCCTATAAAATGAGACGGGAAATACACCCTATAAAATGAGACGATGGCAAGCGTTACCCACACCGGGAGTGGCAGTCCCATATGCTTCTGCCTGTCGTGATACTCATCTCTCAGGCTCGACATGAAGATGACCGCTCTCTTCTCGCCACCCGTTTAATGAAGAAGGGACCTCGATACCTACTTGGCAGAAGGCTTGCGCTCGGCCATACCATTTCAGTACAAGAGAGGGAAGAGATAGTCGGTGATAGCTTCCCTCAGAGAGGCACGATGGGCGCTCATGTCCGGTGTTCAGCAACCCTTGCAGCTGATTCATACGATTAGTTCAAACCAGAAATGCCATGCATACCTTTCGTCCAAGTGCCGCACGCTGTCCCTCGGCTGACTTCTGGCACGGGAGGACGCGACAATGTTGGCAGTTCTTCTGAGCATGACTGAAGGGTGGTGTGGGTTGGCAAGCCCAACTCGAGACATGGACGGACCGCCAATGAGAACCAACACTGATATCACGGTGATGCCCCTGGTTTTGCAATCTGGTGAAACTCCTGAGCTGGCTTGATAGCCCAACCGCAATTGCGTCGCTGACTCTTTCTCTGAATCTTCACCATTTGCGTCTCTTAGTGCTCGAGCTAAACAAACGCCTCAATGGTGGCTAGCGGTGGCTTCGGAAGATATTGCAGATCTAGACACCCGCTAGGTATGCGGGCCATGGAGTTCTGCGTCCGGGGGTAAGCACAGTCATCCGATACTATGCAAGGTCATATGCCATTTAGCGATGAACGAGAGACGATAACGGTGAAACATTGTCGGCCATCTCCTTGACGGCCTCTGTTTGTCCAGGACTCGGGAACAGGGGTTTTGACCTCATTAGCATACCGTCCGCTTGCGCCAACCGATCGGCTCTACCATTGTTCGATGGATGTCCTCCGCATCCCCGTTTCGTGGTAATGGCTGTCCTACACGTGGTGTGTGAGGGACACTGATAGCACATCTCCATGCACCAATAGAATTTTGCCGGGGTCCCCAATATTTTTTTTTCTGGATATTCTCGCCTGCCAGAGGCAGGGCGATTCTGGAATGGTCCTTCATACAGAAGAAATTCGTCAGCAGTCCGCCGCAAACATCGGGCTGGAAGCTATTGCTCTCCGGGCGTGGAAAACGAGCGACAATGGCACCAGACGGCGGGTAACTCAAGGCTGGCTTCGCAGGTGAACTAAGAGGGGTTTAGAAATCTCATCAAAGGCTGGAAGGGTAATAATCCACCGTGACGAGGTTGGATTGATGGCCAGTGACCTAGTGCGCTGTACAGTAGTACTATAGACTTCAGTCAAGGAATACACAACAATATGGATTTAGTCAGGAGCCTGTGATCGGAGAGCTTATCACAGCCTTTTGAGCATTGAGAGTATCGAAGTGGATAAAATAATAATGGGGGAGATAGGACTGGTGGGACGAATCCAAGGATGGGTACTATAGTAGAACTTGAAGGTTACAGTATTTTATTAATGGAGTGAGATGAGCTTAGCAGAGAGTCTTGTATTTGTTAGTGCGCAGCCTTTGTCCTTATCTCTTCTGCGCTCCACCCATCGACCCTCTCTGGGGCCTCAGAGAACTCTGGTCGCACTGTGATTGTTCTGATCGTTGCGGTATCTTTATGGTGGACGTGAGTCTAGCCCACAGTCTGGCCTTCAAGCCACCGTCCATCATACTAGCATCTCATCAATGCTATCTTGATATCTGTCCGCCAGTCAGGCTTCCACAATGCCTGCGTCAATACCATGGGCTCCGCTCCATAGCCCAGTTAAGTGCCATCCAGCGAGCAAGGCTATATAGTTATATACCCCGGAGCCGCCTGCGAAACAAGGCTCAGGCTTGATTGCTGCCCTCTGTCAAAGTCCAACTCTCTACCTTGAGTCATCGTCTGCTCGGCCGAGATCAGTTACGTGATCACCTACATTGGGTTCAGGAGGAGACGACCACTCTAGAGACACTCGTCAGAACCACCAGGCGTCAACGAAGTGGTGACCGGACCGCAAACCTCACTCCCTCCCGTCATGGACACCAAGAAGGACTACGACCCCGAAAAGGGCGTCGCCGCCCCTGCCAGTCGGGAGTCGGTCGAAGAAGCGCATCCCAGACACTCGCTGACCGGACGCAAATCGTCCGTGGTCGAGTCTGTGATCGCGGCCGAGTTGCTCGACGACCGATTTCGAACCACCCAGCGTGGCCTGAAAAGCAGACATGCCCAGATGATCGCACTCGGCGGCAGCGTCGGTACTGGGTACGTTGGAAACTCCTCCATATCTACCACGATCAAGCACATATCCAGTACCAAATCACTAACTTCTTCCCAACAGACTTTTCGTCGGTACCGGCCAGAATCTCGCATTGGGCGGGCCGGCATTCATTCTCGCAGCATACATTATTGTATCCTTCCTGGTGTACTGCGTGGTAACGGCCATCACCGAGGTCGCCGCATACCTGCCCATCCACGGAGGCAGCATGTCATACTACGGCTACCGATACGTATCACGATCAATGGGATTCGCCCTTGGCTATCTATACTGGTACGCGCTGGGGATTTTGGTCCCATACGAAGTGACCGCCGCGGGCCTAGTGATCAACTACTGGCCCAACGACGTCAACATTGCAGTCTGGATCACAATCATGCTAGTCGTGATCATCACGCTCAACTTCCTACCGGTCAAATACTACGGCGAAACGGAATTCTGGTTCGCAGGGACAAAAGTCATCCTAATGCTCGGCCTTCTCATGGTATCTTTCATCCTCTTCTGGGGCGGAGGACCGAGCCACGACCGACTGGGCTTTCGATACTGGAACAACCCGGGTGCGGCCAAAACATACCTAACCCACGGCGACAGTGGACGAATGGTCGCATTCTGCGCAACACTAGTCCAATCCGTGTTTCCATTCACATTCGCACCGGAACTCCTAGTCACGACGAGCGGTGAAATGGAGTCACCACGCCGCAACCTCCCCATCGCATCGAAGCGCTACTTCTACCGCCTGATCGTCTTCTACGTCCTCGCCGTGCTGGCCATTGGAGTCATCTGTCCGAGCAACGACGAGCGCTTGACCAACGGCGGAGCGGGCGCAGGTTCCTCCCCCTTCGTCGTGGCCATATCCAACGCCGGCATCCCCGCTCTCCCATCCATCATCAACGCCGTCATCTTGATTTCCGCCTGGTCATCGGGCAATTCGTACCTGTACATTTCCTCCCGGGCGCTGTACAGCTTGGCCGTGCAAGGGTCGGCCCCCCAGATCTTCAAGCGCTGCAACAAATGGGGCGTGCCCTACATGGCCGTGGGCTGTTCGGCGTTGTTCTCGGCCCTGGCCTACCTCAACGTCGCGTCCAGCGGCGCCAAGGTCTTCAACTGGTTCTTAAACCTGACAAACACATTCGGCTTGACGAGTTGGGTCTGCTGCATGGTCATCTACTTCCGCTTCCGCAAGGCGTGCGACGTCCAAAACGTTCGCTCTCCTTATCGTAGCTGGATGCAGCCATGGGGCGCCTGGATCGCGCTCGTCATGTTCACCCTGCTCTGTCTCATCAACGGCTTCACCGTCTTCTTCCCTTCCAAGTGGTCCGTCTCCAGCTTCTTGACCTCCTATGTCGGTCTGCCCGTCTTCTTCCTCATCTTCTTCGCCCACCGTCTCGTCTACTGGCGCGACAGTTGGGCCTGGGACCCCGCGGAGGTCGACTTGCACTCCGGTCTGCAGGAGGTCCTGGACGCCGAAAAGCCCGTCAAGATCCGCAAGGGGATCTTGGGCAAGCTTCTCATGATAATTGAATGAAGGATTAGAGTTCAAGTTTATATCTACATCGAATAGAAGAATAAATGCAAGCGTTTCTTTCAGAACAAAACAGACTAAACCGGCTCATCTCCTCCGCCTCGGCTTGGGCAAATTCTCACTTGGATTGCTTTTTAGAGTCAAGTTCCATGGTTTTGATCGCTACGAGTATTGACATTGAATGTTGCACGATTTGGTGGTCACTGCGATTCATTTATCATAGGTTACTTAGTAACCCTACCTTGGAAGAATACTAGCAAAACAGGAGCACAGAAGCAGCTATGCACAAGAACCCATTACAAGCTCCCACGACTTTTGTAGCCTTTTGCAAAAGATATACAATAATGCAAACCTTGCTAGTGTGATTCATTACCCAAATGCCCACTGATGCCATCCACTGTTGACTGCTGTACCTCAAAACCCTGTTGCGCCCCCTGCATCATGAGGCATTCATTATTCTGAATTTGTGACCCAACCAACCGATAACACCCACCTACTATACAAAACTTGCTAAACGCAACTCATGTGTCGTTTTTCCCTGGCTTGTGAAGTTGAAAATCATCAAGCCTATCCTATCCTATTCCTGCAGCAAGAAGGGTCGTTAAGGTATGTCTGGCTTCAGCTCCTCGTCCCATATCAAAAAGTCAAGTCTGCACGCCCTTCATCCCCGTACGACCGCCATCATAACCGGAACGTCGCTCAAATCGACGCCAAAGCTAGCTCTCATAGCTACACTCTTTCTCATCGCTTCCGCTCTTCCACTGACAGACCTGGTCCCCACCGAACCCCCAAACCCTTTGCCATGCTCATATTCCCAGCCCATGCCGCCTGAATACCGTCCAAACTCTGGTGGTGGACACGGTCTTTCCAGGTTATCGGGGTGGAGCTCTTCCGCAAGAGACGAGGCAAAACTGTGCGCACTACCTGCCCGTGAATGAGGCCGAGGACTCACCATTCCCGAGGCCCTTGGCAACGGCAATGGCCGGTTTGCGCCCGGTGCATACGGCCGAACAGCACGCCCACGAGGTTGCGGTATTTCCTGCAAGGCTAAGACCTGCTGCGAATCTCGGTCATACCGAGACCCATTGTGCGCAGGATACTCGTAGGGGTACTCAAAATATGAATAGTCTTGCCCGTCAACATGGCCGTTACCATCGAAACCATTGTAACCTTGTGGTTCAGACGAAAAGTAATGCTGAGCTGGTGCGGGGCTCCGCTCCCATTCTTGACTACGAGGAGGTATCTCTGGGTACAGTGGTTCGTCTTCAACCGCCAGCCGATACTCCTCATATGTTTGCGATTCCCAGCCCTGGCTCTGGCACAGTTCTGCGGAAGACTGGGTGTGCGATGCCCAGTAAGCCGATTGGGTAGCCCATGGATCGGGCATAATGTCCATTGGTCGGGGAGAATGGGACGGCGGAGGGGGAGCGACCGCGAAGTTCGCATAGTCCTCTTCATAGTCAACGTAGGCAGGTCGTGGCGAATGCGGCGGTGGCGGCGGAGGCTCGGGTGAGAAACCACCCCCAATTGATGCTTGTCTTTGCTCGGATGAAGTACGATAAGCTTTCTGTAACATTTCAGGGGTGATAGGAGGAGCATCGTTGGCAAAGCTTGCCGGCCTCAAGTTTTTCCCAGGAATACCGCCCCGGTCGTTGAATCCTGATCTTCTGTCGGCCAAGATACTCTCACGTTCCTGGATGGACCGGCTTCGGCGCCGTGCAAACTCTGCAGCGGTCTTGTCATCCATCATTGGTCGCGGCCGCGGCAGGGCCGAGACCCCAGTGTTGTGGCCCATGCTGTGTCCGTAAACAATGTTTTCATGTACCAAATCGTAGGGACCGCCGTACATGGAGTATGCTGCGCCGAACTCCTTTACCAGCATCATCGTTTCAGTTTGGTCCAGGCTGGAGTTTCGCCTGGAGCTCCGTTCATCCAGCTTCGAGCGCGAGATTGGGCGGGGCATCCAGGACCTTGGCCTGCTTCGAGAGCGAGGTCGCCTCACTTGGCTCGATTGATCAGGAGCAGGAGAAGGGAATCTAACCTCAATGTTGCGGAGGTCCATGCTAGACACGCTGTCGTGAAGGCCCATATCACCGTACGAGATATATGTTTTTTCGAGCTCAGGTACCTCCTTCGAGCGGATGCGAAGGTTCTCCTCGGCATCGCTTGGGACTCGCGGGATTGCATCGGCCTCGAAAGAATGTACTCTCGAAATCGAAATCGATGGCTGACTTTGTCGTCGCTTCTTCTGCAACTTCTTCCGAACCTTGTCTGGTTTTACAGATGCCGTGTCTGATGTAGGAATGGCCGGTGTGGTATTTGCCGACACTGCAGCAGGACGTAAAGGGGCGGATGTAGGGACGCTGGGTTCTGTCTGACGCGACTTTAGGAGGGGCGGTCTGGCCTCCGCAAGGTAAGACCGGTCCCCGGGCTGTGGTGACCTCCTGTCCGAAACTGGGGACACGCCATGCGTAGGTGGCCCACGGACGGGCGATGGCGGTTTCGCTGTCGAAAGCGATCGCAATGAATTAGTCGAGCTGTAACCACTGTCTGATTTCTGGATAGGATGAGGAGGGTGAAGGGTAGCCGAAGAGGCCGTGTACCCCTGGCAGGGTTGGGCTTGGGGCTCAAGTATTGACTGGCTGGTGTCGCCTGGAGAAATTCCGGATACAAATGGTGAGTACCAGCTCATCATGTCTTCGAGAGTATGATCATCGACGTCTACATCATTCGGTCCAAAAGCCCGCAGGATTCGTTCAGAGCCTGGATTCATTCTCGACCTGCAAATGACCGAGCCGGTAGGGGAAGGGCTTCGTGACTCGAAGGATGTGGGAGAGCTGTTGCCAGGAAAGCGCTCGAGTACTGGAGATTTTTGTAACGATGAAAAGGACGAGTCATGCAATGATTGTTCAGACGCACTCCTCCTCAACGATCCGGACAGTGAGCCTGACTTGAAAGCTGAGAATGGACTGGCAGGCAACTCGGCAATGTACTCCTGGGCCATCAATGAAGCCCGGCCGTCGTCCTTGATTAGCTTGTCCTCGTTCAGAATAGTCACGACATCCTTTATAGGACGACCGGCACAAGTATTGTCATCATTGCCTTCCCAGCTAAAGACCCGTTGTTCAGACCTTTCGCTGGGGTTCGCCCTCGAGGGTCGCTTTCCATTGGACATATCCACTTGTCCCAGGTCTTCTTCGGCCTCGCCATACTCACTAGAGACGTCCCTCTGCGGTTGAGGCACTGCCAAAATCTGTTTAGACAGCTTGGACATCTCGCTGAATGCTGGTGAGGCCCTTCCATTGACGATTTGTAGGGAGCCGAGCCTCAGACTTCCCAAGTGCGAGTAATCCAGGTCTGCGGGAGTTTCGGCCCGCCCCGCCATCCTCGGTGGAGGTGGTTGCCAGTCCACGTCGTCTGTGTCCACGATGTTTACGTCCTCTGAGTCTTCGGCTGTGCGCTGCTCCGGAATCTCTTGTTTAGCCAATGTTGTTGACGCCTTCCTCGTTGCTGTGCCAGGGGTGAAAGAGGCTCGCCGGGAGGGAGGGATAGCCGGGGAATCTACCACTCGATCGAGAGAAGACGTTGGTGTAGAACCAGAGGCTGTATCGCCGTTCTGTAAAAGGCTCTGATGATAACTGGCTCGACGACCAAGGCTTGTCGAACGTCTTGTTGACACAGCCCTGAGCACAAAAGACTTTCGCTTTCTTGGTTCCTTGGGTGAAGATGGCGGCTGTTCCTGTTCCGCCGGTCCTTTAGACCGAGCAATGTTGCTATCCGGCTGGCTGTCCGTATGTACGACCCCTGCAGTTGAGTCGCTCTTTGAAGACTGTACTAGGGATGGCGTTTCTTCATCAAAAATCTCGCTGCGAATATGTCTCCTTAGAGCAGGATTGCTAGGGTGAGAAGACAACGGACCGCCTGGCGGAGGTTCCCGTTTGCTTGCATTCTTGCACTGTGCCACCGGCTCTTGAAGACTGGTTGCGGATATCGAAGTAGAAATTGTTTTGGTCAGAGGTTTGGATAACCGATTTCTTCTGCGAGCGTCGTATTCGTTGATGCCGCACTCTCCCGCGGCAGCGCTCGACTTACGTCGGCCGAACCGCATGTTGGAGAGGAGCCACGTAGGCTGATATGCTTCGTTTCCGTGGCAAAGGATGAGCCGTTACTGAGGAACAACGACTATTGTGCTCGTGCTCGCGGGATGCGGGGGGGTATAAGATGCTAGAGGCTCTTCATGGCTTCTAGTGCTCGGCGACGGGTTTACCTGCGGGTACGTGCGAGCAAGAGCGTGACGACCGCGGCTGCAGCTATGGGCGCTCAACCACCAACGGAGGACGTATTCCAGCTGCGTGAGGATCCGAGCGCTGTCAGTTTGCGGTGACAGCTGCCGGTGAGGTCAGAGTCGGCGGCCCCAGCCAGAACCTGGAAGTGGAGCAAGACGAGGGTCAGGAGTCCGGGAAGAAATGTGTTTCAGAACGAACGGCTGCACATCACGATCTCGTGAGGAGGAAACGAAGGATGGGAGGCTGGTTAAGAGTGGGTGAAAACGGGCGGCAGAGAAGCGATTTGACACAGCATGCAGCATGCAAGAAGATGGAAGATAGACTTTCTGAGGCCAGTTCAAGTTGCTAATAGTAGCAACATCAGGGATCGCGGGAAGGAGAAGGCGGGAGGAGGGTGTTGAACTTCAAGGTGTTGGAGAGGTCGGTGCCGTAGTCCATGCATGTTTCAAGGAAGAGCATGGAACAGTACTGCAATAGTAATAGTGGTGCAGCAGTAGTAGGCAGACAAAGCTGCTTCAAGTTCTGGTGCAGACCTACTCCTGCACCTACGCTCAACATGCAGCATTTCGTCTTAGCAGGCGTATGCATCGTCACACAAGCTGGAGGTAAACATTGCGTAGCCCGGGGAGCGAAGCACCCGCCGCAAGCCACTTTCCACTCTTTCGACCAACCGTGGCCATCTGAAGGTTCCAAAAGCCAACTTTGTACCACTCCAAAGCAGGCCTCAGCCACCGCTAATTCTGCCGCTGCGGGCGAAGCGAAAGTGTGCTTGCTCCTTACAGGCCGTTCACGCCACAGTACGCTTGCTTCAGGCTGCGGAGATGCCCTGCTTAGTGCCGTCGCTACCACAGTGCACCACTGGATTGAAGCGACAAGAAAGAGGTCCGGCGGCGAATTGAAGGGAGTCCGATGAACTTGAAGCGACATTGATCGCCCTTCGGCTGCGCTCTATCCTTCCACGTCGGACATGGCATCGCAGGCTGCCAGTCGATCCGTACGATTACCGCAGTCAATCATCCTACCTAGGTATTCACGGCCATACGCCGAGTCCAGGCCTTCTCAACGACATTAACCGTCGCTGCACGTCGCACGTCAGATCGTGGTTAAATCGACAGAAGAGAACTTGCGGGGGGCTGGGACAAGGATAGAGATGCTGGTTTTGACATTTCCGACTGTCACTGCTGACGGATCACGAACAGGCGGGAAAAGACTACAATCTGGTCCAAGCCACAGTGTCTCCGGAATCCTCCATTCCGTGCACATGCACGAGTCCTTCTACACGGCAGGCGGGCGTCGCAAGCTGCATGTCTGCATTGACCAACGTCATGTGTCGTGAATACGGGATCAAATGGCCGGCCCGCAGCCCACATAATTGAGCGATCATTCCAGGCAAAGGTCTACGATCATCTTGCAATGTACAAATAAGCAGATGGAAAAAAGCTAGACATGAGAAGGAAAGAGCAAGGAGAACATATCACGACAGTTTTGAGGAGAATTAATATCATTAGGTATACATAGTAGCACAGCTGCTATGTATGATTAAGAGGATGGCTTGTGAGCCCCCCATGTCGGAGACCAGCCATATTCCTCTGATGTTATCCCCCTATGATCTATATGCGAGGTTCGATCCCAAGAACGCCAGATCATGCAAGTCGTGAGTATGAGTAGCAGATCAGAACAAATGGTGTCTCATGATGTTCCGTTATGATGCCGCATTCCAGCCACCTCATTATAGCGTTTTACTCAACAGTGATCCGCTTGGTTTGAGGGGCTGGAGCCTTAGGCACGTGGATGGTCAGGACACCATTCCTCAAGGACGCCTTGACCGCGTCTTGGTTCACACGTGCCGGGAAGGTGAAAGTGCGAGCGAACTCTCCAATCGAGCGCTCCGAGATCCAGTAGTGATGTTGCGGGCGAGCATCTTTGGCGACCTCGGATGATTGTTGCTGCGAGGTCACTTCCTTGCCCTCCTCCTTGGCTTTGGCTTCCTCCTCCTCTTCAACCGTGGGCTTGCGCGGTGGCTTGGTGTCTTTCTTGTCGGTTTGTTCTGATGGAGGAGTTCCGGACTCGGAATGGCGTTCTACCCGGCCTTTCACGGTCAAGGTGTATTCGTCGGTGAATTCGATGTTGATGTCCTTCTGGTCGACACCGGGGAGCTCGCCCTCTAGAGTGTAGCCTTCATCGGTCTCCTTGACGTCAAAGGCAGGCTTGAAGTGGTTCAAAGTCTGGGGTTGGGCCTTTGCGACTTCGTTGAGCGAGTCGTCCAAAAGGCTGAAGATGGGTGCAAGTTCCGCTCCCCGCCGGTTGGGGCCGACGCGGACTGGGGCAAATGCGATTCTGGGGAACAGCGACATGTTTCTGGTAGTTGTTGCGCGAGGAATTTGTGGTTTGATGATTTTAGATGCGCGAGGGATGATTCGGCTTCGTGCTGGATTCATAAGAATTTTTTTGTTCTTGTTGCTTGTCGAACGGAAACAGAAGAGACTGTCAACCCAGGATTTATAGCTGTTGATGTTGCCTGATGGAAGCTGCTGGACGCTCACCGGTGGATGAGCAAAGCAGGATATAATGACATTGCTAGACAGTTCTGGGGCACGCAAGCGTTGTCGTGCCTGTTGCTGGAATCGCCCGGAAGTGGCGTGTTTCCTCCGCGAGTTACCATTTGTTTCTTTGCGATCACGTGATCACCGATGGCAACGACTCGATGGCAAACGTGCTAGCAATGGATGGTCCTCTGCCATGCCTGCTTGTAGACCCTTTGAACTGCGTGGAACTGTCTGCATAGAAGCGTGCCAGGAAGTGCAATGGGAGCCCCGTCTTGATCAATGAATGTCCTTGACCCCATCGGACGAATAGAGCTCGAGTTTTCGAGTCCCCATCCGGAGCAACGTCTCGACGGCGGCGAAGTCTTTCCTATCAATCATCTGATGTTTGCGGAATTCACGGCTTTCAGCGGAACATTGTCAGAATCACTGTGTCGTGGGTGATGACGGATGGGAAGCGGCGAGACTCACCGTGCCACGTTCCGAAAGTTCTCACGTGTCGCCTGGAGGAGGAATCGTTTAGCTACAGCAAGTGACCAGGGCAAGCTGCACATTGACTTACCTCAGGCTTCTTACGAGCCGCCCGTAGACACTGCCGGTATAGTTTGAGAACTTCCCTCTGTAGGCCAGAAAGGCGCATCTTGAACTGGTTGGTCGCGGAGAAGATGTGTGTAGGAACACAGAACCTAAAATGAACTTTCGCTGTCCAGAATATATTTGTCATGTGACGCTCATGTCCGAAGAACATCCGACCTGCAAGACACCACCACCACCACCACCACCACTACATGTACGTTAGACAATGGGGAACGTTGTAGGACTACTGCACGATCCTGCGCGCTTCACTAATTGTTTTGAAGTCATGGAACCGGTGCCCGGGTCCTCGAACTATTACATCAATGCAACCTTCCCAGGTCTTGATCCTCGAAGAATCGTCCCTACAAAAACCGCGGTACTCCAGTCAATGCCTTGTTCCACGACCATAATGAAGATTCGACATTTCTCTATTTGAATCATGTACCAATCATTCGAGCGGTAGTCTCGCAATATTCAACGCCCGTAATCCAGACTTGGCACCACGACAGGTCCAAATTTGATCACGTTGCCATATGCTCCTTCGCCCTGAATCAAAAAGTCTGCTGCAAGACTGAGCTTGCCCGATCCACGGTGCATTCCCGTCTGCCCAAATGTCCCATTTACCACCTCCGGGTCATAAGCCACTACAGCAAGGTAATTTCGCCTAGGCATCAACTTGCGATTGCTGATAGGTTGACCTGTAACGTCGTGAGTGAATATCTCCATCATATCTTCCTTGGTGTCTGTGGGTTGTGATGGCGTGGACCTTTGGCCATTGGCGGGAATGTAAAGCGGCTTGTTATTGTTAAGCAGTTTCATCAGATATGCCGGTGGAGGCGTGTTGACCACGGACGATGTGATGAGCTGATACATCGTTTTGTGGTCGGATGGATGTGAAGGGTCATGGACCAGCCCGGCGCCACAAGTGTTGACAGCCCCAGAGATGAATGTGAACCGGATGGATCTCTGGTGAGAAATGCCTTGCAAGGTGCGGATGAGATACGTGCGTTCGAGGTCCTAGACAAGGTTAGCCACCATGCAAAAGAGGCAGGCCTGACGGTAAGTCACCTTCGATTCGTGCGTCCACTGGTCTTTCAATTCATCCAAGACATCGATATCTCCAAAAGGACTCAGAATACCACCCATGAGCCCTGATTTCCCAACAGCACGTTTCACCGAATCGAATCCTGATCCAACGGCACCTTTGGCACCCACTACGCCAGCGACGGAGCTGGTCACCTTTCCAAGGACATTGTAAGCACCTGTGACCGCCTTCTTTCCCGTGGCAACGGTATGAGCGATTTGTTCCGCCGCGTCGAGCCTCGGATAGATTAGTGGGACAGGAATCATTAGGATGCAATGCTGAATGGTCGGTGGTAGTAATGCAATTTTGGGGAAGAGCCCTTGGTAGGTCGGTCCAGCCATGACCTGATGAGAATTTCTTTCGCTGCGTGTATCGGGACCTACAACAGCAATGGCCGGCCCAAGGAATTTGATAAAGTGCCAGCCAGTACCCGTGATGGTGAACAAATCATGGTCATCGGCCACATTGCGGAGAATTTCCAGGGTCGTATGGTGCTGGAAAAGCAGATACATCTCAATGCCAATACGCCCGATGTTCTTGAACATGTTGCTGAACTGCATATACTCGGGATAGGAGCCAAACCCGTCAAAACTATCATTGTCAGCTTGCATTTGCGTGAGTTGGTGCCACACCACTTACATGTCATGGTCATCAAGCGTCGAAATCTGGGGTATCTGGGCAGAGGCTTCCCGTAAATATGGTTGATCGAAGTGACTGGTGTAGTAATGGAAATAGGCATGCGTGACATCTTCCTCATGAGCTGCTGTCCATACAGCATTCTTCCTGTTCTCCTTCCCACTCATAGCTAACCACTGCTTAAGCAGGGGTATTTCTTTCCACAATCGATCTCCAAACACCTGCCCGCCCAGACCGAGTTGACAATGGAAGCCTCCACATTCTGCCTGTTTTTGCATTATATCTTTCCACATGAAGCCGACGCCCCCAAGCTTTGCCCGCTCATTAGCGCTGACATTGATTGAAAAGTCGTTTCCAGAGGTGGCGATGAAACGCCAGTTGGTCTCATGTTTGCCGGCTACTAAGAACTCATAGCGTGTGCAGCCAAGGTGCGATGTAATTGCGTACGTCCACTTGGCGGGTTCGGACTCCTCCATCTCAATGTCAATTTCATACTTGTAGAACGTCCAGCGCTGATGTGTGGCAATATTGGCAGGTTTCAGCTGTCGCGGGTTCGGAGACAGATCGAGACTCTGGTGAAGGTGGATTGTTGGCGGCTGCGGAGCGTCTGTTACCAGAAGAATGGATCCATACCAAATGCCCTTATCAATGTCCATATTGGTGTAGCGGAGGTAGGGACCAAAATATACGCCATTGGTAGCGACGACTTTGTACAGGTCGACCCCGCTCGTGGGTGGTGGTCCGGTAAATGCTGCCGGACTTGCCAGACCCATGATGCTCTGCTGATCGTAGCCTGGGCTGAGTGGAAGCGCTGGCGAAGCCAGCGGTTTTTGAGCAAAGGAGAGACCTGGAGAGGTCAAAGGGTTTTGATAGATACTTCCCACGGGTGACAATGGAGTATCTGTCAGATTAAGTGGTGTAGGACCCTTCGGGAACTCCCATTGCGTTGCTTGCGTCGGGAGATGGATGTAGTAATACTGTCCCGAGTTGGGATCCATGTGCGCTATCCATCCCTCCGGCAGAGGCGGAGGCGATGCAGGAGGTATCTGGGCGGGGGTGTGAGGCATCGCAGACTGCGCTGGACCCATTTGGCCGTTCACATTGGACTGCGGTGAGGGCCCGTAGGCACCCTGTCGGGGATCGTTTGCGAACGCTGGATGGTCCAACTGATTCGGCACCTGAGCTCCAGGCATGACATTTGCTGTCGCTGCCGCGGCTGTCGTTGGATCCGCAGAAACTCCTGTCCCAGTAACGCTTCGTCTCTGCTTCTCGTGAGGGTTTCGGGCAGCGTTTACCGCGCTCGAAACCTGAGAGTAGGCAGGCGGAGGCTCTTCATGCGGCTGTACTCTGGCGATCTCGCTCTCAATTGGATGCTCAGTACGTTGGGGTGATTGGAGGGGAGCTGGATGAGCTGCCCCGGCTGCTCCTGTTGTGGTAGCAGCGGGAGGTGAAGACTGTACTTCGCTCGTTCCTTGGTAGACTGTGGGCGTTGGATGCGAGGTGCTCCCTGGTGGTTCAGTGGGCGTCCAGGGCCGTCGGGCTGGCTCCTGGGACTGCGTCTGACCTTGTTGGGCCTGGAGGCCATACTGAGCCGCTCTTTGCTGCGCCGCCACGCTTTGCGCCTGTAAGCTGGTCAAAGTCGCGGTGCCGGCAATACCAGAGGCAGCATAACGAGCTTCTATGTCTGTCTGGGGCCGTGCGCCAGGACCCACGATTGGAGTTTCCGGAGGTGGAGGCGAACCCCGCTGCGCTCTCGTGGTCGACGTCGATGCAGTTGAGCTTATTCGATTTATTGAAGACGGGTCCCGGATTTTCAGCCTGCTCAGAGCGTCCGCTGCCGATGAAGCTGTTGGGGGAGGCCAGTACTGCTGCTGGCTTTGGTTGCTGGTGCCCGGCAAAGGCGCCGTTGATGGAGCATCCCCGCGCTGGGGGTGACGCTGGAAGAGACCCTCCTTATCTGGCGCATCCGGACCTGGAGACTCGGGCAAAGGCTTTGGCATGGTCCCCCGGCGTTCACCCAGCGTTTGCGCAGGTCGTCCATCTCCCGATATTGTCCTCTTCGCCTGTTGTCGAGGCCCACTACCCGCACTTCCACCTTGTTCTGGAGAGGCCACCCTTCTCACATCTGGATACGGGTAGGGCGCCGATGAGCCGGTCACCCTTGAGCATTGAGGCTGTTGCCTGGACGAATCGTTGGGATGAGGCAGAGATGGCGCAGGATAGGCGGTAGTGTTCTGGGGCCCTAACTGAGGGGCAGGGCTGCTTCTGTCAGGCCCTGAAGCAGCACTCGAGCTTCTCTTGTTGATGCGTAGAGGCTCAACTATCGTGGGCGAGTCGCGGTCCGAAGGACGGTTCAAGAACATCTCGCCATCTGGCCTGCCATGGCTGCTGGAGGCACTCATGGCGACTACCAAGTCCCCGGTGACGGATTGGGTCCACGAGAGCGGAGGGGCTCCTCAATTGGGTGGTGGGGACGAGAAGGCTGTCAGAGGAACGGTCGGAGCGGGCGTGCACGGGGACGGAGGGATATTTAGACTTGATGGCAACGTGGATTGCAGGCCTGGCAGAAGCGTGAAGGCCGAGCAAGAGGGAAGGGAACGAGACTGCGACGGCGTCGAAGGCAGATATAAAGTGGTATACAAGACCGGGAAATAGGCTGCTGATCCAGATTGCGCTGTATCCGACCCCGAGTCCTGTAAGAAGGGACCAGGGTGTATTTTGCACGGCAGTCTTCCAACTGATCCGCGTCAACCAGTTGAACAGGAGCAAGCCCTCTCTTTTTGCGACTAATATATATCTTTCTCTTCTGAAATCTTCTCTCCGTTCACAGGGCAGAAATGGCCGTACACAATCGAGTAAATTTCCAGCCGCGACCGTACTTCAACCTGCTTTATGCTGGGTCTTCTTACCAACAATCCCTCGACCGTTACGCGCCCGGCCAAGCGCTGTCCGACAAGGAGATGGCATCGCTGCCCCACGTCCTTGGGCGTCAATTGACCCCATTACTGCCATGATTGGCCATCATGTTCAGCCGCCTCCAATGCTCCCGTTATTCCCTGGACTAGGACCCTAACACGGCTCGTATCACTGGCCAGTCAGTGACTAGAATAGCTGTACTATGGTGACCAGGTACTAGACGATTACCTACCCAGGTACCTGCTAGTGACGAGCCGAAAATGTGGTTCCCATCTGGCAGGAGAATCAACAATGGCAGCCCAGGGCTTGAAAAGGAGGAATGAAAGGTCGGTTCTACCTCCTATAGTCACGCAACCAACATGTAGGTATGACCAGACACGATTGGCAATGCTGAGCACAAAATATAAAGAGAAAAGCTGAATTCCATGAGCTACAACCCAGTACCAGGTCAGACTCCAGTTCGCACACCCGACCAACATACACATATCCCGGAAGCCATGCAACAAGGTGACATGGAAGCTATATGTTCCAATTATCCTAGACAGCCCCTGTCTAGCAATAGTGCGAATCAACCTAGTCCCTTACACACTTCATAGCATCCAACTCAGACAACCGACAACAGCAACCACAATCGCGGATAATGCGAAAGCAGTTCGATCGGCGCCGCCGGTAAAGGTTGACGACTTGGCTCCTGTACCCGACGGCGAGTTTCCAACAACGGGCGTGATTGGCGGCGAGATGGTGCTGTTATTTCCTGCGGCGCCCATTCCTGCCCCAGCGCTTGCATTGGCACTTGATCCGCTTCCAGCATGGGCACTTGCCTGCGCACCGGATGATGTATCTGCGCCAGTATCTCCTTCGCGATTCCCAGCTCCGGAGCCGGTACCTGAGCCTGAGCCTGAGCCCGAGCCAGTGCCAGAGCCAGTGCCTGTACCAGAACCGGAGCCCGTACCAGAGCCAGAACCAGCGCCGGAACCTGAGCCAGTCCCTGATCCTGTACCAGAGCCTGTACCAGAACCCGAGCCGGAGCCAGTGCCAGAACCGGATCCGGATCCTGCACCAGAGCCACTGCCCGTCCCAGAGCCTGAGCCTGTACCAGAGCCCGATCCGGTATTAGATCCGACCACTGGAGTAACTGTTGCATAAGGTCCGGTAGCACATGGAGTTGTAAGAGTGACAGTAGTCGCTGCGCCGTTTTCACCACAAGCAGTGCAAGCCACGACAGTTGTGGTAAACCCTTCAGGGACAGTCATGGGGTTCTTTGTCATGTGGCACGGGCAAGCCTCGGTGATTGTGTATGTTGCTTGTTCCATGCCATTGCCATCCGAGCAGATTTGGTCATAGACGGTGAGGAATTCGTGATACTCAGAGACCTTTCCATCGGGGCCAGTAGTAGTGAAGGCGAGGATCTCGGACCCATATGGACCTGTAGGTGGAGGCGTGATTTGTGCACCGGGACCTCCACCGTGGCAATTTGGCCCGGGACAGTATGTGATGGTGCTCGACAACGTCGTAGTGGTGGTGAGAGCAGTCGGGCAGACAGAGTAGTAAACGGTGGTAACAGAAGTGTCCTGCGGGTCGTTGACCTGGACGGTCGTTTGAGCGACTGCACCCACAAGCAAGGCCGCGAGCGGCATACTTCTTGTTGATGGCTTCATGTTTCCGATCGCTAAATGTCCCAGTGACTCCTTGTCTTTGCTGGGAATTTGAAGAAAGAAGAGAAAAAATAGTAGGATTCAAATGAGTGACCGAGCGCTACAAAGCACTTACAAACGAGTGTACCAGTCTCAGAGATAGTTGAGCTGGAAGGAAGAGGAACAGCAGTCTTGTACTGTGCAATGATATTTACCTTGACCGTTCAATGTGTCGATCGAGAAAGACCCACATAACAACTCGTGAGGAATGCGAAACAGACCACAACAATCATCTCTTTGGAGGCAACAAGTCGCCCTTTGGAATGTGAGCACGCACCAGAGCATACTTTGAGCCTCCTTCAAATGTTGCAAGATCGATGCAGCGCACTGACACTGTCCCTGATCCAAGGTCACCACGGTCCAGGACTCGGAAAGGTCGTTCGCAGAGGAGCTTGGTATGAGCTTAGATGCATTTTGAAATGTCCAGATTTCCCTAAATTTACAGAACTCGAGAGTCTGGAACCAACGATGTGCCAGGGCATGGGCACCTGAAAGGCAGTAGTGGTGTGTTGATTGTAGATGTATCCTATTAATCGACATTTCAGACCCATCGCCCTCACTGAAGAGGACCCAACGGGAAAGAAACTTCCTACAAGGAAAAAGCGTTGCTCTCCAGAGCCACTGAGTCCGCGAAGACCCATGGCAACACGTCGCTGTAGAGAGGACGAAACGACGGTCGTGGCTGGCTCTGTTGCTTTTTTTGATCTGAAGAGAAGAAAAGAAAAAGCTGGAGGTCCGAGAAACGAAGATTTGAATCCAGAGTGAGTGCCAAGCCCAGAATCAGAGATCACGTGGGACATACATGATTCGCTGGTATTGGACCACTGTCACCACCCAGCCTGAGACGCCAGTGTGGTACTAGTAGTAGTGCTGCGCTGCATGCGATATAGAATGTTGTGAAGTACATTCATTGTACGGTACGAGCCCTAAGGTAATACCGTAGGGAGTTAATGATGGTCCCGCACGCTCAGTAGGTGATTACGACCAATGTTATAGGAACACAGTGCTCCGAGAGTCCTACACCTGGACAACCAGAAGATATAGGCACCACGTGGTAGATTGACCACAGCCATTGAGATGGCCCAACGTCTACCTAAGACTCCTTGCGCAGCGGCACCTCGAAAACCACCGCACCATTCTTGCCGTGTTGGAACTTCATCCATCTTCCTAGCCTCAACTCCTTTCCAGTGCCTGCAACAATACAGAGACCCTGGCATTCTCCCTCTTTCTTCCCTCCGAACTCATTCGTGATCTCTTTCCTCCTTTCAAAGACAGCAATCGAGTTGATGACGCCACGAATGGCATTCGCCGTTTCTCCAGTCTTTGCTGCCGCTGTCGGCGAGGCATGTGTTGGGTCCGAGTCGCCGTTGACGAAGCCGTTCTGGCCATCAACAGTGTCTGCAGGCTGTCCAACTGAGCCGAGAGATAACAGACTTCGTTTGTCGTCGCTCAGTTTCCATACTCGGATGCAACCATCCCAACTGCCACTGAGGACGATGTCTGTCCCCGGCAGTGCTGCCAGAGCGGTAATCCCGCGAGGAATCGGTTTTCGTGTGTCAACTTGTTTGAGTCTCTCGATCACCTTGGGATCGCCTTCTGAGGTGACTTCCTCCAGAGGAGGAGGTTCGTCTACCCCATGGGCCGTCCGGATAGTGAATAGTGGCTTCTTTTTGTGAACACTCCATAAACTGATAGCGCCGGAATCAGATCCGGTTACAAAGTTGGAAGGAGGAAGCGCCGCGACGCAGTCCAAACTCCCTGTTTGATATTCATCATTCTTCGAACTGTCTCCGAGGAACTTGGTGAGGGACTCTTCCACGACCTTCCACCATAAGGCTTTTCGATCTCTGGCGCCAACCGTGACGCACTGATCAACGCTGACGGGGGAGACATCCACAATATGGTCTTGGTGGCCGAAAAGTGTTTCGACATAAGCAAGGCTATCTTCCCCTGCCAGGCTGTAGGTCTTCAAAGACCGGTCTTTGCTGCCACTGAAGAGTTGTGCACCGAAACCGGATTGAGTAGAAGAGCTTGGGGCGAATGCGAGCGCCGTGACTGCATCTCGATGCGTAGTAAAAGTTTTGAGAGGCCTCAGATCTTCGGCAGACCAGACAATAAGCTTCTTATCTGCGCCGCCTGTGGCGACGTATTTCCCATCAGGCGAAGCGGCAACCGCAAGGATTTGACCAGTATGACCGTGCTGTTGAGGAGCCGACGCCCTGATCTTGATTCCTCGAACATATGCGAGCTGCTTCGGCTGTCGTCGCCGGGGGGCCGTGGAACCTTTGTCGCCAGAGGAAAACGGGGGATTTTGAAGTTGCCACTTTATCAAAGTCTTGTCCTTGCTCACAGTGTAGACGTATGGCTTGCATACTGCCACCGCAGTGGTGCTCTCTGTGTCTGCTCTGAACCGAGTGAGTGTGGCACTGGCGAAGTCCAAGCTCGTAGCGATCAGTCTGTATTGTCTGCCCTTTGCTTCGTCCACATCCTCTTTCAGTCTCCTTGCAATCAAATCTCTGTCGAGATCCTCGGCGTCGAACCCAACCTCGTTCACCTCTTGCTTGATATTGTCGAGATATCTTTGTGCGAGCCTCACTCGGCGCTCCGCTGCGGTTTCTCCTTCTTCGGAAGTCGCCTCAGATTCATCGCCAGTTTCAGGCTCAACTTCGTCCTCAGATTCACTGCCGGATATCGATTCGTCATCCTGATCTGACCCGCGAGTTTCTCGGGCATTGGTCTGCTTGCGGCGGAGGCGCTCCTGTTGATCATCCCGTCTCTCAGTCTTGTCCACCTCACGTCTTTTTCTGGCTTTTCCTGCCGGGTCTACCGCACGCTTCCGCTTCCGCTGAGAGGCGGGAGCAGTAAAGAACGAAGACATCGGAAATTAAGCCAGCTTTGGCGGCCTTCGTAGGAGGATTGTCTAGTAGTGGCGCGAGGACATTTTCTGAGGCAGACAGGTACTGTAGGTTTACTTTGGTTTTCCCCAAAAATTTTGGCCTGCGGCGGACGTGCATCCAGGCTGACAAAGTTGCGGGTGGAAAAAGACTCGCCGCACCTGCCTCTTAGGGTACGCCTGACCACCGCCCCCGTAGTTTTAGTGGCACTAATAGTAGTAGCGGGAACTTGAGTGCAAGGCAGAGCTTCGCGTGCGTGTATCGGCTCCAATCCTACGACAGGCGACTTCAATCTGTCGAACAAGTCAGGACTGCGGCCGCTTCATTCTCGTCAACTACACATCGCCGTCCTTCCTCTTTCCCTCCAAAGCCGGTGATACGTCGTTGCCGTCAACATGTGAGTCCCTCGGCTGTGGCACAGTACCAGAATATGCATCTAACTGGAGATCTAGGGAAGTGCTACTTGGCCTCACCGGCCGTGATTTCACCATCATCGCAGCCTCCAAAGCAGCCATGCGTGGCGCAACGATACTGAAATCGTCAGATGACAAGACGAGACAACTCAATAAGAATACGCTGCTCGCATTTTCCGGCGAAGCAGGTGACACAATCCAATTCGCCGAGTTCATCCAAGCAAACATCGCCCTCTACACCATGCGAAATGAGACGGATTTGGGACCCAGCGCGGTCGCCAGCTTCATCCGCAGCGAGTTGGCGAGGAGTCTACGGAGCAGGAAGCCATACAATGTGAACTTGCTGCTCGGCGGCATGGATCCCATCACCAAACAACCCAGCTTGTACTGGTTGGATTATCTTGCCAGTAGTGCAAAGGTGCCCTATGCCGCTCATGGCTATGCTCAGTAAGTGGAATTTTGTCTCGTGGCGCGAAATACTTTTCTAACATTTGACAATAGATACTACTGCCTTTCCATTCTTGATAAACACCATCATCCGGACATCTCATTTGAGCAAGGCATGAAAATCCTCCGCATGTGCACTGATGAGCTTCAACGAAGATTGCCGATTGATTTCAAGGGGATGACGGTTAAAGTCATAAAGAAGGACGGCATAGTGGACTTAGAGTATGACACGAGCAAACAAGTTCTCGCGGCCTAGATATACTTGGGACATTGAAGAGAAAATTGTCAACACCGGACACATGCATAGCGCGGCGCAATGGAAGTACGATATCAATGGGGTATCAATTCAAGTGACGTTCATCTAACAATTTGCATCAATCCGAGTCCCTTGTCTACTCAGCCACTTGTCATAACATTCGTCTTGTTCCCTCCAAATGGATGAAGCAATTTCCCGAAAACGTTGCGATGGGCCCCATCGAGGGGTTCGTCCTCGCTTCAAGCCGATTATCCTAGTAAAGCCGTTCCGCGCCTTGATTGTCCGAATCCTGCGCGGCTGTGGGAGGGCGGATCATGTCTGACCAGTTCGCCAGAGCTTCTGTACTCCAGGATACCTTCCTCCCACAGATCATGTGGCTCTCTTCGCTGTCTCGCCTGAATGTGATCGGCCTGCACCCCTCGGCGCCGTCCAGGCGGTAGCGGGTAATTCTGGTAGTTGCGTCTAAAACGTTGCCCTTGCAGACGCTGTCGTCGCAATGTTGAGGGTTGAGGAGGTCGGATATCTGAGTCTTCGGAGTCGTGTTCTGCACCGTCGAGATTATCAAGCGATCCAGCGGCGGACGTCGCATTTCCTGCATTTCTGCCATCATCGTTATCATCGTCTGTGGTGCCTGTTGCTTCCCGGCTTGTTCTTTCGTCTTCACTACTCTCCTCCGAAATTTCCTCCTCCGAGTCATCGCTTAGGACAACGCGTCTCGGCCGCGTTCTGGTCGGGACGTAATTGTGGTCGACTTCGGAGGCATCCGTTTCTTCGTCATAATTGGTATTTGCATCTGATGTCTCTCCTTGAGCTGTAGTGTGCGAATCATTTCTACTATTTGCAGGATAAAGTATTCCACCATATGGGTTTATGACCATGGTCGATCCACTGGCAGCGTCGTCATCGTCACGCTCATCGTCGATGAAGCCGTCCATATCATCATTCTCGTCATAAGAGTCGATGCGGTCACTGCCAGTAGCATCTGTAGCTGTGCCATACTCTTCGTAGGGGTCGTAGCCGCCAAAATGCATAGTGCTGTCAAACTCATGGTCGACTTCATCGCCGTCGCCATCGAAATCTGTGTCGACAGTATGTATGCTCTGGGAATCCATGGACAACTCGTCGGACTCGCTCTCACTGTCACCTGGTTCGTATTGTATGAAGCCGCACTGGTAGCATTCGCCCTCTTCCAACTCCCAATGACACTCTGGACACCGGACAACCCCATCCTCATAGTCCATGATACCCTGACGCCATGAGACGAGATGGTGAAGATGGCGTGATTGTTTGAACGCGCCCTTGAAGAGACCAACTCCAGTACGGTCGGCTGCAAGTAAGAGTGCCTCTTCTTCTTTTGCCTGCTGGTGTTCCTGTACAGTCTCATCTTCTGGGAGCAATTCGGCTCGGCCGATGAACATGTGGACGAGATCCCTTAGCAGATAGTTCGGTGATGGCTGCACCTTAACTTCTGCCCTACAATCTGGACAATTTTTCTTGCGCTTCCTGCTCTGAGACCCCCCAAACCAGCTGGCGAGACATGAATAGCAGTATGTGTGGCCACATGGAAGTATGAACGGTTCGTAGAAAGGCTTTATGCAGATTTTGCACAACGACAGGTTGCGCATGTCCTCAATATGTTTCTGGAATGTCGAGAGGAGCGACATGTCCGTGGTGGCCATGTTGGGCGGCTGAAGGCCTCAGCGGTGGCCGAACGCTTGAGTGGAATTGGACGGTATGTTAAACGGCATGTACAGGGTGAACCGCGACGAAGTTAGGATGCAAAGGCGCCAGTTGTTGAATAATGGTCGACCGAGATGCCTGGGAAAGAGTTGAAAGGTTTCTCAGGGTCGCAGGGGCATAAGTAGCCAGCGCGTTTGGTCGCGGTGATATGGGAGGCTGAACTTCTTCTGACACTTCAGTTCACTTTCAGTAGTTCGATCTGCGCGGGAAATTCTTGGCTACACTCCGCCGTAGATCCGCCACTGGCGCTTACCTACCTAGGTAGGCTGCAGTGCGGGCTTTGTACGGTCGAGCATCGCCCTGTTGCCTGCGTCAGTGGATGGAACGTTGGCCGCATTTACATTTATTATTTTGTGCCAGGCCCGGGGTACTACTTAATAGTTGACATTGCCGTGGCTCGAGACACGTTGCTTCGAGGATCAATACCACCCAGTGGCTTTGGCGGTCATGTCGAAGCCTATTTCGTTTGGTTTCGGCAAGCAAAAGCCCTCGCCTTCTTTTTCATCTTCAGGCCTAGCCTCGCGCAAGACACCAACCCCGAGAGGGCCCCCCAAAACCGCACTTCGCAACGATTCAGACAACGAAGATGAGGACGAGCCTAGGCACGAGTCAGTCACTGGCTTCACGTCAAGTGGTGCTATTCTAAGCGAATCTGTGCAGGAAACAACACAATTAGTTATAAAGAATCCCGGCAATAGCGACTGGCGACGACGTGGGCGCAAGAACTTACTCCCAGCCGAAGTTCAAGCCCAACAACAAGGCGGCGGACCGGTTACGGTGGAAAGGGATGAGGTCAGCAAAGAGAGTGGTCTGCAACTTGCAGACAAGACCGAGCAGGCAGCAGAGCCAAATGGTGATGACGCGAAGCGGGACACAACCGTGCAGGCAGACACAGAACCTGCCCCCAAACAGTTGACTGCGGACGAGGAGGCATTACAAGCCTTACTTGACAACGGCACCGGGAAACCAAAGTCAAACGCTGTTATTGTTCAACAAGGCAACACGCAGCTGTCAATACGGGACGAGATCGAGGACTTCAGAGATGACGTTGCAGCCAGGCCTGACCCGTGCACCCTTGAGGAGTATGCTGCAATGCCAGTTGAAGAATTTGGCCTGGCCATGTTGAGAGGGATGGGCCAGAAAAGACGTGCCAATGGCGAGATCATCAACCTGGATTCGAAACCGGAGGACAATCCCCGAAAACTCCGGAAGCAGGAAGGTTTCCTTGGGATTGGAGCAAAAGCCGCTCCAGGTACAGATGTCGAACTTGGCGCCTGGGGTAAGGCAGACATGCGCAAGAACGCCAAAGGACAGGGGTTCTTCACTCCATTAATGCGGGTGAACAAGGTTACTGGGGAACGCATCTCAGAGGAAGAGTTACAGAAAAGGATCAAAGAGTCAAAAAATGTCAAAGAGGACGATAATTGGAAAAGAACGAGAGACCACGATTCGGATAGCAACCAGAACGGGCATCGAGACTCCCGGGGCCATCGTGCCGGTGACGACTATCGCGATCAAATGAACTCATTCTCGCGGCCCAGCTCATCAAAACGAGATCGCGACGACCGGGACTACTCTCATTCGAAAGGAGATAGGGAGGATCGTGACTACGAGAGTTCAAACTCCAGGAGAAGGGACGAGAGGTCTCGAGATGGAAGAAGCCGAGACCCTGGTGACTATGACCGTGGCCACCGAGACAAGCATCGAGACCGTCGTCGAGACGACGACAGGTACGATTCAAAGTCATCTAGTCGCACGCACAGAGACCGTGATAGGGACCGTGATAGGGAGAGGGACCGTGATCGAGACACCGGCGGCGAACACCGCTACCGTGAGAGACGATAAACAATGACGAGACTGTTCAAGATTCTCATTCACCGTGCCCGGCAAGTACAATTACACCATTACAATATCTTCGCTACCGGCTGTTCCGTTGTCGATGGCCAAAAGTCCATCGCTGCCCACCGCGATGCCAGCAACCTCATCCATTTCCCTGAGGGTGTAGTCGACTAAGTAACTCTCGTCGACTAGTTCCTCCATGCGCTTGTAATGTCGGTCGGTGTAAACTTCTAGCGCACGAAGCAACTCCTTCATACCCCTGCCTTTTGCGCTAAGTTTCCGGTCTTTGGCCATGTCCACAAACAGGCTCGCCGGGTAGCTCTTAAAGAGACAGTTTAGAACTCTCTGAGCAACGGTTGCGGTGCGAGCGTTCGTGTTCCAGTCACGCACGCGCTCGAGGAGGGTGAAGACCTGCTGTTGATCAAGCGTCGCAAGAACGTCATCCACAGCGGTCAGCCCCATGATGCTGGAGCTATCTTTCTCGGCCTCAGGCAGATTCAGCACGTCCTCGAAAACGCGAAGTAGACGGCCTGGGTGATTCAAGGCCAGAGACAAGGTGATCGCTTCACGGTAGTTCTTTGAGAAAATGTGATTCTGGAGCTGTTGGTCTTGTTCAATGCGCTCGGTGGCCCGTTTCGAGGCCAATGTTGCCGTCTGCACAGTCGTATCGCGCCAGAACGTCAAAGTAGCGTCTGCACCGCCGGAAATCAAGGGGTATGGATATGTGGGATGGCGAGATTTTGGGTCCCTGTGGGCAGAGTCCGGCGCGGCCAAGGCCCATACTCGGTCAGTGTGGTTATCGAGCGTGGTTAGGAGGTGGTCGGAGTCTGTGGCGGAGTAAGGAGACCACAGCTTAACAAGAGTGTCGGACGATGCGGATGCTATCATTGGTTGGTTCGACCGAGCCTGACGCGAATCCGACGACTCTTCAGAATTGGGACTCGTAGAGGGTGGCGGGATCCAGATGACTTTCAGCACGGAATTGCTGTGTCCCTCAAAGGTCTGGAGGCAGGTATATGTCGACAGAGACCATACTTTGACCGTGCGATCACTCGAACCACTGATGAGTATGGGCCTTGACCCGCTTGATCCTCCGTCCGGCAGGCTGAGGGGAGGAGTTCCTGCCGGAGAGAATCGGATTGACCAAACGCCTCGCTTATGGCCTCGCAAGATTCCTGTCACGGACCCGTCTTCGAGAGACCAGATCTTGATTGTGCGATCCTGGGAGGCGGAAGCAAATAGCGGGGCCGTGGGAGAGACATCCAAGGCATTGATATCCTTCTCATGCGCCACCCTTGTGAACAAGGCTTTGGCGGCAGCTTGAGGCTCTGTGAGCTTTGGATCGTACTTCATTTTCGACGTATCCCAGCGTTTGATGGTTTTGTCTTGTGACCCGGTAAGCAGGAATGCCGGCGGATGCCTCGCGGGATCGCTGGCGGCCGTTCCGCTCGCCGGTGGACTTCTCGGAAGCGCAATAGCACCAAGAGATTCTGCGTGTCCTGCAAACATAGCAAAACAAGTATACGATGAAGTTGAAGGATCGAGCCTCCAAAGTCTCGCAGTGTTGTCTTTCGCCCCCGTGGCCAACCAATGCCCAGACCAGTCGACATCTAAGCAAATGATGATATCTTGATGCCCTTCGAGCTGGGTCACGTCGCTTCCAAAAGACCCATCGTCATTTTCTGCGATAGAGATTAATTTAACACTCTCTGTATTTGTCGCCAGGGCAAGCAGCCTCCTATCCGGCCCAACGCAAGCCATATCGATAACCTCGTCCAGAGTTCCAGAGATCGTCCGAAGTAAGGGCAAGACGTCTAACGTATCTTTAGGCTGAAGGCTCCACAGAGAAGATATACTCCGCAATCTCATCGTCTGATCCTGATGTATGGAAAGAAGGGCATCCTCCTTAGTGACGGGAATAATGGCTGTGATCGAATCGTTTTCCAGCCCTGGTTTCTGCTTGGCGGTGACTTCTCGACCGGTAGTCGCGTCCCATATTCTGACTGCGCCATGTTCGCCTCCACCATAGCAGAAACGTCCACCAGAAAGGAACCCTGAGTCCTCCAAAACTTCCAGCGCAGGAATGACTCTCTGCTGTGTCCAAGTCTGCGCGTCCCAGAGGATTATAGTCCTGTCTCGGCTGGCTGACAAGAACTGATGCTGCTCTTCAGAGTAGTCCAGGCTCCGAACTACGCTGACATGCGAGTCGAGAATTGCAGCAGGTTTCCTTGTTGCTAGGTTCCATATGCGAATCTTTCCGTCCTCGCCGCCCGAAGCAAGGTAGATAGACCTAGTAGGAGCACTATCGTCGATCACCTTTTGACTCAGATCGCGACTCTTCCGTTTCCGGCTTTTTGAATTAGAGGTCTCAAGAGAATTTGACTCAAAGAACTTCAGAGCAGAAACAACACCACCGTGCCCATGGAACGTGTGGGAGGCATAACCGCCTCTAATGTCCCACACTTTGACGGTGCCGTCCGCTCCTCCAGTTGCCAGCAGCGAGCCGCTTGCGTCGATGGTGGAAGAGACAACAGGAGTATCATGTGGTTTAACTGTCCGAGACAGGCTTGCCGAAAGAGTCTGGGAATCTTCCGAGGGCTTGAGGGCATATATTCGGAGAAAGAGCGATCGAGAACAAACAACTAGATAAGAGCCGTTAGGAGCCAGCGACAAGCTCGTCACAGCCTCGCCATCCCCTTCAATACGACATGTAACCCTGCTTGTCTTGATGTCAACAAGCAAGACTCCGTCCTCGACACACGTCGCTAGGGTCGAGCCATCGGATGTGTGAGAGACATCACCACCTGTGTAGATTGGCTCGATAGTCTTGGCCGGTTCGAAAGTTGTTTTAAACTGAACTTTCGTCGCCATCTGGTTGCGGTTCGTGCGAAAACTTTATCTGGTGGCCATAGATATTGGTCAGGGTATATTTAAAAAGCTACCATGCGAGACAGTGCAAAGCAGTACAGTGTTTGAGAGGGACATGCTCCTCGCCGTCCAACTCTCAAAAATTTCTTTTGGGAAAAGGGCCGCAACCGCCACGGGCGATGATTGGCGGAATGTGGACACGGAGGTTAGCTCGCACTAATGGCACATTCTACCGCGCGCTAGTCACATTAACATCGTTATAGTTTCAACGTCCTCTATCCCTCTATCACTTTGTTGGCTCACAGCATCCATGTATTGTGCAATGCATTAGCCGACGATACTGCAGCGCATCAGCTCCTGGATTAAATTGACTTCCTGATTGAGGGACTAAGTGGTAGTCCAAACTGAACAGCACCTCGTCCTCTATTCTCATCCACTTCGCGACTTTCTTGGCGTGGTCAACTTACGACTGTGAGCGCCTGTCTGCCTGGCACTGCGGTGCCTAAGTGCGCCCGCAATGTACTCTCCGACAGTCCTGTGCTTGAGAATTTCTAGCTGAAAGCGCCTTCTCGCGGTTCCACGCTTCATGTTTCAACGACATGGGCCGTCATGCTCATATTGCCAGGCTGGCTTTGGTATGCTGCCCCACTCCAAGGATGCACCCCCGAGCCTGGTTCACCACATCCGGGCTTTCAAGACAATACAACTGCCTGACCATTTTCTCAGAGTCCTGAACGGACTCGCCTATGCGCTAAACACACGAAGAGTCTCCCAGGAATACTGACAGTGTGTCCAGGGCAGATCCCCATTCGAACCCCCTCTGCAGGACGACAGGGGAGATTTCGTCTTGGGTCCAAATGTGCAGCTCTGTGCTGCCCGCAATTATGTTCAATATTTTGACTCTCGCGGGCATCCACAGAATTTCGCCTCCGAAGCCTCAAGGACAAGGCTCATTCGGGCTCAGAACGATGCACTATCGACTGTTGGTGTTGTGGTTCGTAAAGCTAAGCGGACTCGTTCTTCATGGCAAAACATGAGTGATGAGCAGAAGCACATGCTCCTCATTAGCGAAAATATTGCAGGAGCCAACCTGGGGATTATTGTGGACGTTCTCCAGAGGTTGTCTACGTGGTGGATAGTGTGCTTTCGCCGCCGCTTGCTTGTAAGCAGACGTCCAAAAAATCATCGGTTGGGGCTACTGACGGTTTCAGATTTACAAGTCATACTTGGGACTCTCGATACCTGAACTGATATTGTCTGAATGGAGAACCTCGACAACCGAGGAGTTTTTCTCTGCTGGACTCCTGTCCGCTGCCATTTCCAAATTTAGCCAATCGTGGAGGAATAGTCTCATCAACGACCGACACGTCTCCAATCGGTCCCGTTCGCAGAGCGTCTCCTATTCATCTGGAATGGTCAGATTCATTCGGAAGCACAGGTTAGTGAGTCCTTGTCATGTTAGTAGTCAAGCTAACAGCCAACAGCTTACAGCTCCTTTGGTTTGCGACGGCAGAGTATCCATTTTATGCATTTTCTGTTCTGCAGTCTCTCTACCTTGTCCCCGTCAATGCCGCTCCGCCTCTACTAGCTTTTATACCTTTCACCGCCTCCTCGCCTATTCGCCTTCCCGACACGCTGTCTGACAGCCCGTGGCCATACTGGAGCCTATATCTGTTGCATATCGCCTCCAGCCCCTTCGTCCTTTGCTACATAAAGGACCAGATCGGCAGACATGTTTTCAAAAAGGTCTATCAGATTGTTCGCCACCTATTGGTCAAACCTGACAGGCCAGACCGCTCGTCGCTTCCGAGCGCAAGACGCAAAATGAGCACGGTTTCCGAGCGTGCCATTGCTACTGTCAGCTCCGATAGAAGGCACCCACCGCCCTCTTCCAAGTTCCCAACTCTTTTGGACATTTTCGGTACTTTTGTCCCCGTAATCTTTTGGGTATGGGAAAAGGCGTTCCAGAGTCAGCGGACTCCCCTCACTGTAGAGTTGAGTCCAGATATCGAAGAGGAACTTACTCACAGAATTATCTTGCACTACCGAAACTTATTGCGTCAGGACCTTGCTGTGGACGTCGAACTCAGACGTCCTCCGAGAATGCTTCGGGTGCTAGCCATCCAATCTGCGTTCAGTGACTATAACCTGGACCCTGACCGTGCGGTGGATGTTTTGGCTGATGAGCTGAACTTTGATATCTTCAGCGATGTCTCGACGGCAACGCCTGATCCATTGGATCCCACGGTCATCGAGGATGCTGCAGCAGCAGCACACGGTCAAACTATTCTATCGAATGGTGTTCACACTGGATCGCTAGAAGACTCTGGAGCAACTGCAAGCCAGTTGCAAAGCGCGGAGGGATTCCAGGTTCCTCACGCCGAGTCTAGTGCAGAGGAAGACGGCACTGAGGGCTTTGCTGCTGAGGACCGCGCCGGCGGCCCCGTCCAAGGGGAGGTCCAAGCAGAGCTTTCCCTTCAGCCTACAGCCGCCCCCGAGACGCTACCGGGGCCTGAGTCCTTAGAAGCAGGAAGAAACGACTTACAGGGTGGATCAATTCCGCTTCCAGAGCTTTCAGCTCCTGAACTGCTAGCAGCACCCGCATCTCGGGCCCCATCTCCGGCCGCATCTCCTGTCCCAGGCATCTCTCGAGCGGTCAGTCTCTCAAATGCGCCGCCAAGACCGGTTCGCCGGCCGACAGATGTTGATGAAGATCTTCGGCCGACGAGGGATGACTCGCTCTACCATGAGGACCCATCAAGGAAGACACGACGTGATGACGAGCCACTTTATCGAGTCACACTCCTTTCAAATCATCCTGCAGAGACCTTTGCTCTCTTTGCCGCCTCAATAATGGAGTCCGCCGTGCTGCTACCTTTCGAGATGTTGTTTCTCAGATCTCTGGCACACAATTTCCTTGCACATCCATGGGCGGATACGCAAATCTCAAGAACACTGCCCCCGCTTGCTGAGGAGTGGTCCCTTGGGTCATGGCTTGTAGGTCGCGGTCATAGCACAACTCGAGGCTTACGCTTATTTGGGAGCTGCGGCATGGTAATTGGGATCCAGGCCTTCATAAGCCTTGCGATATGGAACGTGGGTACGCATGTCACTTTGCGACTGGGCCGTCAGTTCGGCTGGGGGAAGATATGAATGGGAGCGTGGACTTCTTCGGCCAGCAGTATTCTGCAAGCCGATCTGCGATAATGATACCCGGCCACTAGGCCATTAATCCACCTATGTGATACATAGCTTTATGAAAGTGCATTAGATGACCCTTAACATGTGCATATGTTCTACTACTTTTCAGGACTGTAATATGCTTGGCCATAAGGCTGATTTACCCCGGGATCCAATCAGCAACGACGAGGCTGCGGCTGCGGAGGAAATTATTTGCCTTGTTTGCATGCGGCACCGTGATTCCTCCGTTGTCGCCAACTCGAAATTAATTGAAGAGCTCAATGCACCATCATGTCGAAGCGAAAGTCCGAAGAGCCACTAGAAAGCGTCTTGACTGAGGCGTCCCCCGCGAGTAAACGGGTGCGCATCGAGGACATTCCAGAGGAAGCCCAGCCCGTCGCAAATGGTAGTACCTCAGAAGGCCAGAACGGCGACACAGCCGCCTTGAATGGCAATACAGCGTCTAGCACAGAGTCGGTCAACCAACGCGACGACGAGGATGAGACAGACGGCGAAGATGAAGATAACGAGGTGGCTGTCGCGCCCTTACGACAAAATGCTCCAACTGAAGGGTATAGCGATCTTTATCTAGACACCATCAATCGGTCGTTGCTTGATTTCGACTTTGAAAAGTTGTGCTCCATCACCCTTTCAAACATCAATGTCTATGCCTGCTTGGTCTGTGGAAAATATTTCCAAGGCCGCGGGCCCAAATCGCACGCATATTTCCACGCTCTCGAGGTCGACCACCATGTGTTCATCAATATGGAGACGAAGAAGGTCTATGTCTTGCCTGAAGGTTACGAAGTGCATAACAAAAGCTTGGACGATATAAAATACGTGGTGGATCCGAAATTTACAGAGGAAGAGGTCAAGAAACTGGACAAGGAGCCCAGGGTATCCTTAGACCTGGCAAACAGAAAATACAGGCCCGGCTTTATCGGCATGAACAACATCAAGGCCAACGACTATCTGAATGTTGTGGTACAGACGTTGGCGCATGTGGCGCCGTTGAGAAACTTCTTCCTGCTACATGCGTTTCCTCACACGGCACCCCAGTTACCTGTCCGATTCAGCACGCTTGTGAGGAAGCTCTGGAACCCCAAGGCCTTCAAATCTCATGTGTCGCCGCATGAGCTGCTGCAAGAGATTGCATTACGTTCGTCGAAGCGATTCACGTTGACCCAGCAGTCGGACCCGGTGGAGTTCTTGTCCTGGTTCCTCAACAACCTACACTTGAGTCTGGGAGGGTCCAAGACAAAGCCGTTCTCATCCATTATCCAGAAAGCCTTCCAAGGAAAGCTGCGGGTAGAATCGCAAGAAATCACAGCCAAGTCAGACATAACTGGCGACCGTCTCAGGTTTGAAGAGTCTTCAACTATCAACACCAACATCACCCCTTACCTCATCCTCACACTCGATCTCCCACCGGTTCCTCTGTTCCGAGATGCAGTGGAATCCAAGAACATCATTCCCCAGGTTCCTCTCACTTCTCTATTGCAAAAATATAACGGCCTGAATGCCCTGGAGAGGCAATCGCACCGAGTCCGCCATCGGCTGTTGCATCCCCTTCCTCCATATTTGTTGTTTCACATCAAACGATTCAGCGTCAACAAATTTGTGTCTGAGAGAAACCCCACCATTGTAACGTTCCCCTCGCCTAGAGGCTTGGACATGTCACCTTATGTTGAACCGAATCCGGCCGTCCACCCGCCGGGAGAGCCCATTTACTATGAGATGGTAGCCAACATCATCCTCGACACTACATCTGTGTCTGTGGGGGGCGGGGAGGATTCGAACGCAGCGGATGCGGCCAATAAGGCCGTCGGGGCCGAGGGTCAGAAGGTAGCTTGGAAGGTCCAGCTTCGAGATAAGGCAGTTGCCCATGCGCAGCGGACAGATCTGCCGGAGTGGTTGGAAATACAAGATCTCTTCGTGGATCGTGCAGAGGCCGAAACACTCTTTACTAGGGAGAGCTATCTCATGGTGTGGGAGCGCAAGAAGGGAAAGCCAAACACGGCCTCAGGTCAGGCTGACAAGGGTAAAGGCAAAGCGTAATTAGATGTGTAACACCACAATGTGCATTGTTTATTGCACTAATGAGATACTCTACGGGTGGTGCTCGACTTCTGCTCTGGTTTCTCTTTTCGTTGTTGAGTGATTGAAACTGGTGTTTTGCGCTTGCGGAGTTGCGCTGATCATTATATAAATGACGAAATGGAGCTATACTATAAGGTCCTCCCACAGCCTGCCATCTTAGATCCAACAAACTGGCTCGTGGAGCAGCGTCGTTGTCAACTTTCTAGGGGCTGGAGCACACCGTAGTAGACAACTTGAAGATGAGGCTGTTTTGGAGCGCAGCAGCAGTTCTGCTCTCAGCATGTATTCCCGAATCCCTTGCGGAAGTCAGGAGCAACACCAACCAACAGCCCCTTGCAGCACCCGTTCGGGCTTCAAGTCCAGCGGCAATTCAAGTTGACCATGACAAAAAGCTCTCCGAGGTGATTGCCGCATCACCTCTGCTATCACTACATCGAGCGATTTGCGAAGTGGAGTCGATCACGGACAACGAGCTGGCAGTGGGAAAGTTGATCACGTCGTTTCTCGAGGCTCACAACTTCACCGTCAAAACGCAGAGCGTGCCCCCGCCAGGCGCGACAAACAGTACCAAAGAGCGACTTAATATCTATGCATATCCCGATCCCTCGAAATATGCAGCATCAACCTCCGGCGAGAAGACAGCGAGCTCTGAATCGCTACCAAAGCCAAAGGTAGTGCTGAGCTCCCATATTGACACTGTCCCACCACACATTCCATACTCGCTCTCTCTACCTGGACACCGGCACCACAAGGATGATACTAGTAAGTTATCGAGTCGCAAAGACATCCTGATCTCCGGCCGCGGCACGGTCGACGACAAAGCGTGTGTGGCCGTGCAAATACAGGCGCTTTTGGATCTACTTGCGGGACACGACCAGATCAACCCGTCCGACGTGGCGCTACTGTTTGTAGTGGGCGAAGAGAAGCGCGGCGATGGCATGAAACACTTTTCCGCGTCCGAACTGTACAAGCAGACCAATGCAGACTACAAGGCCGTCCTGTTTGGCGAACCTACAGAAGGCAAACTGGCCGCGGGCCACAAGGGCATCACGATGGTCTCTATCAAGGCGCACGGCAAGGCCGCGCACTCCGGCTATCCCTGGCTAGGACGCAGCGCCAACAGCATGATTCTCCCGGCGTTGAATGTCCTCGATAAGCTGGGAGACATCCCTGAGGAGGAAGGCGGGCTACCACGCAGCGAGAAGTACGGTAAGAGCACGGTCAACGTTGGCTACATGCAAGGAGGTGTGGCTGCGAATGTCGTGCCTGAATTTGCCACGGCCGACGTCACATTCAGACTGGCTGGGGGTACAGCTGAGCAGGTGCGAAAGATTGTCACGGATGCCATTCGCTCGGTCGATCCGGACGAGCAGTTGGAGTTGGACTTTAGTCAGGGATACGGCCCGGTGCCCTTGGATGCGGATGTTGAGGGATTTGATACTATCACGGTCAATTATGGCACCGACGTCCCAAATCTCGAGGTGGCAGAGGGTGTCAAGAGGTATCTTTATGGGCCGGGAAGTATCCTTGTGGCTCATGGCGACAACGAGGGTCTGACTGTGGGAGAGCTGGAGGAGGCCTTGGAAGGATATAAAAAGCTGGTCAAGCATGCACTGGAAAACTAGGGACTAGTTGTATATGCAATAGACTGTGCCATTGGTACTTTCACAGAATAGAACGATCATACGTCTCGAAGGGATGCCATAGAGTCTAGTTATGGAATGCCTGACTCCATAGTTAAGGTGCATGCAGGCCAACAGTTGCTCAGTTGATGCTTCGGTGCCGGCGAGTGAGCCTGAGAGCTACGCCGGGCCTGGAGTGCCTGGCAATGATCTTAAACCGCCAAGACATGATATTGCGCCTTACCACTTCAAGAGCCCACAAATCGGCAGACCTTCCCCATTATGCGCCCGAAAACTTGAAGAAACTCGCGGGCTTGGCACTGCCACCGCCGCACCGCACCGCAGGTTGTCTTCCAAGTCTGGCTCGAACAACCTCTTTCGACGAGACAACCTTCAACGACGACAACCACCACCTCCGATTCCTTTCCCATCCGCCGAGATCACTCAGCAACAATGGCGAAGGAACCGACTCAGAAGTCCGGCATCATCGTCGGCTTGAACAAAGGCCATGTGAGTTCACGCCCGCTACACGCCGTTTTTGCATCACACACCAAAAGAAAGAGGGAGAGGGACGAGAGAGGGCGAGCCAGGGAAACGAATGCAGATGGGTCGAAGGACGAAACAATCGACAAGAGAAAACTTCTTTTCTCAAATTCCAATGCCGGAGCAGCTCGATTTCCGCCTTTTTCGCTACCTCGCTCGTTCAACCTTTGATCTCTCTTGCTGGAGGAGGACGAGGAGAATCAGGATGATTGGATTTGATGCATCTTCGCCTATCCGGAACATATTGCTAACCATGGCTTTTCCAACGCTGTTTAGAAAGTCACCCCCATTGCCCCCAAGCCACGCATCAGCCGCACCAAGGGCCATTTGAGCAAGCGCACCGCCTTCGTCCGCGAGATCGTCAAGGAAGTCGCCGGTCTGGCTCCGTATGAGCGCCGAGTTATCGAATTGCTGCGCAACTCCAAGGACAAGCGCGCACGCAAGCTGGCAAAGAAGAGAGTACGTCACACCTGGATCACATACCCTTTAACTCTAAGTGGACGACGGGATCTGCCACGAGGGAATGAAACGAATCGCTTGCTAACATGTCCTTCTCCACACAGCTCGGTACTTTCGGTCGTGCGAAGAGAAAGGTCGACGAGCTTCAGCGCGTCATCGCCGAGTCGAGACGTACCGGTGCCCATTAAACAATCTCTTTCTGCGAATTGGTAAAATGCAACTTCCGGGAACGTTCTGATATCCGTGCCGAGATAAAACAAAAACCCTTGCAGCGAGGCGGAAATTGGTGTGGATGGATTCTCAATTTCCGGTCGTGCTTGAAAGAAGATGCTGGCGCTATCAGAGAGTCGGAACGGAGAAAGCAAGGCAAGGCTTTATTGAGCTTTGAGGACATGGAACGATCCAAAGGAGTTACAAAAGTCTTTCCTGCCCTCAAGTCCATTTAGCAACATGAGTGCAACAAAACGCGCCTGTCGCATGGATGAAACAGAGTGCTTGGTCTAATCATTGATCGCAACGATCGTGATGGCTAGGCACTGACAAGATGAATCAATGAATTGAATCAAACTGGACGTGTTCTATTGATGGCTCTCATGACTCGTTCCTTGCGGACTCGAATTCCCTGATCTGAACTCCTATGCTGCTTCTGAATCAAACACTCGTGAATGATCGTGACAAGACCTGAACCCAAGCACAAGTCGCTAACATGTGGTTACGCACACGCATAATGGCAGTTCCTCGTAACCCCCAACACTCACATCATCGCTCCTAAACGACGAGGCACAGCACGGGTGGTCATCTAATGCTGACATCGACCTCGTCCTCGTCTTCCAATCCAACATCCTCAACCGTCGCCTCTGGATCCAACCGCTCCCCATCAAAAATGAGCCAAGGCGTCTTGTTTTCCTCCAACTTCTTAGTCGCGGCATATCCACGCATGATTTTCGCCATGGTCGTATGTGGACGCACTCGTAAATGCATGGGCTCATAGGCCGGGTTGACGAGGTGAATCACAATGGAGCTTTCAGCCTCCTGTATCCTCTTCGCTTCGGCAGCAGAAGTGGCTACACCGGCCTCAGCCTCGTCACTATCATCCGGATTATCACCGTCGGAAGACGCCCGGTTATGACTCTGCAGTTTCTCCTTCTGCCTCAGCTTTTCTTCATAGATCTCCGGCGTCATTGCTTCCAGGAGAATGTTTCCTTTACTCGGGTCATGGTCACGATCATCCTCATCGTCGTCCTCATCCAAGCCAAGACTTTGCTGGCGATAATCGTCTCTAAGTTTCTTGATCATGCCTCGCGTCGTAGTCGAGTCAAATAGTCTCGTCCCTCGCCAGGTCAAAAAGACCTTCTTCGCAACGGCATCGTCCAACTGCCATCTCTTGCACCAGAACTCCCTGACCTGCTTGAGTGACTGGGAGGCTTTGCGCATGACAACAAGCGGCTTGGTGTCCGGGATGTCGGATTGAATCAGGATTCTGACTTGTGGATCGTCCTCCTGTTCTGTCGGCACAGGTGTGGCGGTGCCGGTCCTGCCGAAATCCCGACCAGAACGGGCTGACACAGGCCTGCTGCTTTGAGCACGACTTCGTTCAATCGACGGAGCTCGCGTGGCGGTGGTCGGGGTTGCTGAAGACCTTCCCGTTGAGAGGGGACTCGGTGCATTCTCTGGTTCCAGACCCAAGCGCTGTAACCGAGCCTTTTCGCGGGCCTTTTGCTTCAACGCCCGTAGATATTCATCGTCCTCGTCTGATTCTTCTTCTTCCTCATCGACAGGGATAGACTGAGATGCGGTTTTTGCTTTCGAAAGAGAAGTAGTCTTCTTCGCTGTCGCCGTGGACACCATGGCCAGGTCGTCATCTTCTTCGTCGCCGGCAGCGCTCAAAGATGATGCCGTATATTGCCCTGTTCCTCGTGCTACCTTGGTCCTAGGCGATTTCTCCAAGCCGTTCCTAAGCATTTTCTCATCCCGGGGAGTGCTGCGCGTTATGGGCTTCTTGTCCTGCTCATGTCTGTGAGTGTGGGTGTTGTCCCTTGTCTTTTTGGAATGAGATGTATTGCGCAGGAAATCGTCATCATCATCTTCTGCCTCATGCTTTGGATCTTGTTCTTGTTCCACAGATATCCGCCTTCTCTTCGCCGCCGACGACGGGCTAACGACACTCTTGCTATGTTCCGTACGCGGTTTGGTGGTGGCTCTGGCCGCCGCCGCTTTTTTCGCGCGTTTCGCTTGTTCCGCTTGCAGGATGTCATCGTAGGCTACATTGCGGCCAAACACCGAGGAAGCGTCCTCGACTTTGGCCGACGACGACGCTGTGGGGGCCGCTGCCCACGCCGGCTTGTGGAAAAGCGACCGCTTGTGGCCTGTATTACTCATTTCACACGGGGCAGGCTGGACCTGGACAACGTTCGATGTATTCACTGCATGGCAATATCGCTGAAACATGCCATGCGGCGGGGAGTTGGTGGAGCGCGATGCCCCGTGGGTTTATTTATTAGCGTAACCACCAAAAAAGTGCAGGCACCGGGCAGGTACTTTGCGCGGACTCGGAGTTCGTAGTGACAACCGAGCTTACTAAGCGCAAGGCTGCCTCACTGTGCCTCAGCCTCGTTTGTCTCTTACTGAGGCAGAGATCCCTTGGATTCAACTTTGCTAGCTGTATGTACCCGACGACTGCTTCCCTCTGACCCAGATCTACTGGCAGGCAGTGTGTTCCCAGGTAGTATGATCTATATCGCTCCATGTCAAATGCATGCCAAATTACAATGATCAGTTTTAGAATCGTTAATGCGTTGTGCTGGTTTATCAAAGTATATTGTAAACTGCTATGACCAGTCGTCTCACCCATGAGCAGAGAATGATCCTGGCATGCTGAAACATTCTGCCTGCTGTTGCGGCTCGTCAGAACTGGCGCCGTCATGGCGATTCACGTCATCATCAGCCTCCTCATCTTCTTGGTACATGTTGGACTGGCCTGCCATTTGGAGCAGGTGCAAGAATGCCGCGTCCAAATCGTCGTTCCGGAACTTGCGGCGTTCAAAGTACTCCAACGGAGTGTATCCCATCGCGTCCTTGACACTGGGATGAACCTGCCCAATGCCTGCCGATGAAGCTAGAGCTGTCATACAGTCATCCCCCGCGTAGATGGCAGCTAGGTGGAGAATGTTCTGATGAATCTTGTTAACAACTCTGCAGTCGGCCTCCTTTTCCAGAAGGACCTTGACAACATCAAGTTGATCGTGCCGTACGCCGGCCATGAGGGGCGTCATGCCGTCGTCCTTCACAGCATCGATGTTGGCGCCATATCCCAACAGAATAGGTATCAGGTTTGTATTGCCAAAGGTGGAGGCGTAGTGTAACGGCGTCTGCCCTCCATACGCCACAGCGTTAGCGGAAGCGCCAGCATCGAGAATCTCGCGAACAATGGACCTAGAAGCCCCTATCTGCCGATAGCAGTAGCAATGCAGAGGGGTCCGACCGGCGGTATCTCTGCAATCTCTTTGTGCACCATGCTGTAACAGCAACCGAACGACTTCTGCATCTCTAGCAACGTGGAGAGGCGTCTGCGACAGTCCAGCTCCGAGGGCATGGCTTGCTCCGTTCTCAAGCAGAATGCGCACTGCATCGAGGTTGCCCTGCGATGAAGCCCACCATAGTGGTGTGGCGCCACGAATGTCCCCACCATCAATGTCAGCAGTTGAGGTCTCTAATACATCAAGCAGTCGTAGCTTTGTGATCCCAAGCACAATCTTGTGTATTGTGTTGTATTGCTGACTGCTGACGAAATCGTCCAAGTCGACCTCTCGTAGGACTTCGTTGTCGCACATAACATAGTCGCCAGGGACCTTGGAGGACTTTTGAGCGAGGAACCAGGCCCTCTCGATGACGTTGCTACCTATATTAGTGTATCAAGTCACTGATGTGATGGTTGGTAATGCATTACCTTCCGTTCGCTGCGTCGATGGTCAGGTCTGCTCCTTCAGAAATCAGAAACTGACACATATCCGTTCTACCGAGCGTAAATGCTGTCTTGTTGAATATTAGAGCCACAGCACCCCCGTACGAGCAACGCTTCTAAACACTTACGTGTATCAAAGTCCAGTTCGTTCTCGACACATCGTATATCGAAGCCTGTCCGGCCTTGAACATGTGTCTGAGGCGGTCCACGTCGCCTTTCGCTATGACAGCAAAAACTTCGGCCGATTCTGGCAACACTCTCATAGTGTTGAAATTCACCTTTGTGTTCAAAGCGGTAGATGCCAAAGCGAGGTGGATAACTCGATGCAAAGCCCAATCAGGAAATCGATATGTTATTCTCACAGCAGAATGCTCACGTCGTCGACAGTTTCGCTCACTGCAAGGCGCCTTCACGAATGCCTGTCCGGCATAGTTGACAAGAACGTGGCCAATCAGTCGACCTAGAAATGACGGTGTAGAGAGCTGGTACGGGCGATGGCAGGTGCAGCTGCAAGAGGACGAGCAGCGGCCATTCGCCGAGGAGGATCGACTTGTTTGAGAAATCCCTGGTGAAATCCCCAGTTCCCCTGAACTTAGCCTTCGACTCATGATATGGCCATCATCGAGGTCCACAGCCTCGGAGCTCGGAGTGAACGTCCCACTGTCCAGAGGGGTGTCTGTAGAGGCAGACGGCGTATACGCTTCTTGACCCGATTGAGCTTCTTCTCCGCTCATGTCAGAGATTTCGCTGGGATCGCATATCAATCGAGAAGGTGGAATTGGCATATTAGTAGCAAGGCACCTCATGTCGGTCAGCCTCGTGGTTTGGAAAAGGGATATGATTTGCAGGTTCCCCTGTAGATGGGCATTGATCTTCTGGACTTCTGAGTCGAGGGAAAGGCTTCGCATTGCGGTCAAATACTTTGCGATCACCTTCGCCCTCTGTTTGGCACGGACCGGAGCGACCTTCTCCACGACCGCCACTAGGGCCTTGATGTGTGAATTGCTGTTCTCAATTACCGGAAGAAGCATCTCAGCCTCGTCAAGGCCGAAGCCGCCCGTACCGACCTGTACCTGGATCCTGGATAAGATGCCTATGACAGCAGGTAAGCGGACTTGTAACGCGCTGAAGGCGGTAGGTAGATCATTGGCTGATGCTGAAATCTCCCTCAGCCGTTCTGCCAGTCTTGTGCCATACTCGAGGAACTGGGCGATGGCTGCCACCAGACCGACCAGGGCGGCAACTTCGGCCATTCTTGAAAAGTAGGGACTTCCGCCTACTGTACAGATCTGCTCAGTCTCAACTCAGCATTGGGGGTGCCTAACCTTCAAATATCGAGGTTAACCGGGTCAAGTCCGAAAATATTCACTGTAATGGGAGACCTAAACAAGCGATGGATGTCAACACGGAGCCAAAGGACGCGATGGCACGAAGCGCAATGGATTGTAGTCAGGCAGGAGTCATTCGACGTTGGGGGCCAAAATCAGGACAGGCAAGCCTCTTTAGCCCTCTATTTGGTGCGATCATGATGCCTGGACGTTGTCCAGCTTCCTTTAATCTCAGCCTCAGCGAGTCACCGTCTTATGTGCATTAGCTCCGCATGGCCAAGAATCCATCATGGCACAACAGCTTTGAAAACATGCGCTCGACGCGCTGCAACCGTTTACAGGTCTGTCGGATGGACACCGATAAGCGCGGTACAATATGCTCGCTGTTGACCTGGCCGTAGGTAGGTAGGTGCGCGCCCGAAAGTCAACGAGAAGCGAGCAGGGCCTATGCACGTAACTGCCATAGAGTAGGTCGTCCCCCCAGACATGCTCCGCCGTATTATCAACTGCAGTGGGCTACTTGGACGGACACTGGCAGTTTATACACGGCTGCGCAGCTTAAGGCTCGTCTAACAAGCTTGAAGCCCACCACTTGCAGTATCACAAGTGGCAGAAGAAGTGACGATTGACAAATTGCAAAGTTTGGGTCCAAGTCACCACGACTAGCACATCCCACGCCTTCCTGTCCATCGATAGTCTGCTACCAACCCGGGCAGCGCAAAACGTACCTTCAAGATGGAGAACCACAATTCCGGCGACTCGAAGGACCCCGCGAGTTTCTTGTCCTCGATCATTGGAGTGCCTGTCACCGTCAAACTCAATTCCGGCGTGGTGTACAAGGGCGAGTTACAGTCTGTGGATGGATACATGAACATCGCACTGGAAAAGTGCGCAGAATACGTCAATGGGCAACTACGACGGAACTACGGCGACGCCTTTGTGAGAGGGAACAACGGTAAGAGAGGAGACCACATGTTTTCCGAGCAATACTGTGGACGTGATCGAGGAGGGCAACATGCTGATCGAACTACAGTGCTGTATATTGCGAGCGAATGAGAAGCAGGAAGAGGAAGGGGATAATGGCCTCAGATTGCCCAAACTGGGGTGGAAAGAGACCAGCAGTTCAGGTCGCTGGATGAAGCATCACAACGATTACGAATGCATTACAAGCCACTCGCCCTTCGGCATGAAGAATGTTCTCCCCTTGGAGGCTCCTCGTCAACCAGCCCGCCTCTGCCGCAGAGGTCCCCGGTCCAATGCCCCTAGAAGCTGGGTTGTCTGCGGACCCCAGCAGCGCGTCTCTGGAGAGAGCGAAGCCAGGTGCCTCACAACGGATTCTGGGGTCGATGTGTCTGATATCCAAGCAATTGACGTGGGTGGATGGACCAACCATGCAGCAAATGGCCAATGACTATTTTTGAGATTATCATGTCTTGCTCGTCCAGAAGAATACAGTACGACCATGCACGGCAATGCGCCCGGACTCATCAGTCGGGGTATCCTCAGAATTGACACTGTCAAAGAACGTCTTCTTCACTTTCTCCAATTCTTCTCCCTCAAGAATCGCCAGCTGGCTTAACGTCCTCAATCTGCTCCAGACTGCATCTTTGGGCAGCCACGTCTCGAATTCGACCGAATCCTGGCTTAAAGGCACTTTGAACAAACTCTGTTGATCAACGAAGACTTGCTGCCACTTTTCATGTCGGAACCGTGGAGAATTGTCGTCGAATGACCATATTATATCACGCATGGTACGCTCCCAGCTAGAACGGACCTGCCACGATTTCGGTGAATTATCTTCAGAGAACAAGGTCACGTTAGCAAATCATCATGGGCTGCACATATTTAACACTTTGGTAGCCTACAGTCCTCAATGTTCCAAATGAGACCCAGAGTTCCCCCCGGTTGCAATATGCGCGATATCTCCCTGAGTGCGTCTATGTTTGCAAACCAATGAAAGGACTAACTGCCGAGTCAGCTCGCTGGATTTGGGGCCGCCAACACTCTCTGATACTATAGTAGTAGTATTAGACTTACCTGTGAAGGTATCACACACGCTACGCTCTCATCCGGTATCTCCGGCATATTGTCTGCGGTTCCTTTGACCACTTTAACTCGAGGCAGGGCTTTCTTTTGTAATTCTTCCCGCATAGCATCGTGCGGCTCAATGGCTACGATGTCATATTCTTCGGGTCTTCTGGCTAGAATCTCGGTGAATTTGCCCGTTCCAGCTGCCAGATCTGCAATTTTGGCACCCTTTACCCCGGCCATCCCACAACCTTGGAGAAGCCGCTCGACTGCTTCGGCTGGATATGTTGGTCGGTAGGCATCGTAGGCGCTGGCGGAGGCGAAGCCTACTTCGGCCACCTTTGCAATTTGAGAGTCCGACATGATGGTCTAGTCTTTGAAGAGTGTGCGTACATGAAATGGCAATGAATGGAAAGGGAGAGACTGAGGTACGTTGCCTCTTACCCTTCAAAGTCCACCAACTACTAAGGTACTGTACAGCGTAGGTATCTTCGAGTACCTGAAGTTGCAGTGTATCCCATCGGCAATCCCGAGACGCGACGTGGTTCGAGTACCGTGCGAGTCAGGGGAACAGGTGCAGCGGGGATTTTGCGACTCGCGAAATTATTCTCCCCGCAGCCGTTGACGTGCTGAACGAGTTTGTTTTATAGAGGGAAAAAATATCAGGAGGCGGCGACGAGAGACTCGCGTCGAGCCAATTTGTCGACCTCTATACAGTGATCGCAACAACTACTACTCACGGACATCGAAGGCGAGTGTCCACCTCTGCGACGCACCAGCACCATGGTTCTACAAGCGATAAAGTATGAACCGGCATCCGGGCCGTCACCTCCCACCCTCCACATCCTCGACCAGCTTCTCCTTCCACACAGAACAACATATGAAGCCATCACCGACTGTGAGCAAGCCCACGCCGCGATCAAGCAGATGAAAGTGCGCGGGGCGCCGGCGATCGCGATTGTGGCGGCTCTGGCACTGGCCGTGGAAATCGGCACGGCAGCAAAGTCGGGCAAATTGCCACCATCAGCAGACGAAACGAAAGAGACAATCAGTCAACGGTTGGAATATTTGAAGACTAGTCGACCGACAGCAGTCAATCTCGGCGATGCAGTGGGTAAACTTAAGATTTTGGCAAAGAAGGCTGCGATGCAGTCTGGAGCATCTGCGGACTCGGTTGCGCAGGCATATATTACAGCCGCAGAGCGCATGCTAGTCGACGATGTGGCCGACAATAAAGCCATTGGTGCCCACGGAGCTCGCTGGATAGAAGAGAATACGGTCGCTGGGAGACAGAGGAGACAAGACAAAGCACATGAATTGGAAGTCCTTACACACTGCAACACAGGGTAAGTCACGAGTGGCAGGCTCCTCTCCGGCTGGCGCACTGTTGTTGACAAGAGAACAGGTCTTTAGCAACAGCAGGCTATGGCACCGCACTTGGTGTGATCCGGTCCCTCAGAGCCGGGAATATGCTCACCCGGGCTTATTGCACCGAAACTCGGCCCTACAACCAGGGCTCACGGCTGACCGCATATGAGCTGGTCCATGACGAGATACCAGCAACCTTGATCACTGACTCGATGGCATGTGCGCTGCTGGCGAGAGAAGGGAAGCGTCTCGCTGCCATCGTGGTAGGAGCCGACCGAGTCGCCGCAAATGGTGACACGGCAAACAAGATTGGAACGTATTCCTTGGCCGTGCTTGCCCGGCATCACGGCATCAAATTCCTTGTTGCAGCCCCACGCACCACAATTGACTTGCGGACTCCATCTGGGAAAGATATTGTGATCGAGGAACGCGCACCGGAAGAAGTTACGAGAATCAGGGGCCCAAGGGTCACGGCTGAAGGGAAAGTCGAGGTTGACGAGGCTGCCGAAGTCATCTCCATTGCGGCCGCTGGAATCGATGTATGGAACCCTGCATTCGACGTTACACCAGCCGAATTGATCGATGGGGTGGTTACCGAAGTCGGTGTTGTGGAGAAGGTCAACGGCAAGTTCGATTTTGGTCCGATATTCCAACAGTCGCCTTGACTCGCATCAACCGACGCATGCTATGACCCCTGAGGCTCTATCCATCTAATCTGCCCGTTTCCGAAGGCTGAATAGTGCGATGGAACGTTCTTGTGAAGTCGGGGCCTATTGACTAAGCTCGTATTGCTGGAACAGAGTTTACTCCATAATTGGGCAGACCAGGCGGTCGGTTCGATATTGGCGATAAGGCTGGACCCGTGGCGTGATGGGCGTTCCGATTGGGCTGATGAGACTCAACCAAAGAATAACCCCATCATCCTCGATCCTTTTCGGGACGATTCCCGGCGAGGTATAGAGTACGCTATTTTGGCTTCGAGATGTCGAGGGATGGACCTTTCGGCTGTGCCGAGTCTGAGCTTGAGCTACTTTCGACACTGGCCAAAAGTTGTTCAATCCGACGCTCAATACTGTCGAGCTTGGATTCCAATGCTGAAGCGGTCTGCTCCCCACTATAAGACCGAGGGTTAGAGACACGGTTTAAGGTAATAATACAGAGGAATGGCTCTCTCACCGCGCAAGTTCTTGGAACGCCTTATTTAGGAGGTTAGCGCATGGCAGGGGTGGCGGAGATCATTGCTGGTTGGTTTTCACACCTTTGCCATCTCAGAGCTCAGTAGTTGCGGATCAACGCTATCTTGATTTTCGTCTGAATTGGTGTGGGCATCCTGGCCGTTGGCCCTGTGTTGCGCCATTTGCACGAGAGGTTCGGCGGGGATTGGGCGCGAGAAGGCACCGGCTCCAGGGTTGGTCAAACAGCTCCGACGGCAAAGTTTATGATACCTAGGGAGCCACGGCGCAAAAGGTGGTCACAGGAGGTTGGCTGGAAGATGCCGACGGGTGGGAATCGGAAGTGGACAGGGCAGAACACAGCAGAAAATGATGGAAAGGAGAACTTCACTCAGCATGGAGACTTTGAGGTGAGATAGGATGCTGACTGCGCTATGAGGTCCTGGGTTGATGGACTTTGCCGCAACCAGGCTGCGAAGCGAGGTGGATATTAGGTGCTTAGCCGTTGAATTGAATTTGGCCTAGCGGCTTGGCGGGTGCCGCTGCAAACTTTGTTTATTGGCCCTTGGGTTAAGCTTTTTTCGGTTAGTAACGTGGCTTACGGTCCCAATAGGTGGTGTTGGAGCCAAACTCTGATCATGCCGCCTGAGGACAAACTTGAACCCACAAGTCGTCTATAGTAGTTGCACCATCTGCACTGCAGTGCCAGTGAGTGGTTGCTGGCTGTACATACCTACTACTAGTACCTGGTATACAATGTAGTTGTCCCCTTCCAGTGTTCTGCAGAGACCTTGGCTATGCAATGTACAGCATGTTACCTTTAGTGAGCAGCAAGAATTGCTGCGTAGATCTGCTGGGCGGAAGCTACTGGTGCGACTGCATATACGACTCACCAACCTCCCATTCCCTGTCCAAACCATAGCCTAGCACCGACCGCCGGTGCATTTCGGCACGGAGGTTGGAATGGAGCCACAACTGGCCCCGTCTATGCATTGTCAACACATCTCCTCCTCAACCTGCTAAAGCTTCAGACTGCAACGGTCGTCGCAGCACGGTGGGTCGGGGCAGTAATTACTAGTGCTGGGGCATAAAAGTTCACAAGAATTGGGTTGAGTGCGGATGTAGGAAACTAAGCGCTAGGTTAAGGAGTGAAGGTGCTGCTCCGAACGATTACTGTGCCCTACTGATCAAAGCGACCAAACAGATAAGCCCGAGGATTGTCGATCTAATATCTCTGCTGTTGGCAGTCAGCAGCTAGGATCAAGCAGTTCCGTGAAACTTCGGTAGCAAAAAGACTACCGAGGAATGGCATTCCTCTAAGCTTCGGCGATCCAACTGCCACCGTGATGATGTCTCAACACCGACCAAACAGGGATCCCAGCTAAGGCCGCTACTTCCGTGGGAGGTGTGACGCCTTAACGCAGGAGCTCCGGGGTTACAATTCCGCTCAAAATCGAGCTTAGCCAGAATGAGGATCTCATACAGCCCTCTCAAGGAACACTAACAAAGCCAAGTGCTCGAACAGATTCTTCGAATAAACGGCGCACGCCATAGACAGACGCCAGGAGCGTTGGGTACGCAGCTCCAGTGACAAGAATCAAAAGCCGATCTCGTAAAGGGAATTGCCGGTTGTATTGGTGTGGGAGAGCTAGGGGCCCCCGATAATAGCGCTATGGTGCAGTGGGCTAATAAGGGTCTCTACCAGTTGAGGGCCGATCGGATCCTTCCTCCTTGGGAATCAGAAGAACCGCACTGCACACGACACGTTTCCCGCTGTTCCCGTCTTCGTGGCCCTGCAAGCTTCAAAAGTTGGCGCTCTCCTTTGGCGTGCATCGACGTGGAAACGCCTCGCACTTGGCCTTGGCTAGTTTGTGTCAGACAGATCGAGATTTTGGCAGAGAATCTCACGTTATCAACCACCGCTCTCCAGTTTTCTGGGTGCGAGTTGGGTGTCCCGAGATCGTGTTCTTGGGTTGGAATCGACGTCAGCAGCGCTGCTAGGAGACATCTTCCGAGCTTTGGGACCAGCGATAGAGTTCAGGGGTCAACTCGACCAGTCACATCATCACATCGCCAGCTGGCTCCTAAACAGCGCCAGATCGACCGGCTGCATTCCTGTCATGGCTTGTCCACCGCACAGGTTCGTTCTGCTCAACCCAGCTCGTTGTCATTTCTTCGATATTAGACTTTCGTTGTTGGACCCTTATTACTTCTCCATCATTACCGTAAATCCAAACACCCAACCAAAGACTTCCTGACAATGATTGTCATGGCCCACTGGACCCTGGATCAGCAACACTTCATCCCGTGATCGAGCTGGCAACATTGGCAACATGAATCTGTGTTTTCGACATGATCCGTAGGTACCTAGCAACTGAACAAGGGCTGAGGTAGGTAGGTTGCATCTACAATGTACCTTGTGGGACGGCCTGGAAGTTGCTTGCAGAGAAGTAATTTTCAGGCACTCTACAATGTAGGGAGCAAGCTGTCTCCTGCGGCTGTGGGCTACAATATATACCCAAGGTACAAATGTACTGCAACCTGGTTTCAACAGCCTCGCCATCCACTAAAGGCTGGTATTCCACATGGAAGCGAGCCCCGCCGTCTATCACCAGAGTACCTCGAGATGCAGGTACGATTTACGGATGAACAACTCTCCCTCTATGCCGAACAACTCTACTATCTGAATGACCTTTTACCAAGTTAAGGGAGAATGATGAGGCTACGGGCGGCTGGAGCCAGTGGGTAACTCGTACAGCTCGGTTACGCGGTTGAAAACCTAGGATTGGATCCTAACCATCTTAACTGCTAAAATCTGGCAGGCCCATCAATGAGTCCCCGGCCTAACCAAAACAGCCTCAACAGGTATAGGCCATCGGTCCCTGGTCCAACCCCAATTCCTTGTCCGAGAACCCACGTCTGATTCCTTCCCTTATTATTAGCGAATGACGGTGGACCAGGCGCGCGGCGACGCTCCTTGCATCACCTTACAGTCCGTGTCTCCACGTCCACACTGACACCTGACTTGGCTCTTTTTCCTAACCTCACTTCTCGTCTGGCCTTGAACAGCCTATAGACTTACTTCACCGGCCATTTCTCGAGCATTTTCCCATCTTTTCCGTACACAGGCGCTTGCCGCCCTTTTCATTGTCTGATCAATTGTCGAATTTGGCGAGCGGTGGCTTTGTTTGAAGACCTATTTGCGGCGCAAGTTATCGATCTGTACCTCAAACCGATCCGCTCGACGCGTGATCGGGGTGTCTTATCGAAAAAAAAACTCGCATAATTCTCTGCTACGATCCCGGTCTTTCATCTGATCACCCACATCATCCCCAGTCATAAGCACTTTGAGCTGCATCGCTCCCTGTGCCTTCGCAGAGCTTCCAGGGGCATTGCGCCTCATTCGCCTAACCCCACCATTACCCGCTGTGTGGCCCTAAGGTCGAAGCAGATCTTGGAGACCCTGATTCTCATTGAACAGTGGTGATCGACTCCAGCGAGCAGATTCCAAGAAGCTCTTCTACTATTCCCGAAGACCTTCTGCACTGGTCATCACCTGTTGGAGCCGTGCTGTGCAAAAAGGTGTCGACTCATTGCAGTATCCGGTTAACCTTTCATCTTTGGGAAATTCGGCCTGTGGCTGGTGATATCGCCAAGCTATTGTACACGACCACGACAACAATCAGGATTATTGTGCCAATAACCCAAGGACTACCCTTCGAATGCTTGCTTAACCTAGGCTGGTCACGTCAGTGTCTCTTACTCCCACATGCGACAACGATCAGCCTGCTTTGTTATCGATCGTATACCTTGCGTGGCAGATCGCCCTGACTGATTGTCGCTTCACCGCTTGAGACATTATCCACGACTCGGTCACGCTCAATTATCGATGATAAACCTGGTGCGCTTGAATGACCGATCTCGCCCCCCATCTCGAGCGTCTTGGCCTTGAGCAGTACCTCGATGCCTTTGTCGGCGAGGGCTTTGACACTTGGGAGACATTGACAGATATTCAAGAGAGTGACTTGTAAGTAGTGGCCGAAACACTTGAAGCAATAGCACACTCACACAAAAGTAGCGATGCCCTCAACATCAAACTTGGCCATCGTCGGGTAAGTTCCTATCTACCCTTGGACTCCAGGTGAGTTAGCTGACAACACTAAAGAAACTCCAGCGTGCTATCGCTGAATACCGAGGCATCTCTTACGAACGTCTGATCGGGTCTCCGGCCCAGGAAGCGCCCGTGGACAGTGTCAGAGCTCTTGAGAGCAATACGACTCCTTCAGCTGGGCCAGACCGAAACCCGGGACCTCCTGCCGAAACCAAAAGGAAGTATAGACGTCACCCTAAGCCCGATGAGAACGCGCCCGAGCGTCCGCCTTCTGCCTATGTGATCTTTTCAAACAAGGTACGCGAAGAGGTGAAAGATCAAAACCTGTCTTTCACGCAGATAGCCAAGCTCGTGGGCGACCGATGGCAGAAGTTGGACCCCGCCGGCAAGGAACCATTCGAGACCCAGGCGAATGCGGCCAAAGAAAGATACAATATCCAGTTATCAACATATCGGAAGACCGAGGCATATAAGGAATATATGCAATATCTTGCAGACTTCAAGAGCAAGCATGGGCAGACATCTGAGCCGAAGAGACCCAAACTCGATCCAGAGTCTAGCGGGAGCATCATCTCTACAAAGTCACTTGAGACGAACCCGGAGGTCGCTTCACAACTTACTGGCCATGTGAGAGGAGGCTCCACAGGTTCTGTGGCATCGTCGCCTTTCATCAGCGGTAGCATGCAGCCGACACCTTCTGGAGGTTCGCTCCCTGCACGTCCACCGCTGCCTTCTTCTCGCAGCGGCTCACCTCCGTCGCTTCAGCAGACTCGAGATTACTTCCGTCCGGGCTTGCCCTCGCGGCATAGCTCTGTCTCTGACGAATCTTCCACAGTGCGGAGCGATCTGCCAGAACCTTTGATGCGGACAGCAACCTTGTCGTTAGGGGTTAGTCCGTCATCCGGGACACCACCTCTTCAGCCGCAGGGCCCAAGCGCTTTGGGTCTAGATCCTACGGGGTCGCCAGATCAGCACGTGCGATCAAAATATCCGCATGGCGTGCATTCCCAGTACCCTCCTGCGCAACAGCAGCAGCATCATCCCCTTGCACACCAGCAGTCGCATCCCGGTCCTCCTCCGGTGCCTGGAGTCGGAAGCGGCCAGCCGGCATCGGCCGCCTCATTTCCACCTATCTTTCCATCGCCCACCGTGCAAGACAGACCGTTGGGAGGCCGCCCCGCTGACATCCGCGGATACCCCCAAAACGCAGGAGGTATGCAGTCCACTATGTCTTATGGCCCGTATGGAACACAACCCACGCCTCCTTCCCAGTTTCCGCCTTTCCTTTCACATGATCGGCTTCCCGAGTACACGCACGGGGCTTCATCAAGGACACTTCCCCTGCCTCGGCCTCAGTCTGGAGCAAATCCTAACGCACATACCCATAATTCACCCATGATGACCAGCACGCTGGGCTTCCGGCGACCAGGAGCAGAGGAGAACAGACCCGTGCTGGAACGCTCTGAGAGCGATGCAGCCAGCACGCTAGCTGGGTTGGCGGGGACGCCTGTATCCCGTCCTGAAGTGACGAGACCTTACACCTATCCACCACCTCGACGGTCCGCGCCTTAGCCACGGCAGGGCCTTCGTGTGAGATGACTGCTATATGATGACACGAAAAGACATAAACTCTAAAAAGGTGCTATATTTTCATTGAAGACCTAAATCATTTACAGAAGTTATAGTCAAGATGTGCCATTTTGTTTCTTTGCACGGCACCATTCAATACCATAAATTCAAACAAACTCGCCCTTGATCAGACAGTCTCCCCTGACGTGCCTTATCACCTTGCACATAGAGACCCGGCGTATGCCTGGCCGTCATTGGGGGCTTAGATTCGCACCTAGCAGCTCGTCGCTACAACCTTCTCGCCACCGTATAAGCAAGGCTGCAACCAGCCCACAGCCACCAGGGCATCGTATCAGCCCACCATAGCAGATCCCCCCCACACCAACATGATAGAGGGGCATGACGAGGAGCCCCGGGTGTTCTTCCGCTAGGCTGTGCACGCACCTTATCCTCCCTGCAAGGATGGCGCAAGAGTATGGCCCCTGCCTACAGTGTTGTGGCTCTGAAGGCGCAACTGTCTCGGCCAGTCCAGGAGAGATTAGAAGGACTGCAAGCTGTCCATGCCGACCGTGGTCATGACGTGGTACGCTGGCAGACCACGGGTCAGTCTAGCGGGCAGCTCCAGGTTCAAAGCCGGGCTATAGCCAAATTTCGATGGCCACGAATGGAAGGCAAAAGCAGGTACAGCGGCATGCTGCGGTGGGTTGGGAACAACGGTACCTGGCCTTCAACCTCGCGAAAGGGATATGAAACTGGCCATGTAAACTGTGGTTTGCTGGATGGCAATATATTCGATACAAAGGGGCATTTGGCTTCGCACTAGCGTGGGTTGCCTTGTAGCCAATCCGGTTTGCTCACCTCACATCTTCTTCCAACTTCATCTTAAAGATTTCCGTCGTCAACATGGCTTTTATCTCGGTCAACTCATCAAATCCAGGATATCATCCGCTTTAGGTGTTCTCAATCCAGTAAACAGTGAAAGCTTCCGTTTCATGCGCCATACTAATTTCTCTGATGGGCCAAGGTAGGAATTCTAAGACTTCGTCATCTATGTTGACTTGTGGTAATGTCCAATCGAGAGCCTGGGCAGAGGCCTTGCACGAGATCCATGATTCCAAGTTCATGACCGGTGTCTGATGTGCTCAAAGAACTTCTCGAATCATGCAAGGCGTAGGATCGCATTTTCCAAGCTTTGAGTAATGGAGTTGTCCCCGGCCGAGTCAACGCGTCCATTGCAGGTTCTCGCCATGTACTCTCGAGGTCCTCCAATATTGCTGATCCTGGCTCCGCTGGGGCCACAATACAGTGCTTCCATAGCCGGTCGATGCTCTGGCCTCTTGTGGCAGGACTTTGAGCATAACATGGCTCCGCTGTGAACTTGCAACGGCAACAGCTACCAACGAACATGAAAGTATAAAGCATCAACGAGAAGTCCTCGTTCAACATTTCTTTCTCTTCACGAACAACTCAAGTCAGTCGTTCAGTACAGACCAGCAGGACATCCATTCCTTTATTCACATTCTTATACTTTGTTCTTTTATTCTTAAACATGCCTTCCTTCTCCGTCTTGCTGGCTCTGTCAGCCCTAGCTTCCATCTCGGTCGCCAAACCTATTCCGAGTGCTCAAGTGAACACCAAGAAAGGCTTCACGATCAACCAAGCTGTGGCAAAGCCATTTCAGGCTGGTCCGGTGGTCTTGCAGAAGGTTTACAACAAATTCAACAAACCCGCCCCGGCTGCTGTCAAGGCTGCTGCGTCCGATGGTTCCGTCACCGCTACTCCCGAGCAGTACGATGCAGAATATCTTTGTCCCGTGACGATTGGCGGGCAGACGTTGAACCTGGACTTCGACACTGGCTCCGCAGATTTGTATGCAGCTCAGCAACTTGATCCCGGAGGTCGTTAGATGCTTACTTTGTCTAGATGGGTCTTTTCATCCGAGCTGTCCAGCTCGCAGCGTTCCGGGCACAGTTTTTACAATCCCATGCAATCGAATACTAGCAAGAAGCTCTCCGGCGCGACCTGGAAGATCACCTATGGTGACGGATCCGGTGCCAGTGGCGACGTATACACTGACACGGTCAATGTCGGAGGCACTACTGTGACCTCCCAAGCCGTCGAGCTTGCTTCTCAGATCAGCGCTCAGTTCCAGCAGGACCAGGACAATGATGGCTTGCTGGGCTTGGCTTTCAGTTCTCTCAATACAGGTTTGTACTCCGTATATCGGAATCATTTCTTGCTAACTTAGGTCCAGTCAAACCCACTCCACAAACCACCTTCTTCGACACGGCTATCAAGCAGGGTGTCCTCCAACAAAATGTTTTCACCGCCGACCTTAAGAAAGGTGCCCCCGGAAGTTACGACTTCGGGTTCATTGACGACAGCAAACATACCGGCGACATTACCTATACAACGGTCAACACGGCCAATGGCTTCTGGGAGTTCACTGGTACTGGCTATGCCGTCGGCGACGGGGCTTTCCAGCAGACCAGCATCGATGCCATCGCCGACACTGGTACCACCCTTCTCCTGGTCGATGACTCAATTGTCAGCGCCTACTACAAGCAAGTTGACGGTGCGCAATATGATGACAGCCAGGGTGGTTACGTGTTTCCATGTTCAACCACCCTTCCGGATTTCACTGTCGGCATTGAAGACTTCCATGCCGTCGTTCCAGGATCCTTCATCAACTTTGCCCCCGCCACAGATTCCAGTAAGTCGAATAATATCCCCTCCCTCTCTGAGTTGCACTAATGCGACATTTACAGCGTGCTATGGTGGGATTCAGAGCAACGAAGGCCTGGGCTTTTCCATTTACGGAGATGTCTTCCTCAAAGCCGTCTTTGCCGTCTTTGATAGCGACAATACGCAGCTGGGTTTCGCGCCAAAAGACTTGTGAAAGAGTTGACATGGCTCATTCTTGATTGTTTCGGTTTGATTACTGATGGGCAGATGGAGAACAGTCTTGCGTGCTGGCATAACTTCACTTTGGAGACGAGGATCATGAAATACGTGGCAGGAATACATACGGCATCGGGATGGAGTTTGGCGATCGGTTGCACTTGGTCATATTCTATGCATATGTGGACACGAGGGATGCATGCAGACGGCACATGTTCAATCTGACGAGGCTGCGGCGGAAGTCGGCGTAATGATTATTTTTATGCATTTTATCAATCATGGTCCATCTGCACATTGTAGGTCTGTAGGCTCAACTTTGACGTCATTCTTGCCTGCGCTTACCTTGATTTCACAGCCCATGAGACACTGCAAGTAACAGTGCAAGCCCTGAAATCCTACACTGTCTAGTATCCAGCTTATCCTGACATTACTCGCGTGTGAAACAGAGACAACTCTTGGGGCATACTCGTATTGCATCTCGCCGAGATCTTGCTGTAAGCCTCTTGCCGCATTGGCCGCATCCTGATTGATACTTCAGCGAGGTGATTCGGACTTTACATGGTTTCGTGAACGTGCTCAGTCGCTTCAAAAGGATTCCTTGTCCGCCTATACTGCAATGGCGTCCACTGCTGGCACCGACGGCGGACGGCTGAATCCGGAGCCTTCGCAACCAGAGCAACGTGCAGAACAAGACCTGGCTCCCAAGTCCTACGCCGCTGCTGTCACCGAGTCGCCCAGTCAGAATGCCGCTACCAACGCAACAGGTTCAACTGATCAAAATGGCCACAATGGCACAACAAATGGTACTGAACCGTCAATCCCTAAACCTACGGAGCCTCGAGATCCTGCGGAGCTTAACCCGCTTCCCAAGTCATACGCCGCTGCGGTTACCGAGCCCGCCGCAGAGAAGACGACACTCAACGGCCACACTTCAGAACAGGATGGGTTGGCAAATGGATCCGTGAATAGAAAAGCAATCAATGGCCAGAGGAAGCAGCTCGACGACGACAAGCTGGTTTATGAAAAGCACACGGATCCGAATGGACAGGCGCGCCTGACCAGCATAAAGCCTAGCGACCACCATGAAGAGAGTCTGTACCACAGTGTGGCAACTGTCCCCCGGGAACAGAAATCAAACAGACCAGCTAAACGGCAGGATATACCCAGTGGGAAGCTTTCCAGCGGCCGGCGGGCGGGCGCAGGCTGGGAAAAATCAGCGTACGCAGCAATGCTCTTCGTTTTCCCCATACAATTTTGCTGACCAGTGCATAGAATCCGTTGGGCGCCTCTTAATGTGCCTTTGCAACGGCGGCTCCAAACCATGGCGGTCTTGTGGCACACCATCACCATTCCAATATTCCTTTCATTGTTCTTCTTATTGTGTGCCATTCCTCTCTCGTGGCCGCTCCTCATCCCATACTTGATCTATACACTTCTTATCAGCGAGGATGCGACAAACGGCACGCTCTCCAGACGGTCGGAGAGGTTGCGCAGGTCCAAAGTTTGGTCTGCTTTTGCGTCCTACTTTCCAGCCCGCTTGCACCGTACAGTTGAGTTGGAGCCGACCAGGAAATATATCTTCGGATACCATCCACATGGGATTGTCTCCCACGGGGCCTTCGCGGCCTTCGCCACGGAAGCTCTCGGATTCTCGGAGCTGTACCCAGGCATTACCAATACTTTGTTGACGCTGGACACGAACTTTCGCGTACCATTTTACCGAGACTATGCTCTGGCAATGGGTTTGGCATCGGTCTCGCGCGAGTCTATTGAGAACATTCTGTCGAAAGGCGGACACAACGGCGAGGGCATGGGGCGTGCAGTGACGATTGTGATTGGTGGTGCTCGAGAAAGCCTCGATGCTCGCCCTGGAACTTTGCGGCTTGTGCTGAAGAGCAGGAAAGGCTTCGTCAAGCTAGCTATTCGTCAGGGCGCGGACCTCGTGCCTGTGTTGGCTTTCGGAGAGAATGATCTGTACGACCAGATCGACAGCGTGCAGCATCCCTGGATCCATAAAAGCCAGATGATCATCAAAAAGGCAATGGGTTTCACCATCCCTTTGTTCCATGCACGGGGAATCTTCAATTATGATGTCGGCCTGCTGCCATATCGACATGCCATTAACATCGTCGTGGGCCGACCTATCAAGGTCGTTCAGCAGGGGGCAAAGGATAATAAAGTGGACGAAGCATATCTGGATCAAGTGCATGCAGAGTATGTGGACGAGCTGGTTCGGCTGTGGGATAGCTACAAGGATACGTTTGCCAAGGATCGACGAGGCGAGATAGAAATAATTGACTAGAGAGGACGAGTTTGAGCTTGAGGAGTTTTTGGTCCTTCTGGAGCACTGCTTTTGGAAAACAACTCGGTGTGGCTGGTTTCAATTGTTGGATAGCCGAGTATAGTTTTGACATGGTGCTCTGGCATGAGAAGGCGTAAACATCAGTAGCGGTGAACACAAAAGCACAGGCGTGTACAAAAAGAAGACTTCAGTTTCGCAAGCACGTTCACGGATTTGGCCCTTTTCTTTTGGTCATTGACAGAGCGCACTAGTAGTTGCTGAAGGATACCAGAGGTACTAGGTGGCACCAGACAGTGTACTGCCACTCTGCAGTGCAGTGGTGTGCCACTTCAGGCTACAATGGCAGAAGAATCCAAGGCTGCCCAGGCCTGCTGGCCATTCTGGAGTTCAAGTTGCAGTACCAGTAGCAGCATGGTACTACTAGGACAGTACTAGTACCTAGTACCTAGGTAGTAACCAAACATTCAAGTTCCGCATTGCATGTAGTGTCTCTCCCTCTTCCTCTTCCTCTTCTTCCCCATCGGCACAACTTGAACAACACTCCAAGCTGCGAGTTTTTTTCATATTTCAGTAACCCCAGACCCAGAGATCACTACCACCGAGGTAGTAAGTGCCGGCACATTCAAGTTTCCTTTTCTGGCTGCCCAGTGGCTGGCTCGGTTTGGCTGGCAGTGAGCACTTGTTTGTGTCTTGCAAAAGGATGCCTCCAAAGCGGAAGACGGCGACGGGGCGCAAGACGAAGAAGTCTTCAGCTGCGTCAAATCCCCCGCTCCGAAGAAATGCATCCTCCTCCGATGTCGACATGGATGCCAGCAGCGATTCGATGATGGAGAGTGGGAGCGAAAGTGGGAATGGGAATGGATTGGATCACAAGAGCATGGCTGTTGATGTGAGTCTGATGCCTCACTACCAAGTGCCTCGGGCTTCTGCAGGATGGGCACGTGGTGTCATCCGTGGTGGCTAAAAGAAGAACACTGTCGTCTTCCTTGCCTGAATCCGCGCACTGCATCGTACCATACCATACCGGCTTGACAGCGCCGTCTCATTCGTGATGCCGGTGCAGTGCTTGTGGCTGTTTGAAGCACGTCAAGTTGGTTCCTTCTAGCGTCGTGACGGCCCTTTCCACATTGACATGCTTGCTTTGGCTGATCCATCACCCCGAGTTACCATCTCCCAGTCGACATTCTGCCTCAGCTCATTCATCGCCACGGCTCTCCAGCATCCCATCGACTTCCTGCCTCAGTTCGTCCATCGCCGGTTGCTCCTCCTAGACAAGGTTGTCGCCTTGAGCTGACATGTCTGCCGGCGGTAACAGGCCAAACAGCGCAAGGCGCAGAAGCAGCAGCGTCTCGAAGAGGATTTCGAAAGCAAGGCTCGAGCGATCAAAGACCAGCTTGAAGGATTAATCAAAAATCACCGGCAAAAATGGTGAGTCCCGTAATCCCAGCCTTGCGGTCACTTCCAGCGGATAACTCCTGGACCTGCCCAGTTCTTGAACGCTGCTCTCATCGAGTTTCTGCGCTGCTCAGCTGCCCACAAACCGGAACCACCGTCAAGATCCCAGCTTTTGCCAGTCTTTCAGGTTGGTCCCGGATATCTGGATGGCAAAATGCTGATACCAATGCAGCATGCAGACGCAAGACGGGCAACTGGCGAAACTGCTTAGCCTTGCGCAGAAAAAGGCCAACATCGAGCGGCAGATCAAAGAGCAAGCAGAAGAACTCGCCTATGCGTACGAGACCATGCGAGAGGAGTTCAGGGCCGTCCTGCAGGGTATGGTGGGAGACGTGGATGAGTCCATCAAAGCGCTGAATGCCTTGGAGGAAAAGGCACGTCAGAACTGATGGGCATTGCAGTGTGCATGTGCATTGTGTGAAAGCGAAGCCATAGAAACACTCAGGCGCAACAGGCGAGGTCTGTTATGGAAGCTCATGTCACGTCTCCGCCAGTTCAAACAAGACTTTGATGAACAGACTACAACCTCGACAGCCAACATAGACCTCTCTCTGCTCACTTTCCTTTTCCAAGTCTGCCTCTGTCAAGATATAGCCCCGCTCGTCACCACAACGGCAATGTCTATACCAGATGTTTTGGGTTTCATCATACGGAAGATCCTCCAAGTCATACGACTCGACGCCGATATGCGTGCCTCTATCGCAGCCTTCAGACTCTTCCTCCTGGATTAGCGCTCGATCGTACGCAGCGCGCCTTTCAGGATCCGCTAGGACCTCATAGGCGACTACAATCTCGTCAACGGAGTACAGAGGGGTCGGACGAGCAGTAGTGGAGGGCTTCGAGGCGCGGCCGCTCTGCGAGATCTTGTCCGGGTGGTGCAGCAGCAATGCGCGCCGATATGCTGCTTTGATCTCGTCTTTCGGCAGAGAGTTGCGGGTTGGATGCCGGCTTAGTGAAAGCACGTCGTAATGTGTATACTGCTTTCCTCGAGCACGTGGGGTGTTGGTGTTGGACATCAATGTACGGGGGTATGCGGCTGCCCTCTGCGGCAAAAGAGCGGTGACGATGTAGCCCTAGAGAGGAGGAGGGTGAGAAGTCATTGACCACTGCCAGATTTACTGCGCTGGCCCCGTGGCACCTTGGGAGAAGGTGATGGTGATTTTGTGGTTTTGCGCAGCCGGGGATTTGTAAGGAGGATTCACTAAGCACTCAAACGGAGTACTACCTAAGGTACCTACCTAGGTCTGCTTGGGTGGCTGATAAGTCGCCGGGCGTCCCCTGTAATGTCAAGTTCGTGGGCGATCATCCTCCGGGGTCAACTGGCGTGCTGTGCTGTCTGCTTGATTGGCAGCATCTCGATCATTCCCTCTGCAGGAATTGCATTTTCCCCTCAAATGCGCAGGACGTGAAGCCGGTTCTTCTGCAACTTTCTCTGTTCTTGGAGATTCGAGCGCGTGTCCTTCTGTAAGACAGTGGAGCGCCGGGACTGCCAGTGCCTGAAGCGACCCAAGCTTCTTCAATACTAGGCGTGTATCTGCTGAGTTTGGCTCATTCAAGTATCGTCCTGTGGCCCTGCCGCGTCGCTACGACGTCATGTTCCCCGTCTCCAATGCTTCTATGTCGCAGTGCCTTGTTTCGAGTTGTTCAAACAGCACAACTTGAATTCTGTTGCGGCTGATGATGCTTCCCGCACCTAAGTCGCCTCTGTCACTGTCAATAACATTGTTCCCGAGTCTGCTTTTTGCGTTTTCTACTTGGTCTATCGTTTCGTCACTTGCTGGTGCTGCTTTGCGTCTGCTCTGTACGGCATCTCGAGGTAGGCAGGCATCGTTGTCATCTATAGTATCTCTCAGGTGTACCACTACTACGATATCATCAGTCCCCGGCCACACTTGCATAGTCTGTCTCAATGTCTGCGGTAGACGATATCGACCCGGACAGCAGCAGGACGAACCACCAGCCTCCTCATACCGCGCGACATCCTATCCCCACCATCCAGAGATACAAAGCCGAGCGGAGTGAGTTGAATGACCATCAACAACAGGCAGAGGAAGCCCAACACGATGAAGGGGATGAGCCAACAGTCAAAAGAGCATACCATGCAGCGAAAAACATCTTGAAAGGCGAAGACCCGCCGAAGAAGTCCCAGCATGATCCGTACAGATCCGAAAACCGAAATGTCGAGGGCACGGGACAACCAACTCAAGATGCCCAACAACAATCCGACCAGGATGGGCAATACGGACAGACACAAAACTCTGATTCGGATGGCGACGACGAAGAGAACGAGCCAAGGGGAAAAGGCGGCGACGATAAAGGTGGACAGTCGGCGACTGAGGCCGTTGCAGCGAGTACGGATCCTCGACAGAAGAGGAAAGCCATGAAACATAAGAAGCGGGACGAGGGTGGTAGAGAAGTCACCGACCCTGTGACCCATCTTCCCATTGTAATACGGGATTCCACACGCAAGGACCTCAAGTCAACCCCGCAAAACTATCCAGCCTATGGAAGCCAAACCAGCACCATGACTGGAGTCAGTGGCGCGAAGAAGTCACAGTCTGATCTTGAGGCAGAACAGGCTCAGTTGCAGAGCAGCCATAACGGGATGCAGAAGCTGTTTCCGCCGCCCAGGTTCGACGAAATGAAGGTCGAGCTGAACAGGACGTATCAATTCGCGCTGACGTTAGGCCTGGGCTGCATTGTGCTGCTGGTCTCATTGTGCTTGATACTGTTTCGCTTGATTGGCATGGGTCCTGCTACGTCTTATGACCTCAGGGGTTCGTCTTGGACAGCTCTCGCCTCCATGGGGGCCATCTCCATAATCCCGGCAGCCACAGGATTTGCCGTGATAGTCGTCCTCCGCGGCTGGCTGGGGAAGAAAGTGGATTCAATCTGGAACGATGAGGTATGGGATGCGGCTCGCAAGCAGGAACGGCAGGGCAACGAAGCCGAAGACCTCATACCGGAGTCTGTTACCTGGTTGAACAATCTCCTGGCCGCCGTCTGGCCCTTGATTAATCCCGACCTGTTCACTTCAATCGCAGACATGCTGGAAGATGTCATGCAAGCGTCTCTGCCAAAGGTTGTCCGTATGGTCAGTGTGGATGATCTGGGTCAAGGGAGTGAGGCGTTCCGTATCCTGGGCGTAAATTGGTTGCCAACAGGGGCCGCTAGCCGGACGGTTGGCGCAAATGGGAAGTTGAAGCCTGCTGAGGACGAGGAGAAGAGCGACCGAGCTTCACCAGGTCAAGGACAAATCGAAGGTGACGATTCCGACGACAAAGATAACGATAGCAGATCTGGGGACAAGAGAAAGGAAAGCCAGCAAGACGAGCAAGAGCAGCAGGCTATTCGTGAAGGTATGGAAGCCGAGCAAGGCGATTTTGTCAACCTAGAGTTGGCTTTCGCATACCGAGCTCGATCCTCTGGAAAGTCTTTACAGGCAAAGGCGAAAAATGCCCACCTCTACCTGAAATTTTACCTTCCGGGAGGCATTGTAGTCCCTGTTTGGGTCGAACTAAAAGGTATCGTTGGCACCATGAGGCTGAGGTTGCAATTGACGCCGGACCCTCCATTTTTCAGTTTGTGCACTTTGACGTTCATGGGGCAACCGCAGGCTGATCTGTCTTGTGTGCCCCTTTCGAGGCATGCCCTCAATTTGATGGACGTGCCTCTCATATCATCCTTTGTTCAGTCTTCGATTGACGCTGCGCTAGCAGAGTACGTCGCGCCAAAGAGCCTGACTCTGGACTTGAAAGATATGCTTGTTGGCGACGACTTCAAGAAAGATACTGTCGCCCGAGGCGTGGTCATGATATATATCAAATGTGCCAAAGGCTTCAAAGAGGGCGATGGAGGTGTCGGGCCGTTCTCGGGCTCAAGCGACGCGTATATGACCGTGGCTTGGGGCAAGTTCGGAAAACCCGTTTCGTCTACACGAGTCATTGTTGATGACCAGGCACCCGCGTGGCACGAGTGGGCGTCAATTCTGGTAACTCCAGAGGAGCTAAACGCAGGCGAGAAGCTCCGCCTTCAGCTTTGGGACTCGGACAAATATACAGCAGATGATGATCTCGGACGGGTTGAAGTTGACCTTCACGAGCTCATGCACAATCCAAAGACGAGGAATCAAATGTGCGACCGTGAGGATCGGTTTAAAGGCGAAGATCCTGACGAAGTCTTGCCCGGCACAGTGCAGTGGCGTGTGGGATACTTTGAGAAAACCGAGATCACAGAACAACAGCTTGCTGAGCAAACACAAGATCCAAACATTCGGTCGATTGAAGACTTAAGAGAGCAAGTGACGCAGTCGGCAAAAAACAAGCTGCGGGAAGCCACTGCACACGACGAGAGCAAGGAGATCAAACAGCAGCAACAAGAAGACTATAAAGAACGAGAAGACGCCCTCATCATCTCCAGCCCTCCGCCGGCGGACTATCCCAGTGGGATTTTCAGCATTCAAATCCACAACATTACAGGTTTGGAAGTGCAGTCACTGCAGAAAAGAGACAAGAAGCGAGGCGAGGGTGACCGAGAAGATGAGTCCGAGCAGAGCGATGATCTTCCCAGCAGTTATGCCACTATCATTCTCAATCATCAGAAGATCTACAGAACCAGGACAAAGCCGAAGAACTCAAAACCCTTCTTCAATGCCGGCACAGAGCGCTTCATTCGAGATTGGAGATCTGCTGAAATCATGGTTTCGGTGCGTGATGATCGCGAGAGAGAGAACGATCCTCTGCTCGGAATGGTCTACTTGCCGCTCCGGAGAGTTTTTGAGAAAGCAAGTCAGGTCATGCAGACTTATCCACTGGTAGGCGGCATTGGGTATGGCAGAATCAGAATCAGCATGGTATGGCGTAGTGTGCAATTGAAACTGCCCAAAGAGCTGCTAGGTTGGAACTACGGCACGCTCGAGGTCAAATGCCCCGTCAAGCTGAAGTCGACCAACAATGACGGCAACGACAGCAGCAGCTCATTCACCCATTATAGGATGAAGTTGCGGACCAATCTCATGCGGGCTAAACTGTCTTCCAGTGGAGATGGGAAGGTAGAGTGGAGGCCGAAGAGTGACAGAGAATCGGTCTTCCTCGCCGTGCGGAAGCGCTATTCCAGCGCTCTGATTGTCGAGTTCCGCAAGTCCACCATTGGTCCCGACTCGACGCCGGCCATGGCGGTTCTGTGGCTGAAAGACATCCCTGACGAAGAAGAAAGGACTGTCTCTTTGGAAGTGTGGAAGGGCGGCAAGGAGAGAGCACACCGAATGACGACAAGCTACGGGTACCATGGCATGGAAGAAGGGGAACGGCCACTGGGAGAAATTGAACTTACGCTCAAGTTCTGGCGAGGGCTGAGCGGGTACCACAAAACATATGCGAACAAAGGGAAGCACACCGACATGAAGAATGTAATGGAGGTTCTGGATACGGCCAATGATCAGGGTCAGATGGACGAAGATGACGACGGGTATATCAGCGATCAATCCAGCTCGAACCCGGATACAGATTCGGATAGTGATACCAGTTCGGATACTCATACGGCTGCGTCTGCGTCCGCGTCCGGGTCAGTGCAACCGCCCACAGAGAACAAGGAGAAGAAGAGCAAGATGAGAAGTATGCGGCAGAAGAAACTGCGCACTCATGTCAACGACGACTCTTCCAACTCGGACAGTGACGCAGGCGAGGCGTCGTCGCCTAAATCGAAACTCGACCCCACCCAGCTTGCACAGAAACCTCTCGAAAAGGCCAAAGACGTCGCAGCGGCCGTGCTTGATGTTGACGGGCACAATGATCCAAACGACGGCTCGCGCGGACTCAGGGCCCAGGTTAGAGACTACAAGGACCACCGTCGAGAGCTACACCGCAAACATCGCGGTGTAATGCAATGGAAGGGGGCGAGGACGCTGGATTGGATGGCTGAGAAGGTCAGGCGTGGTAAAGGTCGTGTTGGGCAGGTCTTTGAGCATGGAGAGGATAAAAAGAGTGGTGATATTGAGACTGAAGTGTGAAATAAATGCAAATCTGGGTTGCATTTGAACATATACTGGCATGCTTCTTTTGCATTCTTCTGTCTGAAATGCAAACCAGGAACAAAACAGTAGGATCGGCCTTTTGCTCTTGTAATGGACTACACCTGTACAAACTGTGGAAGTACATAGAGCTTGACACTGTGAACTCATGTCGGCGGGCTGACAACCCTGAATGAGAACTGGTGATCATGTTCTCATGTTCTCATGTTCTGGTAGCAGTGGATGTGTCGGTCGCAAGCGAGTTATCAAAGTAAATATTATTTTTATGAGACCTGGGCTATACTGTAGAAGGCTTCATTGTTTTGACTAGGTCGGACACACTTGGCCCTCCGGCCTGACTGCTTAGCGATGTGCTGTCTGCAACGGTCCCTGGAATGTAGACAAGAACTGATAGGATATGGCAAAGCATGTCGGTTCGCTTTTGAATAAGAACTATTATAACGTCTTTGAAAGCACAACATTGTATGTATATGAAGTTGTAACTTGCTGGTGGCACCGTGGGTGGGTGCAGTGGGAGTGAAGGCTGCCCCGGATAATTGATGTTCCGCTCTGGTTAAGTGCGATCTAAACGACGCCTTTGATGATCGCAGCGCAGGTACCTAGGCCGTAGGTATACAACTACCACAAAGTTCCAAGTTCATGCCCGTCCCCTCCATTCACAGCCCACGCGCAGTCTTTCTGGTCAACTAAGCCAGCTGGAGCATTCTACTCTTCTCTTGTTCACCAGTCTCAATACTCTCCTCACTGCCGTCGACAGTACACTATCCTATCCGGCGCAGAACGACCACCTACCTGACCCTCTCTGCCCCTCCCTTCATCCCACCTCAGTCCTTCTGGTCGTTTTCTTCTTCCACCATGTCCAAAACCATTCAAATCGAATCGACCTCGCAGTTCTCCGCCCTTTTGTCTTCCTCCGCCATCGTCGTCGCCGACTTCTACGCCGACTGGTGCGGCCCATGTCGCCAAATCGCCCCGATCTACGAACAACTCTCGGCCCAACTGTCGCGCCCGAACAAAATCACATTCGCAAAGATCAATACTGACCAACAAGTCGATTTGGCTCGATCATATGGCGTCAAAGCGATGCCGACGTTCATGATCTTCAAAAATGCACGGCGGGTTGAATTTATTGAGGGTGCCGATCCGAGACGTCTTTCGAATGCTGTGAAACAATTGGCTACTGAGGCGAATAAGATGGAAGCCGATGAGTCTGCTGGTGAAGGAGGTTCTGGCAGTGGAAATTGGTTAGGTGCAGAACTCCCCCGGGGGTACGATGATGTTACGGCGCAGGTTGATGTGTTGGGGATGGAGCTGTTGAATTGGGATTCGGAGTTTGGGAATGCGAGGACTTTGATTAGGGGGGAGAAACCGAGAGGTAAGAAAGTACACACTCTCTCCATGTCTTTCGAGACAAGACGCAGTCGAGTCGAGATGAGACGACGCTCTTCGTGCCTTTCAAGAGAAGGCCTACGTGACTAACAGAGTCTCTTTGCTCTAGGTCAACCAGAAGCCAAAAAAGACTGGGTGCAAAGCGACACGGACGAACAACTCATGCTCTACATTCCTTTCCAATGTACTCTCAAGATCCACTCGATACAACTCACTTTCCTCGTGCCGGAAAACACAGATGACGATGAGTCTCCCAGCAGACCCAAGTTGATCAAGCTGTACACGAACCGCCCGCGAGTTTTGGGATTTGATGAGGCAGAAGATACGCAGGCGACTCAGGAAATCACGCTGTCAGAGAAAGATTGGGATCCAAAGACCGGTACTGCCAAGATGGACTTGCGGCTGGTCAAGTTCCAGAATGTGTCGAGCTTGGTTGTCTTTGTTGTCGAGAGCGAGGGAGATAATGAAAAGGTTCGGCTTGATCGGATTAGAATCATTGGCGAGACGGGCGAGAAGAGGGATGGCAAGATTGAGAAGATTGCTTCGGATGAATGATATGAGAAATGAGAGTTAACGATGGCGTCCATGCTGAGACAAACAATGGCAGTTAGATTACTAAAGGGTGCCGGTTACGTGTCCCAGAGTGAAAACAATGAATAGAGCCTGAGCAGAGAAGACTGGAGAAATCAATCAAATCACGAAGCATTGAGAATCAAAGCATCAGGTCAACATTGGTTTATCTTGTTTGCATTGCTTTCCGATTCTGCAGTTGAATGCCCCCAGTCGCCGGACTTGTAACCGTGACAGTAGGTAACCAGGTACCATTCGTGAACAGGCCTGCCAGGGACGCCTTGTAGTCTTACCGTACATCCAGCCGCACAACGATAACAATTGTGCCCAGAGATCAGCACACTTCGGGATATCGCCCGAATCTGATGTTCTCAAGAGGCAGCCACATCAACTTGGATAATCGATCGGTTCTAAATTTTCAAAATTACCCGGGTCGATTTGGCATGCCATGCATGGCTCGATTCAGGCTCATCCATGACCACTAGCAGGTCTTCATCAAGAATGAAATCCCGTAGAAAAAGCCATCGTAGCCATCACCATGAGCACCATGAACATCAACACTATCGAATTCTTTTTGATTTTTGATTCTTGAAATTTTTTGAAAGGTTTGTCCGACCCCACGCATAAACAAGCGCAGAGACACACGACCGGCGCGCATTCGTTGGTTTTACGAAACGCGTGCAGCGGTCGCGGAGATCGGGTTGCAATTGATATTCATCTGTGCTGCCACTGACACTTGGACTCGTCATGGAGATTCACTTCTGTAAGGAAGCAGAGAGATCGGCCAAGCAACACAGGGGTAGATATTGGTGGCAGCGCCGCACGATTATGTTGAAGAAAAAGAAAAGAGAAGGACGAAAATTGAGACGCAGATAATATGGTAGTAATTTTTAGCATGATCACGTGATGACAAGTGCATTTTCGTTTCCATGGCTTGGCATGCTTGTTGGTTGTAAAAGTTTGCCGGTCGAGTTCATGATTGTTTGTTTTATGATCAGGCTTGTGATGAACTGCAATTAGCAATATAAACGATAGGAAGAGAATGATTGCCCTTTCATCTGAAAAGATGGGGGTCATGATCTCAAAACATTGACTTGATTCTGAAGCCAACTGAGTCAAAGCTGTGTGCTGAACAGTTTTACTTTCGATTTCGCCAACTGTACTGGCAGTGCACTGGCAATCAGACCATGCGTACCGCCATCCTTGTCTCTTCTCGGGTGATGCTGATGGTGGCGACCATGGGCGCTGAAGGCGAGGCTCGTGGCGGGCAAGGCTGGTTAGGTGGCGTGTCTGAATATCGGGTTTATGATCCCTGGAAGAGGCTGCTAGGTGGCTGCTGTGGTTTACAGCATTTCCTGGCCAAGCTCCTTCTCTTGCCGCAGGGCCTCTTCCCTCAAAAGGTGTGTTGGGTCGTGAGAACTCATTTCGCCCCTGACTGGGTACGGATTGTTCCTGGCAAGAGTGCATTACAGCCGATGTTGTACTTGCCCAGCGCTGCCCGGCGGTGGGCAATGTTGCGTTTTCATTCTCGTCCATTATCTCAATCCTACCTAGCCGGGTTCCGACAAGGCTTTGAGTGGAACGCTTATCGCTTTTCTGCCTTACGACTTGTCGCCATGATGTGCTGATGGTCTTGTGCGCCTGATGATGGTGACTGGGGAGCGGAGGATCGTCTACCGTGATGCAATCATGTGTATGGCGGCGATCCAGGCAAGGTGGCTGCCAAACTTGAAGATTCGAATATTGCGCCGTTTCTATGAAATACAGTACCTTGGGGCCTATCTTCGTCATGTCTACGGTATCTACGTTCTTTGGTGCGAAATATGCCACTGCGAGATTACAAGGATCATGTCATGAAGTCAGTTACCGTGAGAGCTGCCGTGCATGGACAGTCTCGGACCGCACGACGATTGAGTTATCGTCGATCTTGTCGCTGGTGTAGAATACGTAATGTGTGCTGAGCACAGACTCGAGAGAGGCTTTTCGGTCTCGATTCGAATCATGCCAGACGTCGGGGCAGGCAATCCCAGCAGGCTGAGCCAGAATGACCTCGGGTCCCGGTCCTGCTGGCGATTTGGCAGGGGCTGTGGCAGACGCTGGTGCATACAATATTTACCAGGTAGGTGACCATGACCGGCATTCGTATAGACTGCGAACATGGTGCTCGGAAGGCCGTTCATCGCCGACTCGGGGAGACGCTTTGATCGGCCTCACTGGCCTCATTGGGGTTTGCGTCCTCTCATCCTCTACCAGCTCGGTCTAGGAAGTGCCGTTATCAATCGGGGGTTTGTGGCAAGAATGTCAGTAGAACGTCCGTCTCGGCTGGGAGGACATCATCCAACAGCGGAATGGCAACATGTGAACGGACTCGCGCGAAACGGAAAAGTGAAGGATGTTAACAGGCCGTCAGTTCCTAAACGGACAGCTTGTGCAGTCTGAGGCGGTTGACAAATAGATCGGAAGGCATGGCAGGTCCGGGTTATGGCGAAGTCGAATAGTGGCCTGTCGACTTGTCTGGAGGCGCTTTGGACGTCTGCAGGTTGGAATTGACATGACGCGTGTAGAGCGCGCTTCACTCCTCGACATTCTTGCGTTCGCGTAAGACGCTTCTTCCTCCTGTACGTGCGGGTTTGCCGCAACCTGCAACGTCAACGGTCTGACTGCTAATAGTAGCTGCACTCACCATACAATCAGGTTGTATGGCTATTGTTACAGCTTGTCAATAGCCTGAAGGCACATGGCAGCTCTTTCGCCTTTCGCTCGTCAAACGGTCGATCTGTGGCTGTATGTCAAGACTGCTGTCAATCTCACATACCATTCCTTTTCGAGACTGAGCAGAGGGCAGTGCCCGGCACAATCGATAAGCCCAGCTCTGTTGACGAAAAGGCCGCTCTTCGCCCAAACTCGGACGCACAGACAAGGCAGTTCATTCCCTCAACACCAAGACCGCCTGTGCCCACCAGTGCACTGGGTGGCAACATCAGGCAATTCACATGAATCAGGTTTGCAACATTCTAGCTAGCTCGACGAAACCCTAGAAATTACTGCAATTCCGGGGAAGCCTGGAGGGCTCATGCCATGCCTCTGGAAGACGAACTTTCGCCGAACAAGAAAGGTGCCGCGAGAGTCCAAGAAGAATACTAGCCAGGACCGGTGAACATTCCGCATTGTTCGTTCGTCCATGGGTCGGCTAATAATGGAAAAAACCCATTGTTCTGGACGAGGCGGGACTGAAGGAAAGCAGGACGAGATTTTTCGAATGCTTTCCAGGGCTTCTGAAGCTATCAAGGGTCGCTGGTCCATCACCTAGTAAGTCTAGCTAGTAGCGAGGCGAGGCAACAACCAGAGCTCCCGGGCCCGTATCAAGAAACCGAATTCGGCTCAATTCGCTGCCATTGATGCGAGGATGGACACCCGGTTCAGGCGAGGAAAGATAGACTCTGATCGAGCTGGTTAGAGGGCAAAGCTGGAAACCCACATCAAGCCAAGTGTGAGGGTGCCTTGTGCTTCCCTTCGAAAGACTGCACCCTGACGGACGCCTGGCACGATAAGACTGATAGAAGAGTGGAACCCAATTTCCCCGGAAGCACTACGTCGTCCTCCGCAGACAGCTCTGGCCGGCCCCTCCAACCCAAATAATGCAAAGCGAGATGATGTTGCCTTCGGTGCACATCATCGAAAGGGTACCACTGTCCTGAGGACCTTGTGCTCTAGTCGCTAGCACACAAAAATCTTCTCGCCTGCTGGGTTACAGTGCCAGGGTTCGACCGACCACCTAGTCTGCCGCCGTCCAGCACTAAAATCAAAGAATCCAAAGTTCCGTGGAACGTGGTAGCCAGCCACCGTGTTGGAGCACCTTATTATGCTATCAAAATATTAGGGTCGTCGAGGCCAAACCGAGAGTGTGTTGGGAACCAAAGCCACAATGAATAATAATGGTACTGTATGTGACCGAACAACTGTTGCTAAACGGAGCACATGGCACTCCCGTATCGCCTCGAACCTGAAACACCAGCTGCAGCTCCGGGTCAAGACAAAGAAAGAGCCCGACTGGTGGTGAATGAGGACCACAGCAGAGTGCCCTCCGTACCTGCATTAACCCATCGGACTCATTGGTTCAACTGGACGTGGATGCTTCTTGACCGTATATTTGGCGTGTTTTTGTGCGGGAGAAGCTGCAGCGTACTACAACGTTGTAGGAATCCAACACTGGACGACTTGTTCCTGCGTTAGGGCGCTGCTCGTCAGTGGAGTCTCCAAAGGTGCTTCTAGCGACCTTCGCGAGTTACATTGGGCGCGCAGACCCGTGGAGTCGCCACGCTTCTCTATGATCCACGGCGGTGGATGTTGGAAAATCGAATCACCAGCGACTTTCTGGAAAAGAGTTCTGCTGGCATCCAGCATCGATGGCTGGAGACAGCGGTGGAGACGTCTCTGAGTCGGCGGCGCGCTACCAGAGACGGCGCGTTCGCGGTGCAGTTTGGCTTGTTGACCAAAGCAGGGGGCAAGGTTCATGCCTCCACTGTGGGTTGACGGCACACGGAAGAGTTACCTTGGTGGCTTTTGGGCGAGTCAGAGTGCCCGGGTACCTGAGGAAGAGGTCCCAGTCCCACCGAGGTGCCACATGAAGGATCTGCTCTAAGCTCTTAGTCCGCATTGCCCCTGGAGGCCTGGAAGGTGGTTCTGGGTAGAGCTGGTCTGCTTAGGGCCCTTAGCTCACACCACCACTGCTGGCATCCATATCCAGGCTGCGGGAGCTGCCGTTTTTGAGGCCTAAGGAGCCATCCCGGTCCTGGTACAGTACCTGAGAAAGTGAACCCTCGGTCTCGGTGACCGGCTTCGAGTAGTGTTGGGAACATTTGCACCAGAATGTCGACATTCTTACCTACAGTGGCCCTGGTAATCATCCTTGTCCAGGGTTCGGTGTCGCTAGTAACTGGCAATGTTGCAACAAGGACAGAGAGGCAAGCGAGCAAGCATCAAGCCCATCGCCACAAACTACTGTAGTAGTACGTTGTATGGCACACCACTATCACCACTTCTGGTATCACCAAACATTTTACACGAAAGCAGCGCGTTCCAACTGTTGAGGTACGTCCAACCTGTCAGTCCAATACTGATGTGTCCTGGAGAGCAATCGTAGTAGGAGACCAAGTTACTTGTCAAGCTGTTTGACAGTTCTTAGGCCCCGGCCGTGATCGGCGGCCTATCGATACGTGTCCGAGGAACTCAGAGGTGCGAGTGCGAGCAGTAAGAGGCTGTGAGGCCAATGATTCGGCTGACGAGTTTTTTACCTAACACGAAGTCTTAGGGGTCCGCCAGACCCTGGCATCGCCTCTGGCTTCAACATCAACCATGGGCCTTGTCCGTACAAGGGCGGCCTCGGGTTTCAGTAACAAGCCCACCACTCTTGTGGTGAATCCAGCATCGATGCTACCGAAGACGGATTTGTTGCTGGTGTGGCCTGTGAATGTGCTGATTGCTATGTAGCAGTGAGCAGCCACATAGCACCTTTGAGCCGTTCTCGCGAGTCTAATCGGCAGGTGGACCTACGAGAAGCCGAGCCTGCGTGTCCACCGAGTGTAGGAGCAAGATGAAACACGCGATCGACCTTGGTGGCCCCCAAGAATGACGGGGAAGAAACCAAGAGCCACAGCCCACAACCATCCGAAGTCGAGAATTCTCCATTCTGTAACTCTCCCCGATGCATGCTGCTAGCATTGTGCCGGCCAGTGACAGCGAGTATGGTCGACATTCTACCTTTCATTGCCCCGAGCACTGCATATGGCATGTGCAGCTTCAAGCCTCGCACGCCACAGAGTGCTCAGCGTGCAGCTTACACGAGGAGACGCGTTGGAAGAAGGCAAGAAGAGTAAAGTCAAACGCGGCATCTGATGACATGGTGTCGTGTCAAAAGATGACGCTCGTACTGGCCGGCAAAGAGAGTCTACCAGCCTTTTTGGGCACGGATTGAGCACTCGCCACTATTTTACGTGCACTTGTGTGCGAGTTGTGCTGGACCGAAAACCTAGACCGCGCTTTCACGCGGGTACGGAGGTGTACCTGCATATGGAGCATGGGCCAGCGGGAGTGAGTGGCTCTGCCAGCGTCTGAGACACACGCGCCAGTCTGCACAACCCCAAAATGCCCTCGGCAGCTCAGCTCTGGCACTGCACAGCCAGAGTCTCTTGCCACCGGTGCCAGGCCTAAGTCACTCCCGCCTGCAGTGGCCGTAGAGAGTCAAAAGCAAAAGACAGCCTGTCAAGGACTGTCAAACGGTCAACGCCCAGCGCAAACCACCTGTGTTCGCATCGAGGGTCGGCTTATACGGACTTGCAACGGTGGGTGGAGGAGCCTCTACATGGACTTTGTCCCATGACCAACCTCCAGCGTCTACAGCGGTCGTGTCGACTGTACAGACTGCACAGATTATGAGGTTTTGCGCAGGACTGTGATGTTGGTACCGATGATGGTAATACAGGTTTGTGGTCGGGTCCAAGAATAGAGGTCCGACAGCGATTCGCTCGAGGCATCCCAGCGGCAGCTTATCACCAGCTTTTCTCCCACGTCACACCCCTGATTGGCGTCCGGGTTCCCAGCGACTCGCCCAGTCGCTGAACGCGCTTGGATGGAGTTTCGCGACCGCCAGATGCACGTACACAAACGCCAAAACTTGTTGATGCTCAAGGACATCGAACCGAGCGTCGCTCACGTTTTCAGGTTGTCAGCGACAGGACCTATCGAGGCAGATCCTTTGCCATCTTGGACTTGTCTCCTCCGTGTCATGATACGTGTCGTAGACCAATGATATCATCCAAGTTCGCCTCTCTGCTGTCCACCACAAGCGTCTTGCTCGAGAATGGCTGGCTCAACGACGCCGGGAGTGATTCGGTTGTATACACTAGGGCTCAACCACGATTCTACAATACACCCATACGAATCCAGTGAGCGTGTGCATCAGTGAAAGTCTGCCCTTTCAAGCGCTCATATGTGATGGAGGTGTTGAGGAGCACCAATAATAAACATTAGGCACAAATCGAGGCCACCATTTGCCTCTACAGGCTTGCTCGATATCTCTACACAAGCACACCGTCACAGGCAAAGCCCGTGCAATCAGGCCACAAGCATAAACTGTACAGGCAAGGCCCCAACGAGAACCAGTTCGGCCGGTGCGTCATCGGGAGCACGACGGGCGGAATGGTGTGCTAGACAGGGTGCAATTTCCCGTGCATACGACTGATGTGTGACAGACAGTGTGAGCGTCACCCAGCACAGCCCAGATGGGTAGCAGACAGGTCGACAGAAAGGCAGACAGGTAGAGGGATCCTCCAAGACCACCGTGACTTGCTCCTCCCGATCCTCTTTCGCCTCGGGAGCCAGACACCAGGACCGCCGCTCTAAGAGTTGCGGCTAGACATGGTGGGCCATGTTAGTGGATGATAGTCTTTGAGACGGACGGGGGCGGTGGTGAGACCTCCAGCTCCACCATCCTCCAGTCGACTTGCATGGGTCGCGACGACGGTCCCGAACGCAGCGCCCGTTCCTGCAAGCCTCTATCCATGCCAGTGCCCCATCGAGCGGGTGGCCCAGGTCACTGGTCGATGGGATGGCCGGCCGTTCAGACCCTCTCAACCCTCAGGGCACTTAGCGATCACTCTTTATGGCTCGTCCTTGCACCTTGCTCTATCATTCCTCCTCCGTCTCTCATATCGAAGGCAAGACGCTCTTTTGTTCCCCGCGATCCACGCTCTTTTGTGTTGTTATATCTCTCCTTGACCAGGCCCCCTTCCCGGATCTTGTTCACCACTCTTGTACAACACCAGGGTACCAGTGAACATAGTATCCAGTCCTTCCTTACAAGCCTGTGCCAACATTGTACCATATCATAATCGTCTCTCTCTTGTCTACATACATACATCCCACGAACCAAGGACGACCTTCTGAAGACGGTCACCAGCATATCTGTATCTATATGTACAGCTAGTCACAGCGAGACCTCAAGACGACCACTGTCATTCATTCGACCACAACTTCTATATATCAGAGCGTGTACTACAACAAGCCGACGACCGAGCAACTTGCCTTTGAAACCCGACGTCTGCCTTCGCAACAGAGCGAGGCAAGACCCCAATAAAAGAAACAAAACATCCCACAAACCCATTCCCAATGGAAGGACCATATCCCATGGCTGGCCAACAGATCCAGTTCTACCAATATCGGCCAGACTCGGACGCACGACATAACGCTGTGTTCACGCCCATGCCTGGCGAGCAGCCGATGTTCAGCCCCATGGCCGCGTATCCTCCTCATCACCATTATATGGCTCCTCAATACTGGCAACCACCGCCTCACTTCGCCCGAGCCCATTTCATGCCGCACCAGGTCATGACTCCCCAGGCCTCTCCTCCTTTGTCGCTGGCCGTGCCGATGCCCAAATTCGTGGTCGACCACAATGGCCCAATGGAGCATGCTCACATGCATGAAGGCCGGCACTCTTCACCACCGACCCCGGGCTTGTCAGTCTGCCCGAGCACCGCGAGCAGCCCGCCGGCTAGCAGCGTGCACCAAACGCCTGTACACGGCCCAGGGTACTTCCACCTGCCCCTGGAGGCATCAAAGGAGGAGATGCAGCCAATGCCATTTTTGGATGACTGGATGGAAAACGGACGTGAGTATTATCATGTAAATGCGTGGAAAAATCATCTGAACGGAGAACTGACGTGGTGAGGAAACAGAAGTTCACCTTTTCCCGCATCCTGGCGATGCCAAGCTCATGCCCAGCAATTCCGCTTCCGGCAATTTCAACAACTCCAACTTCAGCGCTTCCTTCGCTTCATTCACCTCCTCCGCCTCGGGCTGCACCTCTCCATCTCTGGAGCCTACCTCTCCCCAGTCCCAGGTCTCACCCTCGTCTGCATACCCTGTGGCCGAGTTTGTCAACCTGCGCGACCTGAGCTCGGCTTCATTCGAGTCCAACCCGCCTGCCGCAGTCCAGACCTTCCCTCCTTTGCCCACTCTGTCCGCCGAGGACGACGAGCACAAATTTGCGTTGGGCACCTCTGCGTTCCCCATCACCCCGGAGCATGACACGGCCGATCCATTCACGCTTCCTCAAAACCCATCCTTCGAGTCGTCCTTCTGCACCGAACTAGACTCTGAGGACGAGTTCAGCTTTGTCAACTTTACCGAGGCCGAGATCGCCTACAACGGTGACAAGAGACAGAGATTGTCGTCGGCTGAAGAGGAAGACTTCTTGAGCGTCCACAGCTTTGGCAGCTTTGATGAGGACGACCACGCTCACGCTGGCCTTCCCTCGCCTCCGGCATCCTCGTTCTCCGACGCGGGTTCCTGCTGCGCCAGCAAGAAAAGGTCGTCGTCTCAGCGCAAGATGAAGCGCAACGATTCGACAGATGGGGAATTCGAGTACCAACACATCACCGAGGCCGATGGTGCCATGGACAGCCACGCTGAGGGACAGACCAACTCGTCGGCAACCTCTCAAGGCCAGCAAAACTCCGCTGACGACAACACCACCTCGGTCCACCCCGATGGCACCGGCCAGTCGCAGCCCACTCCTACCAACCGCCGTGGTCGCAAGCAGTCTCTGACCGAAGATCCTTCCAAGACCTTCGTGTGCACCTTGTGCTCTCGTCGCTTCCGCCGCCAGGAGCACCTCAAGCGTCATTACCGCTCTCTGCACACCCAAGACAAGCCGTTTGAGTGCAACGAGTGCGGCAAGAAGTTCTCCCGATCCGACAACCTTGCTCAACACGCCCGCACTCACGGCAGTGGTGCCATTGTCATGGATGTCTTGGAGAATGGCGAACTCCAGCCACATCAACCTTACAATGAGGAGATGGGTCATGTTCTCTACGAAGCGGCCCAACGCGCCGCCATGGCCACCTCCTCCAGCAGCAGTGGCTCCGAGAGCTCGTCTTCGGGCGAGAGCAAGCGTGCCTTGAAGAAGAGGAAGCGGGACGAGTCTTTGTAAAACACTGGGTGTCTCCCTTGATGAGAAAAGGACGATCATGACGACAACACAAGCAAAAATCATTGAACAAAAACAATTACCAAGCGAACTACCACGACGGAATGATCCTTTTTATGACGTGAACCAAGAGAGCTTCTTCACCCAGCAGACCACTATTTGTTCCATGGGTTCCTCGCTCTACTTGGACAACCATGGACCAGCGTAGGAGCTCAAGACTGTGTATGTGTACCGAGGAGATGGTCAGAAAAGTGCGCTAGATTCTTTTAAACCTTTCACACCACATGTATTCTAAAGGCTTTCAGAATGGGGGAAAGGGAAGTGTGGCAGGGAATTGAGAAGAGTGTGCAGCAAGAGAAGAGGATGGTGATGATGACCTCTTTTTTTCTTACCAACACACATTGTGACAACACTATTTTGACTTTCTTTTCTGCTTTTCGTCTTCCTACACTCGTTTTTGATCTGCCATCTCGAGAAGATTGACTTGGCGGAGGAGAAGCAGACATGATTGATCAGCAGCCATTACCGCCACCACTATCGTACCATTGCATCACAACTGGGTTGTCTTTGCCTTGGTCCGTGGGTGGTGGTTCTATGTATATGTACCACTAAGTATTCGCACTGCATACTATCATTACGATTTGTACTATTATGAATTGATTGGAACATTGATAATGCATTGGTTGAATGAATCCATCTGAGATGGACTAACAGTATCATGCCTTTTTTTTTTGGCATTGCTCCTCAAACACGGCAACGTGAAGAGATGGGTGGTGAGCAGAAACGAGAAGAAAAAGGTGAAATCCAGTCGCTTTCCCCACAGCAGTTTGGTTTGCTTCGGGCCGGTCCCTTATCGATTTGCTCTTCCCCTTCCCCAGCTCCTTCTGCGGGCAGCGTAGGCAGCGGCAATCCACTCAGTTTTCTGAGCAGCTAATGGTCTCCATCCCATCTCCCCTTTCCTGAGTAGACGTTTGTTTCTTTCTCTCGCTTCAACGGTGCTACTGATCTGAAATATGCCTCCGTCGCCAGCAGCTACCAACTTCAAAGGTCCCCGTGGGCCGCTGAAGCATCGTTGTGGTCTTTGCCAGGTCCCTGGGCCCAAGGCTAAACTTTCCCTATGTACAGGGTGTCGAGTGGTCCGCTACTGCTCTCGGGAGCACCAAGTCCAGCACCGCCCAGAGCACAAATCTGTATGTAACAAGATCAAACGTTACCGCACCAAAGTCGCCAAAGAAGAGGATGCGGTTCGCAATGCAACAGAGGATTTCATGACCCCGGCAAACGCATTCGAGACTCATGTTGGCCACTTCTGGGGCATCCTCAATACTCGGGACTACATGCGGGCACGATTCGAGCTGGCCGATACGGTCCGCCTAGCAGGGACATTGGACGGTGTCACTGAGGCCCTCGAACATATGCGGGATATGCTGCGGCTATGCAGAAAGGACAACGTGGGCGTACGACACATCATACCTCCGGTGATGCTTCAGCTTGATCAAGACCAAGAATGCTACGACTTCATAAAGTGGTATGAGACCGAAGGTCAACGCGGGGACTACGACTGGGGTAATATGGACTTGCCATTCCTCAACATCAAAGGTGCCGACATCCTTGAAGACGTCGAATACCTTCGCGGAAAATATGCGGACGTCCATAATGTGTCTGCAGTAATGCTACTCAAGTTGAAGCTGCTCGTCGACATAATCAACATTAAGCTTGCTCGAAAAGTCATCAGTGCCCGCTTGCCTCCTGAGACATGGGAAGGCGTCGAACTGCGCGTTATTCGAAGCCCACTTAGCCGGCAGTGGGTAGGGAAATCTGATCAGCTCCTTACAAGCGTGCAGCAGAAGCTCGAAATTCATGTCAAACTCCTCGCCAGGACTCTGCAGACACTCAACGAGCATTTTGTCTCCACTCTTTTGGAGGCTGATGAGTGGCTCTCTGAATCACCTTACACATATTCTCGGGGTTCGTTCGAGGAAATGCTGTTGCTTTTGCAATACAGTTATGCCGCTTGGTGGCAGCATGAGGGCGTCTTGGAACTACTGCAATCCGCAAAGGCAATCGCAGCCAAGGACTCGGAGGTCGAGATCGAGAGTATGATGAAGAGCACGACTTTCAAGACCAATCCTGGGTCAAATAGGACCAAGGCCGAATTGCTGGATGACGTGAGTCGCAATCGTCTTTGGGGATATTTCAGCGATGCCGTGGAGGATGCCACCAGTCTAAACGAAACCCCTCCGTCCGAAGTCAAGATCCTGTCCTACCTTGGTGACTCGGACTACGATATTAGCGACGAGTCGGATTGATGTACGTCTCCTGTGTCCTCTTGCTAGCCACGAGCCCACCATATTCAATCCAGAAGTTTCTTTTATCCGGAGAAAGTCACCAGCGATACGACACATGGACGCAACCAATGTAAAGGGGAAGATGACCATGCCAATATGCTCAGGGACAATCCTTTGACCACAATATACGTTGTAGTACTGTAAACATACTTAGGTAGGTATGCAGGGTGCTAGAGCACTCTATCGACTACCGTAGTTAGTTATCGATAAGGCGCGATAGGCGTCGACGATATCGATAGCGATATCGATAGCGATAGGAGTGGATAGACGCTTAGATAACGAAAGGGCGGGGTTCAAGTTTTGCAAATGGGACAGGCAAGGCAATAAGAATAGGCAGACTATGAAGCTCCTACTGTTGGTCTGAATCACACATGTGCAGTAGTGTCGCCATTGAGACAGAGCATGGGTGTTTTCTCGGCCGGCAAACTTTTTTTTACCTTTACATCGGCATGGCATGTACAATGTACCCACGAGATGATCGATCACATTTGTCAGTGGAGTAACTGTGGTGAAGAGGAACGAAAGAGAAGACCCAAAAATTCTACAACTAATCGCAATCCGAAGAAAAAAAATTCACAAAGGTACCAAGTATGCAGTGCATTGTGTCCACTTGGCAGTTAGGAAAAAACATAGTTATACACAAACACAGCACGCGGCGGACGCGTTGTTTGTTGTTATCGTATGGAGTACTCGTGCAGGTCTGGAAGGCCGAGGAGGATCGTCGATTTTCACTTTTTTACGTAGTTTTAGTACAGTGTAGTAGCATTCCGTATGGACAAACGATGACTTTTCCTCTATGAAGAACTCGAAGCAAGCCACTGACGCAGTCGTACGTACAATGGTACATATCTACAATGTACAGTAGTGTACGTAGATAGTTCCAGTAATAAAAAATGCATCATGGCTGTGCATTTCGATAAGCCTTTAATTTCCCTGACAGTGACGCCAGGAGGAGGCGCAGGTTAACCTTAAGTACAGTAGTACCTTTTAAGCCTTCGGCGTCGGATAGGGATGATGATGACGTCGGCATCATAATGCCTGCTTAGGTACTGCTGTGGGCGGAGTATTGTAAGGTACCTGCAACATTTTACAATGTACAATGTTGTATACCTAGCATTGGATTAATCGTACAGAACCTGGTGAGGTAAGGGCCGTCTCCACGAACAATCATGATTGAAGGGCAGACACTACTGCAGGAACAGAAAAGATCGAGATCGTTTTCGAGGTTCAAGGATCATGAGAGAGACACCTTCGCTCCGCTCACTCGTCCTGTCGGCAAGGACTGCTGATATTGTCGATGCTGGGATATGCCGTGGGAGCAGACGTTTTGTTCAGCAGGACGAAAATTCTCAGTCTCCATCCATGGGCTGGCTGCAGTGGCGCAATGCATGTGTCAGAAGCAAGTGCGATGTTGATGCGAGTGAGCAGACCTCTCTCGCCTAGAGGCTTACCTCTCGGCTCTTTCAGAAACGCGTCCAGACGCGTTCGACAGGTACACATGTAAACACAGTGGCAAAACCTTCAAAGTGCCAGGAGTGGCTGGCTGCGCGAAGAGACCCTCTTCTCCGAAACAGCCCCTTGTTGGTCCATGAGGATGTCAAAGCGCGAAGAACCACCCGCTTGCCGCGTCTCCGCTCTTCCCGGAGGTTTTGACATGTGCCAGAATGGTGGTCTGTGCCGAACTCGAACTCGAACCCCAAAAGCTAAGACCTTCGCGTTTTGTGGAGAAGAGAACCACACTTTGACAGATCAGATGGGCGTAAACCGGAAAAGGTAAAGGTGCAAAAAGGGTTCTCTTCACTTGAGGACCACACCAGGACCGTGCGGTGCGGCCTCCAGTTTTTCTCTTCGGATGTCTGTGCTCAGCTGCTGGGGCCCAAGCCGTGGTGGAGGTGCTCCTCCCATGGACGTGGCGGGACTCGAAGAAAGAGGGTTCTTATCGCCCACGCTGGTTTGTTCTCCGCTAGTAGGCAAGCTTGACTCTGAGTCAGCCTGCGGTGGTTTGATGGTCAATGCTCGGAGCGGTCGGTGGTGTTATATCTGTGACGCATGTCACAACAATACCCCAACGTTGTTAGCGGTAAGCTTCTGTGAACGGCTTCCTGCCTTCCGACTCGAAACGCCTGTTCTTAGGCAAATGGGGAGAAGAGGCACCTGCTACGGAATCTGAGTGCAGAACCGGTCGGTATATCTTGACGTAAAAAGGCCAAAAGAGGCAAAAGGGCTATGCTATGCTGCGCTTGACAGAACTCTTGTGAAGTCGGAAGAGCTGGACGGATCGGCGATCGTGATACGCATGGTCAATGCTGCCGCGAGAGGTTTGCACGTCTCGCTCAAGACGGCGTCGCTGCTGGTGGTGGAGGTGGCAAGCGATACACCCTCTTCTTGCAACTGTCCTCCGGACAGACTCGTCGAACCATCCGTGGCTGGATTGAGCGTCTTGGTACTCTCACTTCTCTGCTCGACTTCCGTATGCTTGTGGCCATCGACAATGGTCATTTCCAACCCCGAGCTGCCGTATACCGACTTGCACGGAACGACTGCGAGGCTACTAAAGAGAGAATGTTTGTTGAGTTTGCACCGTGCTGACTGGAATTCGGCCGAGATGAAAGCCGTGCCGTGAACAGCTTGGTACGAGGGTGGTGTGGTGTCTGCGTACCTCTCAGAGAGCATGTCCGTAATGTCTCGCTCGATCGTCTCAGTGTCGAGAGTGTTGCTTTCTTGCGAAGAGTTCGGCATGTACATCAATACCGTCACCAGATGCTCGGTGTTGCGGTCGATGCTCTCCGTCTCCCGCTCCTTTTCTTGGTCCTGGTGTTCTCCCGGCAGAACCGTGACTATCGAGACAGATCCCCAGCCACGATGTTGTCCACTTGCCGATATTCGTGGAACAGAACTGGGAAGTTGAGGTAAGTTTGCAAGGCCTAGACTCCACCATTCGATTGGCGCGTCCCGGGGCAAAGAAGCAACTTCTGCCGCGATGAAGGGACGGACAAATTTGCAACCAATTGAGGTGCTCTTGAAAACCTTGTGGTTTGGCAGGATATGGAGATGCCCCCCAACATTTGTCGCCGGGATTTTCTTATCGTGCAACGAAGACCGGTTGAACTGCCTGTCCCAAGCGTCAGGGCCATCTTCATCATCGTTATCACTGTCCCCCTCGGTGGATGATTCTGATACAGGCCTTGTTCCGATTAGGTTTGCTTCTTGCCAAACCTTGCTCGCTACAACGGCGTGGCTTGCTATGGCACTGTCCTTCTTGAGGAATGCGATTCCCCATGGCCAGATATCGACACCTCGTTCTTGGGCGACTCGCCAGAGATGTTGGAGGCTCAAAACAGCTTGCTCAACAAAGCTTTTATCGGACACTGTCATGGTCTGAGGAACCAATGGTATTTGGCCGGCCATATGCACCAGCTCCACCAATCCTGCATCGTGGACGTTGCTATCAGGATTTGCACGGGTCTCCATGGCTACGCAGATCGCTTGACTGTAAGGCCCGATATTGGCTGGAGCCCAGTAGCTGCGACTTTGTACATGGAGACCGCGACGGGTGTGGCGAGGCCTCAGGTCCAGTACCAAGTTCAAGCTGACGTCAATGCCAGCAGGCAAGTCGCATGCAATGGTCACACGTGCGGGCGGATTCGGTTTTCCAGCGCGAAATAGCGTGGCGTAGATTGAATTGACGGGGCCAAATTGGGCCATATCTCTGAGAAGTAGGGTTGCGAAGACAATATCAGAGGAATTTGGTGTCCACGGTAAGCGAAGAGAATGGGCGCTTGATCCCAGGAGATTATCGACCATGTTGCAGATTCCTTTCATTTGCTCGGTAGGCGTACTAGCCCCTGGAGCCGTGATGTTGGATATTGTCAGACAAGACCCAGTGAGGGTCTGGCCCAGCGGGAAACTAGCAGACACAAAAGCCTCTAGATCATGTTTGCTGGTGTGCCCGTCTGTGACTGACCATGTCGAATTCAAGGGCAATGGCTTCAGACCCTGAAGTCTAGTTAGAACAGTATCGAACTGGGGATCCAAGACACCGGGCACTCGAACAGGTCCCTTGTCTTGCTCGGTTGATATGGACTCGTTCTGCACTGTTCTTGCATCTCTGAGTCGGATATAACAGACTCCGCCATCGCCAACAACAGTTGAGCTCTTCTCTTCAGCTACAACAATCCTTTTCTTCCACAGTCTATTCGGCCCATTGACTGCCAAGCTTTCATACTCTCCGCCCTCGCCCAAGACTGCTCCACGGAGCTCAAACTCGTGATCTGGAAAGAATGGCCGTAAACCCGCCACCAACCTTGCACGGGTCCGTGGGTCGGCGACATTAGACCACAGCAGACTTTCCTTGATGCCGCCGCTCGCTATTTTAACGATTCGCGCATCGCACCCAGCAGCTGCCATGTCGTCAAGGAGACCAGTCAGTGAATCCATGCGTTCCGCAGGAGGCGGAAGCGCCGGGTACTGCCAGAGATATGCCAGGGGCGTCAGTCCCAGTCGAACAGCAATAGACTCGACTCTCGTGCGTTGGTATGTCGACAAGATGGCGCCAGAGCAGACCGCATTAGCCTCCGGGTGCGCTTTCATGACCTCCTGCAATAAGGGCACAAGATCCTCCGTTTCGTCCAGTGGGTCCAACCCGTTCCTGTCGGCCGTAGCTAGATCGATTTCGCTGGCATCGTAATAGCGACCTGTTTGCACTGCGGAACCCGTAATTTGTCGCCTGTACAGTGGAAGACCGAGACACTCGGCGTACAGAGGGATGATTGAGTATCCGACCGTCTGGTACATGAAACTGTTGAGATCTTCATCCTCGCCTTCTGTATCCTCTGGTGAAGTGTCATTGGCACCTCTCTCAGTTGGTGACCGAGGTCGCGGGTAAAGGTTTGCCAAAGCGACAACCTTGTGTCCATTGTCCAAGCAATGAAGAATGCTGTATAAGGAATCTTTGCCGCCTGATATCAAGGCAATCACATTCAATGTCTCGGCGGCCATTGGAATCGGTGGAGTTGAAATCAAAGCTTGATATTATGCTCGGGGGCAGAAGATTTCATTTTTGCGTACCAACCGCCATTTTTATATTGGATTTCTCGTGTTACAAAGACGCAGACATTGATACAATCACTTTAGTCTCTCTGAGAAGGTAAGGTAGCTTGAGTCAGGACACTTGTTTCCAACTATAATCGCTATGGCGGCAGTGGCCTGGGATTCGACTTTGCAGGCCGAAGAGGTCGAAGTGGATTTGGCGCTATATGACTGTTGTGGTCGACCGTATAATTAGTCACATGATATACGGGAGAGCATTTATGCTATAGCCGCGAAACTATTCGCCCGACTCGGAGCACTATGGAAACATGTACAGTATCACCATCTCATTCTTCCCATGGCTTCTATCGTCCTTCAGTTGCCCTGGTTCCTAACTCCCGCCCTGTGCTTAGCAGTCGCATCTGCAATGGATCACCAATCTAGCGGTCTGTATAAAGGGCAAGTTCATATTTATCGTGGTCAAGGTACTGTACAACCTCTCCAAACTCTGACCCCCCTATTCAAGCCTCGTTCGTCTATGCGTTCTACCAGCATGCCTTTCTCCCACTCGAGACTTCCTTCTTGCATCACAGCTTGGAGTTCTCCTTGAAAACATAGAATGCCTATGATATAAAACCGTGTTGTCAGCACCATATATCACAAAAGCATCGCCGCATCAAAGGGGTACAGCACAACTTCATCCACATGGATGGTTGTGTCCTACTTACCTCTTGAACACACGTGGCAATCAACATCCCATCCCGGCCAAAAATTCTCGAATGGACCATCGCTCGACCATCTCTAGCCCAAGGCGACGACACCTCAATGTACACCAGCTCATCAGCGCGGAATCCATCATGAACGTGGAAATGAACCGTATGATTCAAACTAGTCATGATCTTCATCCCCGCCGGCGTGGGGGTTCTTGTCTTGTCACCGATCTTCCAAAGACCAAAGTCGACTCCATGGATGCTCAACGGACAGTCCATGGCGTGATAGTCTGAAAGGTGAATGATGGCGAGGATGTGCGCTGGAGAACCCGGTGGTGATTTGATCGGTGGATCGACTTGTGCAACGACGGGTGCAATGGTTGTGCTTGGATCGGGCGGTTCTACGGAAAAGGCAAGACGTCGTTGTCAGCATGACCACTCTCCCTCTCTTCACACACAACCCCTCTCTTGTTACCCTTCGCTCTTGGCCTCAAGATTGAGGGACATTCCTACATACCTTGCTGAACCAGCGGCAATCTCTCAAACTTCATAAACGGCCCAAGCGGACCCCGCGTTTCTTCAAAGTCGTCGAGTGTGATTTTCGAAATTCGCTGGCTGATACTCAAACCTACCGCATGGGTCATGCTCCGTCCCGTCCAGGGGGCATTGTTCATGAAACTAGTCGTGATGCTCACTTCGGCCTTGCCGTCCTGTTCGATCGTCACCGATCGAACAGCGAATCGACGTCCCTGGCTAAGTCGTTGGACTTTGTAGACGAGCGGTTTTGTTGGGTCAGGCGCGATCATGAAGTGTGTTTGTAGCACGTCCAAACAAAATTCCGGTGGGACCGTCTTATATGCGGCCGCGGCGGCTTGGGCCATCATCAAGGGACCGGGGACGGTGTTGGTGATGTGGAATAGCCATGGTTGGTGGACGTTGGTGAATGTATCCTGTTGGGATTGGGGGTATCAGATCGAGACTTGAGTACCCTGGGTAGGTAGGTACTAGTAGTTTGGAAATGGGAGCTGGAAGGAAGGAAGGGGTCAGATATGTGATGGCTACTGGTACCTACCGGGCCGATCTCTTTGAGTTCAAGGTGCGTCTCGAAATCGAGGTGTTGTAGTGGTTGTTGTTGGTGTTTTGCCGGGTCTTCGGGTCCTACCATTGCGATGTTGGCGGTTTAGCTTGTAGTAATGCGCACATCCCCTTCCTAGGACCTGTTCCATATAGCTATTCTTATATACCCACAAAACGAACGTGGATTTCCCTTTAGACCCTTCCCCCTAGGACAACGTTATGGTTGATGTTGAAGTATGGGGTCGTTTCCATTACCGGTTGCGGGGGCCGGGGAAGTGTTGGACTAGTAGACGATGGTCCGCAACCTTGAACCGAGGCACATACTGTAAGGCTCCGCGCAAAACGCATCGCGAACAATCTGGGATGGTTTCTTTTCTATCTCTAGGTACTCTTTCAGACATCTAGATAGACTCCAATGCCCCGTCCGATGTACTTCTCTCTCTTGTAAGTCTACATCTATTTCTCCGCCCTCCTCAAAATAACAGGCAACTCATCTTCAAGATACGACTCCCAGATTCCCTTTTCTTTGGCCTCCCAGCCAAGTTTTCTTAACCTGACCGCCCTAGCCCGACAATTGAGACCCATATAACTCTCCGTCTTCCCACCACATAATTCCGAGTACAGCTCCTTGGGGGGTTGTTTGGGGGTTGGATCCGTAATTTGCCCCCGGTCATAAAGAGCCTTTCCAATAACTTCGGCGGCTTCTTTCCACGAGAACTCTTTCCCATTCTCACACAACCAATACGGATTGGCATCATCTTCCTTTTCCAAATAATGCATAATATCCACATATCCACGCACAAGATCCCGATAATGGACCTGTGTCTCAAGCGACACCCCCTCGCCAATAACAGGCGCATAGCCATGTTTCAGCGCAAACCGAGTCATATTCGGAAACATGATGGACAACCGATCATGTTTCTCATCGTAGCCATACACCTCGGGCGGCAAGACGATAGCCAATCTCAGAAACCCACGTAACTCGTTAGACTCTTGTGCCTTGACCAACATCAAGTCCACATCCCGGTGCGGCGCGTCGTCAGGCACATTGCCCATATCACTGCGGTTGTCGTCGTGGTAGATTTTCTCCGACGCAAACATGCCCTTTGCACCGTCGTCAAACACTTTCGCCCCGCTCGTGTGTACGTAGATGGTCCTTTGAGAGCGGGCGGCTCGTTGGCGAGCTGCCTTCAGTATCGCCTGCTCGAGCGCCAGGTTGTCGCCCGTCGCGCATTGAAAAATAATGTCGCTGGCCGCGCTGTGCGAAGTGATCAAGTCCAGATCGTCTAGCGTGCCCATTACTGCTTGGCCGCCGGATTGTCGGATCCCGGCGGCGTGTTGCTCCCGTCGTGTTAGGGCGGTTACTGAGTAGCCTTGGTCGACGAGCGACTCAAGAATGTTCCATCCGATGAGGCCGGGGCCGATCATGAAAACTTTGGGTTTGGAAGCCATTTTTGAATATGGAAATATGCCCTTGAAATGTATTGGGGGTGGATTGGGCATGCACGAAAATCAGCTCGTCGTGTGTTATTGTATCATGCTAGCACCGGATTATGGTGTGGCTTCCTTTCCGTGTTCGCAAAGGGTCTAGGAGACAAAGGCAAGGGTAAGTATGTAGTAGTGTATGTTGTAGACTTTACATGAAATTCATTGCGACTTGACTTGCGTAGGTAACTAGTTGTACTGTAGCTGCTCCCCGAAACGGGGACCGTGGGTTTGGTGGGCGGACATGTCCACCCTGACTCCCATTCCTCAGCCGATGTCGCTGAGCGGGCAAAGATCTTTTGATTCCCGTTAAATAACTCGGATTCAAAGCAACACCCTTGTTATAACTCTTCGTCCGATCAAGCGGATTCAGTAACCCGAAGCCGGAATATCTGTAGGATGAAAGGCGCGCGGTATCGAGAACTGGGGGCTCATTACCGGCCGATTCGTTAAGCTACCGATACCGATCCGGGACGTCTGATCGGGTACAAAGGAGGGTCTTGATTTTACAGCAACAGCTGCTGCTCATTGATCGCCTACATCACGAGAAGCTTAAGAACTGTCATGCTGGGCCTTTGGCTCCCGAAGGCTGATTTGTTGTATCTCACTCTGACCGACCCAGCAAGATCACTGGCGGATTGATTCGGTAGGTTCAAACCAACGTCGCTCTCCCAACCCAATTGAAGCTGTCGGAACAAGAGCTGTTGATTTTGGGGTATCTCAACTGTACGTTCCAGCCAGTAATATCGCTGATACTTGTACGGTTGACATTCATTCACCGTTCGCAAAAAGATGTTTGGTTCAGATAATCAAACAGCGTCAATTCATGTTTGTGCCGCGCCCAGCTGCCAGGGTTGGTGTTGCAAAACAAGGGTCATGAACGGTCGGCTACCACTGCAGTACTGGTCTTTATGATACCACCTGGAATGTTTCCGCGATCCTTGTGATATCATTGGGGTTAATATCCTGCAACTCTCGAGGGGGACGTTGGATGAACTCGATAACAACCTCTCCAACGTCATGTTTTGATTTCGGAGGGAGTACTTTGGTCATTTCGTTTATTTGTATTCCATTTCCTTGCCATGTAGGTCTGAACAATCGTGGAATAATAGCCTTGGTGGAGTCTTCTACACAGCGTTCCATGCTTCTTCCCGTCAAGCTAGATTGGCTCTCATGCCGAACCAGACTCACGCCAATGGCGGCGTTGTTCCGAAAGGCCTCAGCCCGGCGACCATAAGGATGGAATGTGGTGCTACTGGGAATACTGGCTTGGGAGTGGCGGGTCAGGTATCGAAAAAGTTACCTCCCTTCGTAGAGACCACAGTCTAAATAACAGGCAGAAAGCGTCAGGTTGACCTTCAAATCCCCAAAAGAACACCTTACCGCTAACCCTGTAATCCCTTTCGATCGGGTTGCCTGAAATTATAGGTTGGGTCTCAATCATCCGCACTACGGGGCGTCCGTGGACAACTTGGCCGAAAATGACGTGCTTGCCGTCAAGATGTGGAGTGTTGACCGTTGTGATAAAGAACTGCGATCCATTTGTGTCCTTTCCTGCACTTCGTAAGAGAACATTCCGGCTGGGTGACGGCTTTTTACCTGAGTTTGCCATTGCAACGAGGAAAGGTCGGTCGAAAACCAGGTCCAAATTTTCGTCCTCGAATAACTCACCGTAGATGGATTCTCCGCCAGTACCGTTGAAAGCTGTGAAGTCGCCACCCTCAATCACGAAGCGTCGTATGGCACGATGAAAGATACTGCCTTCAGGGACCCTTAGCGCGCCGGTCTAAATTCTCATCGAGGTGCAGTGTCATCTTGGACTTGGTGCTCCATCTTTGCTTCAACGAACCTTTGTAAAAGAGAGGCATTCCGGACCTGCCCACCCCTTTCTCGCCGGTGCATAAGCATCTGAAATTTTCTGCTGCCTTTGGTACAACTTCAGTGTGTTAAAGAGAGTCGAGCAATGTGAAACGAGACTTACTGTCGCTGAACTGTCTGTCGTGAGCAGAACTCGCATAGTGATCAGTCACTGATCAGGAGAATTCGTATACTAACCAGCTGTATGATGATACGACCGACTGTTCTTGATCCGATGGATATATCAAGGTAGACCAAAGGGCGCACTGCGGAGGCATTTTGATCCTCTCCTTTGCGTAAATGCACTCTTCTAAAGACTCGGAGTTCTTTCCGCTCCTTTTCGAGTACTGCATAGTCTAATGCGTACTGCCCGTCCTCATCACTGACCTGGGATGTCTCATCATAAATGGTGGCCGGCCATCTAGCTTCCGAAGAACTCAGGGGAGCCGCTTCTGATGGTGGACGAGGGCTATCAGTCTGATGATTGTTTGAGCCATGGGCCTCGGCGATCGGCATTGGCTTATTGAGAGCCGCTATCCAAAAGGAGCAGGTGTTGCTATAACGAGTGAGATTAGATGAAGCGTGGATGTGTAACAGCTCTTACCAGTGCCGGCGCCGCGCACTCATGTTGCTCAAACAACCTGAACAATCAGCTTTGGGACAACGGCTTCCTCTGCTAGAATATATGTTTTCGAGAAGTATGGACATCTCCACTTTTGCTCCGGGGAAGATGGTATTTCTCCACTCTTCGGGTGCGATTTCACTGCCTCCGGATCCCATATCGAGCAAGACATAGGCTTTTTGACCGACGCGATCTTCACCTGGAAGTCCTTTGAAGTGATTGCGCAGGAAGGTATCCACCATCTGGTGTTGAGTCAGGAGAGAAGGAACGCCAGATAAGGATGGTCATACATCGATATGTTGGAAAAATTCGTAGGGGAGCAGTTTCGATCGTCCTAGTACGTCTTCAAACAGGATATTATCCTGCACCTGAAGGTGAGGACTACAGCTGAGTTGGTCTTGCATAGTTCGAACAGCGCCGTATATCGCAAAATTATAGGCCCTTGGTCGTGTTAGTAAAATGCGTTGCTGAGAGGCTCAAGGAGCATGATCATACACTGTTCTTCGCAAGATGTCGCGAAGCTCTTGAGGCAGAGCACTGAACCTGTTCAGATGTCACTTCTTCTGCTCATTCATCATTTTCTAACCTCACCTTGCTAGAGCCTGGACCCAATTCTGCCTGAGGCTCATCACAGCATGAGATATCGATTTGTTGCTTTCACGAGCCTCGTCCAGCTTTGCCACTATTTGTTGTGTATTGTCATTGAAACTCTCATGGAGCTTTGTTTGGGAGTCGTTCACTTGCTGGAGCTTGTTTGTCTGGTCGGTGATCGAGCTGCCGAGGCTAGTCTGCTCGGATGACATGGAATCGAGTTTGGAGGCCAGCTGGGGCAGTTCTCGGCTCGTCTGGGCCGCGACTTTTCCCAGAATCTCGCTGTTCGGGTGTTAGCGAGATTTGTAAATAGCGTGCCAGATATTTACGTGTTGTGAACAGATAGAAGCAAGGTCAGGCTTAGAACTTTCGCCGCTATTGTTGCCCTGAACTTTCGCACTTGCTCGCCCATTTGCAAAGCCCATTGCGACTTCCGCAAAGCGCCGCGAACGGAATCTTTTGCAAAGGGGCCTAATTTCTCCTCAAACTTCTGGAGGCGCTCAAGAAACGCTGCCAAAGGAACTTGACATGTCAGAGCTAAGCAGCGGATTGCATTGAGATGGGTGATATTCTGCTCAGTAGGCTGAAGAGCCTGGAGAGTCTCGAGTGTCCTCTTGAGCGCCTGGAGATCGACATAGAGATGTTGATATTCAGATGAAGCACCGTCAGCATCGCGCAAGGCTTTTCCAACTTTGACCACCAGTCCTATAAGCAGTGGAGTTAGCTGTACATGTGTGACATATGATTTGGTGGGATTGCCTGATCTATTAAAGGTATGTTTACCTATCACAGAAGCGAAGTCACCCGCAGAGAAGCCGAAAGGCACAACCATTGTGTATAAAGTCGCGGAGCGTTGGAAGTGATACTGAGCCAAGTTATTGCGGCACGAAGGCCTGTTGGCATTGCTCTTGAAGAGGTTGACATCGAGATAGTAGAGAGATGGTGACAGGCGGTGATGGTAAAATAACACCCTCAGTGCCAGTAAGGCTGTGCCATGTCCCAATACGGCAATAGCCTCAAGCCGCTGGGTGGCGGCTGCGCCTCTTCAGACTTTGTTAGGCAGGCAAGGAAGTTACACAGGTTATTAGTAGAAGTACGGATCGTTCACATCAGCCACGCTCGCTCATATGGTTGGTTGAAGTCTGCTCTGGAAGCTGCCCAAGGCGGTTTGCCAGCTGGCTAAGATCCCAATGAGAGTGACCCCCAGCAACATTGACCGAGGGGTTGTCGAACCTGGGCCATCCGGACAGACGGCGGTCGTATTGCATTACCTACCGGGAGAGGTGTTTTCAACAGACAGAGATACTCACAAGGTAGCTAAGTAGGTAGGTACCATTTAATGCTAGGGAATGGCCGCCAAGTCTCGAAGTCAGAACTTGAACCGCTTAGTCATTCAAGAAGCAAAGGGGGTTGGGTTGCAGTACAGTAAACCCCGGAACAAGGGGAAAAATAGGCCGGGACATCCATCATATTAGACTATGTGATATGTATAGATATATACTGCTGCGTACATGAATTCCAATCCGCGTCACCGGCCAGATATTGTAGTGTAGTATAATTATACACGAGAGATCGATTGAGGAAACGGAGGACAGCTCACCACCACCACCACCACCACCCGGTTCTCGGTCCTGTGCACCGCGATCCCAATTCCATGAACGGTGGTTGTTTATTGAGTGGTGATCCTTCCTTGCTCTTCCAGATCAGTACCGTCGAACAGAATCACCCAGGACACGACCACCATGGAACCGTTTGCGCTCACTCAAGTGTCTGCGCTTAATACCAGCCTCATAGGGGCTCTTATAGCGATCGCCGACAGCCTCGTAAGCCTTGAGGGTAGAACACTCATCCTGGAAAGCGCGGGTATTGTAATACTTCGCGGCATTGATGTCCGAAGGTCTTTCAAGGAATTGCAGACCCATACCGCCATCGGCATGCCAGATGATATGGCAATGCATGACCCAAGCGCCAGGGTTATCAGTCTGGAAACCAATAACGGTCCATCCAGACGTAAAAGCAACGGGGTTGCCGATCCCGAATAACAAGACCGTATCTCGACGGATCGGGTTGTCAAAGTGCAATTGACTGACCATATCGGCCGTAAACACGCCGCGACCCTGACCGAGAACAGAGAAATCATGGCCGTGAAGATGCATTGGGTGCGAGGTCTGGAAATTGTTCTGGATCACAAAGTAGACCCATTGGCCGGCAGGGCCGTCGAGGACCGCGGCATTCGAGTACAAGGAGCTGTTGTAGGACAGGTTCGGCAGTGTCGCGAGCGTTTTGAGTGTCGGTTCCTGGTACGTCACGTTGATGCCCTTGCTGGCACTGGGGACTCCGCTGTTGGATGAAAGATCACCAATAGGGCCAAGATACCATCTGACCACGGGGCCGTAGCCTTCAAAGTTCTGGCTGCCTGCGTTGCCGCCGGGGAGAAGCTTGACGGTTTCCTGGAAGGTACTGGTCGATCCGGCGTTCTTTTTGACGTGTGGAACGAGACTTGCAAGTGGTTCGTCCTTGCAGTCGCCGGCCGTGGTAATGGTGAAGTTGCCCTGGGTCGGGGTGGCGCATGAGCCTTCGTATGTGAATATGCCGTTGGATGTGCCGAGTCCGTCGTTGGCGGATGTGACGCCGCATCCGGTCTGGGTGACGGCGCGGAGGTAGTATGCTCCTTCGGGCTGCAATATGTTAATGAGGTTCTCATCCGGATTACTAACAAAACATGACTGACCTGGTCCATCTCGACAATGACGTTGTACCGTTGCCCGCTTTGGATGTACAGCACGTCGGTCTCATAGGGCACAATGGGAGTGAAGTCGGCGCTGATGACTTTCATCTTGTGGTTGTCAAAGTGCACGGCATAGGCGGATTGAGCCGAGCTGATGGTAATGTTAGCACCGGTACGGTAGCCAGTCGGACAACCCATTGGTAACATACCTGTTGATGATGCGGAAGAGATGCTTCTTGCCCTTCTTGACGATCCATTTCGCGCTCTCACCCGTTGTGCCGTCCGGAGACTTGTTCTTGCCGTTGAGCAAGTAATTGGTCGCTGGCGGCAGAGCTCCTCGGGTTCGTGCGATGTTCCAAGCCATTTGGAAGATTGTCTTATCAAAGGCCTCGTCGATCATAACAGAGCCCATGTCCAGATCGTAGTCGGCGGTGGCAGGGCCATGGATAATGATCGGTCCGCGGATACCGCCACCATATTGAGCCAAGGCGTGAGAGTGGTACCAGCCAGTACCGTAGGTAGCAGCATGCCACGTGTAGACGCGGGAAGAACCAGGGGCAATACCGCATTCGGTAACACCAGGAACACCGTCTTGATCGTTTGTGCCATATTGACGAATGCCGTGCCAATGGATGGTGGTGGCGTTGTCTTTCAGGCCATTGATGACCGTCACCTCGACAATGTCTCCCCAGTTGGCCACGATGGGCTCGCCGGGTGTCTGACCGTTGATGGCAAAGGCAGGTCTGGGAGTGCCGTCAAAGTCAATGTCTTGGGATGTGATTGTCAAGGTGTATTTTTTCCTTTCGCCAGAGTAGAAGAGATTGTGCGTGTCGTCGTCGATCGACTTGCCTCCACACAACCACTTGCTGCGGCTGTTGGCGTCGTTGCATCGAGGTTGAGGGATGCCAGTTGCAGCGTGGGTCGAGTTGCCACAGCTGGTGCTGGTCGATGAAGTCGTGGTTGTGGTGGCATTGCCAGCTCCGCTGGTCGTGCTGGTGCTCGAGGAGAAAGAGGTGGTGATGGTGCTAGTTGTACCAGTACCCCAGCCGCTGCCAGAAGAGGTACTAGTTCCATTGCCATAATGCCAGCTTGCACTTGCGGTGGTGGTCGCCGTCGAGGATTCGCTGCCCCAACCGCTGCCGTGGCCGCTGGTTGTGCCTGTTTGCGTAGATGTTCCTGTAGCTGTACCGGTTACACTGCTGCTGCTGCTACCACCCCAGCCATGTCCTGCCGAGGTCGTGGTTCCAGCGTGGCCGCTGACAGTCGTTGTAGATCCAGAGCCCCAGCCGTTACCGTTGCCGTTGGTGGCGGTGCTGGTCGGAAGGCGGTCGGCCTCGCAAGTGAACAGCGCTGTCAACGGACAAACCGTGATGGTCCTCGTCACGACATGCCTCTCAATGACATCTTCTTCGGGAGCACCGGCGGAGGCAGCAAGGAAGTGGAGCGGCAGTGCTACTGCCAGGTATTTGAGCGACCTCATTGCAGGAGGTCAAGAAAGGAGCGACGAATTAATCAAAACGAGAGGACGAAAGCATATGCTTTCAAAACTCACAACAAAAAGAACGTCGAGGTAAGATGGAACAGAACAGAGCAGCTCAGCAGAGCAGCGAGGACGGTAGGTAGCCTTCTGGATTTTGTACTTACATACTGGCAGCAAACACCACCCTCAACAGCCTCGCTTAGGAGCAAGCCACCTCAGCGAGCGTAGCGGAGGCCTCGACCTATCGCATTTCTGCAGATACGTAAATCACGAGTGCTACTGGAGTAAAGCACTCCTCTGCAACGGTAGATAGGCGAAAGTCCACTCAGGCGAGAAGACCTAAATCCCAGGATGTGCAAGCCAGAACTCGGTGAGGCTTCGAGTGTGGAGATTGGGCGGGCCCCGAAATAGGAGTAGCCAAGCACTGAATGATCCATTTTGAAACCAGCCAGTGCGGCGCGGGCGCTTGTCACCATTATTATCATAGAACCGGACCATGTGTGGACCAGAAACTATCGGATTTTGCTCGAGATTAATGACAGCTCGAGGCCAAGCCTGGAGTGAGACACAGTCGACGGCGCGTCGGGTCGGCGAGAGGAGCGCGTCTGCCAAACACATGGGCCGTAGCCGTGACATTGACACACCTGGGGGACAGAGGGACGTGCGTGGGTGACGTTGAACATGTTTGCTGCCGAGCAATAAATGGTGCATCAACATCAGACCCTTTGGATTGTTCATGATCTGCCCGATCTGCGGAGCAATTGAGGAGCACGGTGCAAAAGGCTGATGGATGCTGGATGATGATGATGATGATGATGATGGTCAGTCAGGGGCAAGTCCAGAAGCTGAGCTCCAACAACAAACAAAAGGGGAAAAAGGCGTCAAAAAGACTGAACGCTGTGGAGCCTCGCGGTAAGAATCGACGCCACTGACTAAGCCACTTGGCTCCTGATTTGCCAGGGCTTCCACCGACTACTCGTAACTCATACCACTACCAAGCTACAGTAGTAGGACAAGATTGTCGTGCTACAATGCCATGCATGATGGGTTGTACAGTGGTAGTACAGTAGGGCTCCCTGTGGATGTGGCCCTTGTGCCCCTGATGAAGGAGGGTTCATCGTTATTGTGTAACAAATCTATGCGCTGTGCCTCTTGAAGAGCGTAGATGCTGAAACGCGGCTGGGATGCTTTATTTGACAGCTAGTACGTACATTATACTCTATCTTTTGCTTGTCCCTCATGACCATAACCATAACTACCTCGTTGAATTGGGGGACAGTTCATTCCAGTAATTGCTCCACTTCTGCTGGAGGAACGTGCTTCGCCCACATCAACCTGAACTCAATCATGCATGTACGCATGGAAATGAATCCCATCCGAAATTCGTTGTGCGCCCGGTCACTGTCTCCTGCGCCACGGGCATGCTGAAAGTATTGCTATTGCAAGGATGTTCCTTTTGTCGTCGAGCAGGGTGCACGCAGACTTTCCTCGAAACAATACATCACCTGCCCGACACGTGCTGCTGTGTGATTTTCCGAGGCTTCAGGATGGATCCTGGTCTGGAAGGTGAGAAGATCTCGTAGCAGTCGCGACCACCTCCTCGGGCCAACGAGGTGCTGCCCTCGGCTACATCTTCTTGAAAGTTCACATGCACTCTCAGCAATAAAGGTGGTCGTGGCCTATATATCTGTGTTAACCTGCAGAGGCCTGGCCGTCGGCCCACGCAGCCACCATGGCACAGTCTTTCTGATATTCGGACTTCTATACGCCTGACCATCATGTGTACTCAACACTGACCTCAGACAGCAGGAACTGAGCATAAAACACATCAATCACATCAATGGTTTTGGGCGTGTATTGACAGGTTTGGCACTCGTAACACAGCTCTTCAGGCGTAAAAACATGGGTCTTCCCATCGCGAGGCAGATCCACCTATTACCTACAGCTAGTTGGATAAGCAAACGAGCTTTTGTAACGGAGGGCTTCGCAACCATATACAGAGCAGGAGCTGGCAGGAGTCAGGACTTACCTGGTAACTCTTCAACTCGTTCCCGGCCGCCTGCAATACTGAGGTCGCTGTCGGTCTCCAACCACGATTCAAGAGACACTTCCCAGTCTCTGACTTCAGCCCGCGCTCAGTCATGTTACCGGTCCCTGGGGCTGGAGGGTGACCGGGGCTGAACTTCCCGCTCTGCGAATCTTTGTGAGATCATCATAGGATAAGAAAATGAGAGACCGGGGTTTTCCGGTCGGTGATCTGCAGTTTGGACGTCTTCCACATACAACCATGATGCTGAATTTATTCCGTCCATTTTGGTAAGTACATACCCAGCGTGGTTGTTGGATACCGCAGTAGAAAAGCAATCTTATAACAAGATCAAAGGGGCATCCATTTCCAATGTTGCAATGCCATCACAAAGCCATATTTGCTCCAGCCGCTCGCGGACCATATCGACAGTTTTGACACCACGCTTCGACTTCAGTGCCGACAAACGAGATCTGATAAACTCCCGACTAGGCTGATTAGAAGCTTTATCGCCGGTCAAAAAGCAGCCAGCCATGTACAGGGGCCAGAGGTGGCTCGCTGCCGCCGGACTCTCGAGCGAAACGTAACCGATACGTCGCACAATCTCACCACAACTTCTGGTAATCTCACCGCTGTCCATAATTCCGGGAAGCGTGGACGTTAGCTTATAATAAAATAACAGCCCGGCATGACGCATGGCTTCGGCAGTGTTGCTGGCGTCATTTGGAATCGCGTACGGAGGTCTCCAGGTTTCGAGTTCGCCTTTGAGACCAATTGCTTTCTCGAGCTGAGACGGGTCGATTGAGCGACAACCACTCCCGACTGTGGACTGAGACGACAACATGGACAATTTGGCCACCAGCGAAATCAGCCGGTCGACGGAGGCCAGAAAGGCGTTGGAGTGGCCGGCCAGAGCGGACCATGTCTCGCGAGTATAGTAATCCATCACAAGAGAGGCGTGATTCGCCCCAACACTGGCCAGAACATTATGGTATGCAAAACTGTATGATATCAACAGATCAGAAGTGTGAGTGAGGGGGACTCAAAGGCCGTCATGCTTACATATCCAGGAGCATCCTTGTATCATGGTCCGGTTCCTTACACTGGGCCATGTAATCTGAGATAATTTTTCCCGCAGCCTTGAGGTGTTCAGACCAATTTTTCGGATTGGCTTCGAAGATCTAGAGCCCAGATTTGTCAGGAAACTTTTTACGTTGTCGCACACTCTTTTTGTTGTATATGACCAAACTTACCTCGTTAATACTCATCATAATGATAGTGGCTAACATGATAGGATCGAACCCCGCCCACGAATTGACACGCTTGATCAACTGTGGAAGCACACGGTTTCGGTATCGCGGCAAGTCCAGAGCAAAGCTGTCATATCGGGATGCCAGATGCGATGCGGAGACCAGCAAAAGAGTGTTGAGAAGCATTTCACACGACATTGCCATGGGCAGAACAACCCGGCAGTACGTGTTGATCGAGCGGTCATGTGTGCTTGACAACAGACCCGACACGGTGTAGAAGTAGTGCTGAAGCAGGAACTGATCGTCGGATGTCAAGGTCGAGGTTGGCGACGGAGGCAACTTTAACGTTGCCATGTCAAAACCCGGAGGTTGTGTCGTGCTTGCTTTGCGTGACGACGGGGCAAGAGCCGAACTTGAAGACTTTTGAGTTTCAATGGTGGAAGTGGTCGTGGTCGTGGTCGTGGCGGATGCTTTGCGCCTGGGGTTCTGGTTCTTTTGGTTCTTGGTCCGAGAGACTGATTGCATCCACGTCAGACGGATCTCGTAGCCCTGACACTCAATGCCCAAGCGCACGCATGTGGCACAGACGGGTTTGGCCTCATCACAGCGGTAGCCGCGCTTTCGACAAGTCCAACACCCTTGGTATCCCGAGTTAGCACCCCGGACCACCTAAGATACACGATGAAGAAGGGGGGTCTTGACGCACCAGTCCTAACGCGCTTGATGCTGCCGGAGGGCATTGCGGCAGTATGGCATAGCGAGAAAAACCTTTGACTCTTTGGAACGGCGTCAGGCTGACGTTGATGGTCTGTGTCAGCTATTCCAACAGTCTGGGAGGCCCGCCTGAGGTGGATTGTATAGCACCAACAGGGCCTGTAGAGTCCCAGGCTCGTCTCCTATGCCAGTTCTTGACTTCAGGCAGCAAAGGATCGTCGACACAGTTTGTGCTCCTAACGCGAGACTATATGCTGAGATCACAGAAAGAAGAGTCGAATATCCCCAGAGTGGACTCAGGCTGGAGAATGGAGCCGATGGTCGTCGGGTCATGTTCTAGGGCTAGCGAAGCTGGGCATCGCGCCACAGAATCATTCATTCTCATTCCCCACGATCCGCTATCAGCCGTTTATCAGCCACCGGCGCAGCGGCAAGGAGCTGTCTAGCTGTAGAGGAGCAAGTCCAATGGTTAGGAGGTGCATGGGAGGTGCTTAAGGGTCCTGTTAATGGCCTCGGGCACTCCGCGCCTTCACCCAACCACGACAGATCGGGCCAATGGATGGCAAGGTTCAGGCATGAAGCCCCCACTGGGCTGGACTCTGGCCGGACCCGGACCATACCCCCCCCCCTCGCCTGAGCCTCTCCAGACTTCAAGTTTTGCCAGCACATGCCAGTGCCAGTGCTTTGCATGCATAGCGACCTCTGGCTGACTGAACCTTACCAGAGCAAACCCTGGCCCTTTCCGGGCCAGAGCACTCCAGACCCGGCCTCGCAATCGAAGACGACACGAGACCTCTATTCGGTACTATCCGTGGTATCCGTTCGGGACTTGAGTGAGACAATCATCGACGCCGCCCAAATACGATGGCGATCTCCTGGCTACTAGGCGGCTTCGATCCTGGCTCGGGCGTAACGAGCAGGGTTACGATCCTGCAGCTCGCCTCCTCCACTTGCATCATCAATTGCGTCTCTCAGCTGACACCCTTGTGGCTGACAACAGCTATCTCCTCCTTGGGTTGGGTTGAAAGATCATCCCTTGCCTCAATCACCTTGGCGTCCACGAAATCCTCAGGCGTCATTTCAGTGTTATGCAAACGCCACAGGTAAAGCGGAAACGCAATAACCAAACCTCCGGCCATCAGCCCCCAACTGGTGCCAAAGTTGATACTGAACGGTACTTTGTCCTGTGGACAGATTTGTCAACATAGGCCAACACCGAGGAAAACAAACAGGCGAGACTTACAGCATCAAGTTTCGATATTGTAGTGGCTCCAACTGCCTGGATGGACTTGTAGAAGCCTGCATAGTAAGCAAGTTTGCGTGGATCATTGGACATGGCCCCCATAGTGTAGTAACAGAACACCTGCCAGAGCGAGTCCAGCAAGCCGTAAGCCATGTAGAGCTAGTTTCACGGTCAGTAAGCCCTTCGGTGCCATTTCGTTAGAAGAGAAACGTACAAAGAGATACCAGACGTAATCTCTGTCAAATAGGTCCAATTTCGGGCTCTTGATGTGCCGATTGGTCTTTTTCAAAAATGCGAACCCCCCGCCCCAGACGGCCATGACTAATGTAAACAAAATACACCAAGCCATTTGTGCCCGCACTCGACGGCTGAAGCGCGTCCAGTCGAGGAATGCGCCGAATGCCAGAGCGCCAATGATCTGCGTGATCCAGTAGAAAATATTGTTGAAGGCTCGAGTCCTGGTGGAAAAGTAGTAGGCGTTCACATCTGCAAAGGTCCGTCAGTCCGGGGCAAGCGAGATCAATTTTTGGGGCTTCGAACGTACCGTTGAATTGATAAGTGTAAAAGTAATTCGAGGCGAAGAACATGGGAAATAGGAGCAGGATCCAGGGGTCTCTGACAAGTGTGGTGTACAAGCCCACGATATCTGCTTTCAGACCGGGATGGACGACCTTCTGCACTTTGGTGCCGTCCGCACGAATTATCTTCTCACTTGGGGTAAGAAAGCAGCAGAGCAGAGCGCCTGTAGCCTCGAGCACAATAAACCCGACGTACGTGCCATCGGTGACATGCCCGGCTTTCACGCGCCAGTTCTGACCTAAGGAGACGGCCGCTCCGATCACTGCTCCGAGGTTAAACAACAACCAAGTGATTGAAATTGCACGGCCCCGTTGCGATTCGGTGGGATAAGACTGGAAACGAGAGATACTCAGTCAGCTGTAGTTGTCACCAGACCATACTACTTACCATCATGACCACACCTTGCGCACACCACAGAAAAGCAGCACAAAATCCCAACAATGCGCCAGAAAATATGACGAATCCTTCATTTCGAGTGTGGTTGTAACACAAAAAGGCAGCGGAATAGACGCAATATCCAATTCCGCCCACCGCCATCGTCCACTTGGTGCCACTGAAAGCCGTCAGGGGATGTCGACCCTGATAATGCTAGTTCAACTTACAGGTAGTTGTGCGCAATGCCCACCACGAAGCCAATCACTGCAAAAGTTGTATGTAAGGCGATGCCAGCGTTGTTCTGAGCAGTGGCATCGACCTGTCCTGCTCCCCCCAGGCCGGCCAAAGCATTGTACATGCTGTGATCGAGTCAGATATGTCAAAGAGACCAATTCTGTAGGGTAGTCGTACCCAGGGTTGAGGAAGAGAATGAAACCAACAACGACAATTTGCACCATAGGGGCTGAGTATCTCGGAATCTTGTGTCCGAAGATGCGTCTCCCTCCCGATGGCGGCAAAGCCACGCCTTGTTGTTCAGGGTCAACTGGACGGAGATATGTCAGCATCTTCAAAGTTGTCACCATGGGAGAAATCTGGAGCTGAACTATACCTTCTGTAGCCATGATCGTCTTTTCTGAATCTTCAGGAACACTGGCTGTAGCCATGGTGCAAAAGGCCACGGACAGGCGACACTTGCGGCTCGTCAAAGTATAATAGATGACCTAGGCGCAGGTAGGTTCGACAAAGGTATTATATCTTGCAAGCAATCAAAACGTGGTGATTCGCTGTGATAGCTGAAACGGTTATCAACGCGGATATGCTCAACCAACATGTCTGACCACCCTCGGTACCGCCAATAGAAAGACTAGCCCTATCATCGACGCCAGGTTGAGGCGGCGACTTTGAACCCTTGAGTGGCAATGGCTTTTCGCATTTAGCGATAGAAGATACTTATCGCGATGGATAATGCTGAAGTTTGCGGGGCCCCAGGCTAGTCGCCATGCACTCTGCCATGATCATCGAAATCGTCAATGCGTAGCCGTCTAGTATCAGGCTCCGATAGGTGGGACTGTTCGACTTGCCAGATGAAGTAAGGTTTAGTCGCTTTAGAATGGTCTTTGCGCCAGATACCACCCCACGTCGCGTATGTTGTACATGCCCCCAGGCCCGCCTGTCCGACAGGATAGCATGAGTAGGAATAATCCGTCTGTTGTGAAAGGTCTGTTGCCCTGAGCGTGACTTTCTTGATTGACTTCGAGTTTATTGCGGCCTATCGCGGAAGCTAGGACTGTTCGACTTGCCCAATTCAAGACCGAGGCTTTTGCTGGGCCCCAACTAAATAGTCAGATGTTATTCTCGCAAGCGGCCACTTTCTTTCTCGGCCATCTATTATCCACCAGGGAGAGAAAGTCCAGCAGTCCGAGAGAGCAGTAGGTAATGTCGAGGCCATCCAAGCTGCACTGTGGACAGTTTCGTCCAACGATCTTTTCTTTTTCCATCGATAGTTAACGGAGTCCTTGTGGAGCTGGGCTGCTGTCTCACAGCGGTCCAAATCCGCGCAAAGCCTCATTGAGGTCGCCATAGCAGCATATAAGTCCCAAGACCTCAGTTCACCAGACGAGAGATAGAACAAAAAGAGCCATCCTCGATCAGCCCATCCAGAGCCTTTCTCTGCTCATCGAGACTTTTAGTGCTGCTTCCACCCCGTGCAATCAAGATGATCGCCCCTGTTGAGAAAAGCCTTGCGGAGGTCCACGTCCGAATTTCACCGGAAGAACTATCTTCCAACAAGATATCAAAACAGAACCTGGAAAAGGCCGTGGTGGCCCTTTCTGAAGATGGAGTTGTCATTTTGGATGGTGCCGTCTCAGAAGAAAGCCTTGACTTCTTGAACTCGCGTATGGTCGAAGAGGCAAAGGCTCTCCGCGAGGGCTCTTCAACATGGTTCAATTACAGCGACAAGGCTCAGAACATCCTGCAACACATGGTTCCAGAGCCCGAATACCTCTTACCTGATGTGCACGCCAATCCCTTTGCCCTGGACGTGTGCAAGACCATGATGGGTCCCGATCCAGTTCTCCGATACCACAAAGCGAACACGAATTTCCCTGGCGAGAGTCGGCAACCCGTCCACAGCGATGTGCATTATGAGCACCCACGCGCATGTTTCGCCCTAGCGGTCAACATGGTTTTGATTGACTGTTCTCCCGAGAACGGCTCCACCGAATGCTGGCCCGGTACTCACATCACCACGAAATTCTCCGACCAGAATGGCATGAAGGGCATCCACGAACACCTCTTGCACGAGAGAGTCAAGACTCATGGCGCTCCCATCCAGCCCACCGTCAAGAAGGGCGGGATTATCATCCGTGATATGCGACTTTGGCACGCTGGCATGCCGAATCGAACCCCGGATGAAGTGCGCGTCATGCTCAACCTCATCTACTTTGCCAACTGGTACCGAAGTCCCATGACCATCCTTTTCCCCAAATCTGCCGAATCGAAGGTGCGGGAACTGGAGCAGATGGGCGGCATGCAGATTGCCGCCGAGTTTGTCGACGAACTTGATCATACGACCCTGAAGCATACCCACGACTTCGGTCAGGATGACAAGAGGGAAGAGTTTGGTCGTTGGCACCACAAATTGGCAGATACTTCAAAGTGACACCATTGGGTGGGAAGTCTGGATCGGGTTGGAGTTGAGCGTAGTCGTCAACTGTTCTATCCATGTACATAACGGCCGGCGGTGCCTCTGGTTGCCACTGTTCCCCCAGTCAGAAATTCTTATATAGTTGTGGTGACCAGATCCACACTGCTCCCGAGCATATCGCGATGACATAAATAAAAGCTGCTATTGAACGCGGCAGTTGGTCCTTTGCTCTAGCTGTATCAACACTAATGTGCAGGATGTGGTCAGTGACACTAGTCAATGCCTAGTCCATAGGAGATCACCATTTTGAACTGGTTCAGGGCAGGGACATGGTTAAAGGGATGTCTTAGCCCGTACTGGGAAACTATGGTACAGATGCTGGGCAGGCTAAGTGGTGTTCAGGATGCCGGTAAAGCCGGCTGCCTCCTCGACAGACTGTGCCCTTCTTTGATTGTACCAAGATATCTGGCAAGGCGCCAGAGGTTGACACGACGGGCTCCATGCAAGTACAAAGTGTGAAAAGCTCCCGGCATCACAAAGGGATTCCTCATACCAAGCTGCCGCAAAAAGGATCCTGCAATCATCAGAGGACTTCGTAGGCTGCGATTCCACGTGCGATTTATTGGTCCTGCTCAGTGGTAGTAATGGTAATCTTCCTTCGCCAAAGCCGGTCTATGTCTGCTCCGATGCATCAATTCGTGTTCAACTCCTGCAACATCTCCCGAACCTCGGGCAAGTTCCCCGGCCTTTCGTTGTATATCGCAGCAATCAAACTGCTGTCGATATTGGGGAATTCCTTTTGCAGTTGTGCTTGAATCCTGTCACCTTCGCTCTGTGGCGCATTGGCTTCAAATTGTTGCATGTGCTCAACCTGGGCTGCTCGATCCTCCTGCTGCGCCAATAGCTGATCGGTATCTGTCCGACGGACGCCCTGCGAAGGGGCATGGGCCGCTGACTGTTGCTGAGGTTGGGAGTGCTGTTGAGAAGAGGAGTAGGGAGAGAATTGTGTCTGTGGAGGATATGATTGCTGCCTCGAACCTTGGGCAGGTTGACCGGCGTTGGAGGTGTTCTGGCTCGAAGCGTCGGCCCAGGGATTGTTGGACTCCATGATGCGCTGCTGGCGAGAGTTTGAGTTTTGGTTTTGAGGGAGGATCTGCTGTACTCGACCAACACGGCCGTCGGTGAGTTTGACTTTGATGCCTCGAGGATGGTTGTGGCGAGTGAGAAGTTGCGAGACTGTGCCTTGGACTTGCCGGCCGGTTCGTTGGTCGGCTTTCAGAACTATTGAAACCAGAAGACCGGGCTTGATCTGAGAGTATTGGGTGACTGGCATTAAAGATAGAGGCGAAGATGGGAACGTGCAACAGTAAGATGTGACCTACTGCCTGTGTTTGCCAGCACTTGAGATGCGAGCTTGAAGGGACGATGCGCAGGCAGCGCAATTCAAGAGAGTCTGTCAGGTGCCAGTGTCTGTCTTGATAGAATTGTGGCTCTCAGTGGATGACGTAAGACTGTTCTTGTCCCACTCAGGCTGGCACAGGCTACAAGTCAAGCCTGAATCAACCCAGGCACATATCTCCATAGGTATACAACGTTGTACAGTCTTGAACAACCGCAAAGGTCCATGACATCTTGTCACTCTAAGACGACGAAAAAAGTAAGAGCACGAGTAGCGAGTGTTCGTATTGTACAATGGCCACCCGTCAAAACTTCCAGGTCCTGTACATGCCGGCACGACTGAAGTCAACCTGGATCATGATAGTGGTGACCATGAAATGAGATGAGTATTTCCAACAACCTGAGCAGTGTCATCTCATCATCAGGACTCTTGTTCAAGAGTCCTTTATCGCCTTCACCAGCTCACCCAAATACTCCTCCTTGTAATACACACTGATACTAGCATGGGTTTCATCCTTGACCCTAAGAGTGGCATTCTTGCCCAGCCTTTCCGCGACTTTCTGGCCATGCTGCAAAGGCACCATATTATCAAACCTGCCATGCCACAACTGGACCGGCAAGTCCTTTCTGATATCCTCGATTCGAAACCCCCAATTGGAACTGGTACATATGACCGCGGCGTCCTGAACAACACTCGCCGCACCTTGGGCAAACGATTCTCGCGACGAGCGGAGATAAACGGCCACAAAATCAGGATTGTCCCAGATCTTCAGGTCCTTGGCGTGCATGCTGGATTTCGCCTTGTCGACCTGTGCCAGCAAAAGACGCTTGCGCTCCTCGTCACTAAGATCAGTGCGTCCCTCTGGCCAGCGACCGATCCACCAGGCAGAAAAGCCAGGGAGCAAGCGAAACCCGTACGTCCATCCAAGTCGACTCGCCAGATTCATCCCGGCATAGCCCATATCTGGCGATCCTAGACCACACACGATACTCACTGCCCGGAGCTTGCCTGCGGGAAGTCCACGCGCACATGCCAAGGCGTATGGTCCGCCACCACTGATTCCTAGGACTCCATACTTGCTGAGTCCCAGGTGGTCAGTGAGACGTTCAATGTCTTTGGCGTGGTCGAGCAGTTTGCGTCCGGGCTGTGGTGAACTCTGTCCGATGCCCGGGTGATCAACTGCTATTATTCGTGCCCCGACTTTCGAGGCTGCCGGGTCGAGATGTGCACCTTCGAAACGCGACCCTGGCCATCCGTGCACGTAGATGATGGGCTGTCCTGCAAGATCCCCGTATTGCGCGTAGCCTAGCTTTCGGCCATCAGGTAGTGTGAAGGTCGCTGAGCTCGCGTTGTCAAGGGGCAAACTGCAGGGAAGCGGTGACCCAGTGCCAGTGGCCGAGTCTGGTGATGAGGATGAGGATGAGGCTCCCCCTTGTAAATTGGGCTCACTGGGTTTGTTGCTGAGGAGTCGTGGAAATGCAACCAAGCTTTCGTAGAGTTGCTGGAATATTGTGGGCTGGGGAGGCATTGTGGCCAACAGTAGGGGTGCTGCCGCTACTGCTGGGTGGGTGGGCTGCAGTGGTCAAAGAGGCTGGCCTGGTTTACCCAAGACACGAGGGTTTGGCATATTAAAGCTGATTTTCCTCAGCTACGGAGTGAAGCGAACTAGGTAGGTTATAAGGCAGTACTCCAGCTCCCTGACTGGGATAGTATCAGGCTGCAACCTGCAATAGTGTACGAGACAATGCCGTTGAGTTTCTTACCTACTCTCAGGTGCCTGGGTATGATCTTCGCCGTCAGGCTGGTGGTCAGGCACAGGCACAGGCACAGGAGGAGAAAGGTATGCTGTCAGCCCTTGGACATCGCCGTGTCTTGTGACACGGTTGCAGGGGCCCCTCGTATACAGAAACAGAGCACATTGACCTACCGTGTAGAATTCCTGTGACCAGCCATTGTCGCCGCAAATACCCGCAGAGCGCCTATAAATGAATCTCCAATTGTCGTGCCAGTGAGATTAGAAATGTTGCCGTGCGCCCTGGAAAGTTACACAACTTGAAATAATCCAGGCACCCTGAAGCGGTCGAACCCAGGCCGGGGAATCCCGATAGGACTATAATAACTCTACATCAACGGCCGAGGATTTGATTTAGGCGGGAATACCTTGGAAGCACTGACGTACGTTTGGAGTTTCCATCAGCTTTTGTCCATCTTTGAAGATATCTTTGTATGCTGTGGTGGGTATTACACGGCAATATACCTTGGTAGCCTCGCGGAGGACATACATGACCTTGCTGCGCGACCTTGAGGAACAACACGGAGATCGTACAGTCTTCTATATTTTGGCTATAATACCTACTTCGCTTCGCTCCGTAGGATCAGAACGTAATGTACGACATGACCTTCTTCCAGCGAGGCAGAGCAGTGTACTCATCCAAGAACTCCTTCTCATCCGGATGGTCCCGCAGACGACGTCTGTCAATGGACAAGTCGACCTGGGTACTCGGGATGCAGAACCACCAGGTCCGGTGCCACAGTTTCCACCCAGCCCACATGAAGATGAAAACCGGCACTCCCAAATAGTTGGCGAAGAAGTTGGTAGCGTTCGGACTGCCTGAGAGCGGCCAGATGGAAGTATACCCGTTGCAAATAAGCATGAATGCCACAAGGAGAAAGCCGATGGCGGGAGCGACTGGGTATCCCCACTGCCTGTATGTGTATTGTTCTTCATGCAGCATGTCAACACCTTGAGCCTTTTGTGCGGCCCGCCAACGGAAGTTGCACAGAAAGATCGTGAGCCAGAAGATGAAGAAACCAGTGCCCGAGAGGGACGAGAACCAGCCGAACACCTGAGCTCCTGTTTTGGAGACATTCAGGTAGCTGAGGCCGACGCCGACGAGTGTGGTGAGGATGAGCGCGGTGATCGGACGGCCTTGGCGATCGGTTTTGCCGAAGATTCGAGGAGCCATTCCGACTGTCGACATGTACAGAAGCATCCGTGACGACGCATACAAGGAAGATGTTCCAACACTGCACACGCAGATAAGAATGATGGCATTGAGCACATCTGGAAGAGCTTTGATGCTGGCGCGCTTGATGGCGACGATAAATGGCGAGGCGTTGACGTCCGTGCCTCCCAAGAGGTTGGGGTCGGTGTAAGGCACCAGGATGCTGATCAGGATGCAAGTGATAACGTAGAAGATCTTTGGTCAAGTCAGGATGCATGCAAGCACAAACTGAAAAGAGAGGATACTCACAAATATGCGAATCCAAACGGTTTTGGCAGCCCGCGGAATGTTGTGTCTCGGCGAGGCACTTTCTCCGGCGATGACACCGACAATTTCAATTCCACCACAAGCAAATGCAGCTGTTACAAAGACTGCAGCCATGCCATGGAACCCCTGAGCAAAAGCTCCAGGGTCCAGCCAGTAACTACCGTCATATTTCTGACCTGTCGGACCACCGCCGCCGATGAGGACCAAGGCAACAATAATGAACATGATGACCGAGATGACCTTGATGCTGGAGGTGTAGAATTCTGCTTCGCCGAAGGCCCGAACGGGCATAAAGTTGATGAAGCAAGTGATGCCCAGAAATATTGTGATTGCAGCAGCCGTCGGCATTGGATGGTTCCAGTAATCGATGATGATTGCAAACGCGGTAGCCTCCACAGCGAACACGGCGATCCAGCAACCCCAGTACTGCCACCCTACAGCAAAACCGAGCGCAGGGTCAACGAATCGAGAGGCGTAAGAGACGAAAGAGCCGGAGACTGGATAATGAACCGCGAGCTCTGTGTTTGTGAGATTAGCTGGGGGTTGCCGAAGTACTGGTTGGCGGTACTCACCTGTCAGAGAGGCCATCATCAGGTAAAGGGCAATCGAGATGCAAGAAAATGCAATCACGACGGCCGCAGGGCCGCCTCGTTTCAGTGCTGAGCCAGTACCGATGAAAAGACCAGCTGTCGGTAAGAAGGTTCCCAGTCAGCATTCGAGCAAAGTAAGAACAAGGGTGTACTGATCGAAGGCCACCTCTTTGGAAGACAGAATGTCGTTCCAAGCAAAGCAGAATCCGGGCTTCATAAGGCATTTGCACAAGACAATTGACTCACTTCCGATATTGCTTCCGATTGCAATCATCTAAAGCTCATTGTTAGCACCGACAGACATTGCAAGTTCTAGTCCGCACTGCGTACCTGCACATGGCGGCTAGACAACTTGCGCTTCAGCCCTTCGTGGCCAAAACGAGCGTTTGGCTGTTCGATGACCACGGCATTCTGGGAACTTTCCGAAGGGGTGAGATCGGTCGAGACGCCCTCCACTGTTTGGTTCTTCTCATAGATGGACTCCATGGCCTGTCTTCTTTTCAGAGTGCCTGCGAAGGAAAGGAGCTCCGTGCAGAATGGTGGTTATCCCTGCTTCCACATTCATATACAAGTAGCCTGGCGATGCCGGGGAAGAGGACCCTCGTGAGGCCTGAGCGAACTCCACTTTGGCCTTATCCCTGCGTGGCAATCGGATAAGGGAAAGTTCGCAGCGAAAATTGATTTGCAATGGATATACAATGTTGTAACAGTCTGGATCGGCGGACGGTGCTGAAGTGCCCACATGGTCAAAGCGGCCAAGTCCCTTCCACGCTGAAAATTTCTGGTCCAAAAACGTGTTCTACCCCATGATCTGACAAGACGGCCTACCCAAGACCCCTGAATTCCCAAGCTCTTGTTGAAAGTGTGGGGACCCCGAACAATCCAGGTTGCTTTTCGACAACAATCGCGCTGGGGCCAGGCTCTATTCATGACTACAAACGTCGTTTTCTTGGTACTTCGGAGCCTTTCAGATCCTCGGCTGAGTTCCTCGCACATCTTTCGGGGGGCGCTGACCCTTTACGGAGGACAAAGCTCCGCCACAAGGCCGTTCCTAGAAAGTTTTTGAGATGAATCTTTGGGTAGCAGAGCGCTGATAACCATCAAGCATAGCTTGAAATGCTGGGTTACATTGTTGTCCTCACCTTCGTCCATTATGGACTTCAAGCAGCTGTGGCAGGAGAGGCAGAACTGCTGTAAGCCGTTGTTAGTATTTTCCATTCGCAAGACGCTTTGCCTATTGGCAGCCACCGCAGATGGACTTTTACACACTTCATTGACCATGGATGGAAGCGCATTCGCTTCACCTTGACCTTTAAACGCCCTGATCCAGAAGCACACCGAGCGTGGAAGTGGCTAAAGGCGGAGCGATTGGTAACTGAGTTACCATTGTCACTTGCAGACCCGTCTATTTTTGTCCCGGGGAAGGCTCACGGTCCGGGGGCCAATCGGATATCGAATTCGCGCCGAACATCGCTCCAAGACACCTAGGTGCAAGAGTACCAGTGTATCGGTCTCAGGCTTATCGTCGCACCGACATTAATCTGGAGCGCGAGCAAGAGGACTCTGTTCTTCTTAATAATAAATAGTAGTAGGTAGCAATGCTCCTCGATCAGGAATGTGGTGCCCGCTTGGTACGACCGGAGTCACCAGGATATATCGAAGATAGGCAGACGAGAGAGGTGGAAGGCTCGTTATGTAACAAGATGCAGCATATTAACCGAGTCAGCCTCGTCTCATCCTTTGGTTGTATAAATCTCGGCTGCCGCTGTTTGTCGCTGCAGCACGTCGATGGTCAGCCTCGGAGTAAGCAAGCTCCCAAGGCCCCTAGCTGTCACTGCAGCGACTGCCGTTCAAGGCAAAGACTGCTGGACCAAGTAGACCGGCTGGGTCTGTCTTCCTGGTGAGATGGCCTGCTCCTACGCTCGGGGCGAGTTGCAAAGGGCATCGACAAGCACAATCGTGGCCTTCCAGTTTGTAGAGCTTGAACGAGGAATACGTCGGCCCTTGTACCCGTACAGAGCGGCATCAGTCCCAGTCCAAAACAGGCTAGAATCATTGCAGCCCGTCGACATCCTTTAGCTTGGCATGTTTGCCGCGCGGAGATGGCACTGCATGGGGGCTGCAATCCATCTGGCGACGTAGCAGTTGTTAAAGGTTCCAAAGCCTGAGGTCCATTGAAGACCAGGTGCAGTGGTGACCGCCCTTCTCTTCGACAAACCATGCGCTTACAATCGTTCCTGTCGCAGGCTTGCCTGTTTCTTTCCGCCCTTCAAACCGGCGTCGCGGCCGCTGCCTGGAGCTTTACGGATGGCTCCGTCAGCGTTACGGCCAAAGGCGCAGGTGTCGGCGGCGGCTTCAAAGAGACGTATGTACTCTGCTGACCTTTCCCAGCCTCATAACCCCAGATTTTGCCTGGATATACACTCGTATCAACCCCTTAGAGACAAGAAAATGAGGCTAACCACTTACCTAGACTTACTCCGTCCAAACCATTGACCGTCCCAGTAAAGTTGGGCGCAGCCGACACGCTCAAAGTGATTTTGACCACCCAGGAGGGCAAGTCGGCGAAACGACCACACCAAGCATTCCTTCTTCTACAAGATTCCAACAAGAAGCTCGACGTCTCGTATCCATTCAGCGTCAAAGAGTCCGGGAAAGCAAAGCTCGAATTGGTGAGTTTAGTCGTGGACAAATCCAGCACGAGTGCGAATGCTTGGGACGAGACCCTGACTTCTATTGGCACAGACACATAAAGACCTACCACTCCAGTTCCTACGGTCGACATCTCCGCTGAGCGCGAGTATCGTGATTGCCTCGTTTGGCGCGTCGGAGGGCTACAACAGCGAGGCCTTTGCCTTGACAATCGAGCTGGACCCGAACGCCCCTATCCAAGCCTCGGAAACACCACTCCGTTACGGCAAACTGCCCGAGATACACCACATCTTTCGACCGGACCCAAAGAGCCCGAACATTGTCATTACTTTAGTATTTCTGGGGACAGTTCTCGCAACTTTGCCTGCCTTGCTTGGGACCGTAAGTCGATTCCCCTCAATACAACCAATCAATCGTTATGGCTGTGCTTCCATTTAGAGCAGAAATGCTAATATGTGTCTACGTCAGTGGATTTACCTCGGCGGAAATATCAACCATCTGGGAAGAGCGCTCTCCCACCTACCCATCTCTCATTCTCTGTTCCTCGGCTCCATTGTGGGCATAGAAGGCGTCTTTCTACTCTACTATACAGTCTGGAACCTATTCAAGACCCTACCGGTGCTTCTGGCATTGGGCGTTGTGGCGTTTCTGTCCGGAGGCAGGGCACTTACCGAAGTCCAAGAACGTCGTTTAGCCGGCCTGCGGTGAAAGGAGACCAGACATTCAAAAGTTGAGAATTACATTTCGTACAAAATAGAACCATAGAGGAAATCCATAACATGAGAAAAATCATCAAATGCCATCTATGTCTTTCTGGCAAACACTACTACTATCAGCCATACTTCGTATTAACTCCCGTAACAAGATCGTACAGCTCCGAGGCGCTAAAGCCGTTTATTATGTGAGGTCAAACTTGCGACCACGGGATCATTATGGATAGTATACAACCATTTATCAAAAGTCTGTTCTGTTCTGTCTTCCCATCCCCTTTTTCTTTTTGGCATTCCTGTTCTTCTCCATTGAATGATTATGCATCACGAAGCATCAGCCTCAACCTGAACACTATGCGTCATGATCTGCCTCGCAATCTTACTTCTTGCCCTGATCTTCTCCCCATTAAACAACAACACCCACGGCACAACAGTAAGCAAAGCACTAATCCCTCCCAACAAACTACTCGCGCCCGGATACCCTAAATTCCGAAACATCTGGACCGTAAACAACGGAAACACCGCAGCCATCATATTTCGCATGAAACTCTGAGCGGCTAGAGCTGAAGACGCATATCGATGATACACATCGGCCAAGTAATTAAACACCGCCAAATAAATGACAAAAATGCCCATTTGAGCAACACCGATAGCAATGACGGGCGAGATCCAATGCACAGAACTGTACGTCGTCCAGCCAAACCAGAACAATCCGATCGGCAACAAAATGGACTCGAGGCAGGCGAAATAGAGTCGACCTTCGGGGCTGGTGGTCAGTTTGGGCCAGCGCGTCCGTGCATATTGGGCCTGGTAGATGGAGACCACAGTGGCGAGGATGGTGCCGATGGAGATGGATGCGAATACGGCGCCGTTTTGTTCGGTCGTGAATCCATGCCGGGTGGAGAAGACCAAAGGTAAGACGCTGAATGTCATGTACAACAATGCCCAGGCGAAGGAGACCCAGAGCGAGAAGAAGAAGACGACGGTCTCGGTTGCCAGCAGTTTGAACGGGAGAGTGATGGATAGGTAGAGCATGTGGGTGAGCGAGGAGCGGGATTCGTCGGCTAGGACTTTGTATCTGATGCGTTGCGTCGTCCAAGTTCTGCTTTTGTCGTCCAGGACCATCTTTTCACCGGCTGTGTGGGTCGTATCGGTATCGGATGCCACCTGTTGAGTACCAGTACTGGTGTTATTGGTGGTGTTTTGCTGCGAGAGACCTCGGTATTGGTCCATCTTCTCCAAATACTCATTAATAACCCTCGCCTTCCGACTGAGCAAAACCGACCCCCTCGTCTCCTTAAAGAAGAACCATACCACGACAACCATGATCCCCAACGAGATGATCTGGTGATAATAGATCCAGCGGAAACTGGCGCGGCCGACGATGAAACCCGAACATAATGGCCCTATCCCGGTCCCAGCGAGCGCTGAACCACTGTAGATTGCCATCGGGGTATTTCTGTGCCTGGCATCGTAGAGATCCGACACGACGCCGCCGACCATGGTTGCAAAAGTACTTGCTCCCGCACCGACGAAAAACCTCGCGACCAACATGCCGGCATATGAAGGGGTTGTGGCACATGCAATTAGCCCGGCGAGAAATAGAATGGCCGATCCGATAAACACCGGTCGACGTCCGTTGATTTCGGAAAACGGAGCCAGAATCATGGGTGACAGTGCGAATCCGCCGCACCATGTTGTCACGCCCGCGCTGAAGGCGACTTGTGATAGATTCCATTTCTGGCGTTGTGGTGCCGAGGCGATCGAGTATGCGCCGGCGCTGTAGGCTGCTGCGAAGGTGCAGTAACATGACAGGATTAGAATGATGGTTTTGTGCGTTGATGACCAGGTTAGTGGTGATTCGTATTTTTTGAGGTTCGGCGGCTTGGGCGGCTTGGGCGGTTTGATGTCTGTGCCTGTGCCTGTGTTGCTGGGTGTTGTGGTGGTGGTAGAAGGTGGATAGATTTCGTCAAAGTCGATCTCTGTTTCGAAGGTGAGGTATTCGTAGCGGATGTCGTTGTGGTCTTCTTGGTTGTGACCATGATGGCCGTGATGTGGAGGCGGTTCGAGAACCGGTACGGGTTCTTCGTTGGATATTATGCTTTGTATATCGATGCTACTGCGGCGTCTTGATCCGTCTTGTAAAGAGGTCCTGGGCCCGTGTTTTTCGAGATCTGAAGGCTCGACTGGTTGTTGTTGTTGTTGTTGTTGTTGTTGCTGTTGCTCTTGTTCTTGCGTCCTTGTCCTCGCCACAGCAGGCGGCGACATGACTTTTTCGTCCGCGTTGGTACCTTGGACCATTCCGTCTGCCGTTGGAATTGTGCAGAACAGAACCGTGGTTGGCGAAAGCGTTCAGGTGATTCGAACCAGTCGATCAAGTATGTACCCGTAAGTACAGTATCTTATCATGTCATTGTGCAAGACTCGAGGTCTTCTCTGCCATCATTCTGCAAATACCGAGGTTTGGATGGGTATATTTGTATTCGAGCGCAGTGGTAGGTCTTTTGATTCTTTCTTTTTCGGATATCCTCTACGCCCTGCAACACATCGGGGGAGGGGGGCCAACATAAAAAAACAGTCACAGCACAACTACTATCAGTACTAGTAGTAGTAGCAAACTTGAACTGGAGGACCGTGGGATGAACCTCAATACGCCATCATGTCCTTTCTCCCCACAACCCGGGTATCGGCAACGCTTTGGGTCAATCTCATTCGCGGGAGGACGTTGGGGTACCTCCGAGGACATGGGGAGTCAACCTCCTTACTAATCAAGATCCGGCAAGGAGATGCGCGTTGCTGTTAGATCATTGCTTGTTTTCTTGACGTGGGCAGACTTAAAAATCACATCACCTCGGTCGGCCGCGGTCCTTCGTGTGAGGGGGCCGAGATAGGTCCGGCGATAGACAACACCATCATCATTATCAACATAGACCATGAAAGCTGTTACCTACCGTGTGTCCTTGCGTATGTTTAGACGTTCGTACAACTGAATGCGTCGTTGCTCAAAAAGCGGAAATGGAGAGGGCAACGTGAAATAAATATCTTATTATGTGCGCATTGGTCTAAAACGCCTGACCTTCAAGCGGAGGCTGAACTAGCTATCAGGAATTCATTTAGTATGGCTGTGGCCATCACAGTATACTCGTGCACTGCAGCACAGGAAATCGATCCAAGTTCGAGTTTTCCCGAGTATAATCCTGCCTCGGTTGATATTGTGGAAGGGCGTGCTACCTTACACGGGCTCCGAGAGAACTTTTTGGGGTAGTACAACGTACAACGCAAGGCAAGGCTGATGACGACAAGCCACTGCGAGGCGCAGTAGCAAGGCTGAACGCAAGGGTTGTACATCCCTCCCACCCTTTCTCAATAATGGAAGCTTGAAAGAACTCAGGCACCTCAGCTTGAACGCAGCATGGAACTTGAATCATGGCATCGAGCCCTCAGGATTAAGTTGTTTCATGTAGATATGGACAAATCCAAGCCTGAGCGTACGCGAAACACGCTTTATTGGGGTGCCATAGCTCACTTATCCGGGTTTGCGCCAGAAGAGATTGTCCGCCTTGCTAGCTCTGGTAAGCGGCCACGCTCAGTATCTCCCTTTATATCACGTTGTAAGCTCAGTGGTACATCTCATTTAGACTCCAAAACCATGTCCAACCATGCCAGTGCCCGTGCCTATGCACCTTCCTTTTTGTCTTTACCCAAGACGCACGACCAAAAGCCATCCCATCCAGATAATCAATCAAGTCATCCAAGATCAAATACAGATAACCAACCCCAGCATGCATCTGCTTGTATGAAAGCGTCTTAACGCCCAAGATTGTAGTTTGTGTATTTCGCTTCGTTCCCAAGAATTATAATATCGAGCTTACCGCCATGGCTGCAGCAACGACTGTAGCCCACCGACTAATCAGCATGGTCGTAGCGGCACGAGAGTCAATATCGACAGTTTGAAGGATAGGAGTCGGTTCGTAGGGCTTGGGCGTGGACGAGTCGACGGTACCATTCCAGCAGAACTTGTTGAAACAGCTGGTACAGACGTCAGGGACATCCGTACCCGTTCGTTCCAGACTGCGGCTGATAATGGCACAGCCCACGCACGCGGGCCACGTCTCCTCCACAGTGCCGTTGCCCATACTCGCGACGTTGAGGCCATTCAAGATAATTGCATCTCGGTAAGAATTGTTCGTTTCAAACGTAAACGTCGACTCATTGCTCAATGTCACATATGGAGAATTGGGAATGTAAACGACCAGAGGCGGGATATGAGTTCCTGACGTAAAATTGGACGTATTGCAACCAAAAAATGTCGGGCGAGTGTTCAGCCCCAGATTGACGATCGTGTTTTGGTCCGGGATGCTCGGGAAGGCGGTGTTGTTTGCGACGTCGCTCAACGACCGCTCGTAGGTGGCGACCAGTGCCGTTCCGTTGGGCCAGTTGTAGTCGGTGTCGGCGGAAGAATCGACGGCGAAGATGACGTCGACGTTCCGATTGGGTTGGATTAGAGGGTGTAACGGAATATTTTGAAGATCCTCGCCTCCATCGACAAGAGTAAGCCGTGTTGAGTTGGCCCCTGGGTCGGTCTCCGGACGGTACTTGTAGAACGGGTTGGGGGTATAATCGGCAATATCGTTGTTGTCCTTGCCCAACCCGTCCAGTATGGTTTGAAGGAAGCTTTTCAGCGTCTTTGAGATGTCGGTCGAATTGATGTTGAGAAGAAACTGGTTGAACAAAGAAGACGAGGTCCCCATGACAAAGCCGGCGTTGTCAAATCCCACCACGCACTTGTCGTTGTCTACCACCTCGCCGGCCGTAAAGTTGGTGCCTAGATATTGCGTAGGAACAAATCCATAGACATCGGCATCCCAGGTACCCATCTCGAACGCGTTGAATTCGAATACAGTCGTGTTCCCGGAAATCAATGTCTGGCCTGGGGCCCGTCCGTCGGCAACAAGGATAGGGAAGGGATGTTCGCCCTTTTTGAATGCGTCTGTTAATGCAATCGACGACCAAGTATAGGCCGGCCCGCCATCCGTGGCGTTGATCAGTTGGAACGAGAGTGCGCGGCCCCATACATCGGTCAAGGAGATGTCAAATCCTGCATCTTCCTTTCCTGTCACATCGCTCGCCAAGTGTGTATAGTACTCGGCCGTGTCAAATATCTGAAGACCGCCAGTGTCGGGACCCTCGAGGACGGAATTCCCAAATTCCCACACTGATCCGTTTGTTTCTGCTTGTAACGCTCCGACCGAGGTCCAGTTGTTGACCATGAGAGACCCAACAAGCCAGCCGCCTCCACTCAAGCCTGCTAGGTACGTCGCCGACTGTAGCAGCCCGCCCAGCTGTCCCGTGCCAGTATTGTTGTGTGTCCGCGAATCGAAAGCCTTGAGTGCGCCAGCTCCGTTCATCAAGGCTCGCCAGCCACCTCCAGACGCCGCAATGCCGATATTGGGCAAAGCAGAGACATTGTTGGAGACCTTCTCAATGTATGCACTGGCATCAAACCCCGAGATGTTCAGACGTGTTAGGAGCGTGCGCATCGGGTCGATGGTATTGTTCCTCCTGGTCTGCAGCCAGGCCGTTTCATTCGGCGACAGCGAAGCCGCGCTTCTTACGGAAGGTCGACTCTCGGGACATGAGATGTGCGTCGGCGTATAATCGTGGGGAGAGTTCGGTAGGGCTCGACGCAGGTGGCCGACATCTCTCATAACATCGAGGTACGCATCCTCGGCTGATATAGAATATGCTGTTCCAAAACACCATTGTTAGCCCACCATATGTTCAATGGACAATCATCCTTACCATGTGTGCCAACAGCCAGAGCGCCCCAAACAGCTGTTAGGATGGGGAGTTTCATCGCAACGATTGTCCTAGCGATCACGTAGCACAACAAGACAAAAACCAGGTTTTACCACCACCGAAGAAAAGAAGGACCATGGAAGATAACTATAGAGTGGTTCGATATTAATGGGACTCGGACTGGCCAGCAGGGTCCCGGAATTGAAAAGATTGAATGGCGCGCGGGTTAAGAATACTGCTGGAGCCACCAGACGGGGAAAACAGAGGAGGATGTTACCCACTGCGGGATCGAGAAGATGTCAATCATTTGATCCACCGCTGCACAATCTTATTATACCAACTTATCTGACAGTCAGCTTAAGGCAGACGCAGAATGTTTACCGCGATCGATGTCACTCATCACCCTCCGGCTGATCCGGTCATACGGACATTGAAGGCCCTGCAGTGGCGGGCCTCGTTGTCAATGTCAAAGACTCAGTGTGGCAGGGCAGCCCGACAAGGCTTGTGAAGCTGAATGCGACCCGTCATCGACACATACCAGGTAAATGCGGCCTAGGTTGCGTGGCACATTTCTCCATCGGGACGCATCAGTGGCTCATCTGGGACAAATGCCCAATCACAGCTCAGCGCTGCCTCGAAGCTGTCCCTGATCTGCGTCATACGCATCTTGTTTAGCTGCAGTGCCGGGTGGCCGTACTATTACTAGCAGCACTAGCACTGCATAACTTGCAGTGCCAGTGTGGCACAAATTAATGCCCCACTGCAGGCTGCCGGTTGCCTGTGCCACTCACTGCCAAACTCCGCCATAAGCCGGTTGGTCGCATTGCTGACTAAGATACCTACCTTACTTAGCCCTCTGTGAGCCCGACTTGTGCGAAGGCTCGGCCAGTGGGTTTGGGCTACATTGATCACTGTGACAACCCGAACAAACCTTCGTGTTCGTTCTCGTTCTCGCCAATCTGGTCCTCTTTGAGCCCATCGCCACACTCAACTTGAGCATCCATCCGGCTCCCTGGTCACAGTGTGGTAATTGGCCTGCGGTTAAACTGGGTAAAGTGGTAGGTTGTCTGCAACGCAAAGTTGTAGCTAATCTTGCAACGAGGTAGAACAAGAATACCATTAAAAGTCGTTATCAAACCGAGGAATCAATGTCTGCCAGAGACCAACGAGGATCTACTCGTCCCGGTAGCTCACGACCTTGCCAAACGTGTCCGCCATGCCCCAGGTACCACTCCGCAGACAGGTCAACTGGACAATCTGCGAGTGATCGACGAAGAGGTTGACATCAATGCCAAACTCTCGAATATACCAATTGAACACCGGGGGATCTGCAGCCTCGAACATGACCTTTTCCAAAGGCAGATCCCGCAGAATGGCCTGAATCACATCCGTTCGCCAGGTCTTGACGTTTTCCGTGATCCCCTCACTCTCGATCATCATCCTTTCCACTCCGGCTTCGATAAACTTCTTGCCCAAATTGACCACCTTGCTGGGATCCGAGGTGCCAGCGGCTTCCAGATCTTCCGCCGCCGTGTCACCGCCTGCACCGAATTGAATCCCGAGCTCTGGTTTCGCCTTAAGTCCCATGCTGTGCACCTTGTCTACCAGACGAAGCCAGTCGTCTGGTGGGAACGACAAGAATCCGGCCGACAATTCAACGACATCGAAACCGATGTCCTTGCATTTCCGCAAGTACTTTTCCACCACGGTGTTAGCATCCGGCTGAGTTAGCACATGCTCCATCCACCCGCCGGTGCTGACATAGACGTCGTGCTGATGAGCCAGGTCGACAAGTTCTCTGACCGCGCCCTCGGGCATCAGTGCAAAGCTACCTCCGGCGAATTTGAGCCCGTCCACGTGGTACCCCATGGTCTCTAGTACATCTTGAAGATGCCGCTTTCCGTAAGCTGAGTAATATGGTCCACGGATCTCCGTCACTCCTCTGTTGCGAGGCTTTGGCGTCCGCGGATTGTGTCGGATGAACCCAAATCCATTTTCCTTGTCCTGAAGCAGCGTCTTGACCTGATTCTGGACAGGAGTGGTGGATAATAGGCGCTGACCACTGGTATGCTGTACCCTTGGCAGCACTGTATTTGGGGGTCTCAGTGCTTTGGTAAGCAGCTTCGTGGCGCTTTTGGCTGCCATCTTTCGATATAGAATTGGCGAACTCCGGGAAGTATACACTCGACAGCACAGGAGGATGTCGAGTTTGAACGAGTGTTCAAAGTTGATATTCCTGGTACTGGCATTGTCCGACTTTCGAGCATTGTTTATATAACTATTCCGCGGGGAGGCAATGTGACGTCAGATGGCTGCGTGGGCATTTCATGTTGCGGCCGATGATCTGCTTGTCGGTTCGATCATATGCCTGTACAACTTCTTGAACAGTGATAGAGGCGGTTTTAGACGTGCAGAACATTGCCCTAATCGATCAGACTACGCCGGGAAATGATTTCCGGCACCAATGGTGGTGGAGGTCCCGCCCCATTCCACCGTGCTTTGATCGACCACATCCATAACACATGTTCTGTAGTACTAGTACTCCGGTCTCGGGAGAACCAGTTAGTAAAGTGATCTCGATTACATGTGTATACCGAGATTGATGAGTGTGGTACATGTGCCTATACATGATCTGGTAGGAACATCGCCTGGCTTTGACCTCAGTCCGGTCACTTTCTAGTGTCCGCAAATTGCCGGACAAGAACGTAAAACGCCTATGCAGTAACGGTAGGTCCGCGGACCGGAATAGAAAGAAACACTTGAAGGGCTGATTGGATTCGGTCCTCGCGCGAATAGCATATGTAGACGCCCTGGCCACAAGTGTGTACCTTTGCGAAAACAGAACAGCAATGCATCCATTCCTCCAGGAAACGACGCTATTCGATCCGATGTCGGGCATATGAAAGCTGGCAGTCAGCTTCATTTTCTTCATTTTCAGGTCCTCTAGTCAAGAAATAGTCGAGATGCCGTCGAGAGACAACAAGGTTGAAGAGCTGTGTCAGTGTTATCCAAGCAAGCACTATGAATTGATTGCTAGGATTCCCCAGAGCGACTTCGGAGGTGTCTCTCTTCGGCCGTTCAACAATGTCAAAACGCCCTGGATATTGCAGAACTCGTGCTGCGACTTGAATATAGTGATGAAGGAGCGACTTTCACAACGACACGTAAGAATCGCGTGCGGGCCAAGGGGGAATCGACGAACTTGACTTGAGAATGCCGTGACTCGCAATCACGTTCTTACCGACTCTCCCAAGGTATATCCCCTTGCGACCCCTGTCCTGCCTTCTTCGATCACACCTCCTTCTTCCTCTTCATCGTATCTGACTTCGAAATCAGTGCCCAAGCCGCGCCATGTGCGTTTCTGCGCAAGGTATTCTGCGGCTGGCGAGGCGACTCCATTCACGGCAACCATGTCGCCCTTACTACGACGAGTCAGCGCGTTTGAGTGCTGAGTTGGACCACTAGAGTCTGCTTGTGCGTCCGGTGCACGCAGTGCGCGGGAGCTTTGCATAGGTCGGGTGCGCGAAATGTATCGCCCCGTGCGGAGGTCAAATTCCGGCGGTTCAGACTCCGAATCGGAGCCGATGTCAGCTCCGTCACCATTGCCGCCTTCCTGCTCTGCAACACCATTCGACCCTGGCTCTGTTTTCTCGGCGGCTCGCTTCGAAGCATCCTCCAGCACAGCCTGAAAATCCGCCCGCCATTCACCAGTCCATAACCGCGAATCGTCGGTCTGCAAGGCCAGATCCAATTCAAAGGGGGTGATTATGGGCCGGTAGAACTCCTTACTGTCGATCAGAGAGCTTTCCCAACACCCGATGACAACCCACCCGCCGATCTCAGAGAAATTCGCAATCTTCGCTGGATTGAGTTTGCCCACAACAAACAGGTAGGATTTCTTGCCCGCGGCAGCGATCTGACGCTGGACATATGACAGGATATCCATGTAATTCTTAACGCTGAGCGTATTGATCAGGATGCCCCAAACAGGAACGGTTGTGAGAGAGGTAATGACAGCGTAGCGTCGGCGGAGAAGCATTTTTGTCGATCTTGCAAGAAGAGAAGCAGTTGAGGCCGAGATGCTCGTCTTGTCGGTCGGATACACTTTGATATCGGCCATCCGTGAGGTCAAAGTGAGAAGGAGAGATGTCGGCGGTTCAGAGATGTGGAACAAGCTCCATTCCGACAGAGATGCTGGATCTTCAAGAACTGACTCAGGCACTGTGCGGTTAGGTATCGAAGATGACGGGTTGTGCACTATAGATGCTGCGAACACGCTCGAGTACCTCAGCCTTTGAAGCATTTCCCTCACCGGTTGGATGTGCGCGGCGTATGGTACGTCGGCGGTGAGAACCACCATTGTATCGTGGTCGGGGAACGACTCCTGGAATGAGTTCAGCACGGCATCGTAGTCCAAATCCATAGTGGTGTATATATGGAGAACAGGCAGTCGTGCTGTCGGTGACAGACATGCCCGTCCATAGTGGACAACAGCGTCTGCGTCGACGTGCTCTGCTGCAATCTCATCCACACAGCATGACCCGTACGATGTGTCCCCCAGAATGGTCAGTTTCACTGGGTCATCGTCGTTTAACGAGATATCTGCGATACCGGCTTCGGGCGTGTCCGTGCCGTTTCTGACACTGTTTTCCTCCGCTCTGGCTTCTTGTATGCCTCTGGCTAGCATTTGATAAACGCGAGCAGAATGCGGGAGCATCTGATCGGGGAACTGCAGGGCTACCCGCTTCCATTTTCGTTGTCTAATCTCACCGATAGTTCTGGAGATTTCATATCGTGTCTTGATCTGTTCGTCGGACAAGATCTCGAGAGAGCTTCCTGTTGTGCCTGAAACGCCTTCCTCCAAGATGAGAGTGTCGGGAGTCGACAAAACAGGCGGGGCAGTGAGACCTTCTGCCATATTGCACCAGACGCTCTTGTGGGATTTCTGGAGACGAAGCTATGGTACGATAAGGCCTTGATACCTTGGGCGCATACACCAACCTCGCTGTCCCAGGATCTTCAATAGAGGGAAATTTTTGATATGGAGGCGATATCTTGGCAGCCGTTGAGAAGGCTGAGTATTCCACTTTCGCGATTGGCTGCCACACATTGACAAGGCTGCGCAGCCAGGGGATCTTATCTAATCGCCTTCTCGATCACCTTCACCCACTTTTGCGTACGTGTTTGCGTGGGAAGCCCGGCGCCTCTTTTCTGCACCCTCAAGAAATGTACATGTTCTTTTGCTATGTGCGATTTGATATAGACCGGTTGCAAGACGTAGGGACTCAATCAGCGTACACTCTCCAGCATGTCTGTTCCTTTAACACTCTTTCACGCTGTGCAGGGCGCTGCCAGCGCCTACGCTGGACTCCTGTCAGCCATTGCCATCTACAACCTCCAGCAACGCGAAGACCAGGCAGAACATGCCGCTCAGTACTCCAATACAGCTGGACATCTCCTACACAAGACCAGAATGACTCAGACCAGTGGAGCCTTGGCCGTAAGTGGTTGCCGGGAGCGAGTGACTTCCTTTTAGACAACAGCCCGTTCCGCAACCATTCACTAACTTCATGACTTGAACAGGCGATATCTTCTATGATCTCGTCTATAGTTCTGGCCGTCACTTCGTCCTCGGAAGGGCAAGGTGGAAGTTTGTTTCCGATCCTGCTCAGCACGGCAAACGCGGTCGGGCTGGGGCTTGCTTACAGACACATCCGGAATTTCTGGCTGCATAGAGCCAAAGTCCCGTTTCTATCAGACTACAATGACGGTGTCACTGCTTCGAAAAATTTACAGCAAGCATTGGGAGCTCAGTCCATCACTTGGGCAGCTTCAAGCCTTGTCCACCTTTGGTTCTTTATGGGCGCTTGATACACAGACTGCAACGCATTGATCTCCAAGTTGTATGAGAACCGCTGTCGAGATCCGGAGAGATTATTCCGGCGTCGGTAGAGGGTGGTTTTCGCTCAGGTCCACGCGCGGTGGTGGGGAGTGGTGCATTGATAAACTCCCCACATTCACGCGCGAGTTTCAGGTGGAACATTGGTGCATCTGCCGAAAGAATTCCCGCTTCCGGTGACAATCTCGCCGCCGATGCCAACCTGATGCGGGGTGCGTTATATCGGCTTCGAGTTCAGCATCTTTTCCATTTACTCGGCTTCCAATCCACCCAACGTCACAATTTATTCTTGCTGCGCTTTCACATCCCATCACACGAACTTTTCTTTTGACTAAACTCTCCTCAGGCCGCTTCTCGACCTCAGGACACAGATATGGAACCTTTCGAGTACAATGCCAACCCTGGCCGAGTGGTGTTCGGACCTGGGAGCATTCAGAAACTCCCTGACGAAATCCGACGACTTGATCTGAAATCTCCTCTCCTTCTCTCCACGCCCCAGCAAGTCAGCCAAGCGGAGGACCTGGCGAAGATCTTGAAAAATGCATCCATCGAACCAGCTGGCACATATACCAATGCCACCATGCACACCCCCTCACACATTACCGAAGAAGCCATGTCATTCTTACGCGAACGATCCGCAGACTGCGTCGTGTCGATAGGAGGAGGCTCAACAATAGGTCTGGGCAAGGCGATATCGATCAGGACGGGCCTACCACACATCTGCATCCCCACAACATACGCAGGAAGTGAAATGACACCTATATTGGGTGAAACACAGGATGGCCGCAAGACGACCCGGACAGACCCCAAAATCCTTCCCGGCACAGTCATTTACGACGTCAACCTCACCATGACCCTCCCAGCCTCACTGAGTGCCACTTCGGGCGTCAACGCCATCGCGCACGCCGTGGAGTCATTGTACGCAAAGAACAAGAACCCCATCATATCACTGCTAGCTCTCGAAGGTACCAAGGCCCTTGCAGAGTCGTTACCGGAGATAATCAAGGATCCGCAATCGCAACCCGCGCGCGAAAAAGCTCAATATGGTGCATGGCTATGTGGTGTGTGTCTCGGCTCGTCGTCAATGGCATTGCACCACAAGCTCTGCCACACCCTTGGCGGCTCTTTCAAGCTGCCACATGCCGAAACGCACACCATTGTGCTGCCCCATGCATTGTCCTACAATGCACCCGCGATCCCTGATGCTATGGCAAAACTCGCCTCGGTACTGCCCGGTAGCGAGGGCGATGCCACCAAGGGCTTGAATATTCTTCTCGAGAAGCTCCAAGTCAAGCGTGCTCTGAAGGACTTTGGAATGAAGGAAGAAGATATTGACAAGGCCGCGGACATTGCGGTCAGCAATCAGTATCCTAACCCGAGGAAGATCGAGAAGGGCCCGATTCGAGAATTGATCCGCAGAGCTTGGGCTGGCGAACCTGCCAGGGCGGATTTATAGACAGCACTCAGCAATTCTTTGGAGTTGCCGAAACTATGATGCGACTATATAAAATATATGGGAATGGGTGTCTTCCGGGACCGTTTTTCTTTCTCCAGACACGAGCACGAGTTCGGGTCTATTCGCCTTTCGCTCCGACCGTTTGAGGGAACAGAGACTTGGTCTGCACAACTAGTATATGTGGTTTTGTGACCGCTTACACCGATGTCTATGCTCGAGCTCCCAATTTAGTAACCGTGCCACTGTTTTGTATTTCCGAATCTATCGTCGTATATCTATACAGAGACTCTATCTGTCAAGCACGCCTTACTCCCCTTCCGCCTCAGTCACATCTTTAGTAGTCTCCTCCCTCTCAGGCACCCACCTACAAACAACAGTGAACCCCAGCGCCAAAACAACCATGGGAATCCAAATAAGATGGCCACCCCAAATCCTGCTCCTAACACTAGCCGCGAACAGACTAGCAAAGAGAGCAGGAGAGAAAGCACGAATACCCGAGACTAGCGTCAAAGCGATGGCGTTGAGAGTGCCCAAAACCTGCGGATTCGGACTGACGTCGTTGAGCACGAGCTGGATCGCCGTAAAAGACATTGCGACGCCGCTGCCGATCACTAACGAAGTACATGCGACGACCCAGAAGAGGGCAGTCAAATGGTGTCGAAGCAACAAATTGCAAAGTGGCAAGACAGTAAAGAAAAAGGGGTATTCGGTAGCGCAGAGGCGCATGACGCCCGCGGTGCCAATGCGCGCTTGGAGCCAGGGAAATACCACGAGCAGCCACATTGCTTGGCTGAGGCCACCGATGCCCATGAATAATGAGATCTGGAATGGGGTGAATCCGAATCCGCCGAGATGTACGGGGGTGAAGTAGAATACGGGGATGATGGCCGTGTAGGCGAATGCTAGGAGCATTACGTGGCCGTAGATGTAGAGTGTCAATGGGACGTGGCGGGAACTCATGACTTCGAGGGTTGACATTGGTGGTGGGTGGTTGTGGGAGGGAGATTTGGGTGGTTGGGTCTGAGAAGATACCATCGGTGTTAGAATCGCTGTGCGGGATCTGATATCTTGTTGGAAAGAAGTGGTAGGAGAACAAGATGGGAGAGGTATGAAGAGGGCGGGATGGTGTCATGGCGGAGGGCTCGTATTGGGTCTGGTCTGCGAGTGTATTTATTCTACATACCTCTTTGATGAAAAGAGCGCTGGTCACAGTGGCAACAACTGCGATTGCGCCCGTCGCAAACGTGGGCAGAGCATAGGGATACTCATGCAAGAACCGGATATGGCCAAAGATGCGAGGATATACCGTGGCTGGGTTGGAAAGTGCACCACCTATGTATGGGTTGGATCGTGCCCAAAGTCAGATATCGACCTTTCACTTTGAAGTATGCCTCACGGGGCGGCCGGCCTCAACACCGGGGCATATGAGAGGGAGTAAAGAAATACATACCGATCAAGGGACCCAAAAAGATCCCGAGGTTGCCAGTAAAAGCAAAGAAGCTGAATGCTCGGGCCTGCGTTTTCTGCGTGCTGTTCTCGGTGATCATTGTTCGAATGGTCCTAAACGGATATCCATCCTGTAAGAAAGTGACATTCATTCGGACCTTTAAGGCTCGGGCCTCAGAGCAAGTCTCCATTGCTTGACAGGCTACAGAAAGACTCACACAATAGTGCCTGCAAATATACCCGCAAAACACCGGAACAAAATCATTTGCCATATCGTCTTACTAAGACCGAAAATGGCTGTGGCCACAGCGACGCCGCTCAACGAGGATACCAGCACAGGCTTGCGTCCCCAGTAGTCGGCCGCTCGACCCCAAGGAATCATAAGCAACATTTGAGTCAACGAGAAAAGGGATTCCTGCGACCAATGGTCAGCATCATGGTCCGAGGAAGAGACAAACTGACACATGGATGCTGCGATTTGACTCACAATCAAGCCACTGTAAAATCCGACGTCCGTCTGTGCTACTTCTCCCGTCTCCCAGATCATCTGGTTGATGAAGGGGAAGATGCAGAAGAACGCAATGGGCTCGACGATACGTGCAAAGCAGAGGTAGAAGATCTGATCCTTTGGCAGAGGCTTGTCTTCATCGTCATTGCTCGGATTGCCCTGCTCGTCGTCTGGCGACGAAGATACATGGGCCGGCGTTGCCAGCAAGGCTGTTGTTTCGTCCACGTAGAGATCGCTGGCCTCCTCCATGTTCGCTGCTGGAATAAGGGAAACACTATATGGAATTGTCGAGAAGTGGCGATTATTTTGATTGTAATTGACGGATAATGGTGATCGACAGACAATGAGAGACTCTGGGGTCAGGATTGAGGGGCATGAAATGAAGTATTCTATACTTCAAGTGGTGCTTACAACGTCCATGACTCTAGAGCATCGTACAGTAATGCAAGGATGCCTTGAGAGTCAGGATCTACAGGCACCTACAGTAGTAGGCTACTTAGGCGTCCCTGGTAAGTGATAAGTGACAGGGCCAATGGGGCTGACAGGCTGCTTATTAGGGTGCTTTTGGCTAACAACTGTACCTAAGAGAGCAGCAGCAAAATTAGGCCAAGGCAGCCCTGTGGCCACGCGAGGTCCCGCCCATATTACCACTGTAGTGCCTGGAGCTTGCTACTGGTTTAATTGGCCCGGAACCCCACAAGCATGACAGATTCCCAATGATTCTGCAGCTTTTTTCTCCAAACAGTGCAACGATAGAACAACATGCTTCGTAAAGTAGTACTGTACGTCCATCTGCATTGTATACTTTGTCACTTGGGACATTCATCCTCGACCTATCCTGACAACAACATCCAACCTCTCTGGATCCGCTGCTAAATGACATAGACTGTGTCTACGGGGCCTCGTGCTCTCCCAACCACAACCATGCTCGACATCATCTGCACACTACCTCTCAAATCCGACCTATTCGCTCAAGCGATCCATCCTTCCGAACCTCTCTTCGCCGTAGGCTTATCCTCTGGACACGTGCAGGCGTACAAGCTCCCCTCAGATTCCGACGCCATCGAAGACTCGTCCGAAAACGAATCCGCCTCTCCACGGGAATCGACACACGCAGTCGATGGTAGTTCCGAGCTACCTACCATTGTTCCTTCGTTACGCAGATCCTCGACCACGAGCGTCTCTGAAAGCGGACTGGGATGGATCGACACGATCTGGTCTACAAGAAGACACAAAGGGTCCTGTCGGTGTCTGACCTTCAGTCACGATGGGCAACTATGTTACTCTGCAGGGACGGACGGTTTAGTCAAGGTATTCACCACTGAGACGGGCAAGGTCGTCAGCAAGATTGCCATTCCACCTACAATTTCCGGCAGTGGCCTCGACGGACCGACTGTGCTGCATAATCTCTCTCCACAAGCGCTTCTCTTGGGGACAGACTCGGGGAAGTTGTATCTACACGATTTGAGACAAAGCGGGCAGGAGATCGTGCCGAAACCCAGCCAGACGTGGACTCCGCATGGCGATGAACATATCAATGCGCTGGCGGCATTGCCTGCCAGCGAGACAAGCACCAGCGGGTTTCCGAAACAATGGGTCAGCGTAGGAGGTACTACACTGGCAGTGACTGATCTGCGCAAGGGGACCATTGCCGTCAGCGAAGACCAGGAGGTTGAGTTAACAAGTGTGGCGGCGATTCAAGGCCTAAAGAAGGGCGGAACCAGTGTCGGCGAGAAGGTCTTGGTTGGTCAAGGAGACGGTGTGGTCAGTTTGTGGGAGAGGGGAGTATGGGATGACATTGATGAGCGGCTCGTCGTGGATCGAGGTGGGCTGAGCATCGAAAGTTTGGCAGAGGTGCCGTTCGGTTTTGGGGCTGGCAAGTTGAAGATGAATGAGAAGCTTGTCGCCGCCGGACTCGAAGACGGCAGGGTTCGCTTCATCAGGGTCGGTCGTAACGGAGTGATGACTGATATGGACGCAAAACATGATGAGATCGATGGGGTCGTTGGTTTGGGCTTCGACGTTGAAGGACGCATGATCAGTGGTGGTGGTCAAACTGTTAAGGTCTGGACAGAAGCCAAAGGTCTACCTGGTGGAGGACGCGGCGGAGCATCCAAGCATAATATGTCATCGGACGAGGAGAGCGACGACTCCGATATGCAGGACAGCAGTGACGAGGATGACAAACCAAAGTCGAAGCGCAAGAAACGGAAGAGGAATAAGGGGAAAGACAAGTCGGGCGGGAAGGCGTTGGACTTTTCTCTCTAAGTCCCTCATGATTGTACAGAAAAGCGAATTTGCGTTGTTTCTGCTTATCAGGATCTACTATGATACCCGTGTTGTGTTGTGTACATACAGATGGGCTCTGGAAAAGCTGGGTTGAGAATCTGACTCTTTTGGTGTTGCCATCCGCTTGAGGTGACTGCTGTGCACCGTCCGTGAGGATTAGCAACGTGTATTTTGGAGCAGTACGTAGCCAAACAAATTAGGTCTCATCATGGAGAATCCCTTGAGCAGCCGAACGCTGTGACGAGGCTTTGCCCCCTAAGCGATGAGATCTGAGATCACAGCCGAGGCATCACCGATTCAATCCGATTAGTCACGCAGAACTCCGATGTCGATAAGAACAAACAAGAAGCAACATTTATTTACCCGCGAACCGTAGTCCTTGCCTCAGTTCACTTGGGCATCCATAGAGAACCGGACCGCGAGCACTGCATTGGGAGGTACCTAGGTACTGTATTTGCTTTTTGTTTGGTACGGGTACTGTAGGTACAGTGTATAAAATGGGTTTCAGCTCGGGTGTCTCTTCTCGCAGCTCAAGCTTTGATTGGCGATCCCTCCTCTTCGCAACATCCCTCTTCACCCTCGGCGCCCTGGTAGGCAGCATCATCACAGCACGACCTAAAAGACCAACAATCCTCCCCTCACCGCGTACAACACGCCTGCCCAGCTTATCAGACGAAGAGAAATCTCAACTCCCCTATCCTCCCGACGTACTTCCTGGGGCTCGGGACGTGGACACTCCATATGGCTCGATCCGAGTTTACGAATTTGGTCCAGAATCCGGACGTAAGGTCCTGTTAGTCCACGGCATCAGCACGCCGGCGATTGCTTTGGGGGCCGTGGCACATGGTCTTGCGGACAGGGGGTGTCGTGTGATGTTGTTTGATCTTTTTGGACGAGGATACTCGGATAATCCGGCCGACTTGCCTCAGGATATACGGTTGTTCACGACGCAGATTTTGTTGGCGCTGGCGTCATCGCCTTTGTCGTGGACGGGCAAGGAGACCGGTACGGGCTCCGGCAAGGCCTCTGCCGGCAAAGGGTCATTCACCATGATCGGCTACTCACTAGGCGGAGGCATCTCAGCAACATTCACATCCTACTTCCCCGACCTAATCGACAGTCTTGTTCTCATCGCCCCTGCGGGCCTGTTAAGGCCTCACCACATCAGCAAGACCAGCCACGTCATATACTCTGAGGGCTTCATCCCGGAACCCATTTTACAACGTCTCGTCAAGAAGCGGCTGCGACAGCCGTTGGCAGCTCCGCCACCAAAAACGGAGGCAGAGGCGAAGAATCAACAGGTTGACGCCACAGAGGCAGTCCAGGCCGAAGCTGGAGTCAGCATCGAATCGAATTCGCAAGCTACATTGTCAAAAATCAGACCGCACGTCACGGTTGAAGCGACGGTCGTGGATCAATTGGATACACATCCGGGATTTGTGCCGGCTTTCATGTCGAGTATTCGATACGCTCCGATTCGGGACCAGCATGTGCGGTGGCGGATGATTGCGCAGAGGATAGCTGAAAGAAATAGGGAGGAGGGGACCAACAAAAAAGTCTTGATTGTTGCTGGTGCTACGGATCCTATTATTGTCCGCCAGGAGCTCGAGGAAGATGCGAGAGAAGTGTTACAGGAGAATGTCGAGTTTGTGGTTATTGATGCGGCGCATGATGTGCCGATTGTGAAGGCGGATGAGGTGGTTGAGCATATTGTTGATTTCTGGAGCCGGACGAATTGAATTCGGATTTAAGGTGAGCATGATGGTATTGCGTATCTAGGCATCGCATTTTGGGTTCAGCATATAAACATATAGACTACTAGAATCCTGCATAGAGGGTCTTTTGATCAAGAGCATAGGGAATTTAGATGGCAGGAAGCAGCAGCAAACATAGCATATTGGCTGACAGGGAGAGTACTTTGACATTTAAATGGGAAAATCTTGCACCTTACATGCTAGCATAATGTTGAGCTTCCTGTGTCCATCTGGCATGAATAAAAGATATTGTCCTTTGTCATTTTATTCCTGAATATGTACAACATTGTACAACTGGACAGTAGGTGTCGACCGGACCGTCCCCAGGCCCGTCCGGACCATGCGGGGGCACGAAATGCAGAGTCTCCGCAAAGAGGCCGGAATAACCAAGCCTGAAGGCCAATTCAAAGATTGGAACATCATGATCAAGGCACATATACACTGTATAGTCTAGTATAGCTATATCTCATATAACCTCAGATCGACCCTAGATGGAAACGATGAGAATAGCCATGGGGGCCAATAAAGGCCGTTTCGACTCTGCTCTGCGGACGCCTGTTCAAGGTGGCTCTCTTCTATATCAACCCCACGATAGAAGTTTTCTAGATCTTCCCTACCATACCGCGGTTTCATCGTCTCAACTCTTGACGGCCTTCGCCCTATCTCTGCGCTATAGTTTGGTGGTCTTCCCTTTCCGCGTGGTATTCCTCGCGGAATCGACGACCAAACTGGCGTGATGACTAGTCGCAACGAGCTCATTGGTTTCGTCCCACACCTCGACGTCGAGATCGAACCGGCCATTCCTGATAGCCTTGGCTTTGACCCGGACAAACAGCCACTCGACACCCTCGGGAGGCAAGAGTTTCTTGACGTCCAAATTCAACACAAGCGTAGGGTACCAATACTTGGCACGCTTTTCGGTGGACTTCAGATACTGCTTGAGCTCGGACTCGGAGTGCTGGCCAAGGGCGGCCTCCTCGGCATAAGGGTTCACATAACTCTCGACAATCTGCGGGAAAATGTCGACGACAAACCCTAAAGCGTCATTGGTCCAACGGCCGCTGGGAGGTTTGTCGCTGCCGCTGGCCCCTCCAGGGGCAAACCGCACCCACTGGTCGTTGATGGACTTTGGCCGATCAGCCGGTTTTCGGTCCGGTTTGACCAGAAACATCTGAATGTTTTGCGCGGCCCGACGGAACTGGGAGAAGGGATCCTTTGCGCGCAGAGTGTAGTTTGTGTCTTGGCCGTGCGACCCTAACGAAGCGAGGTCGACGGGCAGAACAGGCGGGTATGGCTTGTACTCCGTGTCCAGACTCAGTCCGCTTTCGGTGCCCAGATTGCTCATGGTAATGTATCCTTCGACTTCGTCTTGCCATTGGTTGTGGGGTCCGCTGGGCTCGTCCGGGTGCTGTGGTTGAGATAGGGTTATGTGCAGATTACTGATGCGTGCGCCGAGCTTCACATCACGCACAGTGAAGCGTGCCGTCCCGACGGATGTGCGACGCAGGAATTCGAGATGTAGGTTGATTGGATGTGGTTCGGAACGGGTGCGGTGTGCCAGTGACATGTGTGTCCGGGCGACCACCAGGAAAGCAGAGGTTATGTAGCCGCCATTGGGCACTGATCATCGTGTTAGTGAGTGAGATAGACCGAAGAAATATAGGTGGCATAGACGGACGGACCTGTTCCTATGCACCATTCGGTTTCCAGAGTCGTAGTGTATTGGTGCGAGGAAGTCTGCTTTATCGGCAGGACGTCCGCGAAGGTCGTGGCCATGATGGATGTTGGCGCCGCTGGCACCGATAGAGTCGTCTCGTGTACCGTCAGCACTCGGAAACCATCGCCTGAATCTCCAAATTGACGATAGATCAGATCTAAAAATCAGTGGTAACTATTTGCAAAGATGAGACGAAGGAAATGAATGAAAATAAATCGAGGTGACCAGGTACAGTCGATGAGGAACATCTCCAGCCTGAGAGTGACCGGGACAGGGACCATGTCGAATACAAGCCTCGGCTCAATCGAAGCTCTGCGGTTGGTGAGAGATGCAGTTGACTGTGGCTGTAAGCCACTGCCCGTCCTTGTGCCAGCCTGTTTAGCATCTATCTCTCCCTTGCCGAGTGAGGATTTGAGATGTCTGGAGGCATAATGCATTATTTTGCGTTGACGGTAGAGGGAGCAATAATGATCTGCACCGGCAGTGCCAGAGCATCGGCATAGAGGCACACCACGACTCTTTTTCTGCAATTCTCTGGAATCGGGCAATCCGGACCTAGAAGCCAAAACCAAGTTACTGGATCTGCAGTCAGCCTCTGAATATATGTCCGGGAGAGCCTGTTTGCTGGTAGTGGTACTAGTATTGGTGGTTCTGGGTGGGCATGGTCGTGGGATGCGGTTGTGGTTGTGGTTGTGGCTGAGGCGCCCGCCTGAGCCAGTCAGCAAACGCCCAAACGCATCATGACGGAGACGCTGATCGGGCGTCTGTTGTACTTGTATGGCCTGATTCCAAGAACTTGAAGTTGCCCTGGTCGAGAGCCTGGATTTCAACACCAGCACTGGCATCTAATCAATCACCTTGTCCATTTGTCTATTTGCGGTGTACATTATCCATCTCACAATCTCTTATTCCTCCTCGTCGACGTCTTCCAGGTCTCACTGGCATGTCTCATGAATTGATGTCTTAACGCTGCGCCATTCCCTCGTTCATCCAGCATGATTTGCGACCGTCTTCAATGGCATCCATCTCTCGTCGCCCTCCACGTCGACCACTGCTCCGTCATGGTCGCACCTTTTATGTTACAGCCCTGATAGTCACACTGTTCGCTGGCTACAGTTTGCTAAGAGGCGTCAGCCGCGCCAGTCTACAATACGATGCGCAGATTGCCGCCCGGTCGCTCGAGGCCCGAGACTTGGAGGTAAGACCACGACGTTATCAATCCCCTCTGCAACTGCGCCGGTGACTAACTTGCGGTCTAGTGCCGACTCGTCCACCGCTCTGCCGACAAGTGTGCCTTCGTGAAGAACAACTGCCCTGACGAAGAAGCCGGCCTTCTATCGTACCTACAATTCTACTACTGCCATCTCCAGCATGCGCGCCCGTTCGCCTTTATCATATTGGTAATATGGATCAGTGTCTTGTTCAGCACCATTGGAATGGTGGCCTCGGACTTTCTCTGCATCAACCTAAGCACAATCGCAAGTATCCTGGGGATGAGTGAGAGCCTGACTGGTGTCACATTTCTGGCTTTTGGAAATGGCAGCCCGGATGTCTTCTCCACTTTCGCAGCGATGAGCAGTAATAGCGGGAGCTTGGCCGTGGGAGAGTTGATGGGTGCTGCTGGATTTATCACCGCGGTGGTCGCAGGAAGTATGGCACTGGTTGCGCCGTTCCAGGTCGCCAAAAAGAGTTTTGTGCGGGACGTGGGCTTCTTCGCGGTCGCCGCCAGTTTCAGCCTGGTGTTTCTGGCCGATGGGAGTCTACGCTTGTGGGAGTGCGCCGTCATGATCGGCTACTACGTCTTCTACGTCTGTTTTGTGGTGGGCTGGCATTGGTGGTTGACGAGACGGCGAAGGATCAGACTGGCCGAGACAACCGCTCGACTGGGCCACCACATTCCAGACGCCCAGGAACTCGAAGTGCCTGAATTTGAGGAGGATGAAGAAGCTCGTCCGGCAAGTGAACGCACCGGCCTGCTCCGCACAACATCGGGCGAGAGCATCCCGACCTTGCGCACCCCAGGGACTCCTGCGTGGAAGATCGAAGACCTTGACGACGATGAGGAAGCCCGCGATCGTTATCTTGCCGAGTTGCAAAGCCAGATGAGAGTGGGCCGGCCTGTGCGCGGTGAGAGGAGGAATACCATGACTCCCATCAGGCCGAGTTTGATCGGTGCGCTGGAGTTTAGGTCTCTCATGACTTCGTTGGAAAAGAAGAGCACGGCCACCCGACCCATTGGTCTTCGCCGATATTCTTCGGAAGACACGTCAAGTTTGAACCTGGGTCCTCTCAGTGCCCCTCCCCACGCCTCACAGCCGGAGCTTGTCGGCCATGCTTCTCAGGACCTCCTGACCGTCGACGAAGAACCGGTTGTCCGCGGCCGGGCAGTTTCGGCAAATGACGCTGCCGGCCTGAGAATCGATACCGATTTCCTTTCTGACATCACATCCGAACGAGAAAGGGACAGAGAATCAGGCAGTATTTCGAACAGTGACGATGCTTCTTCATTAGAACCACCTGCTGCGCACTCCAGACCCAGCGCAAATATTCTGCGGACGCTCAACGAACCAGGGAAAAAACAAAATCCGCCGTCCCCGAGATTGACGCTGTCTCCCTCAGGCTCCAAAGATCGCCAGGCTGCAAAATCGCCCAGTCACCTCGCACCCCCCGCATCCTCCTTCCACCGTCCCAACTATAACGAAGATCATCGGGACCAGAGCCGAAGCCCATTGTACTCGCCGAAGACGGGCCCAACATTACAGGTTCCATTATTACATACACCGCGTCCAGATCACCAGCATCCGAAGCTCCGACAGGAAGACTTTCCCCCTTACTCTGATTCTCCAAGCTCATCGAAAGCTCCTAGCATCCAGCTCCCTGAACCCAGCATGTCGCCCGAATCCGTTCACCATCTGGGGCTGCTGCCAGAAGAGGAAGAAGAACCTCGCCGGCATTTCTCATGGTGGCCATACAAACACCTGCCAGCACCGCAGGACATTATCGCGACACTCTTCCCAACCCTCCGAGGGTTTCGGGAGAAATCGATCGTCGATCGGATTTTGAGCTTGGTAACGGCTCCGGCCGTTTTCGTGCTTACCATCACTCTGCCCGTCGTCGAGCCTAAACAGGATAGTTCTGACGACCTCGAGCCAGATGGTCTGTCCCGCCGTCGCAGTCGTAGCCGTACTCACAGCCACGTCCCGCTTCCGTCAGACACGCCGGCTTTCGGCCCCAAGGTCAGCGGCAGTCCGGAAACCGTCGTTAGCACGCCACACCCACACGGAACAAGCCTGGCTCGAACCATGTCCGACTACCCTCCAAGAGCCAAAAGCGTTAGTCACACAGGCGAAGCCGACCACACAGTATCGGCGGTCCAAAAGGACTGGAATCGCTGGCTGGTGTTTGTGCAAGTCTTGACGGCGCCCTTGTTCGTGGTCACCATCGCATGGGCCAATATGGATGAAGAGCACAGCATCCGACTCTACATCCGACTGGTCCTGGGATCGCTGGTGTTCTCTCTGGTCTCCATACTGATTCTGCTCTTGTCGACCACTCCCGACCGCGAACCCAAGTACCGCCCGCTTCTATGTTTCTTAGGGTTTGCCGTCGCCATTGCGTGGATCTCGACGATAGCCAACGAAGTCGTCGGGGTGCTCAAAGCGTTTGGAGTGATCTTGGGCATCTCGGACGCCATTTTGGGCCTGACCATTTTTGCCGTGGGCAACTCGTTGGGGGATCTTGTGGCCGACATCACCGTCGCCAAACTGGGATATCCGGTCATGGCGCTCTCGGCATGCTTTGGCGGGCCCATGTTGAACATCCTGCTGGGAATTGGTATTGGCGGCATGTGCATGACCATCCACAAGGCGACGCACAAACATGCCAAACACCCGCACAAGCCGATCAAGTATAAACCGTACCAGATCGATGTGAGTACGACATTGATAATCTCGGGCGTTACTCTTCTTGTCACGCTTTTGGGGTTGTTGGTCGTCGTGCCCTTGAACGGCTGGAGAATGGATCGCAAGATTGGACTCGGCTTGATTGCATTGTGGACGTTGTCAACAGTGGGCAATGTCGTTGTCGAAATCCTGGGGTATGGTGGCGACACGGTGTGATTCACGCTGTTCTGGGGAAAGGGGGAATTTGTTTGGTGGCGTGAACTCGGGCCATTACTAGTAGCTAGCTGGCTTGGCTAATGCCTAGCCAGACTCGAGTTGGTTTTGTATAGACAGACGGCTTGTGGTACGAGTGCGCAAGTAACCACCTACGTAATGACCATGCTCGGACGTGCTTAATAGTGGTCTTACCTGCCCTCAGCTTGCGGCTAGATCCTGCATCATGGACAGCTCCGGATGCAGTGTGTGACCTCCGCGGTGAAAGGACTAAAGGACGCACATGCATTGCAGTGCATCACGCCGGCCCTCTTGCCTAGATACATTCTACCTGGTAAGTAAGTACTACACGGGCCGGCACTTCAACTGCGCCGGTAGCGGAAGAGTGCAGATCTCATGTCCGTCGTTTCTGAGGAAGGAGGTATTGTATGCGGAACTTGAAGAATACGCGTGAGCGTCTATATGTTGTTAAGCGAGGGTGATAGGACACCTGGGAGGGGATATCCCACGTACTACTACCACCGCTGCTTGTCAAATGTCATATTCGAGCCATGTGTGTAGGTGCTCGGCTTCGCTTGATTTCTCTACCAGCTACACCGCCAGATGGGGGGGCCTCTGTACGTTCGAACAAGGTGACTCGTCTTTTAGCCGCGGGGAATGTCGAGGTCTGCCCGGTGTTGCGTGACAAGCGACCTGTGTACGGTACCTACAGTACCTTGTGCGTTGGTGTCATTGTAGTACTTGTATCAAAAGGCCCGCGTCACCTCTTTCGCCGCGGAGCCATCAGCTGCCGATGCCGGGGGACGAATAGTGTTACTAGGGATTCTTCAGGGTACTCTGTTAGCAAATGCTAAGTAGTACTGCTCTCACATACTGTAAAGGTCTATCTCAACACTAGCATCGATGGTCAAGACTGTTCCTGCACAACTACTGTAGTTCCTTCCTGGGCGCCATGTCCCTAGCATCTTCATTCGGCAATTGGATGCTTGTATACTGCATAGAAACTCAAGAGTTCAGACCATCGCGGCTGCTCCCTTGCCTGCCCCCTGTCCGGCCGGGGAATTAGAAAGAAGCCGGCATTGCATTGGCTTGATGCATTCGGACTCAACAACTTGAACCCACATTTTTCCCGAACTTTTTTAGTCGGCCTCAAGTTTATCTTTTAAGCCAGGGTCCTGTTCCTTATCACTTCTGCCTCCCCAGGAAGTTTCATGTCTCGCAACATGCGACAGTTCCAGTTTCCGGTCCTCTTCCACCTTTGTGTCGCAAACCGAACTTGAACCCGGCTTCAGTCACATACACGCACACACTCGCTCATTGTGACTGTGTCCACATGAGACAGAGGAGGGCGCATCTACACCGATAGAAACTCTCACGTCCACGACAATGCGCTCATAAAAGCGCGCGACGCCAATCCTATCTGCTGTCGACCGTTACTGTCCTCTTGTTCCGTTCCTCGCTGCCGCACTTGATACCAATCGAACTCTTGACCAACTGCTACTGCGCTGCGCTCCCGCCCACGGCCTCCAGCTGTTCCACCGACAACAATTCAGATCTGTTCCACTAGACAGAGCAGTCAAACACAATGGGTTCCTCCTCCAAAACGCGGTCCCACTCACAATCCAAATCCCGCTCCATCTCGACCGACAAGTCACGAGCCTACAGCTCCTCGTCATTATTCAACCTGACCGTCCTAATTTCCGGGTCCGGCACCAACCTACAAGCTCTGATCGATGCGTGCGGACAATCCCCCTCGTCCAATGCCGGCCCTCGAACTCTCCCCAACGCCCAAATCACCCATGTCATTTCGAACCGAAAGGATGCTTATGGTTTGGTGCGGGCTCAAGAAGCAAACATCCCCACGACGTACCATAACTTGGTAGCATACAAGAAGAAACATCCCAACGACGAGGCCGGCATACAGGCCGCGAGAAGAGAATACGACACCGACCTGGCCCAGAAGATCCTCACGCACATCCCATGTCCTGACCTCGTTGTCTGCGCTGGCTGGATGCATATCTTGTCCCCGGTCTTCATCAATGCGTTGTCTACGGCCAATGTGCCCATCATCAACCTCCACCCTGCCTTGCCTGGCCAATTTAACGGGGCTAACGCTATTGGTCGTGCCTACGAGGCTTTCCAGCGCGGCGAGATCTCAAAAACTGGTGTTATGGTGCATTATGTCGTGGATGAAGTCGATATGGGTCAACCGATCATGGTGAGGGAGGTGGAATGCAAGCCGGGCGAAAGTCAGGCGGATCTGGAAGAGAGGATTCATCAGACTGAGTGGCAGTTACTTGTTGAGGCTACGGGAAAGGTTCTTTCAGATTTGGAGCAGAAGAGACGTTCGGAAGGTTGATTTGAACTGGCAGCCAAAGAGGTCATACCTGCCGGTGCTACTCAAAACAAAAGTCACTCTACCTGAGGCACCGGGATCAGGACACCGATCCGTAACCGTATCTGATCAGGGATGAGTTCGCAACTTTTGGTGCTGTTTTGTTCCGGTTCAGGAGAGTTGAAACCTACTGTTTTCTTGTGGCCCCTGTCTGTTTGAACAGGAACTTTTGATGATGGTGGAAACTTGAAACTTGAATTCCACAGGCACCAACATACGACTATGGTTTATTTGTCAATAGCCCCCTGGATTCAGATTCAGGTGATTCTTCCGGGCATGGTTTTACGGGAAAAGACAGTGGTGGTTCTGGTTGTCTTGAGATGATATCAAAGCACGATTCTCTTTTGGGCAAGTCACGTTGAGGCATTGCTCCGTATCCTATGTTTGGGATGATGTGGTTTGGTATGGCATGGCATGCCGGACAGGGCAGAGCAGAACAGAACAGTGGAACAAAGCTAAGCATAAGACCCAACGAGACACACATTATGCATACCCGCTGAATTATGAATGTTTGAGAGCCCAGTCAGTGGCAAGAAGAGAGAGCCATGCTGGGACACGGATTCATGCTTACCAGACAGTGAGAAAGAAGAGTCGATATGAGCCGCTACAGTACTAGTAACTGCTAGGACGGTCCATTACGGGTTCTCCTAGATGGGTAGATAAATAGATGAATACACATACATGCATACCTGGTACTGTAGCAGTGCACCTACTGGTTCTCCTTTCCTCTTACACGTCCCCACAAAAATCGAACTTGACAATCTATCTCCCGTACCAGGAAGCCGAATATCAAGACGGAGAGACAGAGACGGGAATAGAAGGCAAATGGAAAGGAACGGTAATAGCCTTAAAGAATCTTCAGGTCCTGCCAATGCCATCAGTCCTGACCTATTCTTACAAGAATATGCAGCAACTGTGACAGAGACGATGAGAAGCCATAGATCTGCTCGTCTGGAAGATATGATATGACTGTCATGTTCACCCCCTGGCCTACATCCCTCTGGAGCGCCTTTGAAAGGTATCCATCCAGGTCGGGCTCTCTTCCTCTCACAAGGAAAGGAGACGCACACAAGGGTTTGCCTGCCTGGCCATGCCATGCCATTCCCATAAAACTGGAGTGATTTGGGTACAAACCTCAACTGCCAGCTTTCCCTCCCCTCCCCTCGAGCCATGCAGTAACTTAATTTTTCGACATATTCAATCCCAATTCCAATTCCATTCCCATCCACACTCTGCCCCTTTTTTTTTTCCTTGCTCTTGCTTACAACTTCGCCCGTCCCGCCTTCTTCAACTTCTCCTCCTCTTCAGCCCTAAACTCCTTCTGTGCCTGCTCTTTCAGAACCCTCCTAAGAATTTTCCCGGAGACACTCTTCGGAATCGCCTCGACAAACTTAATCCCACCGCGTAATTTCTTATGATTCGCCACTTTGGCATTCATCCAATTCACAATCTGTCTGGCATCCTCACCATTCGAATCCACAGCCTTGAGACCCCCCTTTCTAACAACATATGCACGCGGCACCTCCGTTCCGAGTTCCAGACTCTCCACACCAACAACAGCAACATCATCGACCAATTCATGGTCAGCCAGATATCCCTCGAGTTCAGCCGGCGGGACCTGAAACCCCTTATATTTAATCAGTTCCTTGACGCGATCGGTAATCGTCAAATTCCCCTTGTCGTCCATGAAGCCCACATCACCGGTCCGGAACCACCCACTTTCCAGATCGAGACATTCAGCAGTAGCGGCCGGATTGTTATGATACCCGACGAAAACATTCGGTCCACGAACATATAGTTCTCCAACTTGACCGCGGGGCACTTCCTTGTTAGGATCACTTTCTTGACCTGGTGCGGGCACCGCACAGAATTTGCATTCGACATTCGGCAGCATCCACCCTGTTGACCCGACGGAATCTAGCCAGTCTTCCCACCTTTGAACGAAAATCGTCGGACTGGTCTCGCTTAGGCCATAGCCTTGTTTGACGCGTACTCCTTTCCGTTTGTACAGGGCCTCGACGAGTTCGCGGGTCAGTGGGGCGGCGCCGGAATTCGTCATGCGCAACGAAGATAAATCGTATTTATCCACAACAGGTGCTTTGCATAACAGCAAAACGATAGGCGGGACAATGTAGCTGAATGTGATCTTGTGTTCTTGAACAAGGCGACACCATTTTTCCAGCTCGAAGCGTGCTAGCACCAAAGTTTGCACACCGGAATAGACGGGACAGTGGACAAGTAAATTCAATCCGTAGATGTGGAAAAACGGCAGACACGCTAGGATCTTGTCCCCCTGACCCTTCGGGGCGTCAGGGATCCCGGCCACACTCTTGCTTCCGTCCCAGGAGAGCCAGCCTTCAGCGGATTGGATCTGTTCAATGTTGGCCGTCATGTTGTGGTGGGTTAGACGTACGCCTTTCGGTCGGCCCGTCGTTCCTGACGAATAGACCAGGAACGCGAGATCGGTTTTCGGATCGATTTTCGGGGTGCGGTAGCGTGCTGTGCCCTCGAGATTGCGTACTTGTGTCCAATGCTTGAATTTGCGGGATGGGTCGGTTTCTTTGCCGAGGACAAAGATGTTGGATGATGGGATCCCTGCGGATTCTGCGGCTTTTGTTGCGGTCGAAATCACGCTCATGTGGGTTACCAGAATTCGGGCCCCAGAGTCTTTGAGCTGGTATACGAGTTCGGCGACGGTGTAGCCTGGATTCGCGGGTGAGACGATCCCGCCTGCCCAGAGGGTGCCGAAGACCACGGGCGCCACGTCAATGTCGTTGGGGACGAAAAGCCCCAAGACGTCGCCTTTGCGGAATCCATGGGTCGATTTCAGCCCTTTGCCGAAGTCGGCGCTTAGTTGCTTGATTTGGGCGTAGGTGTAGTTCCGGGTGAGGTTGTCTGCGTCGCGGAAGATGACTGTTTGTGATGTAATTTAGTGAATGTATATAATATGACATGAGATACTGAATAGCGAAGAGAAGGGATGTTGATCAACTTGGAGAAACTGACAGGGGTAACCGCCTTTTCTCCCATTTCTGTCCAATCGATCAAGTACATGGTTCTAAACATGAAAAGGCTGTCTCTCTCGCAGAGGCCAGAACAGAAAACATGACATAACACAACGCAAATTCAAGCAACATGAAGCTCAACCTTATATATATATAAAGCACATACCTTGACTGTCAGGAAACGGCCGGTCATTCCTGTTGAACAGGAACGAAAAAATGTCCTTGACCTGCAGGTCGATGTCCGGGAAATTCGACTTGATCGGCATTGTGTAGAGGAATTTCAACCGAAGGGAAAGCAGTGAGAGCGTGGGTGTAAATATACAGATATACACTCTCACACTCACTTACACCTCTGCAGTGGATGGATTGATCAAGGCTTAGGCTTCCTGCCTAGGAGACGGTACCTCACAGCGTCGGAGAAAGAAGTGTCACTGTCCTTGGTCCTAGATTTCTAGAACACAATAGATAGAGCAAAGGATCAAGCCTTAGTCGAGGTACCAGGTGGGATAGTTGCGTCAATAACCGAATTTGACACGGAGGTGTTTTGCACGAGATAGCCGATCACCTAAAGACAAATCGCTTAATCGAGTATCGGTTCGCTTCTTAGCAGACCGACTGAGCGATTCGTCTTTCTTGTCGAGGATTGAACGAGACTGTCCACAACCACAACCACAACCACGATCACGACCCCTGAGCCACTGGGCCGGTTAGTGTTGAGATGTTGGTTATGTGCAGGATCAGCGATAGATACCGGCGCGTGCCCTGATTGTAGGTACAGTAGCCAAGGGAGCCAAGGTAGCTAGTGAAATAAGAAGCGAAGATCTTGGAGTGTGAAGACGGATAGATGAAAGAGCAACGGTATTATTGAGGATGAGGAAGAGGTACAGTACAGTAGTGAGATGGAGCAAGTGTCTGCCGCCCGTCCCGCGTCCTGATGTGCCTTTGGTTGATGTTTAATTCGAGGAAGAAGATGCCGAGGCTCACCGATTCCCCACAGCAGGGTATCAGGATGATCGCTCATTGGTGAAGACGACCGAATCACGGGGTTACAGTTGCGGAAAAGACCCGGAGTACGGGGCCAGTCACGTGTCGGATTGTACGATGACTAATACATTCCTTACCCACTGCACACGATTCAAACTCGATTGGCTGGTGGGTTCAAGCAGACAAGACGTCCACAGCTGATGCGTGATATGGTATTACTATTTTGGAAATAGTAGTCGTCGCTATGGTTCGGCTATGGAGTTCTGAAAAGCAACAGCTGAAAACATGAGTGCTCACTTGCTCGCTCGCTATAATCCTCCACGTAAAGATAGGGTATAATGAAACCAGGAATACCAGGTAGAAACCCCGCAACATCAATACGACCGGCCAAACACGACTCTGCCATCCAACCAAATCATTACTGACCAGGAAAACAAAGTCAATGGGTTCTGCTCCTATGCGCAGATGCAAAGAATTGACCTGCAAGCATCGCAGTGGTGCCAGTGATGCCGGTGGTATCCGCGCGGAGAATCTCATCACTGCTGCTTCACAGCCTCTGGATTGGGAACATTGCCTCCATCAGCCTCGTGCTTAGTATTTTTCTCACCATCTTGTCCTCCCTTTGGATTGTTCTTCTGGGCACTTCCATCCTGCTGTCCCACCTCTTCCATCATAGGATCATGATGCTGGTCGGTACCCCCATCCATCAGCTTGTGCATCTCATGCTTGTATTTGCTTTCCTTTGGCTGGCCCTCTGTGGCCTCGTGTTCAAGCCTTTCTTCATCACTCGAGCTGAGACTGCTCATACTCATGTTCTGCATATACATGACCTGTCGACCAGATTGTTTCTTGCGCTCTCGCTGTTCGTTCTTCAACTTGTTCATCTTCTCCTCGTCCGCTTGGCAATCCAGCGTGACCACCTTGAGGCCCGGGAAATTCCGTGACAGGAAATCGCGGAACAAGGGAAGCTTTTTCGCATTGGGCCGGTACGTGCCGCTGTCGTTATCTATGATGAGCTCGTAGTCTGATGGATCCCTGCTGGAGAGCGAATTCAGATTCGAATTCGAATCTTTTGGTTTTGACTTATCGCGCTTCTTCTTGTCGGTACTGTTGATGTTGCCGTCGTTGCCCTCATGGGCCTTGTCTGCGTCATTGCTATCTTCGGGATCCGGCGCTGGAGGGTGGGTGTCCGTGGTAGGCTCGACATTCTTGTCCTTCTTGTGGAGATGAGCATGTCGAATCCGCCGGATGAAGAACTCCCCACTGAAGGCAATGTAGATGCTAACATCGCTGTGCATGGTATGTTTACTGAGTAGATCAACTCCGAACTCTTTCCCCGTCTCAGTAAAGCGTAGTTGAGCGTCCAATGTCAATACATAGGTGAAGATCCGGCCACCCTCATCCCAGTGCGCGAAATCCAGAAATTGTTTGGTCATTTCTATGGACGGCTCCTGGAAGATACCATACTTGGTGGTCCGGTCGTAGTTGTAGATTCGAGCGTGTTGGTGGTGAAGGGCACGATTCAACAGCCGACCACGTAGGGAATGGGCTGTGAACATGCCGGCAACAAAAGGTTTGAACTCCACATATCGATGGTACAAGTCCGCTGGAACAGGTCCGCGAAGTTGCATCTGGATCGCCTGAAAGCTGGTCTCTGTCAGCGAAGCGTTAGGACAACCGTGAGACATGTGAACTTACTTGTACTTTTCGGTCTTCTTCCCGTCCTGGCCCTCCTCTGTGTCTTTGATGCCCACTAGTCGTCCAATGAGAGGAGAAAAGTGCCGACTCCAGGCCAAAGGTCCAATGGTATATGCGCGTCCCCCGTTGTCGTCGTCGGTCCTTCCAAGGTTCTCGACACTGACAATGAGATCCCCGCTCATCTTGATACGTCTTGACACCAGGGCTGCTGCTCCACGGAAGGTATACGCTCTTTTGCTACCCATGCGCTTTTTCAACTCGAACTTGCGATGCGAAAAGCCTGTCCATTTGTCGTCGATCGCATCGATATTGATATGCACGTTTCCCAACCGGTCGTCATGGTCGCTCGGGTCCTCATCGTATAGCCTGCATTTCAGATAGAATCCCGATTTGGGTATATTGGCAACGATCCATTCGGTATTCCATTCCGGGTTGGTGCTGCGATGTATCGTCGGCGTTCGCAACTTCAGGTCAGGGTCGTGTTTATGTCGCTTCGGTATGTCGGTTTTGAGGACAGCAAGGATGTAGGGGTCGGATGATAACGTCTTCAAATCTGCGAAGGGAAGGTTTTCTGCCTTGTGGAACGTGATTTTGATCGTGTACCCCGGAGGAAGTTTGGGTAGAGGAGTGTCGTCGAAGCCGCCGGCAGGGGCTTTCTTGTCATGGGCACCAATCCCAAGTTGTGTTTGGGCCTTGTGTTGCAACTTGTCCGCTTGCCCGACCAGCTTGGGAACGATTTTATCTGTTTGGTGGCCATGGCGCAACACTGGTTCTTCCGAGTCGTTGTCGGCCATATTTCGCGATACTCGGGAAGGCCGGCCTCACAGCGTGCGCATGGAAAAACAGATGCGCTTTATATGACCAACAGTGTCATATCGAGATGTCGATGATGTATAGAAGAAGAATCATCTAACAAAAGCACAATAGGACGTAGAAGCTGGGAAGCGCGGAGACGGGGACGGCGGAGGATGATCCAACTTGGGCGCAGCCGGCCGTAGGGTTCCAATGGAACTGGGCGGCTGGAGGGGGCCTGACGACGCGCAGCAAGATGATTGGATGATCACTGTCCCTGTAATTTTGAGTCAGCAAAGTAAGCTTAGAATTGACAAAGCTTGGTAAAGCTTATTCTAGTTTGGCGTGACAACGTCGACACCCGTCTGACACTCGGATTCAAGTCTGTGACATGCTTCTACTCGGGATTCCCGATGGCTGATTCAATCTTACGGCTTAGCAATATAACTTCAACCATGTTCAGGTTCACGCTTAGGTTCAGGCTTAGGTTGAGGTTCAAGTTAAGGTGCTCAGCCCGTTTCGACTTGTAAGATAAGGCTCTTAACAGCCAGCAACGAACGTACTTTTGGCGCGGCACTGGTAGTGCTTTCCAATCACGCTCAACACAAATGACGCTCGCTCATGTCCTGTAGACAAGTCAATGCTATGCAAAACAACAAACATTTCGTTTCATGAATCTTCGTCAAGCAACCTTAACAGCAAATCCGACCCCGGTCCAGTCAAGCTATCTCTCATCTCCTTTTCGGAGACGGCACTGACGACCTGCATATCGTCCATGGCTTTGCCCACGCGAGAAGGCGTCTTGGATGGCGTCAACAAACCTGTGCTGCGTCCCGATGCCTCTTGCACCAATCCCAGTGTCTCGAGACTGGCAACCACATCTCGAAATTCGGTGCTCTTCAGTGGCTGTAACAATCCATCATCACGGCTGCAAAGTAGAGCGTACTTTTCGAACAGCCCTTTGATTGTAGGGATTTTGGACCACGATTTTGAGGGCGTCATGTAGGGATTCCTTCGGTATTGTCGATGTTCCGACGCGACCAAAGAGCACAGAACGGCCTTTTGCTGTAGATTAAGTCCACCTAACCGAGAAAGCGTGCCATTGTTGAAAATTTTGGACGCAATTTTCGCAACATGTCCAATACTCGCTCGAGGCGCCGTCTCCATGGTAAGTTGACTAAGAACTGAGCGTTGGTCTGCCTTCACAGGTAACAACACCTGACTCATCCTCAAATTCGAATTGTCTGCGAGTGGTTGCTTGGTCGGAGTAATGCTCTGCTCTCGGCTCATTTTCAGAACTGTTTCTTGCTCAATCTGGTCGATTGCCTGACGAACAAGACTGAAAGCTTTGCGCAGGTCGCCTGTTTGAGCAGCGATCTTTTTGCCGCTCAGCTGGATGGCTGCAGGGTGCATTAACGGAACAAAATCTGACCCAACTGTGGTATCATCAGGGAGAAGCGATCGAAGCTTCTCGGAAATGATCGTCGAGATCTGTGTGGCCGAATAAGGCAGAAACGGGAGCAGACAGGGTTTGAGGTTTTTCGTCTTCAGTCGGGGTAAAAAGCGGTCGGTCAAGTCGAGGGCATTGGCGATACCAATAAGAATGAGAGTGGATAAGGGGTGCATTGCCCATTCGAATATACTGTACAGAACATCACAGTCACCTTTAATGAGGCTGTCGAGCTCATCAAGCAAGACCAAGTGCATCTGTGAGTCAGCTTTTCTGCTGGTGAACAATCGAGCTAGGCTTGATTTCGCAGCTCTTGGTGCGCTGAACGTTTCGTTGAATTTCGACAGGACCTCTGCGGAGGACTTCAAGGCGACGCAGTTTATGGTTGCAATTTTGGCAGAAGTCTCTCCATACTCCTGCAAGATCTCTTGGACCAATGCACTCTTTCCGGTGCCCGGGGGCCCGCTAACGTAGGTGCAACCGCCGGTTTTGTTCTCAAGAGCGCTGGAAATGAAACTCCGCAATTGGTTCCTTTCAGCATCGCGACCGATTACTTTACCATTGCTGGCTTGGGTGAACAGTTGGCGGGCCTGAGCATAGACATTATTGTGCGACTTTGACGGTGTGGATGAGCGCGCTGATCGGGGAGTGAGAAGCTGACCACCAAGTCGTACACGATGCTTCGGTGTGCTTGGTGTTTGTGTTGCAAATACATCCTTGAACCGGACAGTCGATGGAGTGGAAGCGGCCGATGGAGGTACATTCTCGTCTGGGTTTCAAGGTCAGCTTGAGATCATGGGAGTTGAAAGAGCTCTCATACTTGAAGGGTTAAGAGATTCATGGGGTTGAGTTGTGTTCGGCCGGTTTGGTACCAACTCGTCTTGAACGGTATCTTTCAACCGTCTGTTACGCGCCCGTACCGACGAGGCTGACCGGGTCACCTCTTTCTCCAACCCATTGAGTCCTTCTGTATCTTCGTAGATCTTGGGTGTTGAACGTCGCGTCCGTCTTTTGGCAATGGGCTGCGAAGGTTCGATATCTGCCAGACACTCCCATCAATGCCATTCCAAGTGATTCTCATCGATCAACAACGTACCTTCCTCGTCCAGGACTCGTCGAGACCTCTTTCCCAGTACTGCCGCAGCCATTGAAGTGGTTGTTGCTGCTTTTGCTTGCGGTGTTGCAGTTGGAGAAGGCACGACTCGAAAAGTGGCAGTCGCGAGTCAGGTCGTGTCTCTTTAGCAGAATGCCAAGTTCACGCGTTGCTGGAAAGACCCACTCCCAGCCACTGCAAACCACGTCAAGCCACAAGTCCGCCCGTCGCGCATCACTGAGCTGTGTGCTTCGCCGTAGCACTTAAGCGCATGCCTTGTCATTTGAAATAGCGCGGCCCTCGAGTTTAAGCGCCTACCTAGGAACCTACTTTGCTAAGCGCAGCCTGCGGCTACTGACCCCGTTCTTGGCCAGTTTGCATCAAACCCGCCGCGCGACGTGATCCACCACTGCAGTCTGAGGTCGTCTTCGTCATATCGACTACCGCCTTGCCTTGCCACTACTGATCTGTGAGGACACCAGTAACTGCAGTGCCTGGCAAAATGCAGTCTTCAGTTACAATCCGGTGATTGTTCACGCTTTGCAATTTTTTTCTTCCTTCATTAACCATGCTCCAATTTGATATTCCTCAACAAACCTCTCTCCGGCTGGAACAGCGTTAAAGAGCCTATCGTCTCCCCCCGCCACCCTTTCGATCTTACCGCTTCCGACAACGATACCAACACCAACCTCGACCTTCCCTTTTGCTCACAATGGACGACGCAATAGCCACCGTGGTCACTGTCACCGGGACCACCCCGGAACTGGCTGCACAGTATGTGCAGTTAGCTGATGGCGATCCCAATCAGGCGGTTCAGCTATTTTTCGAGAACGGCGGCGCGGATCTCGCTGGTTCCTCTTCATCACATCTCCCGACTCAGACTCCTTCCCACGCGACAGGCGGGCGAGCAGATCCTATAGATCTAGACGAAGACGACGATGAAGATCACATATCAGACGACAATGACCCGGAAATCACTGGCTACCGGAGAAATCGACGAACGAATCCTCCATCTCATGCTGCTGGTCCATCACATGTTGAAGACGATGAGGCTTTGGCAAGACGATTGCAAGAGGAGATGTATGGTGACAGTGGCACAGAGGAACAGATTCGTGCGCCGATCGCCAGGCAAGCAGAGACATTGGTCGGACCAGGAGCAGACAGTCTGCCCTTAACTGGTGCGGCTTACAACGCGGCCGTTGAAGCTAGGATGCGTGCCTTTGAGCGAAGGAGGAATCAAAGTCAGTACTACTACTCTAACCTCGTCACTTTTTTGACTGACCTGAAACCAGCACCGGCCGGGATCTTCAATCAACAAGTACCTCCATCGAGCATTTGGGATCGCGATCTGAACAATGGAGACGCCGATCGCAGTACACTTGCAGAGTCGACTGGCGGGGCCTCCGAGGCGTCTTCAAGAGCGACTCGACTTGCACGACTGTTCCAGCCACCATGGGATTTGATGTACAAGGGCGGATGGGAAGCTGCTCGAGAGGAAGGAAAGGAACAGAAGAAGTGGATACTAGTCGACATCCAAGAGCCGTCGATTTTCGACTGTCAGGCTCTGAACCGGGATCTGTGGAAAAATGAAGGAATCGTGGACACGGTTAAAGAGAACTTCATCTTTTTCCAGTACACCAAGCACGATCCAAGGGCGGCACAATACATTCAATACTACTTCCCTACCTACGACAATCCGAATGACTACCCTCACGTCGCAATCGTCGATCCCCGAACGGGCGAGCAGATCAAGTTGTGGTCACGAAAGGTGCCTTCAGCGCCGGAATTTCTGATGCAGCTGCATGAATTTTTGGACCGGTACAGTCTTGACAACAATGCACGGAACCCTGTGGCCAAACGCAAATCAGAAGCAAAGAAAGAGAAACCTGTGGACCAGTTGACAGAAGAAGAAATGCTTGAACGGGCATTACAGGCCAGCCTGGCTTCACAAACCCAGGAGGCGAAATCACCTCTGCCGCCAGTTGAGGATCCAGATGAGCTCACCAGGAGTGTTGGCGACTTACAATCAGCAGAACAGCCATCGATTGCAGAGACCATGGATATGGACATGGATCAAGACGGCCAAGCGACGGCTGAAGCCAGCGCATTCTCACAGATTCCGTCCGATCGTCCTCATGCAGAACCTGCAGCTGGACCAGGAGTCACGAGGGTTCAGATCCGGCACCCAGGCGGTCGAATCGTTCGACGCTTTGCCGAAGACGATCCTGTGCAGCGCATCTATGAATACTTGAAGGCCGAGCCGATTGAGGGCAAGACTGGGGTTCCCTTTGAACTGGTTTCCATGGGCAAAAACCTTATCGACTCGCGAGAGCAAACGATTGCGGAAGCTGGCCTGAAGAATGGGACGGTCATGGTCGAGTTCACCGAGGGATAGAACTTGTTGTCGCGGGTTTACATGATGGCGTGATGAATCGCCTGGCGTTTCAGATCCGCGCTCTAGATATGCCGCTTGGTCAGATAGCCGTTGTGCCGGACTCAAGCCAGCCACAGCACGCAGGTGCTGGGAGGATAATGTGAAACGATTACCAGCTGAGCCTGGACTTGATAACCCGGAATAAATGCATTTTCCACATAATTGCCTGCCCATGTGCAACCTGAACTGTATTGTCGTACTCAATTGTTGGCGGTGAATTGTCGCAGCCAATCGGAGCAACCAGCGAACTGGTGCGCCACATGCGGCAGAGAGTAAACAAGGGAGTAACTCATGCATTCGTTTCATCCGCACCACCGTCAACATGCATTCATGAGCCTACGATGAAAGATCAGTACCCGTTTACGACCCCAGAGAATTTTGATGCCCGCAACGACTTATGAGACTTTACCACGACCTAAAGTGAGACGATCGAGGCAATAGCCACTTCTCACACATTCAAGTTGTGCCATGAGGAACTGACCTGTGCACTGACACCTCCCAAGATCAGCAGCTTCCTGTGTTATCGTGTCTACCACAACTCAAGACGAATATTAACTCTAGTCCGCGACACCTTTGATATCTCTGAACTGTCTTTCGCGAACCTCTCGCCTCCTCATCGCAGCCACGGCCTTCTAACAACCCCACCTGTCGCGCAAGTCACCAATGGATCCTGAGGAACTCTATACCAAGCAAAACTGCATCGGAGGTGGAAGCTTTGGCAAGGTGTACAAAGGAGTGGACAAACGTACGGGACAAGCAGTGGCCATCAAGGTCATTGACGTCGAAAACGCAGAAGATGAAGTCGAAGACATCATCCAAGAAATCTCGATTCTCTCGGAATTGCAGTCGCCGTATGTGACCAAATATCATGGCTCATTCCTCAAGGGCTCCGATCTCTGGATCATTATGGAGTTCTGCTCGGGCGGCAGCTGCTCAGATCTCATGAGGCCCGGCAATATCCATGAAGATTACATCTGCATCATTATTCGTGAGTTGTTGATGGGTCTGGATTATCTACACACGGACAAGAAGTTACATCGAGATATCAAGGCAGCCAACATTCTTCTGGGACAGAATGGACAAGTCAAGCTGGCCGATTTTGGCGTCTCTGGCCAATTGTCGGCGACCATGACCAAGAAAAACACGTTTGTAGGCACTCCCTTTTGGATGGCTCCTGAGGTCATCAAGCAGTCTGGCTACGATCACAAGGCAGATATCTGGTCTCTCGGTATCACTGCCATCGAACTCGCACAGGGAGAGCCTCCATATGCCGACATACATCCGATGAAAGTTCTGTTTCTCATCCCCAAAAATCCCCCTCCAACACTACAAGGGAACTTCTCGCGCACGTTCAAGGACTTCGTTGAGCTTTGTCTGCGACGAGACCCTCGCGAGCGGCCGTCGGCGAAAGAATTGCTCAAGCACCCTTTTGTGCGCAAAGCGAAGAAGACGACGTATCTCACCGAACTCATTGAGAGAAATGAGCGATACATGGCAACTCGTGGCAACCGGAATTCTGACGACGAGGATGACGAAGAGGAAGAACCTCAGCGAACAAGCCAGTCAACAGCAGAAAATGAAGATCTGTGGGATTTTGGCACTGTCAGGCCAGCGGGTGGTCGTGCGACAGGACTTCGTCCGATGAATGACTCTGATACCAATGCTCGTGCCTCTGGTGAAGCATCTCCAACCAAAACCCAGCACGAATGGGATGAGACTGTTCGGGCTCCATCTTCTCCTCAGAAATCGCCCGTAAAATCTACATTTCCAACTCCCGCCAAGGTGCCCCTTCCGCCTTCTCCTATGAAAGCTACAGAGTCGCCATCCCCAGAGACTTCAGGCCTCGCTGGAAATGCCCCAAAGGCACCTCCTGCGTTTAACGTGGCGAAGACGTCGAACACTCCGAACACACCAGGTGCAGCTCTTGCCAACAAGGGTCCCATCACCCCATTGCACAAGGATAGTCCTGAATCGAATGAATACAACAAAGCCTTCCAAGCACAGCTGGCCAAAGATATGGGATTCCTCAAGATCGACAGTGGAAATAGTCCGAACCCCCAAAGTCCAGCATCACAGGGCCAGACACCACCAGGACAGAAGCCGCGCATGGTCATACCTGAGATTCCACCCTTTAGAGGCAACCCAGGTCGAGGAGCGCCGATCCAACAAACCGAAACCTCAGCGATCGCGAGGCCTTTAGGTCAACAACCTCTTCCACCCTTTTCTCCCAAAGACCTTCCCTCAGTCCCATCACGAGCTCCATCCACGGCGTCTATGAACAATCAACAACCCCTTCCGCCATTGACGAGCAAAATCAACCAACAAGCCTCTACCACCACGACGGCAACGACGAACAGCACATCATCGAGGACCAATAGCGCAGACACAAACACCAAAGCCAACACCGCCTTGCAGGAGACTCACAAAGACGACCCCAATCAGGGACTTACTGCGCTCGACGCTGTCCTCATTCCGGCATTGGAGGCAGCCCTCCACCGTCGAACCTACATGCTGAAAGAACTCGCACGTACAAGCAAGGCCAACCCTTCACTCGCCGCCGAAATGCAGCAGCAGAGAGTGCAGGCTCATGAAAAGGTTCGACGATTGGCCGCCAAAGCCGCTGCTGTTTTTGCTGAGATCCAGAGATGTGATGAAGAGTGTCCTGTGGGTATGGGCGGAGGAGTGACTGAGTTTCTGGAGGGGTTTCTCGAAGAAGTCCTGGTCAGAGTGGAGGCAGCAGATGAGCCGGCCCCGAGCCCGAGAAAAGCGTGATTTTTCACTGCGACATGAATTTTTATGAAGAATGGAATGGGATGGGTGGTCAGCGAGTGTATTGTTTGTATCTTTTAAAATGGGTAAAGGAGCTGCTCGATAGAGGGAGCTAGTATTGTACCAAGAGTATTCCGCATACCTTATTAGTGATGCGCCTCATTTTACTGCCTTTGCGTCGAAGCCGTCTTCATTTTCCTTTACTTCTATGTCCTTTGAGACTGGTCGTCTCCCCCTCCAGCCTTGCGTTAGCAGGTGGAAAGGGAGAAGCAATGACGCCGCTTCTGGAGCCGGATCACATGCAGACAGCGTGAGTGGTTGTGTCATGAGGCGGTGTCGTATCTTATCCGCATCAAGTATTGTGTTTGAGACAGAGACAGGGGCACATCCTACTACACTACATCCATCCGCCACCCATCGAGTCGTCAGCGATAAGGTAGGTCAGGTACGAATGTGTGGACAGTGACCATCAACATCACCATACACAGTGGCACCATGCTTCCATAGTCTCTTGCTCGTTCTGTCCACACAGCTCCCTACTCTTTTGTTAGCGACCCATATTGTCAATCTTGTCCTGACGGACACCGAGTGACATTACGGCCAGTCTACGTCAGATGAGATTACCGTTCTACATCCAAGTTTGGGCCTAGGTACAGTACTGATTCTAGGTACAGTGCTGTGTGAGCAACACTCCCCGAGAAGGAGGGTAACCTGCGAAAAATATCAATATCAATCTAATCGTCCATTTCATTTCGATCTTCAAGCATATACAAATCCAATTGTCAATATATCGCATGGAACACCCCAACACTGGCATTGTCCGTACTTGAAAGTGCAACAATGGCACAACAATCCTCTTCTGAACCTTCATTGAGCAATCTCATCCGTCTCGCACCACTCCACATCACCGACCTGCCATATCATCCGGATCTCCCGGGTTCTGGCACCAACAATGCCAATTTACAATCGGCACCCCAAACAGGGCCAGGAACCCCTGACCAGAGATCTCAATATCTTTCAACATTCCTAACCCAACTCCTCTCCGACGGCACCTCATTCTTATCCCCATCCATCTTTTCCCGCCGATTCAAGCACCACTCCACCAAAAAGTCTCCACCGGCATCATCGCCTGTCGAAGTTTTGGACTGGTCGGTGTCCGCGTCAACCATTTACAAAGAGGTACAGTGGTCGGCATCTGCACCGCCATCTTCCGATACAGCACCGACATCTTCCAGTACGCGGCAAGTTTCACGATCCACACCCTCCTCTTCGACACTAAGTTCAGAATACTGGCTCGCCCGCCGTAGCGTCCACAAAGATATATCGAGCAAAAGCACCACCCGCGCAGGTCATGCGTCGTGGCCGGAATTTGTGTTTGGACTAAGGGATAACCACAGCAAAAATGAATGCGAGTTTACGCCTTCCTTGTATGATGCGAGGTGTGTGGTGGAATGGCCCAAGGAGGAGTTGAGGAAGGTCATGGAAGGCGGATTGTCGTGCAGATATTCGAATGTTACTATGGGTATTTACGAAATGTGTCATGCTATACCAGCGCCTTTGAGGCCGAGATGTTTTTGTGTTTTGGTGGTTACGGGGAGTGTTGTCAAGAATAAACCCAAGAGTAAGACCAATGGTGTTGGTTCGAACGGAGTGGATGGGAAGGATACGGACGCGGATGACGATGATGGTTGTGGTGAAGATTCTTTCGTCGCGGTTACTGTCCCTGTTGATTTGACACTCACTCGTTTTGCCTCTGCCTCTGGTACTGGTTCTGGTACTGGTGCTAGTGCCCCTGGTGCTACTTTTCCTCCCAACGCATTCTACAGCTCAGGTCGCAATGTGCGTGAAGGAGTGACGCCACAACAGCGGAAGCGGGTCGTTATGGGCGTTTATGCTGCTGTTGAGATGGTTACGAGGAGGCGTGGGCGTGGACGCGGCGGGGTGGGTGTGGGTAGGGGTGGAGGCGGAGGCAAGGTTACGGGCGACGCTGAGGGTGGGAGCCAGGGTAAGAGTAAAAGTGAGGGTGAGGGTAAAAGTAAGGGTAAAAGAGAGGGTGACAGTAAGGCTGAAGGTGAGACTGTCGGTCAAATCGAATGGGTCATGGCGACGACCAGTGATGCCAAGGGCGTTTTACCCATTTGGTTGCAGAGAATGAGTGTTCCGGCTGCGGTGGCCAAGGATGTTGGCTACTTTATTAGATGGATTCGAGGGGTTGATGATTCTAGGATCAAAGAGCAGCTTGGAGGTCGAGGTTGAAGAGAACAGGGATACAGAAAAAGAGGGATCGGGATACGGCGACTGGACTGGAGATATCAAACAGAATATCTATCCTGAGTACTGTAGGAGTAACGGAAGTCAGGGTGGATTGAGGGAATGCAATACCTTGCAATGTGTACTTTTGTAATGATGCAGGTCAGACATAACCCGGTCTCTTACTAGTATTGGTTTTGTGGAGGCATGATGGAGGAGGATAGTATATCGGAGGTGTGATAGTGTGCCTCTATTATCTAAATATTCTTCGAAGGGTATGATGCGCTGCCGCCGAGCCCGAGTATGTTATCGCCAATCCATTTCCAATTCGCTTTGACGAAAAGCATGAGAGTGGCCTCCAAGAGTGTAGTGTGACAATCCAATTCAAAATACTAAGTGCAGCCCGAGTAATATAGATCATCTATGTTGCGAACATGGATGCGACCGAACAGAAACCGCCGTACCAAAGGCAAAAAATCCCACGCTATGCATTCGCGCCATTGATACCCAATTCTTCATGTTTATAAATCCTCAAGACTTGTTTGTACAGGGGTATATCTCACATCCTGAAGCTTCCAAGCACGCCGTCGGAGCCAAAGCAAAAGGCCCACGACGCCGGTCATGACGAAGACGAATCCAGCTGCGAGCGACACGATCGTGGATGACGTGAGCCTAGAGTTATTGTCAGCACAGAACCTTTTGTCTCCATAAGCAGCAAGGACTAGGAATTGACTTACCCGACCAGTTGTCCTTGTATTGTCTTTTCCTCCTCCGCCTGGGCATCCAGCGACTCGGCGGTTACGTTCATGGACACCGGAGTACCTGCTGCAGCACACGCTTGCATGTGATCAGCCGGCAGATGTTGGCCTTGTCTTTGTCGTTGTAGCTCCAGAGGGGCCTCGACCATGGTGGCGACTAGCCCTGTTTCCGCGTGCCATTCCATGTGGCAGTGGAATAGCCATACACCTAGACACAACCATTAGCAAACTCAATTCGTAACATTCAAATGTGTCTGGCTTGACTCTGTTCATCAACGTACCAGGATTGTCTGCTCGGAATCGGAGAACCGCCCCAGAACCCGCCGGGAGCACTATCGTATCCCGCCGGATTGGTGTCTGGTGGAAATCGGCCTCGCTCAGCCTGCTCGCATCGTACGCTCCTCCTCCTGGAGGAGACCGCCAGACAGCTTGGAAATGATGACCGTGCAGATGGAATGGGTGGTTGGTCATATGCCGGTTGTAAATCTCAATCTCGACGACTTGGTTGTGCTTGAGCACGAAGGCGTTGGTCGATTTGCCGTACACGTCAGGGTTGGTGGCCAGGTCGCCGCTTGTAAGTGCTGTGTAGAGTGATGGTACTTCCGGATGTCGATACCCGTTGCCGTTGAAGGTGTATCTGAAAAAAATGTTAGAAGTCGGGATACTATTGTGGCGGAATGTGCAGAGTGGTGCTGCCAAACCAGCGACGGCTGACTCACCGGAAATCCCCTGAATGGCTCATGCTCAGACTCAAGCTGATCACCTTGTCTGGTTTTGGTAAAAGTGACATCTCGTCGTATGGCTTGATCGTCATGTCATCAATGGGATGGTAGGTGCTGACCGACGCAGGTGTTGGTAGTGGTAAAGAATGATCATAGACAAGCCACCCTGTGACCTCCGAGTTGACAGCACCGGCCATCATGAACAAACTCTGAGATTGTGTTAGCCTCGCAGATTCCAGCTTGGTCGATTGGACTTTGTTTTCGGACGTACACGATCCAATGAGGCCACGATTGGGTAGTTTTTGGTACTGTCAGCCTTGGTTTTCAGAAGAAAACTGCACCGCTGTGCTGACGCAAGGTATATCATTTCCGTCTCGGTAGGCTTAGTGTAAATGCCGTCGATCTCGACAATGGTCATAGTATGGCCTTCGATCCAAACGTGTTGTCCGGCAAAGGCACCCATGTTGATCATTCTCACGAGGTACGTCTTGGCGGGCTGCACCGAGACTTCCGTATTGTGCGTGTCGTTGAGTAGGTTTGCGTCTGGCACAGGCTCCATCGTCATCATACCACCACCCACGTACTTGGGAATTAATTCCGTCATTTGTTGGTGGTACCAGTCAGATACGGTGAGCACTAGCTCTTCGTCGAATTGACCCTTGTATGGATTTGAAGGGTCATGGATGATGAGAGGTCCACGCAGTCCGTCCGGGTACTGTGCCTTGGTGTGAGAATGATACCAGTAGGTCCCTACTTGTTCGGCCTGGTCAAATTGCAGAGGGTTAGTGGAGGTAATTTGGTGCCATTCCAATGGCATTTCCGCACCTTGAATGTGTAGGTGAACGAGGCTCCAGGGCTGACGGAACATTGAGAGACTTGAGCGGGTCCGTCCATATGGGTGGTGCCGTTCATGTACAAGCCGTGGAAATGTAACGAGGTTGATTGATTTCCTAGCGAATTCAGAACATTGACCACAATCGTATCTCCCAGGTCAGCGTTGATCGTAGGCGGTGGCCATTGGCCGTTGATGCCAATGGTAGGCCTTGTGAAAAGGCCATCTGGATTGGACGGCACCCAGGTGATGTTGAAGTCGTAGGTGACCGTCTTAGCATTCGTCCATTGCAAGATGTTGAAGAGTGATATCGTGAAGAACGACCACAACAAGGGAACACGCATGATCGACGTTGACATGGATATCCATGGGGAGGGCGTTCTTGCATCTAGCACACGTGGAGATTCTTATGAATGAACAACAGATTGTATTGCTCGGATTGCCCGTAGTGGTCTGTCAGGAGATATGGCTGGAATCATGTATACAGGACCATCCACGAGTCATGGCCAATGGCATGCCGTGAAAACTTGCTCAGGGGATCCGCATCATCCAGTCCAGAGCCTTGAACACCGTGACAATGCTTCGTCGGAGGATTATTGCTGGCATGACTGGGCAGAAGTGTCCGAAGCCTCGGGTTCTTGGTTTGTCAAAAATAATGTGGTCCCCGATTCACCGAATAGGAGATGCATCAATGAGTCTGTCACTACAGCCTGCAGTAGGCAGAGACCCGACACGAGAGATGGTAGATACCGCTCAGCCATGCTAGACGAGAGCATCTGCGCACTGATGAGGTTCACTCCTCAATCATCATGACCTACCGAAACTCACACATCTTTGAGCATTTCCTTTGGCAGGAGAGGTGCAGTGACGAAGAGGACATTGGCCTTGACATGAGGGCACTTGTCGGCGACATAACTTGTCAGGATTTCCAGGGGATCTTAAGCAAAGGCACCAGCTGATGTTTCGAAAATTGCAGTGTCTTAAAAGCCAGCGGTGTAGTCAACCCACTACCAGCCATTTCAGCCGCACATGTACATTGTGCTTTTCAAGTTCGTAGATTGATGCAAGACGAAGGAAGAACGAAAAAATGCTGACTAATCTTCCTCATCCGAGTCACGTGGTAAGCCGATGAGCTCGTCCCAATACGGTTAGTCGGTGTAATAGCCAACTGGAACTTTGAACAGCAACAATCACGACAACTTGAACCACAATGCAAGAGACAAAGATGCCGCCTGCAATAACGATGCACAGCTCCCATGCTAGACAAAGCCGATGCTCTGTTCCACGCCGACAGAGATTTCTAGTGCGGACCATAAAGAAAGACAATATTACAGGAATCATGAAATGACATAGTGGAGTATCTCGACTTCATCCCTCATTTCTCCAAATGATGAGTTGCTTTCACCCACCCACTGCATTTACCCCAACTTGAATCTCAATGCCGTTCCGATGCCACCACAGTTTGCGTCAGGAACTGAATGATGGGGTGGGAAACTCATTTCTCGAATCTGTTTCGGAAGGCGTTCGTAGCGTTCCAGAAAACCGAGCTGGATCTTTTTTCGTATATTCTGCATCGCTGACCACACTAGCTTGGTCCTCACAAGACTGGCCCACTGGCTGACGACCGATTCTTCTAATGTTCACCAGAATCACTGATCCCTTTTAAGCATACAGTATACTTCTGTACAGCCGATCAATACCACCTACGACGCGAAGGGGCACAAGGCACGGCGATTGTCATCTCACCACCTAAAAGGCAACGCAGCCTAAACTCCTGCCGCAGGGTCAGTTCTGTCGATATGGATTTATCAAAAGTCTCGGGGATTGGCTTCATCGGTCTAGGGGCCATGGGCCTCCCCATGGCCGGTCACCTCGCAGCCAAACTGCCTGAAGATATTCAACTGTTTGTGTACGACATCAATCAAGCCAGCGTGGACCAATTACACAAAGACTATCCAAAGAGAGTGGTCGAATGCTCGAGCGCAAGGGATGTCGCAGACAAGTCGGTACGAGTACCCTCGTGCCCAAATTCATCTCCTGTTGTTATGCTAGAGAGGTGCAGTCTGAGATGGACTATTCCTTCAATCTCTTGTTCTCGAGCTTGAAGCTGACTCTCTCACACAGGACATCATCATCACGATGCTTCCCGAAGGCAAACACGTGCGTTCGGTATACATGGGCGACGGCGACAGCGAAGCCGACTCGAAATCAATATGCGCAAGCGACGTCACAGGCAAACTGCTGCTCGACTGCTCGACCATCGACACGGCCAGCAGCCTAGCGGTGAAAGACTACATCCGCAACAAATTCCCAGCCAGCACATCCTTCTACGACGCGCCCGTCAGCGGCGGCGTGGTGGGCGCCCAAAAGGGCACGATTGCATTCTTTCTAGGCTGTGACGGCAGTGACCCCAACCTGCCGTTTCTGACGGAACTGCTGAAGCTCATGGGCAAAGATGTGATTCCCTGTGGTGGGCCTTCAAAAGGACTGGCGGCGAAACTGTCCAACAACTACTTATCCGGCATCATTGCCATTGCTGTATCGGAGGCAATGGACATGGGAATGAGATCTGGGTTGGACCCGCGGGTCCTGGCTAAAGTGTATGCGGCGGGCACGGCGCAAAACACCATCTGCGACAGATTCTGTCCCGTCCCCGGCGTGTATCCGGAAGCACCGTCCTCTAAGGGCTATACCAATGGGTTCAGGGTGCAGTTGATGCGTAAGGATTTCTCGCTGGCGCTGGAAATGGCGAATCGGGTTGGTGCGAAGAATGTCCTGGGCGAGGCGGGCTTGGCCACTTACGACGGTGCCAGCAATGATCCCCGGTGTCGAGATCTGGACTCTCGGGTTGTGTTTCGGTATCTGGGCGGGAATGAGGATTGGCAGAAGGATGCGGATGATGCGACGGCGAATACACAGACGTGAGGAGACAAACAGAGATGAACGAGTACAGTATATATACGGGGGATTGGCTATCGATGAGTACCACAATCATCCCACCATATACTATATAATATATATACTCTTTGCGCGCTGCTGGGTGTCTACCTTTTGGTGAAGGACAGCCGATTGCGTAAGGTATTCCAACTCGCTTTCGATCTAGTTGTCGTATGCTACTGTACCTGCTAGGTACAGTATCTACACATCGTTTCTCATCCGCCTCGCCTCGCCCCTGCAGTGTCCTTGTCTCTCTCCTTCATGGACGAACAGCTCATCCACCGCATTTCAACTTGACCTCCCTTATCGTTATCGTCAGTCCCACCAACAAATTGGAGAAGAAGCAAGACCCAGATTTTGTCAACCTGCAAGTTGGAGAAAAAGGGGGTCCAGCGGTGGTTTTATTCCGAGAGCGGAGACCCAACCCACACCCCGTCTGGAGATACTGTACTGTGTACCGAACATCGTCCTGCTACAGTAGTGTAAGGTACTCGGTGTAGTAGTAGGAGAGGGAGGGGCCGAGGGGTAAATTGCCGCCCTCCAGACATATTACCCTTGGGTATAAGCCAGTGGACCGATGAAATAATTAAATCATACCTATCTAAGGTATACGCCCTTTCCAACCACCTACCGACTCTAGAACCGTACATACTTCTCCCGGCCACAGAGGACCAGGACCAGACCAGCCATACTACTGTTCCACATACGACAGTCTAGAGACCACCTTACATTGAACGAGGGCCGGACACCAACCCAAGTTAAACAATCTAATCCAAACCGGACATTTGATCTCTTAAAATGTCCTCATCCGGTGACCAACCCAAAATAACATCCTCGACCGACCCATCCCTCCGCCCCCTGCACAACGCCCTCTTCGACGCGGGCCTCGCCACCCGGCGCGCCGTCGTCGGCGACGTCTACGTCGACCGCGCCCTGGCCAACGGATCCACCGAATTCTCCCGCCCCGGCCAAGAACTCGTGACCGAATGGTGCTGGGGATACGCATGGACACGACCGGGGCTGGCGCGCCGTGATCGATCTTTGCTCAATATTGGAATGTTGATGGCGTTGAATCGTGGACCGGAATTGGCAGTGCATGTGCGCGGAGCGAGGAGGAATGGACTTTCGGAAACAGAAATTCGTGAGGCGATTTTGCATGCGACGACGTATTGTGGGGTGCCGGCGGGCGTGGATGCCATGAAGATTGCGGAGAGGGTGTTGGATGAGATGGCGCAGGCTGGGGAGATGGAGAGGGAGTTGGGGGGGAAGAGTCAGGATGCTTAAAACAGCACAGAGAAACCCCTGGGGACAACTGACATTGGGATCTCTATACTATCAGTAGAACTTGTGATCTGATCTGATCAGGCAGTATCAATACGTGCAACTGGTACACTCGCTTTTGATCATCTCTCTTTTTGCATGCATACTAGGTACACACCCGGGCCGGCGAAGTGAGGACCTCAATAGGTGGTGTGTCACAGCCTCTGCTGGCAGCATTCTTCTGGTTCATATGTGTCTATACAGCATCCGCATCGGAAATCTGCTTGTTGATCTCCACTTGCTTCGCCTCCTTGCTATCTTCCGTACTCTCAGACTGGGCCTTTGCTCGCTGGAAATCGACCGATGTGGCCGCCGTGGTCGCCTTGGCCCTCAACGCTGCCCGGATTTCAGGCACCGTCCGTGTGTTCCAACTGTGGTAGTCGCTCATGCTCAACGGAAACAGCACCTTGTTTTCGGCGGTCGACACAAACGACTCGGCCTTGGGGGCCGGCATGCTCGTCAGAGCGTCAATGTCACTGGCCAGTTCGCGGCAATAACTGTCCAATGGTAAATCATTGACGTCGTTGCCGAACGGGTTTTCAATCTCATAGCCAATTGCCGCCAGTCCAAGGATAATGTACGCCGCCAACACCGTGCCGAAAATCGACACCCAGCCCAGCGAGTTGTACAGTTGAAACGGCAGGACGAGGATGTACACCCATGTGATCTGGGAGATGGAGATCGAGTACGCAATTGGTACAGGCGTGGTCAGGATGCGTTCGGTGCCGGTAAGGACATCGGCCAGAGCAGTAATGTTGTTCATGGCGTGAGTTTGATGCACCGGCATCTTCAGCTGGCCATTTTCCATCACCTCGTCCATATATGCGGAGAGATAGGTCAGGATCTCCAGTGGGAGGTTGCCGAGATTGTCGCGCGATCTCTTGATCAGCTTCCGCGGGTTAGACTCGGCAAAAGAGATGCCCAGGTATTCCCCGACTGCTTTCCAGCGACTGTACTGCTTCGGCTTCAAGGGCGTCTGGTCGGCCTGGCTGGCCAAAGTCTGTAGGTGTCCAATCAACGGTTGGAGATCAGGATAATCCACAGCTGGCTCGAACCGAAGACGATGTTTTAGTGCCACTGCAAACGCGTTGATGAGGTTCAACGCTGTGAGTTTGGCCAGAAGGTCGGCCTTTCCCTGCTCTTCGCTGATGTCGTGTCGTTCCGAGGTATGAACCCAGATCAGCCGCGCTAGATTCCGCGACGTCACCACAAGCTGTGCCCAGTATCTTCTTCCTTCACTATATCTTTCATAGGCGGTGGTGGAGCGGAAGGATAGTGCCAGACCGACCACGAAACCCGTGATGGTCAGCAGGACCGAATTAATGCCTAGCACATAAACGAATTTCGATATGCATGTGATGGCCGTGGCCCAGGCGGCGACAAAAGTGAGAGGCAGTATCATCTTAGGTAGCACGCTGCCATGTAGACGAAGGAAGTAGGGCCATTTTGAATGATGGTTCATGTCCCGTGGGCCGACAAAATAGTCGTCGAGATCGATCGAAGTGCGAGTGGGCGCTCGAAGGGCGATGGGGGTGAACTTTGGATTGCGGCCCGGAGAGGGCAAGTTGCTGTTTTTGGAGCCATCCGATGAAGCAAAATCCGTCACGGCTAGGTTGAGATCCTTGCTCTTGTCCATATCGCAGGGCAACAAGGCGTGGAATTGGTAAGGCCTGAGGTTAGCACGTTGAGCGACACCGGTTGTGTCACTATCAATATGGCCAATACTGGACAACAGGTGCAAAGGAAAAAGAGAAGAAAAATGCACAAAAAGCAGTGAAGAGAGCACAGAGAAGACAAACAGTGAAGAAACAATATATCAAGTAGTGAATTTTGTAGAATTGTCACCACAAAGGTTCAGCTTAGGGGTTGTCATCCCCAGCTTACATCAGGTAATAGGAGTCCATGCTGATGCTGACCGTCCCGCAGGATGCAAGGATGTTCAGAGCCGCTTGACGGGTATCTGGCCAAGATCTGGAATAGATGCCATCCGGGGCTGAAACGAGTCAAGAATCTCACCTTACTATTACCTCTGATCGAGAGGTTGTTGGTTGATGATGGCAGAGCAGATGAAACAAGGAGTCAAGGAGTTGCAGGGAGCCTGTGCAGGGCAAATCTTGCGAGAAGTGTCCACATCTCAGTCCATGGCTTGACCGTTGCGCCGCTGGCTGCAACCAGCCAGTAGTAGAGCCCAATAACCTCTTAAAGCTCGACGGTGGAAAGTCTTCGACCGCCTGGACTCCTTGGTTGTGGGACTGTGTCGGGGGCACGCGACCGCCTAGAGCTGGAGGCATCCAATTAACCCACGCCCGGAACGGGAAGCCTGTCGAAGCCTGGCTGCCGTGGTTAGCAGCTAAAGCTTTGACCCCAGTCCACTCTTGGTTCCAGCCTCAGCACCAATAATAATGGCTCGTATATTCTGCGGTGAGGCTTTGCCAGAATGTGCTCCCCGGGCTTCAGAGGAAGTGCAACAGTTCGAAAGAGCCATCTTCCAATTCTGTTCGTCGGTGTACTTGTGCCAGGCACCTTGCTGATGGAGTGGATTATGTTTGCACATCACCATGCTTTCTCTTCGTTTCGTTCCCAGAATCTGCAGCCAGCCAGGGGGTTATGCTGGGCGATAGAGCCGTACACTGCAGTGGTTATAAACCCCCTTTTCACCTGGTGATGGTCTCTTGCTTCCTCCTCCAATGCTCGTTGCCGATGATGGCACGCATTCCAGACGGCGGCGTCACCCTCTTACCGGTGACGGCGTAGAGCGTGTGGCCGGCTGTAGACACTGTCTGCAGGGAATGTTTCAAACATGGAAGCGAGCTGAAGGGGAACAATAGATTGGCTTCCAGACTCTAACCCTGCCCGGTTTCCTCACCACAGAGCAGTCCGCAGAAGATTCTTCTGTGTGACATGATAGATCCCATGCGTCGGGTCGAAGGCTACACCTTGCATACCCAACCAATACCACACACACCTAATATCTGTACCAGTTCCAGGTATATTTGTTACTCCTGCAGTAGTGACTTGGTCTGCCGGATGGACTGAAATTTCCACATTCAAGTTGCAGCCAGCCACATTTGCTGCGGGCAGAAAGGAGTCTGCCAGTGATAGTGGCGCTGTTGTGCCCGAGGGCGCAATTCCACATTTTCCTGGCACCCAGAACCCGAATTACTGGCAGGTCCGGCGAGTTTGGGTGCGGGACAAAATGAACGCATTCCTCCCGCCAGCGCGGACGCCACTCACACTCTGATGACTGCACTTGTTCTATTTTTGATCCCGCGGTACCATTCTCTAGCACTCCTACTTCTTCAATCTGAGATACACAATACCCGTTAGTCAGCAGCTGAAGGGCTTGCTGTCTCCCTTGTTCTCCCGTTGCAACGCCTGTCGCCATGTTGGCCGCCGTCAAACGGTCTGTCTGCTTTCGTCGTTGACCTGACAGCGCAGCAAACTCTTTATAGCCAGTCTCCGCCCGCCTTCAAAAGTCCCTTTCCAGACGCGAAAATGTCGCCCGTGCTGCCTGCCCGCAGCCTCGCCTACATTCTAGTCGCTCTATGTGTGACTGCGATCCTCTTTTTCGCCCCCTATCGGCTGCCATCTCTTCAAGAGCAGGATATCCCGGATGTCCAGGATGTCTTGGACTTGCCGAACGAGTCGGACCTCGCTTCTCCCACGAAACCAGTGCAATCAACAACAACCGCCGTATCCGCAGACCGCACGAAGCCTTCAAGTTCCATATACCAAGTGCAGAATGAAACCCTGGGGTTCCAAGAAGTTTACCTAATATCTTTGCCGGCGCGCACAGATAAAAGAGATGCCTTTGCTGTACAAGCCGCCTTTACCGAAATGAAATACACCCAAATGGATGGAGTAGATGGTCATCTGGTCCCGGAAAAGGCCCTTCCATACGTATGTCTCCTGAAGTACACATTATGACAGACGACACCAACTAACAACTCCCCTAGACTATGGACCAAAGCCCTGCCGCTATCGGCTGTTGGCGTGCGCACCTCGATGTGATCCAAAAGATTGTCCGTGAAAAGGTCGCAACGGCGTTAATTTTCGAAGATGATGCGGACTGGGATGTTTCTTTGAAATCACAGCTGGTACAATTCGCCAGAGGCTCCCGATACATCACGAAGACTCCAGAGCACAGCACACCCATTTCTCCCTACGGCGACGATTGGGACATGCTTTGGATCGGCCATTGTGGGGCCTGGGTTCACCCTGACGACAACAAGCGATTTTTTGTGATTCCAGACGATCCTAGCGTTGAACCTCCGCAATACCGCCGCAATGTTGGTGCCCCCGATATGTCTCACTGGGAATCAGGTCCGAATGGCGACGAGCGAACCAGGATTGTCTTTCGCTCTGAAGGGGCAGTTTGTACCGCCGGCTACGCCATCTCTCAACGGGGCGCCCGTAAGGCACTCTACTATATGAGCATGGAGCCATACAATGCCCCAATCGATTGGGGCTTCGCGGATCTTTGCAAGAACAGCAAGTACAACTTTACTTGTATTGCTCCGTTTCCTCAGCTGGTCGGCGTATCTCGACCCACCTCAAACACCTCTAAGTGGAGCGATATCGGTTACGGCAACGACGCCGAAAGAGCCGTCGAGCCTGCTAATGCCCAGCATTTGGTCTATTCGACGCGGCTCAACATTGCCAATTTTCTTGCAGGTAAAACGGTGTTTGACAGTCAGTATCCAGATGCCACTCCGCCACAACTGGATATCAAAGAGATTGGAGGAGCCGTGGGTCATGTCGAAGAGCTAGACTGAAATCCCACTTGCACAGTCAGAGTTGACTGAACAGGGCCAATCCGGCACGGATGTATGTGCACAACATGGTGTGCTCCACGACGATTGAGGGTATAGTCGTACTCTTGGACGCAATGTTGGGACGTCGGAGTCGGTGATGCTAAATTGAACAGCCCTTAAGCCGCTGAACCGTTGCACTAGTCCTGCGCCCAGCGAGTCAGCGCGCGCAGGATATGGAGACACACCACCCCAGCTGAAGCTGAGACAAATTCTGGGCGATCATCTCACGATGGTCGGAATTGGAGCAGCAACCTGGTGTTACAACCGGGATTGAATCTGGAACATCCCTTCAGGCCGGACCAATGCTACTCCGTGCCAGGGCCATGGTCGCGTTCCTAGTATATGTCTACCAGCCGCGAGCAGTGATGCCGCCGGCCATTTGCTGACGCTGTCTTCCGGCACATGATGATGTTCTGGAGAAGGAGTATATTATACCTGGTACAAAGGCGATATTTGATACGATATGGTATCACAGGGTACGATTTGCGAGATGACATGAGCGGTATTGCGTCGGGGACAGGTCAATGGCAAGTGATACCCACCACAAGGTCTGGAAGACAGGATTTTTTGAGAGAATTAATGGTCTCACGATCTTATACACCTACTTTCGAAATCTCGTTATGTGGCTGCGTGATACCGGTCATTTGGGAGTGACAAATTACGAACCAGTGAGACACCGGGGGACCACGGCGGTGGAAACATGCCGTGAAAGGCACCTCTATCCCGTCCGCTGTGAGCCTCCATGTTTCCGACAAAATGTGGTGGAACGCTGCGTTTGGTCCTTTACATTGGGCCAGGCACTGTTGCTACTGATGCTGTCAATGAGCGACTCAATCGAGTCGGTCGGGCTGTATGTAGTAACTTAACCAAGTTAGGTGTTCTATGACGCCGGTTGAAGTAGCCGGTTAAGGTGGCACAATATAACTTGGAACAAGAAGCAGCTCCTTCAAGTTCTGTCTCTGTAATGCTGTATCTGTCTGGCAGTAGTCGCGCATCTGTCGACTTGATCGATCATCTGGCTTGCCTGCGGCTCAAATGTGCTCTGGGAATGGCATGACAATAGGCTCCCGGCCACTGCTGATCACATCCTGAAGCATTTCAAGCCGATCTTGGCCCCAGAAGGGCTCATCTCGATAAGAGTAGACAGGAGCGCCGAAATACTGTCTCGACACGGCCTCCTGTGTCAGGTCTGCTTCCTTGTCGGCCAACTGCCTCTCTTCCACCGCTCTTCGCAACAGTCGCGGCCCATCGAGTCCCGATGCATCTGCCACACGGACGATAGTCTCCGGGTCGGCGATGTCGGACTCATCTGCCCAGACCGTCTTCAGGCCGTTCAAGGCGAACTCGTGTACTTGGCGACTGTCATGACCAATCTCATCGATGCCAGCCAACAGCACTCTATGCGCAAGCGATGGGTTGGCCGGATAAAATTTCGGGTGCGGCACGATCGGTATGTCGCGTATCCTTCGCCATCGCTCCATTTCTAGAAGACGGTATGTCTGCCGCTGAATGGGCCGTTCTTTGACTGGGAGACCGCCAGAGATGGAGAAAATGTGCATCAGGTCCACGGGTTTGTAGATGATTTTTGCATCAAACTCTTGGGCAAGCCGCTCAAGTCGCCGGCTCCCGATATATGACCATAGCGAGATGAAGGAGAAGTAATATTCAATCACTGGCACTCGGGGACCGGCCATCGCTGCAAATCTTCAGCAGAAGTGCAAGACGTTAGGGGATCAGCAGAGATCTAAAGCACGTGGCGCTTCCTTTTACAACAATCTCCAACAATGCTTTCTGCACCGTGTGGTCCCCATGTGTATTTTCGACGACACTGGGTTGTGGAACGATCGGAATACTCGTTTGAGCATATGTTGCTCGACACCGCGTTGACGCGATGGCGCAATGCGCTACTCGATCACGTTTCTCCCTCTGTGGACATCTAGAGCAATTGTTCTCGTTGCGTTTGAGTTCGGCCAAGAAGCTTTTCAATTGTCCATGTGGACTTCTGTCCCATACCTGTGGGACGCAGAGGCAATAACCTGGTAGTTGGAATGCTGCAACTTCGGGATAGTGGAGATGCGACCTGTTTGGCGGTATCAATCAGGTCTTTATGGGACCATGCTGACAACGCTATAGATTGCGTGATTGTAGGAGATTATTGAGAATCACCAATATTTTGTCTGATGCCTTGCCTTTCTAGCTAACCAGCACTATGCTAAAAGGAGGCTATGGGCTCTGATATTCGACATGTTGTGTTTCCAAAGAGTCGCACTTTTTCGCTAATCGTACCGGTCCTCCAAGCGAATATCAGGACTCACCGGAATTATGCCGGAGAAATCAGAACTATTCGTTCCAGAGACCCTGCCTGTACAGGCGGCTGACGAGCAATATTCGATTGGTGACGACGACATCAAGAAACTGGAAAGGCGACTCGTATGGAAGCTTGACACCAGGTAAGTGAAGTCCCGCGGGCTGTGTTCCAACATATGCGGACGGTCGATTCTCCATGAAGGTTGCGACGACCCAGGATACTCCAGCTTCGGTCAATCGACACTGCCCTTGCATCTCTTCCACATCTGAAAACCTTGGGTTTTGGTATACCTTCGTCAATCGCGACATATTAAGGGGCGGTGCTGACACTGGTCTCTCAAAGAATCCTCCCACCTTTAGCACTTCTATACCTGGCCAACTTCGTTGACCGATCAAATGTCGGAAATGCCAAAATCTTGGGCCTCGCAACAGACCTCAACCTCAACAACCACCAATATGCCGTTGCACTCAGCATCTTTTTCGTCTTCTATGTCGTCTCGGAGCTTCCTTCCAACCTGGTGCTCAAGAGGATGACGCCAAAATTCTGGCTTCCTTTCTTGGTCTTTGTGACAGGCATCATCGTCATGTGCATTGGGTTTGTCAAGACGTATGGTCAATTCGTTGCAGTCCGCGCACTGCTGGGTACCTTTGAAGGAGGTCTCTACCCCGGTTCGCTTCTGCTTCTGTCGACCATGTACACGCGAGAAGAACTGGCCCTGCGCGTCGGTATCTTCTACTCGAGCGCTTCGCTATCCGGGGCATTTGGGGGCCTTCTTGCCCGAGGGCTGTCGGCCATCCCAGCCACATCCACCGTGCATGGCAGTTGGCGATGGGTATGTACCTACCGGTTACTTTCCCTCGGATTTGCGCAGTCGCTGACCCGAGTTTAGATCTTCATTATCGAGGGCCTCATCACATGTGTGGTTGCCGTCGGAGCATACTTTGTGCTCCCCAACTCTGTGGAGACGGCGTATTTCCTGTCTCCTGAGGAAAGAAAACTGGCCAGAGCACGGTTGGAAACATCGCATCAGACATCGATACTGTCAACCGAACCCGAGAAGTTTCGGTGGTCTGAAGTGCGTCGAGGCATCCTGTCGCTTCAGCTTTTCTTCTCGGGCACGGTCTATTTCTCCATCTGCTGCGCCCTGTTCTCGTTCAGTCTATTCTTGCCTTCGATCGTCCAGTCACTCGGATACACGGCGAACGAGGCTCAGTTACTGTCGGTGCCACCGTATGCGCTGGCCTCGATCGTCGGCGTCTGCGTGGCTTTTGTTTCTGATCGTCTGCGGGTACGCGGGATGCTCATCCTGTTCACGCTGCCGCTCGCCATTATCGGATACGCCTTGATAGCACGGGTCGATAGCAATGTGACCAAATACGGCCTCACCTTCCTGATGGCGTCGGGGGTATATGGTTCAGTCCCGCCACTGTTGGTCTGGATCCTCAACAACAGTGCCGGCCACTACAAGAGGGCAACCGCCGGTGCCTTGCAAGTGTGCACTGCGAACATGGGAGGCATCGTCGCCGCGTTTCTCTACCCGAACAACGAGAAGCCATATTACGTGAAGAGCCACCACATCGTGCTGGGAGTTTTGTGTTACGCATGGCTAGGGTGAGTTGCTTGCTTTTTTCGATCAGTTGAAAACCATACTAACAAATTGGCAGTGTATTGCTCAATGTCCTCCATATCCGCAAGATCAACCGGGATAAAGCCAACGGGAAATACGACCAGTATATCGGGTACGGCGATGACCGTGAGCCGTCGTTCAAGCTTGTATTGTAGATGATACTGTTTATCATCGGCACCGGGAGCCTTGATATTCAGTACTGTAACTGAAACACGAAGGGTAAATACAGCACCGACCAGTAAGACGGGAAATTTAGCTTGAAGTTGAGGCTGGCCCCAGCCCAGTCAGCCTACAATTAAGTACATGTACAGTTGTGTAAAAGCAGCACCAGATCATGTAGAACCAGCAGGCGAGCTTCAAGTTTGATCAGAGATTCAATCTCCACGTCGGAACTTTCTCTCCTGAATGGAACGATCCGCGCGTTTGAGATGGCTGCAATCCGTGCTGATGATTCGCCGACGATTTGGTATCGGGCCAGGAGCGGCCAGGAAGAGGGATGAAAGCTGTCAGAAAACGCTGGTGCAGCGGGGACAAGCCTATCTACCGTCTTTTATCGCCAGATACGCCGTGCGCTATGCAAGGCTATCGCCCTTTTATCACGGAGGCTTCGGGAACTTACAGAAGGCTGTTGGCGATTGGGTATAGAGCACCTCAGGAGCCACAAGGAACCACTTTGATCGGTTCTAAGCTGGATCGGACGCGGTCGCCATCGTCAATCAATTTGAGATTAAAGCCAGCTGCAGCCACACAAAACACACTCTGGGAGGCCTTTTTTCCGCCAACGTTTTGATGCTGTGAGTCTGTGCGTAACCCATCATCCTGGCCAGTGCTGTCTCGGGCTCCTGAGCACGCCAGATTCAGCATTCGCAGCTGTCAAAGAACCAACCATGGGTGGGCTGCCCGTGTCAGTGTGACAGGACACTACAAGGTATGTATTTACTGTAGGTATTATATGGTCGCCCTTGCTGCCCCCTTCCGAGTCTGGCACGGTGTCGATGGCCGCGCCTGCCAGTGCGTCTTCTGCTCTTCTTGCTCTTCTGCCTGCTACTAATTCCAGTGGACGCCACTCACTGCGCTTTGCATCCCACCATCAATGTCCTCACGGGTCGCTCTTTTGTGCCTTTCGTTTCTGTCCCTCCTTCATTTGTGAGTCGTTTCTGATACTTGACTGCGCGGCGTGCCCTGTGCGTCGTCTGCTTCGTCCATTCTTTCGGTCGAGCCATGGATTCTCCCACGTGGTCGCGAAATATCAACCCGTTACACCAACTATACGGGACGCGCCGGACGGTGCGATGGGTCGTCTTCCTGGTGCTCGCGGCCCTGGCGACCCTCTACATTACTGGCCAGAGCTATACGCCGTTGGTGTCGACTACTACAGCCTTCAGACCGTCAAAGAATCGAGCCAAGTACCTGAGCCCAGAGAAGCTGATGGAGCGACCGATATCCAAAGACCTACAAACGATACCCAGATTATTCCACCAGAGCTGGTCTGCGATCAAATTACCCGCCAAGTTTGAGCGCTGGAGTGACAGTTGTCGGCGAGCACATCCCAATTGGGAGTGGGTGCTGTGGACGGACGAGGACAATGAAAATCTGGTCAAGAAACATTTCCCGTGGTTATTGCAGACTTATCAAGATCTCCCGGGAGCCATCTACAAAGCCGATCTGGCGAGGAACTTGTATATGTACATGTACGGAGGGTAAGATATTGGTCCATTCCAGCAGCTGTGACCCCAAGAGAGACTAAGACGTCGTGTAGCGTTTATGCCGACCTTGATGTCGAATGTCTACGACCCTCGGACGAGATTTTCAACGAATACAACGTGTCCACCGTCTCGCATTCCCAACCGCGACCGGTCTCTACGCACGATTTGCAAAAGAGTGGTCGAAAGGCTTTTTTCGGCCGGATGGGCACTGACATCAATGAGGCCAACTCGATCCCCAACGCGTGGATGGCCTCGACGCCCGGACACCCCTTCTTTCTTCTTGTGATTGAAAACGTGGTCAAGGGTCTTCAAGACGGATCAAGGAATGGGCAAGCGCCTGAATCGGTCACTGGACCTGCCAGGCTGTTTGAAATGGTCAACGAGTACCACATTGCGGAAGGCTTGTACGCGGGCGAGAAGCTGGACCAGCATGTGGCTAAGAACCCGACTGCCAAACACTTTACTCCTCGCAAAGGCTTGAAACACTCGGTCGAAGTGCTTCCATTCTACTATATCTATCCCTATTCCTGGCTCAGGGATGGCGAAGCTTTTCGTGATGTTTGCTGGGTGTCCAGGGTTACCTTTGATGCTGAGACATGCAAACTGCTCCTGGCCACCGACCGTTGGCCCAGCTACACCATCACTTACTGGAGTCATTCTTGGGCTGAGTCTGGCCATGATGAAGGAAGCCTGCGCCGGCTGGAAGACGATTAATGAATTTCTATTCTGATTTGCTGGTCAAGGAGTTTTGATCCAAAGGAGCGGATGTCTTTTTTATTTCCTGTAGGCATCGAACGTGGTTTTCAGTGGTCTGGCGCTATATCTCGGGGATGAAAGAAAAGGTTCGGGATGGCTGACAAAAATTGGGGGAATTCTGGTAGAAGATGGGCGGACGCCATCTACTCAGAGTATGAGATAGGCCTGACCATGATCATTCGCTCGACAATCGAATGTCAACCAAGATGTGGCTAGCAGCGAACAGTTCAGATTAAACCACGAATCTTGTTAAGTTTGCTACTTGCTTGCCTCGGTTCGGATATGCAGTAACTGGATACCTACCTAAGTAGCCCTGGTCGGGAACTGTACAATGTAGTGTAGCCATTTCTTTTTCGTTCAAACCCACGAGAACGGTGAGTGAGGTGGAAGGGAGAGTTTAATAAACTAAACCCCTTTCTGTCGTTGCTGGTCGAATCGAGTCGAGACCGCACAAGGCTGACATTAGCGGCTCGTCTAAAACTCGCACCAACTCGAACGGCTTCACCTGAAAAAGATAGGCATCCAGCTACTGTGGCTGCTGCTGCTGCTGCTGCCGCCCAACAGCTCCACCCCCAGCTGTTCATCGAGGGCGCCACGGCGGCGAGTTCGTGTGAGAGGGCGGGCTGGTCGTGCCATCTTTGACAGAACGGGTGAGGCGAGAACGGGTGCTCTGCTCTGCTTTGTCGCTTGCTGGCCTATACTATGCCATTTGCAGAAGGCCCTGGGTTACGATTCTGGTCTGAGGACCTCTGTGTTCTGTCAGCTCAAGGGCTGGTCTCTATCGAGCGTGGCGCTTCCCGCTTTCCACTTCCCGTCCGGCCGACAGTGCTTCGCATGCATCATTCAACTCGTGCACGGCAGTAGTGGTGCGAGTGTGTGACCGCGTTCGCGACGCGCGCCCTGCGAACCTCATCCCCGGTCGAGGCTAGCCTGGAGTTCAGCCCTTTTGCTGTCAAAAAGACGGGCTGTTCGCCCAACTCGACCGTTGGCCGTCCCGCGGTCGGTGGCTTGCTGAAAGCCTCTGCCTCGACTTCACCGCCGCCGGCGTTCTAGATCAGAGGTTTGACTGTTCTGTTCGCTAATCATTTTACCAACACATGTCGCTTGCGTACAGGGGTGCGTTAGCAGAGGCTGAACCATCCATCAAGCCCTGATGGTGCGAGTCCTTCACAATGCGAAAAGACAGCATGATGGGACTGGTTAGCGCAGAGTTGCGCGACGCAAGGTCAGTAGAGTTTGACACAGGTGAGTTCGAGGGTGAATGGGAAACGAAAATGTACTTATAATAAGACTGGTGGGTATTGTGGTCGCATCGCTGTTGTATCTGCTTCTTCTTTTCTCTTCTCCGGATTCGGAACTGTTTCTCGTTTCAGCTCTTTTCTTGCTTCCTTGGTGTGAGGCCCTGAGGGAAACCGTTGGACTGAAAAAGAGCAAAATAGTCCTCAGCACGGTTTTTGGTCCTTGCCATAGTCACTCTCCCTACATGGTTATCGTGAATATGGCCACCAAAGACGCCATCGTCACGGTCCACGAAGCCGGAGACGATATAACCCCACTGAAAGAGAAACAGTTCATCATGTCGTCTGGCACCAGCACGGCCACGACCGGTTTTGAGGCGCAGGCCAACATCACCGCCGCCGGCGATGCTACTGCTACCCGACCTCCACTCCGAGTCGCTCATCAAGCCAGTGATCTGTCCGCTGGGCACGGGTTCGGCAACGACAGAAGCCTAACCAGCCTAGGCCTCAAATGGCAAAGACTGCGAAGGAACGTACTCATTCGATACACCATCTACATTGTGCCGGTGGCCATATTGTTGGCCATCCCCATCATCCTATTCGCGACAGTATACAAAGGACGAAAAATAGTAACCAGCTTCACCGACACGAGTCTTACACCAGTGTACACGTCCAACATCACCTCTGTGGACGGAACAACCACCAGCAACATCACATCCATCTACAACAACACAGCCGCGACGATCTATCAGCAAAGCCAGACCACCGTGACAGGCGGCATCCACTACTTGGGGCTGTTCATCTGGATCGAAGTCGTCTGGGTATTGTTGTGGGTAGCCAAACTGCTCGCCCAGCTTGTGCCCGTGGCATTCCAGAGCATCGCGGGGGCAATCCACACAGGGATACGCAAGTACCGGATCATTTTACAAGCAGTGGAAATCCCACTGTCATTATTCTTCTGGGCGATCCTGGCAATCTCATCCTTTTCCATCATCTACACATTCGACCGGTCGTTCCACTCTGCGCATGCCGGCAAGATCCACTGGCTGAGCGTGCTGCACAAGGTCAACAAAGCGACCATCGGCGTGACGGCTTTGTATCTGGTGGAAAAAGTGTTGATTCAAATGGTCAGCGTCAATTACCACGGAAAGCAGTTTTATGATCATATCAAAGAACTCAAGACTCTCAGTCGGGCCCTCGAGACCATGTACGATGTCTCCCGGCGTCGGTATCCCGACAACCACCCTTCCTTCCGAGATGAAGACCTCGACATCCACGACGTGCGCGGATATCGGTCCAACAAGGACAGAAGCAAAGCTGCCTCGACAGGCGTGGCACTCGATGAAACCGCAGCCATCCTCATGACCAACCTAGGCACCACAGCCGACCGCGTCACATCCGTCCTGGGGTATTTAGTAAGCGACATCGCCGGACGCCAAGTCCTCAACCCGACCGCATCAGGCCCCATAGTCGAAGCCGCACTTGACCGCCAGGCCAGCGCAGAAGCACTCGCCCGCCGGATCTGGAACTCCTTCACCTCGTTCGGCCACAGACCACTCGACCTCCAATCAATCACTGCCGTCCTGGGCCCCGGCCGCGAGACACAAGCCGAATACATCCACCGGAAACTGGACGCCGACGGCAACGGCGACATCACATTGGAAGAAATGGTCGAACTAGTCAAACGCGTCGCATCCGAACGCAAATCCATCTGGGAAGGCGCATCAAACGTCAAAGACGCAATCAAAGTGCTCGACCGGGTCTTGAGCGTTGTCGTACTCATCTTTGTGTTTCTGATCTACGCGGCCTTCTTCTCCGATTACCTCGCGACTCACTATACACAAGTCTGGTCTGCGTTCACAGGCTGTTCATTCCTATTCGCCAGCACGGCAGGTGAACTATTCGCGGCCTGCATTACCGTGTTCATCAAACACCCTTATGATGTCGGTGACCGCATCAACGTTGACGGGAAAGACATGGACGTGGTCAAGATTTCACTGTTATATTCGATCTTTCGAGAAGTCGCTTCAAGACAAATGGTCCAGATTCCCAATAGTATTCTGAACGGGCTGTGGATCAAGAATATTTCCCGCTCAAAGGATCTCCGGGAACAATTGACTGTTAATGTTTCGGCGGGGACGTCGTTTGAAGATCTTGAGATGTTGAAAAAGGAGTTGGAGGAGTTTGTGAGCGAGAATAAACGGGATTTTGCACCAGAGGTGGAGCTGCAGCTGGTCAGTGTCCAGGATCTCAAACAGCTGGAGCTAAAGATCGAGTTTCAACATAAAGGTGGGGCGAATTTTGCGAGTGCGTCTGAGAATCTGAGGGCTCAGCATCGCTCGAAGTTTGTTTGTGCTTTGCTCAAGGCGGTCAGGAAGGTTCCTATTGATGGTCCGGGGGGATCGGGCCCGGCGGCCGGGTCGATTGAGAGTCCGACTTATACGGTTGCTATTTCGGATGATGTTGCGAGGGAGGCGAGGCGGAGGTTTGATGAGGTGCTGGATAGTAAGAGGTTGGTTCCGAAAATGGGGTTGAAGCGGGAACAACAGCAGGGGCAGCAACAGCAACAGCAACAGCACTTTACAGCAAGAGGCGGAGGTGGTGATGGTGGTATCACTACTGCCGTGAGTACCGGTGGAAATGACGGCGAGCTGAGACCACGGTCTACAGGAGAGCAGTAGTGCGAAACATGATACTGTGGTACTACTGCTACTAATTACCAACAGTGGGCTGGTTCCGGTGTTTCACTCATGAGCAAGTGAGCTGCCCTCCTTCCTGCCATTGGGTACTGTCTGTCGACCGAGTTCTCCGTCGAACTGGACTGGCAATCCTTTTATGAGTGCAGGTGTCTTTTGATATCTATTGTGCTGGAGATATGATTGATTGATATCTATTGCTTTGCTCCGGAATGCTTTGCTTTGTTTCGCCTTTTCCGGTAGGTATGTATTACATGGACGAAGAGAAAGACAGGAGTCACAGGAGAAATACCAACTTGATATAACGATGACATAAGACCCAGACCGGAAATAATGAAACATATGACCAACAACAAACAATGAAATATTTATTGGACAGCACAAAAATCACAAGTCAAAAGGTCAGATCAGATCAGACAGTCGTCCAATTTGAACACTACTTCCTCCCCCCTCCGCGCACTACTTCAAAACGTATTTATTCCCTTTCCACCCAGGTGCCTTCTACGACTAATAACACCAGACTGACTATTCAAGTCGAACAAATTAACAAATTAATATTTATAATCAGTCTCGCGTACCAACAATTTCGGTCTCGCGTAGCTCTAAGTTTTCGGTCTAAATAGCTAACTAATAATTATGGGTATCTCTGATATCGACTACTGTTGTACATATCCAAGGTACTTTTCTGTCGTAAAATGTCCGGTATCCGTCTCAGGCGGTGAGACCAAGAAAGTCAAGACTTAAATCAAGCAACCTAAGTTGACTTGTTGACGACTGTATCATTGCCACTCATGGCCTCCAAGCTTCTCCAAAAAGCCTGCCCTCTGCAGCTGGAGAGGGAGGATCAGCACCCTTAATCTGACATATGGTAACGTTACCACACACACATCTGATCTGAGCTCCGTTCCTGAATGCTGTCCATGAAAAAGGCGAGAGAAGGAGCCAGCAGTCAGGAACAACCACACTATTTCCCCAGGCAGCCTCTCAGGTCAAACAAACAAGAAAAGCAAAAGTTCCACTCAAGTCCTCCAGGCAAAAATGTCGATCCCTTGACCACCCATGGGTACCTTGGGCGATTTCGATTCCGAATCCGGCGACGCAGGCACAGTTGTATCTCTTGTCGTCTCCAAGCCTTTCTCCTGCCTAGTAGACCATAATCGATCATAATTCTCCACAAACCTCTTGTATGGCGTATGAGGATCTTCCCACCATTTCTCAGGCATCTCGACCACTTCCGACGAACGAAAGGGTTTTCTGTTGTCCACTGCAGGTCTCGGACTCGATCTCCGACCAGGTTTTCGCACAAACGGACTAGCTGACAGTCGTGGTCGTTTCGAAATGTGATTGTGAGGTTTTGCCGGCGGCGGCAGAGGTAGTGACATTCTGCTGGACAGTGTTGGCTTCGGCTTGACGGTTTGGATTTGGACATCCACATCCGTGTCCCATGGTAGAACCCTCTTCCTGGACGTGCGAGCAGAGTGTTTGCTATCCAACGAGGAGGACGGAGGTTGTTGGTTGTCGCGCATGGCGGTTGTTGAACTGTCGTCCACGTCCAGAGGAAGAATGGCAATGTCGGATACCCTTCGATTCAAGTCTGGAGTTCCCAACTCTGGCGATGCCGCTCCGGATGCTTCTTTGCGCCATTTCTCCACGGCATCGCTGGGCCGTTTTTTGTATGCGATCGGGCCGTGATCGATTGGCTGTCGTGAGGCTGAACTGAGCCTTGAGACATCCCTGCTTCTGTCCGTCTCGTTCATCAGGGGCGAGTTGTAAGACTGAGTAACTTGGCGGTCTCGCTTCTTGCCGTCCAGAACGTCTCCGAATGGCTCGTGTGCCGTTGCAGAAATTTCTGCCAGCGCAGTAGAGAGACTTGCCTTGGTAAGTACCCTTTTTGTATGTGAAGGCTCTTCGATCCGTTCATTGTAGAAATCGTAAAAGGATAACGGAACAAGGGCACTGAACGCCTCCTCACTCAGATACCGTCGGTAGCTATGATAGTGGTGGAAGACCGCATCGTCGAAAAGGGATGGATGTAGCATTTGACCAGAGGCAAGGATCTTGCGGAGCACGTTGCATGAATTGACAAAATCTGGGTACGTTCCCTCATAATCAGCATAAGTCACCTTGAACTTGGAAAACAATCTGTCCTGGCCGTCTGCCGTGGGACCTTGCATTGCCGTGAGGGCTTGTTGTTTACTTCTCGGTTCACTCTTTCTTCCTTCGTCGTAAGTGGACACACGAGATATGGGTGTCGAAGAAGATGTCAGCGATGCACCCGCTGATCCCGGAGTGCCAATACGGTTTTCATGAGCGTGTAACGGCACAGCCTTCGCATCAGTGGACCCATCGCTGTCGGGCCCTGGAGCAGATGCTGTACGCGCTTTCGACGGTTTCGGCACACTCAAGGAGGTCAACTTTTGTCGGCGGTACTCTCGCAGCTTTTCTAAGAGTTGGCCATAGTCCTCATCAGGTGCATTCTGGCCGCTGACTGTTCTGCTTGTGCGTGCTGCCTTTTCCGGGTCACCTGGGCCCGCGGCGTCTCTTCCTTGCCTTTTCGAGGACTGTTTCTGGCCGTTTGTTTCGAGCTCCGGTTCTTGTGCATCATTCTTACTAGGGACCCTGTGATATGGGTTTGATGTGAGAATACCATCACGGTTTGGTAAACCCGCCGGTGTAGACTGCTGCGGTTGTTCCAATCGACATTTCTCAATCGGCTCCTCTTTATTGGCCTCAACTGTCGTGTGTACCTCGCACTGCTGGGGTGCTGTAACCATCGACTGGTCCCAGTCGACAGACTTGGCCGGTCCTTCTTCCGCTGACAACTGATCTTTAGTTGCCACGAAGTGCTCGGTCTGCCTTTCTGTTGAGTCCAAGTGTCTGTCAGTTGATTCAGTGGCTTCCGATCTCCGAGCATATATTCGCCTTGTTTCCATTGAATCCTCAACATTTCGTTCCGCCTTCGGGCTGGACTGAACCCCCTGTGCCGGTTCATCAAAAGTACTGGGAACATAGCCTAACGACGTCGACTGTGTATTTGTGAGCCCGCCTTGGTGTGATTTGACTACCAGTGCCGACCCAAGCCGCACATGAACGGGTTCTTTTCCCACGTATGGTGTCCGCTTGACCTGGACGACCTTCGCATTACTGGTAGTGTCCTTATTTGCCGAAGACACAAGACGACTGCCTTCCAGATCGTTGTCATACTCTTCGTTCCTGGAGCCGTTGGCTGTGTACACCAATAGCTGCCTTGAATGGCTGGTGCTGGTCGAACTATCCCAACGCGGCAGCAAATCAACAGAGCGAGCACCCGTAATTTGCCTTGACGGTGGTTCTGTTGTATTCTGCTCCCTAGCCCGCTCATCCGACGCTATTAGCTCATCTCCTATCGTGGCTTGTCGGGGTGGCTCAGGAAGATCCGATGTTTTGTTCAGGGGACGGTCAATGGTTTCCAGCGCTTCCAGCTCACCAGGGCGATCACTGTGGTCATCGCTGCCATCGAGACAGCTATTCTTCTTGCTTTCGAGGTCGACCCCAGGACTTGATGACTTTGATTTCGGTGGGTTTGGGCTGTCCTTCTGCTGACTTGGAGAGCTGGCGGGATCGGGTTCCGGTTGTAACTGGTGGGGAAGCACTGATGGGCTATCCGGAGGCAACTTACGCCTACGTTCCTGAGTCGGAGGACTGGAGGGCCACTCACTGAGGGGCTCCTCCGAATCGCTCGAGTTTTCTTCCACTTTTGACTCAAACGGGTCGCCTTGTGTGACAGCATCGTCCCCGGTCAGTTGGGATCCATTATCAGGGACATTCGAGAGGGTGGCAGATGCATCGGTCCCCTCATTGTGGTTGTCAGCCGCATTGCTCAACCGCTCCAGCAGCACCAAAGGCACCTGTCCCTCTCTTGCTGGCTGGCCAACAAGAGAGGGCTGCCAGCTCTGATCAGAATCCAATATTTCCTGCTGGTCCTTGGGAATATTTTGGATATATCTGGGGATGTATCTTCCTGCTCGTGCTTCTTGACGCCACCGATCGAAATTCCGCGATGGCTTGCTCGTGTATGCGGGCTTAGACAATCCAAGTGATTCTGCGGGCACCAACAGATGACTCTCTGCTTGCACCACAGGCTGATCTGCAACTCCCTCCCGGTTTGTTTCATTTCCGCGGTGATCCGGCGATTGGGCAGGTCGGGATACTGGCTTCTCAACAGGTCGTGTTTCACCCTTGTTTGGTACATGTGAGTTATTTGCGACCGGGTTGTCAACATTTCCTGGGCCGGGCGACAAATCCTTGCTTGAGACACCAACCGGCACTTGACTGACAAGTTGGGTGTTGATTGGACTGGGAGATCGCGCTTTCGTTCGAGCTCTGCGTGACGCTCCGGCCTGCGCCGGGCGTTGATCTTCCGGCACCCTTGATCCTGTCGGCTTGTTCTTGGCCACCATGTGCGCTTCAGTGCCATGTAGACTTTGTCTGGCCGGAAAGGGGGCTTGGGTGCAGAAATTTAATTGAGACACTGATACATCCTCCTCATCTTCGACGTGTGTATCGCCGTTCGGGCTGAAATCAGGCTGCGATTTGATGGACTCTGGGCTGCTCTCCATTCTTTTTCTCTTTCTCATTCTGTTTAGGCTGATCCACAATCTCTTTTGGTCGTCTTCAGAGCACTCAAGCAGTCTTTGCTTTACCAGCGCAGCATCACTGACAGGCGATCCAACACCAAGTGTGTTAGCGTCGGCGCGAACGCGAACAATTTCCACCACGTTGATAAGCAATTCTGCGCGCGGAGGATGGCAATGGGCGGTAATATTGATGTACGGGTCGGTGACTCGGGCAACCACCACTTGATGGTCGTTCAGACTCGACTGTGCGTACGAATGAGAGATTTGTGTAGCTGCCTCTTGGAAGAATATCGCTGGGATAGAGTGACTTCCGTCAGACACTTTGCTCTCTAGTGCCTTGGGCGGCCAAAACCCCTCTGAAGGGGGCTATTGACTGTTAAAACAATGGCACAAGTTTTCCTGGAGGTTCACGGAAGGTAGAGTACCTTTAAGATACGAACCAGCCTGTGCAACTGCGTCGAGCTGTGGATTGTAATGTTTGTCGCATCGGTTTTGTACCAATATTCTGTCGAGGGCCGGCCGTCGCTCCTCATGCGCAACCACTCCGCTATGCCGGAGGCGATGAAGCCAGCCAGCCACGGCTCGTGGCGCTCCATATCGAACGTTCAGTCATGAGGATCTGTGTTGCTGTAGAGTGGGTTTGAGAAATATTTCAGTGTTGTCGAGTTCTTTCGTCAACGGGAAGATGCGCTCTGTTGATCGCAGTCCGAGTCCCTCAGGCTCGACAATCTGAGGTTCCACAGTCGCGATGTGGGGAGAAAACGGGAGACAAACGAGCCGCGGCGCGTCGACGCGACTGCCAAGAATGACGTCGAGAGACAATTAGCAGAAGCTGTCTAATATGGTGTTAGTGACTGGCAGCACTACGCTCCTACTGCGTCTGGACAGTGGCACTGGTGGCATGCCAACTACTGTCAACTTGAACGACGTCCCATGGCTCAACGCTCCTGGTGTCTAGTACTATAGGATAAATCTCACGAGTATGAAACCATGTGAATATCGTCACGACTCTTCTATGGCCGACAGGCCGCCCGAGACTGAACTGCCATGCCCTCCACGCATCAGGACAACCCGAGCCCTTCCGCCTCGTCCATATTCCTCCCACTCGGTCGACGGGCGCGTCGAGACTCGAAATCTTCCATTTCGCGGGAACTGGACCAGGACGCTCTCAACGAGGCACTGGACACTATCCACAATGCAGCATCACAATCCAACAACTTGACGGTTTTCAACGAATATACCGATCCGCCAGCCGCAAACCAGAATTCTGAAAATAAAACCCTGGCAGAGGAGATACAAGGTGGCATATCGGGCTTGTACAATAAATTAATCGCCAGTGTGGGGGCCACAAAGGATGGCGAAGAACAACATGAAGGGAACACGACGTTACTACATGGGGATGACCGGGCCAGTTCCAAGTCTGGCTCGGCTCTTACGTCCAAGGCTCATTCGCCCCGGCTGCATCCCTTCGACTCGCCTGCTGCAACTGACGGACCTGCCCAGTCATCGAGGATGTCGTCGAAAGCAACAAGTGTGAGCAAGGTCTCGATGCCTTCCACCCCTGCCTTGAAATCGCCAACCGTCCCCCCTCAACCTTCGTCACTATTGGCAGATCCGTCTGTCACGTCTGTCAATATACATGCCGTCAGCTCTGCAAGCCATTCCAGGACAGGCTCTGGATTTGATCTGGAGTCTCCTGCTTACGACCGGAGCTTGGCCGCTTCAGCAGATAGCGAAAGCTTAAGAAGGGCCCTGTCAAGACCTAGCAATGATACCTCCTCAACGGATAGGAGCATCCGCCTTGTTGTTTCTCCTCAGCCCACGGGAACACAACGACCGAGCGGTCGGACAGTCCCGGCTTCTCATGAACGGGGATTATCGTCTACATCGGTTCAAAGCCATTTGAGCCACGCCGAACCCGTGTCTGCCCAAAACACCGGCACATTGCAAGATGACAAATCTGCGACCAGAGTCAGTTCTAGCAGACAAGATGCTGCACCTCAACAGAAGCAGCATTCGAACCCGCTGGAACTCTTAGCCGAAAACGTCGCAACCACGTCTAGAAGCGCATCCCAGTCACATGGGAAGAGCTCAGATGCATCAGGATTGAAATCTCCCTTGCTGGACACTGCGGAGCGGCAAACCGCCAGCGCCAGGACAGGCCCGAAGATCAGTCAATCGAAGTTACCCGGCTTTCGGGTCTCGCGCACATCTTCCTCCGATTCCACAATTCCTCCCTCGGGCCGTAATGAGCGACATTCTTCTATGGGCGACAAAAACAAGAATGCCGAAGCCCGCTCTTCCCAAGCGAGGCCTGTCAACAAGTTACGCAGCAAACTCTTGAGCAAGGAGTTCTGGATGAGAGATGAGAATGCAAAGGACTGTTTCCACTGTGGAGAGCAATTCACCACCTTCCGCCGAAAACATCACTGCCGTACGTGTGGCCAGATCTTTGATAACAAATGTACAGTGCTCCTCAACGGAAGCTACTTCGGCACCAACGGTGCCGTTAGGGTCTGCAAGCCTTGTGAATCAATCATTGCTTCTCATGACGATGATTCCTCTGACTACTCGGTTGAAGATTCTGCTCTGCCAGACTCAGCTGGCCGGCCCTGGACGCCGGAGCCATTATCACATAGGAGCTCATTTGCTCGATTTGAAGACGACAATGCCTCGGTCACGTCGCATTTGTTGGAGCACATGGCAAAAACTCCTACCATGAGTTTTCCTGTTCGTCGAGCTTTTGAGGGTGCCGACAGAACATCTGCAGTCCTCGAATTTGACACCACTGACAGACCTTTACCACGACCCAGCTCGTCAAGGTCGCTGAAAGTTAGCCACTCTATCGGCCATGGTCATAAGCGGCATCACTCGCGACACCAGCACATAAGAAATTTCAAGGCGTATCATGAAGACCGAGCTCCGTTCCAACGGCGCGCCGCTGAAGAAACCCTCCGAGAGGGCAAGGCTTCCGCCTTTCATCGTGACAGCATTATTGACCCCGATCTTGCACAATACTTGTCTGATGATCCCTCTAGCGAGGATGAGCAATCGCTTAACGAAGCCCTAAGCAGCCCCGACAAGTTATCTCGCAGCGGCCATGACAGCGACAAGTCCACTCTGGGCGGACTTTTAGCCGCTGTGCGAAAAGGCCGTTCACGAATCGGCGACCGCAGTATCGCTGGGTTCCTGAATTTGGGGCGGGACAACGATGATAGCAGTGTATCTGGCTCTCGCAACATCGATATCCTAAGACATCCTCGGAAGCGTAACCTGAGTGTCTCAAGCAGTGTTCATCAACGTGGCACTCCCAGGTCTACTAGAGAACGACTGCATATCATCATCCCAGGAGCACAGGATGATGTGCAGGAGACCACTGCAGATGCTGTGAGTGCCTATCGCGGCGGCTCAAGAATTACTCGAAGTGCATCTATGCGTGGTGTGGCCGCGCCGCCGATGGAACTCAATCGTGCGAGCATTCAGCATGTGCATAAGCTGCTACAGCAGCTCCTGAAAGATGCCAATGTCCCGAAAATCTCGAGTTGGGAGGACGCTCTTATTCCGATCCTGCTCAAGGCCACCGACGATGTGGACCCGGACGTTCCAGGTGGCGACGACATAGACATAAGAAACTATGTCAAATTGAAGAAGATTCCAGGAGGCAAGCCAGGGGATACTGCATATATCTCTGGATTGATATTCACCAAAAATGTGGCTTTGAAGAGCATGGCCCGCTCCCATTCGAACCCGAAGATCTTAATTATCACATTTCCTCTCGAGTACGCCAGGCATGAACAACACTTCATGAGTCTTGATCCCGTCATCAGGCAAGAAAAGGAATACCTCTCAAACCTCGTCTCTCGCATCGCCGCCTTGAAACCGGACGTGCTCTTGGCTCAGCGAAATGTGTCAGGCTTAGCACTGGAACTACTCGATAAAGCGAAGATTACGACCATCTTCAACGTCAAATCATCCGTGCTAGAAGGGGTCTCTCGCTGTACACAAGCTCGGATTGCCAACACCATGGACAAGCTCACCTCCCAACCAGACCCGCTTGGTCACTGCGAATCCTTTGAAGTCAAAACGTTTGTTGCCGATGGGCGGAAGAAGACATATGTCTATTTGTCGGGATGTCCTCCCCAACTGGGCTGCACAATTGCGCTCAGAGGTGCAGATCGAGAAACATTATCGAAGATCAAACGCGTTACCGATTTCATGGTCTACGTGGTCTATAATCTGAAGCTGGAGACGTGTCTGATGAGGGACGAGTGGGCCCTCATACCCAGCGCTCCCACCGAAAAGGGCTCCGAATCCAACAAAACTCCCGCCCAAACTATGAAGAAGAACTTGACGGACGGTAACGACAACGAAGCGAAGCCAAAGCAAGCGGAAGGACATCCTGCAGACCTTGACGAACAAACCCGCGACGTCTCCGAGGTCTCCAATGCAGAAATGCCTGCGTTAGAAAAGGAAGGAGAGCCTGCCTCCGCCGCCCATGTAGACAGCCCTGATACAGTGCACATTCCGGATGATATTCCCGTGCCTACGTTTTATGAAGACCTTGTGCTCAAACACGAGACCCGGATCCTCTCAGCTTCGCCATTCGTCAAGTTCGCTCAACCCTATCTCCTAATGCGCGCTCGCGAGCTTGAAAGGCGCGTTGCTTACCTCAAAAGACTTCGAGATCAAGATCTATCTGCCGAACAAGCTATGGATGACAAAGGCAAAACGCCCAAGTTTACTCTCATCCATCCGGAAATGGTGCATCGACCACTTGCTGGGGCCAGCAAGAAGGTGCGCGAGATCATCCATGCAGTTCACGACGCTGAATATGACAAGGCCCTGCACAATTATGAAACTCAGAAGAAGCAGTGGGAGACATATCTCTCAGGGAACCGGAACTTGTTCGATCCTTACGCGCACCAGAACATTGTGGTGTTGTTTAGTCTAGTCTCAACAGAGACGTCTGTTCCCTGCTCTGGCCCAGATCTTCTTGCCTTCAGTTTCTACAACGAGCACGAAACCGAAGCCGAATTCGAAGCAGACTGTACCCTGGGACAATATGTCGAGGATCTGTGTTATCGCGCAAACGAGATTTGTCAATCCGAAGCTTGCGAGAAGAGAATGTTTGAACATCATCGACAATACGTGCACGGCGAGGCTCAGATCACTGTCTTCGTCCAGCCTTACCCAGCGAAAATGCGAGGCTTCCAGGACGTCATCCTCATGTGGAGTCAGTGCAAGATCTGTGGCGTCGAGACCACCGTCACACCTATGTCCTCGAGCACATGGAAATATTCGTTCGGAAAATATCTTGAACTCTCGTTTTGGAGTGCAGATCTGCATGCCCGGGCAGGCATCTGCCCCCACGACCTACACCGGGACCATCTGCGATATTTCGGCTACAAAGATTTCGCCCTTCGCGTCCACTACGATCCTATTGATTTACTTGAGATCATTGTTCCGAGGATGAGGGTTACGTGGAAAGTTGACAATGATCTGAAGTTTCGCAATGACGTTTATACCCGCTTGGAGCATCGAATTACCCGGTTCATGGTGTCTGTCAAGCTTCGTCTCAAGAATATCAACCTGGACGCCGTCCTCCCTGAAACACTCGAAGCCTGCCGTGCCGAGATCGATCGGCTAACCAAGAGAGCGACGGAAGAGCATGCCAGTCTAATCAGACAACTTCAGGAGCGCTATACAAACTCGAGGTATTGGGAGACGATCCCGCTCAACGGCATCCTCCGTGCAACACAAGAAAAAGTCTCGGAATGGGACAACGCCTTTGCAGATTTTGAGAAGAATTATTTGCCTTCCGAAAGAGATATCCGCAGATTGGCTGCCTTGCAATTGCGCAAAATCTTCCTTGAAAGAGATGGCTCTGTCACGTCTCTGATCTCGGCGGACGAAGGTGCAACCACCCCTTCAGCGGAGGAAGCTGTCAATGAAAAAGAGCCACCCGAAGCCCCTGCATCAATCCATGAGCTCGATCGAGGCGCAAATCTGTCTCCCGAGAAAACACAGGACGTTCTACAGTCAGTCTTCGAGGAGCACTCCAATGCGTCTGCCTCGGAAAAGGACTCCACGGAACCTTCAGAAATCAAGCCTTTGGATGTGCAGAACCTACCTTCCGTTTTGGACGGACCAAGGAACGTTGAAGATGTGAAACACCTTGATTTGGCCATAGCATCGCCAAGTCAACGTCCCACTCTGCCAGCAGAACCAGTTGTTGTGCAACCGCTTGCTGCCGAGGATTCGGCAAGACTTGGAGACACCAATTCCGGACAGATCAACACAATCTCACCTGCCGCAGTCGATGGGGCATCCAGTCGTCTAGGGAGTGTCGGATCCATTTCGGATGCGTCACCAGCCGTTTTGCCTCAGATAGTCGCCCAGGATCTTAGTACCCCTCGGACAATGCGACGAACCAAAGATGGCAGCTCCTCTTCGCCGGTCCTAGCACGTGCACAATCTCAGCCGGCTGGCTCAGTGGCCCTTCGACGAAACCTGGGACAGCCTCCCTCGAGCACCCTTTCGGTCCTCAACGCAATGAATGGTTTTGCGACAGTACACAATAAGCAGAGTCCTTCAATGTCTCCGGGTGGTGACGACGCGAGTTCACAATCGTCCGAGAAAAAGTTATCTGAGCGGCTGGGACTGTCCCAGTTGAAAAAGAACACATTCTCAAAAGGTCACTCTTTGATTCCGCGAGCCATCAATAGCCGTAAAGATTCGCGCGTCTCCAACCTTGCCAAGCATTTCGAGCAGCTAAGTCGTGAATTTGAAAGGGAACGGATCCGAGAACGAAGGTTGCGGGCTGCCAGAAGCAAACAATCTCGTGTTTACCCTCTTGCAGTCTCCAAGCCCATCGTCGAGGTCTACAAGGATGTCGACGAAGCTGTCGAGGAAAGAGGCGATTCGGATGATGTATTTGGTCTCGATCTTGACTCGCTGGAGGAGAATGGGCAGACAGTTAACACCGCTGAAGGGATGGCTGAGACACAGGCAACTCAGCGAGGAGATCCGGACTCACACGTTGAAGAGAGGCCAGCAGACACAACGGAAAATGAAGTCGATGTTCCGGAATCCAGCCACGCAGCTTCCGAGATCGAGGATCGGAGTGATATCGAAGAGGACTCGGAGGACATCCAACTGCCCGATTCGCCCGAGGATCTCTTGCGAATATCTCAGGAAGACGTGGATCTCAAAGAGCTTCCCAAGCATGAACGGACCTCGTTGATGAAAATGTTGACCAACTTCTGGGCCGAACGCTCCTCAAGTGGATGGACGCCGCTGGAATATCCTCTTGGTTCGGCTGAACATATCTTTGCCGATTGTGACATTATTGTCCGCGAAGACGAGCCAAGCTCCATCATTGCATTCGCCTTGGACTCGCAAGACTACAAGACAATGTTGTATAATATGCAAAACCGTCCAGTCCGTGACAACGTTGCTCTCGACCTGAGCGGGCATGACGAGCATATCGACGATCCGCAAGCCGATGTGATGCACTCACTGTTGCGAAAGACAGGGACTCATTTGAAATACCAGTTCCAAGAAGGTCCCGCGAAGATGGTGTGCAAGATCTTTTTTGCAGAACAATTCGACGCCGTTCGCAGGAAATGTGGCGTCGCTGACAGGATCGTCGAATCGCTGTCCAGATGCCTGAAATGGGATTCCAAAGGAGGCAAGACCAAATCAATTTTCCTGAAAACTCTAGACGATCGATTTGTTCTGAAGTCGTTATCGCCTGTCGAGACGCAGTCGTTCCTGAAGTTCGCGCCCAACTATTTCCAAATCATGTCCGAGGCCTTCTTCCACGAACTGCCCTCGGTTATTGCCAAGATGCTGGGCTTTTACCAGATCATCATCAAAAACCCCGTGACGGGGCTGGAGTACAACTGGTTTCTGGTGCTCATGGAAAACCTTTTCTACGACCGCGTCCCTACCCGCATCTTCGACCTGAAAGGAAGCATGCGCAACCGCAAGATCAACGCGACTGGAGAAAAGAATGAGGTTCTCCTGGATGAAAACATGGTCGAATTCATCTACGAGTCGCCCTTGTTTACACGCGAGCACAGCAAAAAGCTTTTGCGGTCATCCGTTCACAATGACACCTTGTTCCTGGCGCGCCAGAATGTCATGGACTACAGCTTGATGCTGGCGATCGACGAGACTCGCAAAGAGCTCGTGGTCGGCATCATTGATTGTATCCGCACCTACACGTGGGACAAGAAATTGGAGAGCTGGATCAAAGATCGCGGGTTCGCCCGAGGCGGCAAAAATCGGCCCACGGTCACTAGTCCCAAGGAATATAAACGGAGGTTCAGGGAGGCCATGAATCGATACGTCCTCGAGGCGCCGAGCTGTTGGTATCAGTTCAGGCCGGTGAGTAAGCTCGAGAGAAGGATTTTGGGTAAAATTGAAGGGGATGCGGATGATAAGGGTGAAGAGGTGCAGATCAGTTAGAATGGCGAAAGAGAAAAGGCGGGCAAGTATCGTTGTAGTGACCCCGTCTTCTATCCGGCATATATGGGGCCCGGTGAGGAAGTCAACCTATTTGATTTGTTCTTGGAGCATGAGCGACGGGCGATCGGGGGCGTTTGGTTCATTGTGGGAAGCACAGCCCATATATGGGCGTTGGTGTCAATCCTCATTGCTATTGTTTTCATCCATGACCATGACCATGACCATGACCTTGAATATGAGCATGAGCAACGATGTACGTATATACACTACACGCGAATAAACGCATGAACATGAACACGAACACGGATACGAATAGAGATACGAATACGCAAACAACCGGGCAAAGGTCATTAGAAGTCATGTCTTCTCATGTTGAACTCGTGTCGTTTCTCGTGTTTGATGAACGAGACCCTCGCGTGGTCTGTTCCTGTCATAAAGCTCGTGGTGCTGTAATCACCCTGAAGTTTCCTGTAACTCAATCTCCAACACTAGGCTGGGCCTGGCAATTCGGTTCCGTCATCCACTGACAACCCTCCAAGGCACATCATCCATACAACGTTCATGTTGTCGTTGTCCTTTCTCCCCCTAGTGTCTCGGATACCGGTTCCACAAAATCCTCACACCCAACCATGTTCAGCAAAGAGCGCCTCTTGCTTGCGTCTTTTGATGCCTCCCGTCTGTTTCCTCCCTGACCAATGATGACAAGTTCTTTCTTGAAAAATAACACAAAATGTTCTTCTTCCAAGGGATCTCCTGCCCAAACCTAATGGTGCCCACTTGAGGTGTATCTGCCGTCGAGGAGGCCTGGTCGATCAAAGAGAGAGACAGAGCGAGAGGGTACCGTAAAGACAAACAAATCAAAAGCCGGCATTGTACAAGTGAGAGCCCTCGATGAGATTCGGTGTGCCCTCAAAGCGACCGAAACCTCCACATGCACCTTCGGTAGTCCATGCCCACCGGCCAAGTTCTGCAATTGGCAGGCAACGGCGGTGAGCATGGACCTTGTCAACGCAATCGACGTGTGGATGGCCCAATCGACCTATTCCGGAGAAGTCGATTTTATGGGTCGTGGTCCACTTGTCTTGCTTGGTTTTGGTATACTTCAGACATATCCAGCAGAGTCGAGTGCCTCGGGGCATCCAATTGGCCAATTGCAACATGAGAATGCGACGGTCACTGATGTGATTGACGTACATGCACGGGGTGGCTGCGCAGTTCTTGTGGTACTTGGTCACGCTGGGAACGTCGGTGAGATCGGTAGAGACCTTTTGGCCGATCTGGGCGAAGAACTTGTTGGTCAGGGCGAACGAGATCCGGCTGGGGACATCAAGATTCTCAAAGACCAAGAGGAGAGCTTCGTTAGGTAAAGCCATGATTGGGGGGTCGGCATTAGAGGCAACCACGGCGGTGGAGGTATTGAGAGGCGTAGCGACGGCACGTTTCTTCCTAGTTTTGGAAAGACGGTGCTGCTCCTCTAGAACGACCTATAGATGAAGAGTCAGATCGGCACCACCATTTTGGGCAATGCACCCAGATGATGAGAACTTACCGATTTGGGGACGGCAAACCCTCGATTCTTTCTGTTGTAGACCTTTTGGATCATCTTGACTGTCTTACTCCTTGTTGAGTAAAATCGAGGATGGATAGCATGATCCTTTGTTGTTCGAGAAACTACACCCATGTTGACTGATATATACGGACAATCACTTAGCGGCAAGGTGTAGCGCTTGGCGGACCGGAGAATGCCGGAGATAAGCCGGGTGAGTAGATGACGTCCATGGGGGTGAGCGCTGCAGTTCATCGTGTCACATGCTGTCTCGACAAAGGATGAGGTGTGCCTCATCAAAGGGACAACTGAGGCCCAAGAGAGGCCTGACATGTGCAAAGGCGGGTCCCCTGAGCACATCTCAGACACAAGGCTGAGGCCGTTCACCATTTCACCTGCTGGATCACAAGATACAACATTGCACGCCGACGTCGAGAGAAGCGAACAACATAAAGCCAAATTGCCGCCAACGAGCCACTGAGAGCTGCCGCTGCGACAGCCAACAACAGGCCTGTGAGAATTCGTTTCTGACGCTGTGACCGCTTCAGTACCTCGCTGTATCTCATGTTGCTGAAGCTGACCCGAGAGTACTGAGTTGCCCATCCAAGGCTGGGGAAGTACTTGTCGAGTCTCTCTTCAATGTACTTGCGCAACTTGTACAGACGCGAGGTCACGGACGACCTCATCTCAATGTAGTTGCCGAGGGCCAGGTCGGCGATGACGTGAGCATCTTTGCTCCGTTCCTCGGTATATTTGGTAAGTGCTTCCGCCGCGTTGGGAAATTCATCCAGTTTTGAGAACAGTACCCTGACGGATTCCATGCCTGCGTTCATGCCCTGACCATAAAATGGAACCATTGCATTGGCCGCATCACCAACAATGACAACACTGTCGCCAAAATGGTGTGGAGAACACTTGATATTGATCAAGGGTAAGTGCGGATTCCGCTTGAACTGGGCGATCAGATCATCGGGAGAGATGTGGTCAGTCACACCGGGGAAATGCTGGTCAAAGAAAGCCACAAGCTCGGCATCAGGCGCGTTCTCCAGTTTCACAAACATGTCCACCGGCCCGAACAGTGTGCATACAAAGGACTTGTCCAGGTTAGGAAGAGCGATGAACATGAAACTTCCTGCCGGCCAAATGTGAAGATGATGCGGTGAGATCGCAAAGTCTCCAGACATGTTCGGTGGCATTGTGAATTCACACCACAGACAGTCGATATACTCTTGATGATAGTCCATCCGAGCATACTTCATCATGTGATATCTGGTGGCTGAATGGGCTCCATCGGCTCCAATGAGGAGGTCGAAATCAACTTCGATTTCCTTTGGTCGGTCGGCATCGATGTTGTTCGTCTTATCGGTGACTTCGAACCAGGCTTTCTTTTTGCGGAAGTCGGCTCCAGTCAGTTTATGCTGGAAGAAGATTTTGACATTCGATAAAGAGTCCAGATGATCCAGCAGAACCCCGTTGAGAACGCCACGGTCCACGGAACGCTGGAAACGGCCATGCACATCATAAAGCTGTGACTGCTCGGTCAGAGCTCCGGTGGCAGAGCGCGTGTGGATCATCCGGCCGTGCATAGGGATGGTATGCTCGAGCACGGTCTCCAAGAGTTTGTCATTGCTGGTGGAGCGGAGAGCGTTGATGCCTCTTTCGGAGAGGGCCAGGTTGATGGATTTTGTGAAGTTTAGAGGTGTCGTTTCGGCATTACGGAGGTCTTATAATGTTCAGCTCATCACGTCGACATATGATGCATGGTACAGAAGAGAGAGGTTGTCGGGGAAAGGAGGGCTTACCATTCCGAAGCTCATATACCTCGACGTCGGCACCACGAGAGGCAGCATACAGAGCGGCTAGCGACCCGACTGGGCCGGCGCCAACCACGACAACCTTCTTCCCATCCATCGCGGAAAAAACTTGGCTCGATGTCAAGCAAGACGAGGCCTATGAATGGATTGAATGGCAGAACATAGCATGAGTCAGGGGTATCCTTACAGTATTCTATATATACAGATGTGGAATTGACCGGATGGACGGTTGACGTTGAGATACAATTATTAGTGTCATTTTAGCTCTTCATTTCACACGCTTTTGTTTGGCCGTATCACATTCGTGGAACGATGTATACTTCACCGTATCATGATCTTATCTTATCCACCACAATGTGGAGAGCCGCCTGCGCCCGTGACGATGTGTTTGCCTCACAACGCCATCGGCCGTTTGTTAGGAATCCGTGTACACGCCCATTCTTTATTTACTATCACTTATCATCCTCACCTGTCGCCCTCCACGCATCCGTCATGGCTATCATCATGTAGCCGTCATCTGAGCTCTATCAACCCTGACATGTCCCAGCCCCAACAACCTGCTCCGCTCTCGTCCTCGTCGCCGGCGAAGTCCAAATCCTCCCTACGACGAAGCAGCGGACAGTCGAATCCGACTCCATCGACGACGTTGGCTGCGCGCGGCCTCCTACATGCGGCCTCTCCGCAACCGCATTTTGACGAGGACCCCATCGTAGCCTCCCATCAGGCTCCATTCCCACAACGGCTTGATATCGAGTCTGGGCATGAGCACGAGCATGCCGTCGAGTCCGAACACTATGGCATCGGCACTGGCCGCTCGACAACAGACCCCGTCCCGTCCTTTCAGCCTTTCTTCACCTTGATCGAGGACAGTGTGACCAACGAACACCATCACCCGACGGTTCACTATGTCTTTGCCGACGACGACTCGGACATCATAGCTGAAGCAGCGTGCCGCAGCCTCGAGAGTCTGGATCCCTCGCAGCGCGCGGGTTCGATACACCCAACACGAGCAGGAGCACGAGCAGCGCAGGATTCTGATAATGACACCCACGACGATGACGACAATGATAATAATAATGACGACGACGATGAGAGACACCACCCTCGCCTGCCGCCGCCTGTTGCTGGCGTTCGCGAACACTACTTAATTCTTGACGTGCAGCCGCGTGCACAGGTTCAGTCACAGTCTCAGGCAGCACAGTCCCAATCGCATTCACACTCACACTCGAGGTCTCACGATTCCTCCATCCCCATCCCGCAAATGGGGCCAGCGTACGAAGTCGTGTCAGCCCAAAGCCTCAGCGCAGACTGGCAAGTTCTCCGATCGACCATCACGGCGGCCCCGACGATCGGCGGCGATGGCGGTGCAGGCGCTGCAGACGAAGGCGAGGATCCTCTCATGCTCCGCATCGAAGGACGGGGCAACATGCCAGACGATGCTACAGCTGCCGCTGCTGAAAAAGAGACCATGGAGGAGATGATTGAGCGGTTTCAGAGACGTTTGGAGGACATCAGGCAGGTCATGGAAGCTAACACGGCCACGACCGGCAGCGCGACCGTGACTGGCGGAGATGCAGGTAGCGCTACTGCTGCTGCTGCTGCTGGTATTGGTACCGGTACCGGTCCCGGTGGTGTCAGGTTCAGCGGTCTCGCTGAGGAAGAGTAGATGCATTTCCCAGAGGAGGAGGCTTTCACGTCACCAATGGAGATGCAAGTATAAGCGCAAGCGTATACCAGTACGGGGGAATAATGAGAAGCCCGAGGTACCCCCCTCTATAGATGACCGTTATAGCATGCATACTAGCAACTGCTTTCTAGTGCACTAAGAGCATTTGAAATGTGGTCTCAGCCGCAGTCAATTTTGGATAGATATTATTATGGTTCACATCATTCACCTTACTGTACTATGTTTTTTTCCTTCGCTCCACAGTAGGTGAGGTGCATCTACCTTGAAGTACCTACCTTACTTCAAGTACTGGACAAGGTAGGTACATAGGTACCTAGGTCAGGTTTCCAATTCTAGTGGCGCAAGGCTGGCTAGTGATGGATGCCACTCCAATGCATACGATGTGATTGTGGAAAAGGGGTTGTTGTTTGATTCGAGCAGATCTACGGACAAACAAACACGACACTCTTCAAGAATCAACACCGTTGATCAATCCATCAAGGATCCCAATATTCGGTTCGTTCGAACACTAAACTAATCGTACCGTCTCTGACCCAACAGAAAAATGAATACCTTCAAACAAAACAACTATCAATGACTGGCACTCGGCATGTCCCTCCATGGATCCCAAGGTGTATCGAACAACCTGGTTACCTATCATCCTGCTACACAGAAACGCACAAAAAATACAGTACACCCTCCCATCACGGAAATATACCCCATGAAACTCCCATCCTCACTGGCATCATTCAGGAGGACTGCTTCTCAACCTCCTCCCACCTCCTGCTGTTCTCCCTCCCACACTCTGGGTGAAACTAGAATTCTCAACTCCCGCTCCACCCATGCCCATATTCAAAGCAGCAACACTACTCTTCGCCCGACCCAATTTCATCGAGACACCAGTAGGCAACTTACTCTCGACAACCGCATTTGTCGTGGCATGTCTCTTCAGCGGCGGTTGGCCAGATCCACCACTGCCGAGACTTTTACTGAAATCGAGCAGGACGGGCTTTTCTTCGGCCGCCGTAGTTGAACCCAAACCTGAATCCAACCCTCCTCCATTCAAACCCGACGCCGAAGCCGACGCCGGTCTCCCAGCGACGACATTGATGTCAATTTCTTTGAGACCGAGTGGCGCTTTCGTTGGATGGTTGTTGTCAGTCGAGACCGTCGTGGCCGTCATTGTGTTTTGAGATTGCAACTTCGACTCAAATTCCTGCTGCAGATTTGTAGTATCCACTGCATCAGCAAAGACCTTTGTTTTACTCGGACTCGGCTGTTTCAATTTCGACGGCGATAGGGGTCCTCCTCCAAATTTGCGTGGAGATGAAGTCGAAGTCTGCCCATTCAAGTTGTCACGTTGTTTGCGAGGTGAACGATCACCATCACCACCATCACCGCCACTTCTCCCTCCTCCTCCTGACGTCGGGATACTCGTGGATATAGGAGGAGTATTTGCCGCTGGATCAGCAAGACCCCTTAATCGGGCGATGATAGAGTCATGCCTCTCAGTCCTTGGCAGATGGGTAGGATAATCCCATTCCTTCTTTTCCGGCGTCTGTCCTGTCGGACTATACTCGATCAATTTAGCCGTCGACATCTCTTCCTGCAAGTTTTTCAGGAGTGGTCGCGCATCATTATCCAAAGAGCTTGTCAGACCATCAAGACCTTCGGTCTGCGATTTAAAATCGCCCTCGAAAGTACCCATATCTCCGGCACGCGATTCCAATTGTTTCTCAAGTTCATTAAACCCGTCTCGAGCATTTCCAATAACCTTCTGCATTCTCTGAACACGCTCGGTATGATGAGACTCGTTCTGCGACCTTGCGCGAGTCACGAACTCGTCGAGGACAGCCATCTGGGTAGCCATTTGGGACAATTGGGCATCCACTATCTTGATCGTTTCCTCGTGAACGGCCTTGGTGGACTTTTGAATGGCATTATTTCGCGCACTGACGGCCTGTTGAATGAACTTGTTAGCAGGTGAATTACAACAGTAAAGGTCGGTACATACCGTCCAATCCCCCTTCATTTTATTCTTAAGATCGTCCTTCGAATTGACCACTCTCGTCATCAGTTGTTCGCCTTGAGTGCTCAATCGGCCCATGCCCTCACGGAACACTCGATCGGCATTCTCAAACTGCTCGGTTGCCTCGAGGAGGTGAGACTGGGTGTTAATCAATCTGCTGGAGAGATGCTCTTGTTGACGCTCATGGGACAAATCAATAAACTGCATGATCTGTTCTTTAAGCCGCTCTTTCTCCGCGCGGGATGCCTCCCTCTCTTCATCCCGAATGGCCTCAAGTTGTGTCGACGCCTCCAGCTGTGCCTCAATGTTTGCGCGGTTCGCCTTCTCTAGTGCGGACCGTAAGGCGTCGGCCTCTTCGCGTTGAGCGGCCAATTGCTTGGTCATGTCGTCGAACATGGCTTTGAAATCCTTTCCAAGACCGCTGTAGGACGAATGTAACTGGGTGTGGAACTGTTCCAATTCCGAAATCACCTCGGCGGATATCTTGGCTGCAGCCTGCGACAAGCCATGCAGGCCTGCGCCGACCTTTTCTTTGAGGTCCTCCCGGAGATCCTTAATCTCTTCCAGGACGTCATTCATTGCATCTTTGGCTTCTGCACACTGGGTCTCCATGACTGCGTGGTCTTGGTTCAGTTCGGTAGCCTTGGAGACCACCAGTCGAGTCGACTTCTGGAGAGCCGCTTTTTCCGAAGACAAAAATGCCGCCAGCCTAGCCGAGGTCGCTTCAATCATTTCTGAATGTGCGATTCGAAATTGCTCAATGCGCGCATCCACCAGTTCTGACACATTCGTGACACGGCCGACTGACGTGTCCCAAACGTTGCGATTTTGAGAGTGTAGTTGAGAACGGCGTCGTAACTTCGCATGCAGCCCATCAACATCGTTCAAAGATGCGCCAAGAGTGGAAATCAGTTTCGTGCCGATGCCGTACAGGTGTTCTTCGGTTGCTTCGTGTGCTTGTCGCAGCGCTGCCTCTTCCTCCAGGTGTGCCTTCGTCTCCGCGAGGACAGCTTCTGTTTTCACCAAAACGTCTTTGGTACTTTCCAGAATTGCTCGGGTGGCCTCGTTGTCCCGTTTCATAATGGTGAAATTGTTTGTTAAACTGAACAACTCCTGGACTTTATTTCGAAGACTGATTTCCAGAGTCTCAATTCGTGCCCTTTGCTCTTCACTCAGGATCCTCCGCGACTCGCTTTCCACCGTAATCTCTTCGTATTGCTCATTGGTCAAATAGACGCCATTGCGTTGTCGAGTGGCAATCAGTTCGCTCTTGAGCTTTTCGATTTCGGTGGTGAATTCCTTGAGTAAGGTCTTCTTGGATATCATCGAGTTGACCTGAGGTTTGTTGCGGATATTCTTTGCGCGAAAGGCATAGTCAAGGGTTGAAATGGTTTCCTCGAGATTGCTCTTCGCGGGTGAAACTGTTGCTATTATGCAAGTTTTGGTTCTTCCACCTAGCGAGTCCTGCAGCAATCGTGTGAGCTTGGATTCGCGGTATGGGATATGTGAGCTCTTATCAACAAGCGCATTGATGACTCTTCCGAGAGTCAACAAACTCTTGTTGATCAACCCTGCCTCGGCCGCTCTTTTGTTCTCAGCTCCACTTCGTTGAATATTCTCGCTACCAGCCAAATCCACAAGGTTGAGTTTCCCAGAGCAGATATAATCTTCTCCTGTCTCGTTAACTCTCTTGATGAATGTTGTAATTGTAAAGACTGTGTGGCTTCGGGAACTGAGATCGTTGCATTTGGTTGCAGCGACTTGGCGCCTGTGGCTTCCTTGCTGAAGCAATTTGATGCCGGCTGCTGCATTCTTGATGTACGATTCTTCCATGCCTTGAACGACCGTGGCAGAGTGGCTCTTTTTACTCGAATCGTCATAGATTTTGAGCTTGACAGTGTCGTCTGTGGATAGCAAATCCCTTAGTTCTTCATTGTATAACTCGATGAAAGAACACTTGACAGAGCACTCCACCTCATCTGACTCCAGCTTTTGGAATAGTGAATATAATACCCGGGGTATAATGCCAGCTGCGTCGGACAGCAAGCCAAACGTATCCGTCATGTCTCCAGACATTGTGTACGTCTTCCCTGTTCCCGTTTGCCCGTAAGCGAATATCGTGCAGTTGAAGCCGGTCAACATCTCGTTCAGTATCGGCGCGACCACATCGTCGAAGATTATAGCTTGGTCTGCTGCGGGCGAGAAGACTTTGTCGAAGTAATATGTCTTGTTGCTGATCGCATTCGGTCCCATACACAGCTCCACGCTTTGCCCCTTGACGCCGTTTGTTGACACCACCACGCCGCTGTTTTCGCGCACTTCTCGTTCACTGCGGCCTCGACACCGCACCACCACATGGATGTTGGTCTCTTCGCCATGGTCGTTATCGAAATCTCTGTCTTTCCTCTTGGTCCCTGCGCTAGAAGTGTTACTTGAAGCATTGGACAGAGCCGGAGAAGGAGCTCTGCCGGTCATCGAGGCCGTGTGCGTCGCATTCGGTCTGGGTGGAGGGCGCATCGAACTCCTTGAGGAGGGCAGTGTCGGCCGGGGCGGTGCCATGGCTGGAGAGGTATCGGCGGCCCTCAAGAATCAGGAGGTTGCGCAGCACCTGTGGGCAGGTTTACTTGCACATAGATGTTTTTTAAGATGTAGAACTTGGCGTAGAGAATAAAGTGCAAGTTACAGTATGCAGGGAATAGTAGTAGCGGACAAGGACCGGCATTGGCATCAACGGGAAGCATGCGGCGTGACCCAAACAGGATGCAAAGTAAACAAATCGCGGACGCTAATGACTAAGCGGGGAACGGCGGCCTTGCGCGTGACAGGGCTGAATGACTCGCGTTGGCAACGACATGACACCCGACATCATACTGTTTGTCTCCCTTGTAACTTATCTAGGCGCCATTGTCTGTTTATCAGGTCTTCCTGTCCGTTGTAACTGTCGGTGAGGACGTGGCCAGACCACAGTATGCCGGCTTCATCATGACCAGCACATCTCCCAATGCTGCCCTCCACATCCAGCCTGAAAGGGGTATTGGCTGGATAGGTACGGCCTGCTGCTTCTGCGTACCGTGTTCTACTAACCTAGAAAGTGCTCGGGTCCTCCCTTTACAGCATTCTGACGAGGCTCAAGTCGTCTCCGCAGACTTATCCCAATCTTGAACTATCGTACTCTGCTTCTGAGCCTATCAGCCAGCCTGTCATCGTCAGCCTGCCACGAAACGGGCTTAGACTACGCTTCGATGGACCAGACCAACGCTTACGACTGATCGAAATCCTAGACTTCTCTCTCGGCTCGTTTGCGTACAAGAATACGGAGCTTGTGCGCCGGAACAAGAGTTCAGATACAGGTAGCCTGGAAGAGACAACGCCCAGTGGGCCGTCCTTCAAACATGTCTACAATCGCCTCTTCGGCCCTACATATGCCGGCGAATACATCCCGCCAGAGACCGGGAATTCGACGGGTACTTATGTCCTCTCGTATCCCGGGCTTGCATTTACATTTCCAATTCAACACAAGTCGTGGTCGGATAAAGTCGATTTCGTTTCCATATTGTCGTCCAATGCAACAGGCCCGGCTACATCTATGGCGGTCTTTATGGGGTCCTCATGGCCCGAGGCCCGAACAAACCTGTACACGAGGCCTCCCACATACCCTCGACTTCCATCGCTTGGTGGAAAGTCCACAGAGACAATTGCCGATGAGATCGAGGAGGTAAGAGTACTTGGAGCTGGAAAACTGGAGATGATACGAAGAAGCTTGCCACCGTTTGCAATCACTTTACACGAGACTACACCTCAGGATCTGGTGGCTGAATTGGGGCCACCTGATGCTATCTATCGCAAGAATGATCGAAGGATTACCATCCATGCAACGGGCAACCCAGCGCACAGGAAACCCCCCAGCATGTCACCTGGGCTGGACCCTCACGGCGTGGATACCGATCAATCCTCGATTCAAAGCTACACAGAAGATTCGGATCTCGAGCAGGATGCGGAGGGTACTTGTCGGCCTGAATCGAGCAAGGAATCCTTCTACAACTATTTCAATCATGGCTTCGATATACTCATCTCTTCACCAGGAGTCAGATCGCCAGCATTCCCCGGCACCGTCGCATCTGAACCAGCAACGTCGTCCAGCGCTCAACTTGTTGCCACAAAGATATTTCTGCATGGGAATATACCGGGGTCCTTCTCGTTTAATCGACACCGAAGAAGTCGCTGGACGATCCACACAGGTGAAAGGGATCTGACTTCAGAGATGTCGTTCTCCGAAATTTCGGCTGTGCTCAAGCAGGCGTGGTACAAGGACGATCACGAGGACAAACAACTGCAACGAGGTATGGTCCTGAACAGGGGCTGGGCGGAGAGTCCGGAAAGTTCAATAGACCTGCTGGGCGATTTGGAGGAGGACAGCCCGACGCAGGACCAGACCGATGACGCAGGGGCAGCGGAGGCGATCAAAGGCATGAGCACTACCCAACTATTCGGATTCCCGGGGCTGCTATTGGAAGTGCTCAAGAACGACACGGTTAGCTGCTTGACAGTGTTCTAGGTCGGCATGATGACGATGATATGAATGTCGGATACCAATGCAGTAGTTGAATAACACAGATACCCAGGACGTTGGTCACATCCCACCCCAGCGCATGAATGATCAATACTCCTTCAACTTGTTACCACTGCAGGGCAGGCTGTAATCCTAGTTCAAGTTGTGGTATGAGGACCTTGGACTTGGTCTGGTGCTCGCTATTGTCGATATCATTGGCCGACGGGCCGTTCAAGCCGCGTAGTAAGCAGCCTCAACTTGGCTTGTAACCCGCCGTATGGCGTATCGCAGGCCAATCTCCGCGTAATCCACCGTATTAGTATCCAGCGGCAGTGAATTCCAAGTTGCCCTGCGCTGCGCTGCCCGCCCACTTTGGACTTTGGCGCCATTGATTGATTGACGCCGAGTCAAACATCGTCCACCTCACTACAATACCCTCTATTCACACCGACCGTCACCATTCTCAGAGCTGTAGATGTCGTCGCTTGTTCATGAGGTCGCTTGCTGCCTCCAGACAGCCTTCGACCATTGTTAGCGAAGATGCTCAGATATCGTTACTACCTGCCTTCCGCCACTCTTATTACTTTGGGTATTGCGCCTTCACCCTTCACAAGCCCTTAACACGCAACGCACGCATGCACTCTCTTCTCTGGTCTTCCGTCTGCGCCGTGCCAGTGTTGAAAGTTTAGTTTTGCTAACATGTCACTGCAACCACAGACGTAGCGTCTAGCTACCTCACTTTTCGCACATTGCGTGGATGAACCGTAGCTTCACCACTGTTGCACAACCATGACCCGATCCAGTGGCCCGAACGCCATGTCGAGTCAAAATATCATTCGTTGTCTTGTCGACGACACTGCCTTGACCAGGAATACCGGGGAGATTGAGAACTGGGTTTCGCAGGGCAAAATCATCCTGGTGGTGCCTCTCTACAGTATGCGATGCGAGCTGTGGTGAGACAGTTGTTGGGCTGTTGCTGACAATGACATGTAGCGATTGAGCGCCTTCACCTGCTCAAAAAAGATTCTTCGTCAATCGGCGCAAATGCGCGCAAAGCCGTCAAGTTTCTCGACCGGTTTACGTCCTCTCGAGGCGACCTGCGACACGATCCAGTCATCTTGCAGGGTCCTGATGAACAGTACGCAACCTGGGCCGAAGTGGAAGCACGCTACACCAACGAAAACCTCAAGACTGCCGGTACGACCGAGGAAGAAACATCGCTCTCGGGAATGGACAAGAAACAAGAGAAGGATGCTGAACTTCCTCTCAAGGGAAGCACTGGAGCTGCAGGCACACTTTCGCAGATGTTGTTGGACAGACTCAATTTCACAAAAGATCCGGCCGCAACCTCGCCTACCTCCACGCCGCCCTTGTCTCCTGCATCTTCCGGACCGCAAAGCTCCAAGACCAGCCCAGAAGTCAAATCTGCCGTTATGGTCGCTCATGATCAGACCCCTGTGCCACCATCGCTCAAGCCGCTGTTGAACTCGGTCGTCTGGTATGTCCATGAGAAGACATTGCCGGCCGATCAGGATGTGCTGTTCCTCACCAATTCTCCGGATACTATGCACTTGGCTCGAGATTTCGGCGTTCCAACCAAGAATATCCATCAGCTGAGAAGTGCTCTTGGAGTGGAAGAACCCGAGTTTAAAGTGCAGGAAAATCCTAAAAAGGAGGTCATCACCAAGAGAGGTTCACGCTCAGAACAAAAGACATTGTTTAGCTACGAGGATGAAGACAGCGACGCTGAAGAAGTCGTCTTCAAGCCACGAGGTCGAGGCGTCACCCGCGGGGCACCATCTTCTCGAGGATCTGCGGCAGGGTCTCTACGCGGTGATAAAGGCGGACACGGCCGATCTCCCCGACTTTCGTTCAGCCAATCTGCTCAACCAGCACCCAACAAGCCTCAAATTCCCATCGAGGAAATTGACCCAGATTCATTCGATCGAGGCAGTTTTGGTCGAGGCAGCACTCCGCTGGTCAACACCGGCACTTACGGTCCCAGCCAGTTCAACCATGGTCGTGGCTCAGGATATCGTGGAAACCACGGTCCAGGAGGTCGTGGAGCCAATCATACTCGCGGTTCTGGACGTGGTGGTGAACGTGGATCGGCCCGCGGTAGAGGTCGATTGTTTGTTCCATAATCCGATCAGGATCGGTCGCATATTCTCTATTGCGACGACAAACACACTACCACAAAACCGTATCGGTTGGCGTATTGGACCCATCGTGCCGTGAAACTCGACAGCTTCAATATTGAAGCAATACAGCAGTGAGGTTGACAGATGAGGTTCTACCTTCTTCGCGGTGCAGTCACTCACAAACACAACCGGCGGCACAATCGGAGGCGTTGGCTTGCAATCGCAATTCCACGGCGTCTGTTCCCACGACTTGGAGTCATTTAGCACGTTTAGCACGCGGTTGGCACGCTTTGACAAGCAAATGTTCCTGCGGGCAGCGAAAGGGATTTGGCAATTCCGGAGAACATGATTTTGCAAGTCCGGATAACATGCTTTGGCGACGTCGTCGAGAGGTGACTTTAGGGTCACCACTGACACACTTTTGGCTGTTCAGTGGTTGGCGGGAGATTTACCGATTCCCAAATGGTTCCCCCCAACACTGCAGGCTGCATTGCATTCTTGCTTGGGCAAGGTTTCATTCTTTTGATATTTGTTATTGGATTTTAGTTCTTGAGGCATGACATGAACGGGTTGCTGTTAAGGACTTGTACCCAGAAAGTTCAAGGTGTGGTCGTCCATCATGATCATTGGTATCATCATCATCAACTGGACTCGACCGTGGGACGGAATGGGTACGTCCAACAGAGGAGATGTTTGCAGCAGCTCGTCAGGTCAGGTTCTCGGGGTTACACTCGTTGAATGGGTTATGCTATTTCTTTTGTAGTGCAATAAAATCGCATTGGTTAGTACAGTATGTGTTGCAAGCCGCTTGTCAGCTATCTACTGTCCGAGCTGGGCCCGTAAATATTGACCGTCAGCGGCGATGACTTCTCGGAGCTCTGGAGAAATCTATGTATAAGCTGATCAAGGTTTTGAAGTAATTTGGTCTGGTAGCTATTGCTATTAGTAGTATGCTACGATCTTGAGATCATTAGTACTAATTATTTTGTATAATAATTAGTACTCTCCCGCCCATTGAAGGAGTGCGTGCCTCACCCGATCATTTATTTAACCGAGAAACTGGAAGGGGACGAAGTCAACTGAACCAGATATTAATAATCTTATCTCATCAACTCCCACGCGACGTCCTCCCTATCCCTCTCCACACCCTCACACCCTTCTTTACTCCACCGCATCTCTTTGAGCGTCTACTTCTGATCTTTGCGTGTTGAATCTGCACTGCATCTCCGGCAGAGAATTTATTGTAACCCAGTTGATGAAATACTGTACCCCATCTGTCCGACCGAGCGACGCGAGCGACTAAACAGTACCACTGGTGGAGTCTACGACAAGACCACAAGTAGCAATGGCCACCGAGACAGTTACTACTACTACTACTGGCAATATGTCGCCCGTCCGAATCCTCATCATCAATCCAAACACATCGACGCATATGACGGATGCATTGAGGCCCGTGGTGGAAGAGTTGGGGTTTCCAGATGTGAGTAATGTCCTGATCAGATCATTTCGCTTGTTGCGTATTTTACACTTTTCGCTTTCGTCCCAGTCCTGGTCTGCCGAGATGGATAAGGTACCTATCGACATTAAGTTGTTGATGTTTGCCCTTACTACACTGTCGGGCTCTTGCTCTCTTGGTTCTGAAGATTGTTCGTGGCCATCGCACTGTGGTCGACTCTCTTCGATCATTTCAGAGAATATACGGTATGGGTCGATGGTGTCAATGACCCACGGAAGAAAAGCGAGGTGCTTCAATGGCAATGGGAGAAAAAGGAGAAAAAGGAGACCAGACCAGTCCGAGTCTGCTCTGCCAGTTCTACCTCCACGAGTACCATGCATGGCCGGTTTCCACGTCGGTCATTGAATTGTTCGATTCGTCGTGGTGGATCTGGCGTGTAGTGGTACTCCAGGCGGAACATCTACACCTACACCTTGTTTTCTGTCCACTATCTACCCCCCTTACATCTACTGTTCTTACGACATCAACATTACCTTCATCCCCATTCCCTCTCCTCAATCTCTTTCTCTCCCCCCTTCTCTCTCTCTCCTGTCTCTCCCTATCTGTCCTAACATATCCTCCAGCCATGCCATCTGACAATCCGTTTCTCTTAGGTCCACTACACATTCTTCACCTCCCCCAACCCCGACAACAAAGGCATCCCAAGCATAAACTCCCCCACCGACGCCGCCGAATCCGCAAAAATCTGTTTCCCTGCCCTCCAACCTCTTGTGTCTCACCACGACGCCTTCTTAGTGGCATGTTATAGCGCCCATCCATTGGTGCAAATGCTCAAGAATGAATGTGAGAAACATATTACTTCTGCAACCGGCCGCGGATCGAGGAAAAAATATGTCACGGGCATTTTTGAGGCGAGTTGTCTAGTTAGTTTGGGGTTGGTTGGAAATGCCAGTAGCTCCTCTTCCTCATCGAAAACTCTTGATACCGACTCCAGCGATACGAACAACCATGGTTTGGGGTTTGGCATCGTCTCCACCGGCAAGATCTGGGAAGAAGCCCTGGGTCGTGCAGTGAACGAATTTCTAGGTCTAGGACTAGAAAGTGATTCCACGTCTTTGTCAAAGAGAAGCGGTGGTAGAGGCCGCTTCTACGGCTGCGAAACAACAGGTCTCAACGCGAGCGAACTGCACGATTTGCCGGCCGAGGAAGTGAGGAGAAAAATGATGGATGCCACGAGGCGGTTGTTGAGGAGGGGCAGAATCACGGCTTCGAGTTCAGCACTACGCCAGGCTTCAGGAGGTGACGGCAGAAGTAGTGCTGTGAAAGCAATCTGTCTCGGCTGCGCAGGCATGGTCGGTCTCGAATCCGCCGTGCGCGAAGCATGTCTTGAAGAACTGGGGTCCGAAGAGGCCGGAAACAATGTGGCTATCGTCGATGGGGTCAAGGCTGGCGTGGGGGTTTTGTATGGGTTGGTTAAGTGTGGGTTTTGATACTGGATCTCTGACCGAGTACCTACCTATTGTACACGACACGTACACACACGTACATACAGCTACGCAGACACAACTACGCACCCACCCGCGCACGCACACAAGTCCATACAACTACACATCTAGGTAGGTCGAGTGGACAAGTACCTATGGCTGATTGACATTGACAACTTGAGACCGAGAAATAGGACCCCAACTTAAAATAGAGACCAAGGCGAAACGAAATTGAAATGTTAAGAGTAAAGTAGAAATGGGAAGGGGAGATAATAGTCGAGTTAAATTGAGTCAAGTTGAGTCGAGCTCAAACTCGAACTCAAACTCGGATTTATATTTGCTTCCCTTTCTGTGGGTGTGTTGTTGTAGCTATTCAAATGAGTGACTGGAGTTGGACATAAGGACAAAACTATAATGAACGACTGAGCAAAGGACAACGACCGACCGAGAAGCGACAAGTCGATTCCTTCCTCTGCGCTGCCATGCCATGCGCTGCTCTTTGTTGCGCTCGCTCCGCTTCAATTCCCTCCGCAATGCCATTGCCAATGCCATGGACCAAAAAACCACCAGAAAGAACCAACAGCAGTACAGCAGTCTAGCCACCCCGTCGCAAGCAAAACAGGTAAGCAATCCGAGAGGTCACAAGTAGGGGTACATTGATTGGTGTTTTCTTCTTGAGGAGACCCCACTTTTCTCTTCCTAGGGTGTGTGTTTCGTCCTTAAGTTTCCGCTAGCAGCAGCATTGACCGAGAAGAAAGACGGGAGCTTCGCTTCACTTCAAGCACCAGTTAGAACAACTTGTGCTCGAGAGTCATGTCAGATTCAGGCTGGAGACCGACACAGGCGCGGAAGATGTTTGTCAGGGCGGCGCGCTGTTTGGCGAGAGAGTTGACGACAGGAGTGCCGGGGGGCGTGAGTGGTGCCTATACATCACAACAACATTAGCTTGGCCCACTTATACTTGACCAGAAATCACGGGGGTTCATATTGCCCACCTTCAACATATAACTCAACACGCTGAGAACACTATGGAACCCCTTATACTCAGCGGCATCCTCAGTCTTCCACTGAATCCGGGTCATCATCTCGGCGACAAGCACGAGATCAATAATCAGGGGCGACGCCAGCAACGAGTCCTCGCAGACATTGAAGATACTAATTGTCTGGTGACCGCCCATGAAGATCTCGGCATAGTATTCGTCCAAGGCACGCTTGTTGTCGCCCACGGCGGGCATGTACTTGATAACGACGGTATGATCGGGATGTTCGTCCTTGGCGTACAAGACGGTATTGGCGGCAACCATGTCATCGACGACATTGGACTTTGAAATCTCTTTCGAGCGGAACTGCTTCTGCGAGCTCAAGTTCTTGCCGTCGTTGTTGCCGAGATGGTTGTAGCTGGCAATCGAAGTCAACTTGATCCCTGCGTTGATCAGGAAGTCTACGAGTGCAGACTTCATTTTTGTTTGGCCGGACTTGAAGTCGTCGCCGCCAATGAACGATCCATGCTTCTCGGCAAGGTCAATGGCACCAGGGACAAACGTGTTCTGCGGAGATCCGTTGATGAAGGGTGCGTCTTCCAACACACATGCCACGGCAAAGACAGTCGACGGCGAGACTTCCTCGTGGCCCTGTTCAATGGCCTTCAATAGGTTCTCGGCGGTGTCGTTGACGCCGGGGATGATGTCGGCATAACGCTCCGTGTTGGCGGTCCATAGAACAATGACTTTGTCGAGGTTGTTTTGCGCTTTGAAGTTTCTTAACCAATTGTCAGTTTCGGTCATATCATACTAGTGTGTCCGCCAGAAGGGTGTACAGTACATACCTAATGTCCTTTCTGAGCTGTTCAACATGGGCCATGCTAGCTTTCTTACCCGGCAACACATTGTCTGCACGGTCTTCCTGGTTCGCCGCGATGAAGTCCGGGTAATAAATGCTAGGCAGAGGCTTCATGAGTGCCATCTCCTTGTACACCTGAGCTTTCAAGGTCGGTTCCAAGACTTGGGCACGGTCCATGGCTGCGGCAATGTTCATGCTGCTGATATCCCAGCCGCCAATGACAATGTCGTTGGGGTGGACCATGGGCAAGACATTGTGAAAAGGAATGTTGATCTCCTCTCCGGTCTTTGCTTCAGTCCCCAATCTGATGGTCGAGCCCATAACCACGGAACCATAGTAGTTGGCAGCACGTGGACCTTCGCGAGTGTCCCAGACAAGTCCTCGTCGATTCGCAATGATACCGGCAGTGACGGTGGAACCGTTATTGCCACCCCAGCCTACCAACATCATGCCGACCTTGGGAACCTTGCGGTCCACCTTGAAGTCGTAGACAGTTTCTTTGGGGGATGCCGTCAACTTTCCATCGGCGGACTTGGTCACCGCCGTGGTGTGGTAGACGTATTTGCTCTTGATGTGGTCATCGGTGTAGACCACATTGGCAGAGTTAACAGTAAACAGATCCTGGTGCGATTTGTTGGACTCGTGGGCGCCGTACCCGTTCATGGTGCCGTTGCTGTTGCCGTTGGCAGTGCCGATTTCCGCGTGAGGTGCCATGTTGTCAGAAAAAAAATAAGGCCAAAGAGTGCCGTAGGATGAAGGAGAGTTCTGATATATGGCCTAATTTATCTTGTTTTGGCGTAATCTGCTGCTGCTCCTCCACGGGCAGAGCAGCGGCTACCGTTGAACGGGTGGTGCGACCTGAACGGATTTGATATGTCAGATTTCATCTTGTCGAGTAGACAGAAACAGATGTTGGTTGTGATTGAGGCCAGCAGAAGCAACAAAAACAATACAAATTAAGCCAGAACAGTAAACGAGACTGAATGCACCATGCAGCTGTGAGGCGGTCGACTGCATCCAGATCGAAACCAACTGACAGCGGCGTTGTTGACCGGTACAGTACGGCCAGGTCGATGGACATGATTCAGGACTAGATCTAGATGTACCAGGGATGATTGATGCAGGTACCAGTATTGGGCTGGTCCATGGTGACAGGGGGAAATCCAATGGTGGTACCAGGGAGACTTACGAGTTCAAATGATTGGAAAACGTCTTGACGGTGTTGACGGATCACTCGGAAGTGATCCAACTTGGGGAATATGAGAGAAAAAAAGATCACGGCCGGGCTGTGATCGCGATGTGTTCGAACTTGAATATAGCAGCTGGTTGAGGTTCGGACGAGTGAGGTAGAGAGTTTGAAGGGGAACTGAGGACAGGTCGAGCTTTATCTCGGGGCGGTGGGAGGCTATTACCGTGTTTTCGTTGTGGACGCGTGCCAGGCAGTGTAGTGGGGGACGAATTTGTGTGCGCGAAGAAGGATCGGACGGTGTGCGTAGTTTAGCCGAGAACTAACCATATGGAGATAGTAGATAGCAAGCTATGTTCAGACAGGTAACGTCCATCTGCACACAAGCAGTTAGCACAATCTGGGCAAACCCTGCAGCTCCGACTGGTGCAGAACTGTTGGATACAGCTGAGCATTTCTTGCGTACCAGGTATTTGACCAGTTAGCATGTCTCCATCCCCCTGCTCTAGCACCCGTAGTGCTGAGACCCTTGTTGACCGCCGTTCCCGGTAATCTGGGGCACATTTTGAGACACGGACCACGAAACGGCCCTAAACCGTCTGCTCTACCGGGTCGTACTCGACCTTTAAATCACCTACTCTTGATCTTGAACTCGACTGTAGCCGTCAAGAGTCTAGATTGCAGGTACATTATCATTGACATTGACTGACAAGTATTGTTGGCTGAATCTTACTGAACAGACCGCCCGATCACCTGCTTTCCTTGGCCACTTTGGCGGTGTGGACATGTTCAATCTGGACACCTCGATATCAAACATGGCGGCCGAATCTCTCCGCCCGCCTTTTTCGTAATTGGCCAAGTACGCCATTTCAACGGGCCCCTCGAAGCTTGAATCTCATCGACATGGACTGTGTCGGTACCTGATTTACTGTGGTACATTATAGCTGCGTACAACCAGAGTCGATGGTAAATAGGATTGAGACGAACTGACAAGTCTCTTCTCTTCCACTTGGACAAGGCTGCGTACAGGCCGCGGCCAGCATTTGTCCCTGTCCAGGGAGGATGCCCTCGACATTCTTTTGCGCCCATCGCGTCTACCTCTCAATCTTTCCTTGGGCACATTCGGACGTAAGGGTCGCGGTTGTCTCGACTTCCACTTGAAAGAAAGAGCAAGCGTCTACATCAGCATTCCGCGGTCGCCTGGTGGACACAGGTTTCGCACCAGTCTTGGGTTCCAGATGCCAGATTCCAGATTCCAGCTCGGTGGCAATAATGGGAACAGCAGCCCGGATTACCACTCCCTGTTGGGTTCCAGGAATGGCATTGCAACCCAACAACACCAGATAGTCTTGCGGTGTGGTCCAGAATCGCGCATCGTTGGTTCTGATCTGAATCGTGCTAGTCTGTGAGCGATCGTGTTCTAGGCTGATAACCAGTCACAATCGCCCCGAATCTGGTTTTGATATCCGTGCCCGGACTATTCCGCCTGCAATGTTGGGAAAGCATTGGTTTCCAGCCTGCTGAGCTGGCCACTGTTCAGTTTGGGAAGAGGCGACGATCCAGTCGGTGCTTCAATCATCCTGTGCGGACTCAGCCTGGTTCATGACTTTTATCCATGTCCTTGTCTCACACAATGACTGGCATCCAATCATTTGGCTCCTCGTTCCGGTCGCTTGCATATTCCGCTCAACACCTCGTTCAGACATCGTCAGCGGATACTCAACGCTGTCCTGGTCCCCATCGTCGCCAACACGATCGCCGGAGTTTTGGCCATGACGGCCACCTTGACGGGCTTCACTCCCCAGGAGAATCACCCGGGATCGCGTACATGCATGATAAGAACTCTGCTTGGTCGCCCCTCGCATTGCTGCTCAAAGTATGTGCATATTGTGTCCCATCATCTGTAATCGCAGAAATCCAGCCTCTAGTTGCGCTTGCAATCCATAATGATGTCCGGTCCTCTGTCTTGCAAACTGTGAACTTGAGGACAGCAAGTTCGTGCACCCGTGTTGTGATGCTCTATTAGTGTTCGTTGGTTATGATGTTCAGGGATTCGAGTAAGCTTGGCGCATACAACAACACATTGTCAAGTCAGCAGCCACACCCTTGCATGCCATAAGTCAGGACCAGATCGATCTAATCCGCCGGACTTTAATACTGAATTGGGGTGAGTAAATGTCAAAATGCTGCAACCATGCAAGGCTCGGCAACTTGGGCTCCTTCAGTTTGCCATGTCGTTTGTCTAAACCAAGGGCAACGAAGACTCGGCAAAAGTCCTGGCAGTGAGTATTATAGTCTCAAATCAACCGCCGGCGTAAAAATTATGTCATGTTCATTAGTCGCGTGGTTCTCCGTTCCGGGAATTGTCGGCCTTTCAAAAGTCCACGATCGCCACTGCTGATGTACTCTCGAATCAATGGACTCGGCCGGGTCGGAGCATTGTCACGGGATTTTGGACTGTTTGCCATTCGAAAGGCGTCTCGTTCGCAGTATACCTTTCCGGACAACTCGAAATAATCATGGTCAAGTCGGATTTTGCAAGTCGTGCATTTCAGACATTCCGGATGGTGTTTTTCTTTGCCCCGCCCCGCGACATTGGCTGTCTCCATGTACAGACCTTCGATTCCTTTACCGCATGTAGCACATAACGAGTTCTCCAGCTCGTGATAGTGCTGAGCACAGTAGGGATGATCGTTGTGAACATAAAACTCTGCTGTTGGGAATGAGCTTTTGCACGTCTGGCACACAAAACATTCTTTGTGATACCGCCCGGTCAGTCGCCCATCTGCGCTTGAGACTGATTTCTGCATGCTGAGGATGACCTGCGAACATCCACGGCAGAACCCTTTATTGGATCCCACGGGTTTGCCCTTCCGGCTGTGGGCGGCATCTTGAGCTGGAGACCGACTTGCTTCGATTGCAGGCTCGTTGATGTTTGACTGAGAATTTTTCCTCTGTTCGATCGGTGCAACAAATAGGTCTGGGAGGGGTGATAGACGCCCCTGTTGGAAAAGGGGATCGGTTGGCGAGTCGACAAGCGTACGTCCCCGTCCTAGTTTCAAAGGCGCTGGTATGTCAAGGTTCATTGACTGAGGCGTATTTAGTATAGAGGAATCGAATGACTTGAGTTGCAGCGATTCGGTGTTGGACGAACTGGATACTGAACTAGTCGCGTGCTCTGAAAATCCGACAGACCCGTAGGAGGAAGCTGAATCAATAGATACACGCCGGAGAGAATTGATGATCTCATGCGGTCGCGGTTGTGCATCGGAGCTGTCCATAGACAGATCCTGAGGTTTGTCCGACTGATAGACATCTCCTGGAGCTGACGGTGTCGTGTCCGGCAGTCCTGATTCGGCTGTCGGCTCTACTAACACTGCCGGGACGGGCATTGGAGCAGGTGTTGTCCCCTCAAGCGCTTTAAGAGACTCTTCATGACTGGCCCGTGGAAGGGGCGATGTCACAAAAGGACTGGACAGCGGGGAAGGCTCCGTGATGAGGAAGGATGTCCCTTGTCCATTCCTATTGTTGTGCTCAGTGAACTGACTTTCATACACGTCAGGCTCATCACTCAAAGCCTGTCGCACGACCTCGCGGCGAGATTTCATAGACTGGGATCGACGTCGACCAAAGATTTTGCCAAGTCCTTTGGACAATACTCCAGCTGATGAGGGTTGCGGTGCGGCAGGGGCTTTAATCTTGGCTATAGAAGAGAACTGATCTCGGGAGAGTGGTGGTGGCCTCTTCGACCGGTATGTAGGTTCGGTGTCTGCCCTGACTTTGTCTCCAGGGAGCATAATTGGGAGATCAGTCGTGGTCTTGGTAGCCTCGACTTTTGTAGTCAGAATATCACCGAAATTGAAAGCGCTCAAAGCTTCGTTGGCTGGCGGATGGTGGTGATTTTGGGGCTCTGTCTGTGATCTCACCAACTGTATTGGCGCTCCCGAGGCTGGTCCCAAGATCTTTTCGGACGGGCTCGCATCTTTTACGCCGCGACCTTCCTCGACAACTTGCTGAAGGCTGGAATCTTTTAAGCTGGTCGAACGGCTGCTGGTGGTTGAAGGGTTGGACTGGTTAGACCGCATGTCGCTCGGCTTGTAGTTCCTATCCTCATTCCCATGACTTGAAGATCCTGCTCCTGTATCCTGCAGCGGCCTAAAAAGAGGGAGTCTCGGCGCGTTTCGGGACCGGGACCGATGCGTGTCGGATCTTTGAGCACTGCTTTTATCCCGCGCTTTCGTGGTTGACCCCTTGGGTGGCACAGGAAATGGAGGAAATGCGCAGTCAAGGTTGGTCAATTCCGGTGACGGGGGTCGTCGCGGTACCGGAGCCGACGCGTTGTGTAGGCGCGGCCAAGGGGAGGTCGGGCCGGGGGATGCGCTCGCTGGGGACGCCATCGAACTATGTTGACTGTTGGCGGGTGTGAGTTCGCCCTGGAGAGCGGGCGGTCGGACTGGTGAAGATCATCAGAGTTGAACGGACGGATAACGAGAATAGACATACATGTAGCGGATAGATCGATCTTTGGCAGACTTGGTCGCTGCGACCGAAGACTCCTGGTGCTGTTTGACGAATCAGTCCGAGGGGGTGGTGGCGGTCTGGCAGAACCTGTGGCTTTATTGTCAGTTGCTTGTATACCTTGACCATCAGTCTACAACATATACCTGGTAACGACGTCTTGGACGTCACGCATTGATGGCGACCCAGCTGTTCCATGTGGATATCTTTGCCGCAGTCCGAGCATTTGATCGAAGGAATAAAGTCTGCATTGGTCGTCGATGCCTCCATGCTTCCTTCCACGAATCCTCCTAGCTGTCGCAATGGTCCTTCTCTTCGAGTCCTTTAGATACATCCATCGAAATTCGTAAGTGGTTCGTAAGTGTGGGGTTTCTGGTCAAGTGGTTTGAGCCCCGGGGCAGCCGAAGGAGAATCTCGAGTTGTCTAGGGTAAGAGCAGGATTATGTGCTTAAAGTGATACACCTTCATCGAAGAGAGGTCACAGGACCAAATGCCAGGATTAATCGTCTAGCAACCGATAGGGTATGATAAAGTCCCCTTGAACAGACGAAATGAGAGAGGCTGTCCCTTCGCAACCAAAGAGGACTTTCAACCGCGGGCCACGATCTTTTTCAGGCGCCGTGCATAACACATCTACCGACTGGAGACGTTGTTTGGCCGGGGTAGGAGATGAGGCTTTCAAAAAGTTCGAGACTAACCTCTGACCAGGGTGTTTGACTGCCGTGATGGAAACGGCGGTCGATCGAGCTCGTGCTAATGGTCCTTTGGTTCGAATTCCACCAGGGCCAGTGGACTTCGGCTAGCCAGTGAGATTGTTCAGTCGAGCAAGAAGCATCTCCAGACATTGTTCTGACAGCGGTGTCGGACAAGGGGCGTTGTTTATTGTGGTGGCTCTCCCGCCTTTGCCATGTGGAATGTTTGTCTGGTCCCAACGTCTGACAGCATCATGAGCCAAATCAGCGAAGAGGAACCCATTCCAACCATTGTTGTGGCTATTTTTTTGCCTCCAGCAATGTGCAATCTTAGGCATCTTACCGTCGTAACTCTCAGGAGGTAGATAGGACACAAGACTGGAGTCCTGCGGTGGAGAAAGAGGAAAGGTGTGGTGGATTACATGTTGCACCCATGTCCGGGCAGCCTGTATTTCGCACAATAGCATCCTTATTTCGCACAAAAACTAAACTACTTTTGGCACTGCCAAGAGCACTTCTACTATAAGGTTTTTAACACCTATAACATTGTAGAGATTACAGCTAAATTACTACGTACCTATAATGCTGTATAGCACCTCCTGCAACGCCTACAACTGTAC